GTCTTATAAAGTTTAAAAATAGAGTTAAATCATTATATATTATATTTTTAATAATTTTTTATAATAATAAAATAAGCTTACTACTATAAGGTAAATTAAATACTTTTATATAATCTCTCTTTAAAACTATAATATATCTATTTAGTATTTATCTAGTTACTATTAGCTTTAGCCTTCTTTGCGAATGATAACTGTTTATGCTTGTCATGCTTGTAGGGGACGAGAAAACTATTCCCATCATGTCATAGTGCATCTCTTAACAGGGGGTATGCATGTGAAAAAAGTGGATGGCCAGTCGGAAGCAAGGGAATGGAAAAAAAAAAAAGTGCAAGCTCTCCTGACCCATCTCTGCTGTTGCCCGGCAAATAGATGAGACCCCTTCTAAACAGACCCTTAATCCCATGTACAATTCCATCTTATCCCAATATTCTCAAAGTCTCGCCTATCGTTCTACGAAAACATTATCTACCAGTCCAAATTCCACATTTCATTGACGTTATCTATATCAATCAACAAAGAGAGTGAACAATATGCCGTACAACACTCGACGAAAGTCACTGTCCCTGCCCTCCCTGGGTATTCATGTTCCTGGAAGCCACGCGAGCCGCGTCCCTTCAACCGCCACTTCGAGTCGAAATACCCCCGACAATACATCGAGACGTGTTTCCATTGTATCAACAACCATAGTATCTCACCCCAACAAGAGACAGAAACGATCTCACCAAAATGAGGCGGCTGGGCGTAGGGTTGACTCCTCCAAAGGGCCCGACGAACAGGCGATGTTGGAGCACACGCCTCCGCCATCGCCTATAACCGACGAGTCAATGGAGTTACAACACACCGCCAGCATCGCGGCAGCATCAAGAAAGAGAAACCAAGAAGGTATCAACGACGAGATCGTCGAGGCTGTTATTGCGCAGTTACAAGCGACGGCTAATCGGCCACATCTGGTGAAAGAGCTTGCAACCGTCTTGTCAAAACAATTGTCAATTGTTCAACAGTAAGCCTAACTCGAAACTCTTTCCTGTTTCACTCCCTTCGTTTGACTGTCGTTCATCAATCCCCTTTCTTTTTGCACGCAAGTAGCGCAAAGCTTTTCACGATGTAGTTGCTAATTGTTTTTAGCTCCGCAAATCCTTGTGCTATAATCTCCTCCCGTCTTGCCGCCTACCTCAAGCGGTCGTCTTGGAGCGCCCTTGCGCCTTGTCCCCTAGCCAAGGAACTAGAAGTAGCACATCCTCGGCGGACGTACTTCTACCTTACGACCTGTCCAAGACAACCTTTCCCCGCCGATATGGCGGTGCCCCTAATCTTGCAGCGATCCGTGATTTCACCTTCAGTGTCCAGTGTCACATCAGGGTCTGATGATGAAGATGATCTGGATCTGCGCCGTAGGGAGTTGAGTCTGTCTCCAGAAGTTGATCTTTCGTCCCCGGAGTTCGACGACGCAGACGACGACTTCGCCATGCCCACAACGCCTGTTGGGTCACTTCCCAATACCCTGCGGCATGACAGGAGTCACCGCAGTGCGTCACCACCTCTCGAAAAAGACGAAAGAGAATTTACCCAAACTGCCGACGTACTCCAGAAGCGGAAGCTAGCCCGAGATTTTCCGCTGGTTGTTGCAGGAGAGCACTGTGCTGTCAGCGGCTATGACCAGGCGCGCGATGATGCCATATTCGACGAGAAGCAGAACATTACCGTGAATGGCGGCCCTGCTCCTATGCATTTCATCACTAGTCCTGCCGTTAAGGCATCACTTCCCTCCAGCACTAAAAGAGACGCTGATGGCGACAGCTGGTTGAAGCTTGGGACATTACTAGAGTGGGATCATAGCCCAGAGAACATTGAACTCGACGAGCTTGACTGTTTACTGGACTCGTGTTGATTGGCCCTGAGTGACGTGTAAGGTGAATATGAGAAATGCCCTATTGACTCTTTTCATCGTGCCGAAACTCTACGAAACTCATATGGGGATCAGCAGCGGCTGCGATACGATGCGATCAACACTTTGGATCTTGATCGGAACACTTGCATGCGTGGAAACGGAGGGGGTTATATCAGTCGCATGAATTTCGGACATTTGGGCGAATTAAAGGGGCGTCTTGTTTTGATAATTGTACAACAGCTCATCGGACATTATGCGTCTACGAAGGCTTGGTGTTAGGAATTGGGGATTAGGACTAGACAAAAGGAGTACTGAAGTTGCCGGGTATGATTGAAACGAAATAACAAACCTCTCCTGTCCTTACTTTGGCCCATGCAGTTGATACAAGCCTGTCGTGCCTCACTGTCCGTGGTTATCTTTGCGGCATGCAGCCTTGTGTAATCCGAGATATGAGTGGCGTTTAGAATTCCCCTGACTTCCTTACCCTCAGTTCAATCCACAAGGTGGTTCCTAGTTGGGTCAGGTATGGGCGCTCTATCTTGACAATTTCAAGACCTGGCGTCGATTTGGCAGTGTTTTCGACAATTTCGGCAATATCTCGATTCCACCAACAACCATATTTCTGGAAGTGGGATGCGGCTGACTTGTCCAGTAAACCATTGACAATACCCCACCATCCTCTGCCGTGCTCCACGAGGATGATCCTTCCAGTGTCTGGCTTTACCAAGCTGGCCAGGTTTTGAACCACCCGCTCCGGGTCTTGTACGCTGCAAAGGCCAAACGTTTGAACAACCGTATCGTATCTTGCTGGGGTGGATGTCTGCTGGGCCGGTGGAGGTATGGAGTTGTGAATATCTGTACGAATGAATCGTAATCTATCCGATAAATAAGACACAACGGTTAGGCCGCTCGTCGTCGGAATTTGCATTTTGACTGTTGGCTCTACGCCCTTTAGTTGAGGAACCGCCGCGGAAAGCTTTTCTATTGCGACCTCTAACATTTCGCCTGAAATGTCGACTCCAGTGAATGAAAGTACGCTTGCTGAAGCAGACTTCCGATTGGTCTTTTGCGCAGTCTCGACAGTCTTTGGCGAAAAGTTGGGTTGTAGGACGAAACTCCAGTCGTAGAATGACATATTTCGACCAGTGCCGATGGCGACCTCCAGGACATGCCCTGAAGCTTCAGCTGCTAACTTCTGCCGGAGGGATGTGATACCCATTAGCCATTCTGAGCCATCAAGGCTCTGGTCAAATTTACGCGCCGACTCTTTGGTGAATACGTTGGGCCGACCTGTCGGAACTGCACCTGGAGTAGTTTCCAGGCCATGACAGCTAGGCGAAGAGAAAAAGGAGGAGGCAAGCACACTTATATATACTCCTAGGCCAAGAGCAACCACACCGGAGGCTAGCAGGGGGATTTTTCGGGCCTTGAAAATGACATCGGCGGTCTCAAGGGCATTCGGGGCAGGTGTGTTCGCTGGAAGTCGAGCAGAACGGAGAGGAGAAGCAGGGTGGTGGTAGATTTTGGCAGGCCTCGTCCTACATCCGAAATTAGAACCGCCAAAGCTGCATAAAAGATCGAGCCTACGTTTGCGTGATTTGAGACTGTCTTTTTGATGCTCGAAATGAGGCTTGACGTCGCGCAATAGATGTCAAATCCAAACGCAGTGTCCAGCCAGGTTCTGAACCAACCCGTCGTGCCTGGCCTGCAATTGAAAATGTTCGTATAGTTTGATTCAGGGCCCCCATCATCGACAACACTTACTCACATTTCAACCCATGAAAAGCTTGGCTGTGGTAGATCTTGCAAGAGGCGATTACTTAATTGCGGCTGTTGTATGTTTTGGGTCCATCCCGCTGAGGCAAGATATTTCGGAAGATAATTATCGCATGTCCGCTCGCCCCTTGGCGGGAGACCAGGGCTATCGTGACTAGATCAGATCCTGCTTTTGGACCAGAGACACTTTCGGGAGGATTTCCTGTGAAAGACAACCCTATATCTGGATGTTCAAATAGCGAGGATTTGCAGAATTGATCGCAGAGCATTTGGAGATTGATGTTTTTGCTAGTATTCACGACGGCTGCTTGCCAGTCTTTGTATCGCCCGTATCCGAACATCGTTGGTTTTGAGTTTCAATGGCCTTTTCTTTTCCATACTCAACCCCCATCGACGCCGTATTCTCCTTGTGTCGAAGTTCCAATATAGTGCTCAGCTTTACCCATCCCTTTTCACCCCAACCCGAGGGCCCAGGTTCAACATCTGGCCTTACGGTCATGTACCAAGACCAAGCTCTTCGGTCCATCTCAAGTGGTGTTAGATGAGAAGCCCAGCTTTCAAAGAGGAGTCTCAATGCCCCAAGTAGACACCCCAAATATTTTGAACTCTGAGGCTCGACATTTGACCTACCCGTTTTCTTTGATTTCAACTTACAAGCGACTTCATTTTCACCTACGCTTGTCTGCTCTTCTGCCGAACGACCTACACTGAAGCTTTTCAAGAGGTATGCCCTTGCCAATTCAGGCCGATGAGTTACGGCCCCAGAAACAGTGCGGCCCCGATGGGTCAAGTCTCGGGAGCTACTCGCCTGTCCTCGCGGAGTTTCACTCTGGTGCTGTCGGTCGAGAGCCCACAAGGCAGTGTCGTGGCATCCAGCCTGACTGTGTTGAATTCGTAATCGTTCTGCCAACGCCTCCATCACACAACCTCGCATCAACCTCCAACGATCTGGTCCCAACATCTCACCACCGAACCATCTAGTGACCACAACTACGGCCCCAACCACATTGGCCTCTTTCATAAGTCGTAGGATAAATTCGCCACACCCCCTCTCGCCATCATCCCTGTAATCTTCCCGCACCTCTTGTACCCCTCCGCCAATGCTATCACTATGAACTTCAGACTTGACCCGGTAACCCCAGGCGTTATGAGTTGCCGTTCGGAGGTGTGGCTCACACGAAAATAGCGACCGAATGAGCGCTGCAGCGTCATTTGGGTGCTCCAGAGAGGAGACTCTCGCAACGAAGGTTGAAGATTTGTACGTGATTTGTTTGCTACTGGTCCACTGGGAACGACCAGGAACAATACTATTCTCATTGACCTGTGGCGGGGTAGTCGGAGCCGTCATACAACCCTCAGGCTGATTGTCAAAGTCTCCCCGTTTGAGGACAGCAATGCTTCTACCCATGACGGTTACCTTTGGCTGCCCCTCATTCCAGGATATATCATCGCGAAGGACGCTGTCCAGTCCAAGGATTGCAGCTTTGGATATGGAGTTGGCGCTAACCACAGCTTGAGCGAGGCTGAGACGACTGGATAGGGGCTGTTGAGGCATCGTGAACCTTAGAAGTTCGACTCCGAATGCGAGCATCAAAGGGGCGCGATTTATGTAAATAGAAGCTCTTGCTATTTCATCCTCATCCGTCACAAGAGGGAGAGCCAAAGCACCTTCTTGCTCTTTTACGCTCTGAGACTTGTGCTCAGTACTAGTGTCGGCATACTGAGCTGTTCTTAAACGTTTTGCGCTGGGATTGTTTGAAGTAGAGTCCCCCTCACGCTTACTGTTTGGCAGTTTCAAATAGGATTTGCAGGATGATTGCAGAGACTTAGCCGTCTTAGAATTCCCAAGCGCCCTTTCAATGACATCTGGCTGAGCGTCGGCAATTTGCTGAATACTGTGTGGCGAGTTAGCAAGCGTGACTTCCCGCAGCTGCGCCTTCAGTATTGAAATCTATCATCACACATACCTGCGCAGGTTCACGCCTTGAAGTGCCTTCACTTGGCTCATGGCTGTCATCATGGGCACTTTCCGGGCTGTAATGAGGCGGAGGAGCTCTTGGAGATCATTCTGAGAAGCCATCCTACTGTTGTTTTGCTTAGCGTGGCCAGACTGGGTGTACAGCACTGATGGTAGTACTGTGATAAATGGAAAAAAAAAAGGGTTAAGTGGCAGGACATTGCGGTCTAGCACAAATTAGGTAAGAATGTTGAAATCTTGATACCAAGTGCTGGAAAATCAAGTCATACTAAATCAACCTTTGAGACATCGCTGATAATAGTCTGATATCCTTTCAAACCCATTCAATGAATGCGAAACTTACTGCACCACTTTGGAACTCAATACATACTACTCCATATGATTGCATGTGTTTCACTTTCAAGCCCCATTCCTCACGTGCTCGATGCAATCCTCTGAGCGAATCATCGCCACACTGGCAAAGTCAATTACAGGCCATTTACAGCAACCGCCAAGCTTTGGTCGTACAGTTCTGCCGAAAGCCGCTTCTAGAGCTGTGAAAAACCGCCATATTTTTAATAATCTCATTATCTTACATTACCGACATCAATACCAAAGGCCGAATCCCCATTTGCCCATGCAGAAGAACGCCAAGAGTTAAGAATTAATCACCAGTAACCTCAACTCTGTGATAATAGTGCCTGAGACTTTTTCAAACCCCGTCTTTCCATAGGTAAGCCCGTTTAGCGTGGCATTCAATTCACGCCTTCATGTTGGCTGCGCTGATAATAGTGGGAGTCCGTATGTAAGCGTCTAAGCTCGCTGCAAAACAGCATGAAATCGTTCGATTACCTGCAGTCTTATTAGGTAAATGTTCCAAAAAAGTATGGACTCAACGTCCAGATGTTGACGATTGGACTTTACTTACCTCTGGGTTTGATTTTACGAATGGGAGGTCAAAGAACATGTACTTTTCATTCTTGAGCAACTCGACAACTGTCACCATCAGCCCCCATGGTTGGGGCCAGTATCCGATGAGGCGTTCCCAAAGCACTCGGGTAATCTGTTGACGTATATCTGTTTCTTCTGGATCGCTCATGTCCTGGCCAAAGATCTCCAAAAGGACCCGGCTGAAGTAAGTTGTATGTGCATTAGGAAATCGAAGCTGATTAGTTATGCTGGTAATCAGGTAGTAACGGGCCTCAGGAGGTAGCTCGTGAAGCAACAATGACATGACAGCCACATCCGAGGAGGCAGGGTTGAAAACATCAGTTCCCTTCGCCGTCGCTTGCTCCACGGCATGGTTTCCCACATGAAGGGTAACAGCCTCAATAACACGAAGGTTGGCATGGATTGGCACGTAACCGAAACCGGTCTCGGTGCGCTGACTCTCAACTATGGCTCGAGTAATATGTGCCAAGGTATCCTCCGATGGACCGTTTTGTAAGGCATGTTCAAGCACTTCAAGCAGGCCACAATCTTGTAATACGGTTGTTGAGTTGTCAAAGCTTTCAGGTGACTCCCGCACTTCATCCATACGACCCCCCTGTGGACCTGAAAACAAAGGATCTGTTATCTTGGGGTGAGCAGCGGGGTTGGCTGTCAGGATTGCGTTGATGAGCTGCTTGCAGTGAGGCGGGACGCTAACTGTGAGTTGGTGCGAATGCGCAGAGAGGTACTCGGAATAATCATGCTGCAAGATCACGAGCAGCTTGAGCGTGGCACGGTAGATCTCTCGTGCCACGTTAGAGGGCTCAACTGCCTTGACTTGTTCCCCAATGTGTTCCAAGAGCAGCTGAAGAAGCTTAGAAAACGCAGCCCAACCGGTTCGCTCCTTCAGAAGACTTGGGAGGAATACTCGGTGCTGAATGAGAGACAACCACCCAAAAACGAAACCCGGCAGATGTTGTGGTCCAAGATCTGCGAGCCTGGCTGCGAACTTGAGATAAAGTTCCAACCTCTCAGTTTCCGGCAGCTGTTCTGCTGTAGAATGGATTTCGTAGAGCAGTACTGACAACAGCCGATGGAAAACCCTCTGGTTGAAATGTTCAGCACGTTTGACATGGTGATGGTTAAGCACCAGAGTAACTAGTGCCAGAATCGAGTCCAGATAGACTGCTCGGCTTGACGTCACTGATGACTCTGGACCTCCATGTAGCCTAATGAAGATGTTGATCAGTTTTGCCAGAGCATCAACTGCTAGGAAGGCATCGGTCAGCGTTCCAGTGGAGTGAACAATGTGCTCAAATCGATCAACCGACATGTCTGTCGCGACTCTGATGAATAGGAATAGATCATCCTTGCTTTTAACGACACCCCGAGCCTGCATCTGCCGTACAAACATGACGGTGGACGTCTCCGATGCATTGGTGTTGTTACAAAGATGAATCCATTCGTCGAAAACGTACTCCATCTGATCCTGTTGGAACGCAATGCCGCCCTCTTGCTGAGCATTTTGGGGCAGTGTTTGGCCGGAAAGCTTGGCCTTCACACGTTGTCCAACTACCGAGTCTGGTTCGTCCTGAATCCAGACCCAGGCAGCTTCCAGCGTTCGGACGAAGTCTCCGTAGAGCACCAGCGGGCGGTTGCCAAGCAGTGTCAAATCAATCATCTGCTCCAAGAAATCCAGAGATCCTTCCTTTCTTTGCTGCAGTGCCTTGGCCATCGACATGTCGATATTCCTCCAGTCCAATAGATCGGTACGTAGTAACGCTGCTAGCAAAGGTAAATGAAGAAAGTTATTCCCAGGCTGCTGACGGAATAAAGCTGTGACCCGATTGTTAAGCGTCGGACCAGAGATCTTCCTCAGCGTCTCAAGGACATGTACCAAGCTCTCCAGCGCCAGGTTGTCTTCAACTTGATTGAATATAAGCTGAATGATCTGGTCGGCGGCATAGATCGCAAATTCCTCGGAAGATTGAGAGGCTTTGATCATGTGTTGCACTAAGGCGTCTACAACATCAAGAACGGGATGGGGTCTGGGAAGCTCTGTAAAATGTTCCTCACGTGCCTCAGTCGCCACACGCTGAAGCTCTATGAGCAGCTTTTGCACACGCTCGACCAACGCCCTACCATCCATTTGGAATGCCTGAGGTCTCCCACTTGCCATTCCGCCACTGTGGACGCCGGCATATTGTTGAAGCTGGGTGTTGAGATGCTGGACTGCTGGTACTTCTGAGGATGAACCTAGGGTAGGCACAGCGGAGAATTGGTCTTGCAGAACCTCGTTGGCAAGTGAGCGAGTCGCATCTGAGGCTGATGGGACATGAGATGGTGCATTAGAAGTGCTCGTTCGGGGCTGGCGTGCAAAGTCATCGTAGATAGCCATCTGCTCTGGGTTCAAGCCGCCCATACTGGGAGACAACTTAAAGGGGTTGGGGATAGTCCATGCCCATCGACTAAGGGAGGCATCAACGTACGGCTCGTTGGGCCGTTGCAACCTATGACGACGTCGCGCCTCCAGCTCGGGTTCAATCATTTCCTCAATCTCTGGAATAGCTCTCTCCTCAGCCTGTTTCTCGATGATGTTACAAGCGAGGTCGAGGTTTGAGTTGACGCACATGATTATTGTGCCTTCAGGAAGACCTTGTGGGAGATCGTTCGACAAATTTCGCATGTAATTTGTGAAGTTAGCTCTTAAAGGTTCCTTCGATGTCACTAAGGCCAAACTGCCAGCTGTGGCTTTGACCATGTTAACAGCTGACGTTCTCACTCTGTTTTCGTCCGGCTCAGTGGCGAAATCCTTGTGGATCATCTGCTGCGTAGAGATAGCAGCAATAGTGACTGAACGGTCGACCACAGGCTGTATGATGTCCTGCAGGGCCCGCGTAAGGGCGGTGCGTACGATCTCATGCAGGCGCGTAGCTGTGACTACCATCTCGTTTGTAGGAGGAATATGAATGAGAGGTCCCAGATCTGGTATCGAGGCTGCAGCAACCTGAGGTGAAAGACCAGCAGTGACGCCGGCAGCAATTCCATTGAGGGTTAAGTTTTCAAAAGGTTCTAGGGTTTCTTGCGGCAAGAGCTCTTGAGTCTCTTCAATAGCCGCACGATTGAGGATCTCTCCAGAAGGTTCGATGCTTTTGTGATCTAGATTGAGGCCCTTGCACAAAACTTCTATCTCGAATTTGAGGTTCAGTTTTAGTTCGGCGTGGTGGTATAATTCGATGAGCAGGTGAATAATATCCATAAGCCAAGGATTAGGCGGTCGGAAAACAGTCGAGGTAGCGCCTTGGATTAGGACCTTGCACACAAAGGGAATAACGACAATCAGCCGCTTCGTATCGTGAGCCTCGATAAGAAGCTGTTTGAAGGCAATGTGTTTATGCTTGATTGGCTTATCACGAGCAAGAGTCAGAAGTCCTAGCCAACCGCCGAGATTTTTCAGATGGGATCTTTCGGTCGAGTTTTGCATCGTTGCCTCGGAGTTGAGCATACGTGCAACACTGAGATATGTCTCTCGCAAAACTTCACCCCAGAGGACCTTGTCCTCAAAGAGCTTGACTAGCTCAAGGTATACCTGATGATAGTTTGGCTGCATTTTTGCTCGCTCTTCAACAAGATGGCTAGCGAACCATTGCTGGTGACGCTTTTCAAGTATCTCCCGTAGTTCCTGACACATTGTCTGCAGAGTTGTCTCGGTCAAATTGTTCAAAACGAACTGAATTTTGCCCTGTGTGTCGCTTGAGGGTTCTTCGAAATCAACGCCAGATAAGCGCTCAGCAGCATTGATAGACGTAAAAGAGGGTGGCTGGCGTTCTGTAGTCCTCCCATCGTTGTTGTTGTTGCCGTTCGTGAGGGGTTCAGCGTTGAATGAAGATCCGTGTGAGGGTGCTCCTATGCCATTGCGTGATCGAGAGACTTCCTCTTCATGATCTCGGACAACATCTTCTGCCTTTTTCCACGCCTCGGTGCCTTGCAAGCCAGGAATTTGTAACAGCTGCCGACAAAAGCCGGGCCATTCTCGAAAACGAGAGAAGAGCTGCATCAACGCCTGCAGCCCAAATTTGTACATTGAATCCTCTGGCAAATAGTCTCTGACAGCTTCCAAGATCATGCCGAGCCCAATTTTGAGCGGTAAGTCGGAGATTAGTTTGTGAGAGATGATGCCTCCAAAGAGCACCGCAGTTGTCGCGAGAGCTTCAAGAGGGTAATCAACATAATGGGCGTACTCGTCGAACAAGCCATGTATCATGCAAGCGAAGACGTCTTGATCCAATGGATCACGGGAGTGCTTGTAGCGGTCCAGGATCTCAACAATGTTACGTACTTGAATTTCGTCGCCGTACATCTTCTTGTAATGTTCTTCCATCTTGCTGTTGGCTGCACTAGGTAAAGCATTGCCATCCTTACCATTGGCATCGATGATGTCGTCAAAGCCCTCGCCATAGTTGATTAATCTTGGATAAACGGTGATACAGGACCGTTGGACCATGATGAGGTCCTGAAGTGGAGTCTTTGGCAGAAAGTCCTCCAATATCTGCAAAAAAGCGGCCACAGTTCTAACTTGAAGGGTCGTACTGGACTTGACAGAAGGTTGACCATCCGGGGGGCGCTGGTACTGCAACTCAAGGTTGGCCTTGATAAGCAGGAATTGAAGTAATGATCGCGCAATCTCGTTGCTTCTCTCGGCATTGCGACGAGCCCAGCTAGCTAGATCGAGGTATCCTTCAGCATGTGCTAAAGCCGCAAGATCAAGCCCAAATCCGTTTGGTAAGTACACTAGTTCATCTAGCCACTTGTGTTTAAGAGCGTGCTCAAAAATCAATGGTAAATCGGTTGGTTTTATAGCGTGTGCATCGATCAGCCGTTGAATTACCCATTCCTTATCTTTCTTCCATAAGCTGTCAAGAACAAAATCATATTCTGTAGACCGCTTGTATAGGAAACTCTCAAATAAGGAGTTCAGAGTATCTACTGCCATCGGTGGCCAAGGCTTCGGCACCCCAAAAGCAGATACAACGAAGATGTCCAAATTTGGCACTACAACCTCTTGAAAGAGACGCTTTGCTTCTACGCTTTGCGACGCGTGGACCGAGTGGAGTGCAACATGGAACACTGCCGACAACGCCTCAACAGATACTAACGCATGCTTGACTGCGAACGCTGCCCGTTGCTGAACCTCTGGGGGTGATTGCGCGTATGTCTCAAGGGTGAGCGTTGGTACCAAACCGGGTATAGAGCTAGCGTCCAATTGATCGGGCTGAAGGGAGGCAAAGGCGCATATGAATGAGAGCTGTGTCTCTGGGTGCTCCCAATTGCCACCCCACAGCTTCTGGATATCGAAACTTGGGTCATCCTGCGCGATTGGCAGTAAGGCGTTGTATAGATGTAGAAACTGCCGGGATGAGATTCGAGCAGATCTATGATCAAAATATGACACTACGTCTTGCCACCTAAAGGACGAGGAAATTACCCGTCTAAGGGCAGCGGACAGGGTTGAGGGATCATATTGCGGAGTCTGACTTATTGTGCTGTAGGTGAGGGCAATAGACACTTGCTCCTCACTTAGTTGAATACTTTGGGGCCGGTTCTGCAGATACGAGACGCACACCTCTATGTCTCTGGTGAAATCGACGCCGACTCTTTGGATGTAGGTAGCTAATGCGTTTGGAGGTTTATCAGCTAGTACCCGCATAAGATCGAGAGCTGCAAGGACTTCGGATGGCGGTGGCGCTTGGGTATCATGCCACCTTGCCTGTACTTTGTAGGCAAGTTCAGCCTTAGCCGCAGCGTTCAAATTCGGTGGCTGGTACTGGATGAAGCGATCGACGAGGATGGCAACGAAAGAATCCGACAAATCTGTGTGATCCTCGTGATCACGCTGGTTGAGAATATTGATGAACGTAGGGAAATTGGTCGACAATATAGCATCAGCTGGCATCAGGCATTAGTATTGGCCGTACGAAAGAACAGGCCGAGCTAGACTAACCTTTGGTCTTGAGGTCGGATCGTGATCCCATTTTGAAAGCCAAGGCGAGTATTGTCTTTTCGAGGGCATCTAGTTTGAAAGCTTCCATAAAGGTGGACATGTCGAAGTCACGAAATATGTCTTCTGTCCCTGTCTCGATGGACTCGGCAATTTTGTTAGCCTGGCTGATATCATGCGAAATTTTCTTCATCTCATTCATGAGCAGATGAAAGTTTCCATTGCCCCCAGACCGTGGTTGGCCATGAAAGATATGGGTGGCATGGGCCGCGACAAGGCGCGTGAAATACTTCGAGAAAACCTCCATTCCGTGTTCATCGATGAGCTAGAACAGCGAACGCGAGGAGGGTTAGCATGATATCGGACCAGGTTGTATTACAATAGCAAGTTGGTATAGGGTGGTGTTACTGCGTGCGTACCTTCTGTAGTTGTTCTGCTTGTGTCTCCCACTTAGCTCGGTCCTTGTCTTCCTTGATAGCTCCCAGGAGGAGATAAACCTGGGCAACGGCGATCTTGACCACGGGATTGGGCCCTGTCGGACTGCTAGTACTTGGACTTGCGCCTGCACTCAATGCAGCGGATTGTGACTGAAGGGGCAAGTGCCCGATTCCTGTCTGCAGTGTCTGTGAAGGATGTGGAGAGAATGATCCCGATCTTGTTTGTGGGACCATGGGATAGTATTGCCAGATAAGTGTGCGGAAGGCCGAGGCGTCTGTCTTAGGAGAGACCAGACCAGCTTCCCTTCGCTAAGGCTTCCTGTGTCGTGCCGCCCAAAAAAGCTGCTATCCAGAACGCCCACATGAACAATGGGGGAATTTCAAGAGTTGCGGCGACGCGGGGCTGATGTTGGCCAGGACTGACAAGCAACAAAGCCGGTGGTAGGAGGGTGCGGACGGGAAGTATGTGGATGTGGGTGAATTGTCGAGAGAGGTGAGGCTTGTGATACAAATCACTCCAGATCGGATTTGCCGCGGTGAAAGAAGGGAAGAGGAGGGGAAGGGACCTGGCTGCAGTGCCAGGTCAACTGAGAGCGCAGTCAGAAGGCTTGCTGGTCTTAGCGAGGAGTCAACCTTGCGGTTTTTTGATTTGTTCCTAAAACGTGCGAGAAGATTGAGCAGATAGGGAGGAGGGAGCGAGGTCGGCAAACGAGTGCGACGTTGATCGTGGCCGTCTGTCGTTTGGGACTGTGCTGGGAGGGCAGCTTCGCAGGAGAAGAAAATAGACTCTGGTTGGACTGGCCTACGTGAAGAGGTGGAGGCTCCAAGTCACAAGCAGGGGATCGGATTGGACCTGACCAAGAGTTGAGTGCCCCCGAAAGGCTGGCAAGGTACGAAAGGCCAAGGTAGCTTGTTGGAAGTACAGGCACTGCACAGTTACCAGATGGGATACACATTCCTCGATTAGGTAAACCACTTAGCACCACATCGGAGGCTTAAGAGCTGGGGGAAAAGCCGACTGTGTGGCCACTGGTACCCCCAATTTGCAACTAACCCGGAGAGCACGTGATGGGTTGTAAAAGGGACTTGAGCCTCAGGCTTCACCCAAGACTGTTGATTATATAATCTGGGGCGCTGACGTGGTGTAATAGTACCTTGGATATTGTGGAGACAATGACAGAGCACGTAAGCGGGTGGAGCATACAACGGGACCGGCTTTGCAATTTCCCGAAGCAGGCGTGCCAGGTGATAGAAGCCATAGTCCTTCATGGGCTCGTAGTTGGTTACCCAGCAACGCCTGTAAACAATATCCCTACTCTACCATTCGTCTAAATACCTACCTACATGTAGTCAGTTCCGATGCGTATCTGCCGGCAAGAGGTGCCCCATCAGTATCTGGAAAACCATCGCGACTATTTTGCCGTATCAACTTGTCTGTTGACCACACTCCATACGTGGCTTCCTTCACAAGCCAGTGAACAAACAACAACAATCTTCGACGGGCTATTGACAGCCAGAATTGACCCTGCCGGTTTGGCTTACAATCGCGGGCGAGATGCCTGCTTCGACGATGGAGGGTCCAGTTGTGGCTCTATCATGTGCGCTGAAAACTCATCATCGCTTGCGTTCGAACCTAGCGCTAACATACGTCAGTCGCAAACAACTTTTGGGGCAAGGAAGATGCAGGCGTGGGGCCCCTTCTCGACCGCATGCACGCAGCCAAGCAGACATGCGATGAGTTGAAATACTTCTACAGTGGTAAGTCTGCTAATACATTGCACATCTGTAACAGATCCCGCCATAGCTAATCAACAACTCAGCTCGCGCCTCGATTGAAGAAGAATATTCTCGAAAGTTGCTATCCCTATGTCGCAAGTCCTTAGGCTCCCAGGAGACGGGAAGTCTGAAGACTTCCCTTGATACGGTTAGAGGTGAAGTTGAATCGATGGCAAAGCAGCACCAGAATATTGCCGCGCAGATGAAAACCGAACTGGAGGAGCCACTTGCAGCCTTCGCTGGTGGTATGAAAGAGAGGAGAAAGATTGTTCAGAACGGCATAGAGAAGATTCTCAAGACCAAGATACAACAGACGCAGCACGTCAACAAAGTAAGTTGAGCCTTGAAAAGCTTGGTATAAATCAAGCTCGCCATTGACACATGACATAGACCCGAGACCGCTTTGAGCAGGAGTGCCTCAAGATCAAAGGTTACCTGGCTCAAGGTCACATGGTCATGGGCCAAGAGGAGCGAAAGAACAAAGCAAAGTTAGAGAAGACGCAAATTAGCGTTGCAACCTCGAACACCGAGTATGAAAATGCGGTGAAGGCCCTCGAGGACACCACGACGAGATGGAACCGCGAGTGGAAAGCAGCGGCAGACAAGTTTCAAGATCTAGAAGAAGAACGGCTTGACTTTACAAAAAGTAGTTTGTGGACATTCGCCAACATATCTTCCACGGTTTGTGTCAGCGACGATGCCTCGTGCGAGAAGATTCGACTCTCGCTGGAAAAGATGGATGTTGAGACAGACATTGTCAGCTTTATCAAGGAGCGGGGAACTGGCCAAGAGATCCCCGATCCACCAAAGTATATCAATTTCTGCCGAGGTGACGTTAATGATACGCAGTCAGAATCTTCTGATGACGACAATTATTCCGTTGCACAGTTCCCGAGGAGTATCAACCCGGCGTTTCGGACATCTTCGCCGCAGCCGTCAACTTATGAGTCACACCATGATCCGAACTCAAGCCTTGCACAGGATCTAGGTCACAAGGAACCAGTGCCGACAGCTACTAGGAATGGCTTTCCCGACATGGGACGGAAAGATACAAGCCCTGCCTCTACGAGACAGTTGGTGCTGGAGACAGGTCGTAAAGCAAGCCCTTCTCGAGACTTGGTACCGGATACCAGGCTAAAAGATGCAGGCTCTCCTTCCAGGAGCTTTGCACCGGATCTTTCTCACAAAGATGTCAGCCTCTCATCTAGAAACTACTCCCAAGAAGCTTCTCCCAGAGATGTCATGCCCCTTGCTACCAGGGAGTCTTCGAACCTTACACAGAGAATGCCACCACCTGTCGAAAAGCCACGCCAAACTGCTCCTGTTGCCCACCAAATGTCTCAGCAGACCCGGCTTCCCCTCGATGTCACCCAGCATGGCCCTTTCCCGTCAATCCCACATGAGCCATACCCTCTTGAAGGTATGACAATGTTGTGCCGTACCGGGCCTTCTTCGGAGCGTAGTTCACATCCTCCGTCAGTCCGGCCATCGAGTCGCGATTCTCAGAGCGACTATTCGAACCCAACCTCACTCTCAAGTCAAGGGCCTTCGAGCGGCAAAGTGTCGCCGATTAAGCAAGAACAGACAAGCGCTCAGGTGTCATCTTCTGATCAACAGGTCTTAAAGAAAAAGAGCGGCTTCTTCCAGAACCATAGTCCGTTCCGTCGAAAGAGCGTCAAAGAAATACAAACACCACCTACCAATAGAAACACCTGGCATCCCGTATCAGCTCAAGGGAGTCCATCTCGGCGACCTCAATTGTACAATCAGGACACTCCGAACCTGCTATCGGACAGGCCAACCATAAGCCCTGAGCCAATTGACGCAAACGCTAGTTTGGCGTTGAATGTAGGGCGCAATGTCTTCTCGGTCACTACTCCGGACCTAGAAAAGCGAAAGGGTTCTAATATCCAGTCTGCCGAGCAAGAAACGGACCCGATCGCTTTGGCCCTCGCCGAGCTCAAGGGCGTCGGTGTAGGCAAGCAATCCAGTATCCGCGTCTCAGCCGACCGCTATCATGGCATCGCAACACCTACGCCAGGCTCGCAGCCCTTTTCAAGGTCGGTTCCTCCAGCTGTTACGAATAATACCGTAGCTGCAGCGCTTCGAGGGACGCCGCCTCCTTCTTATGATCAGCAAGTTGTCCAGAGGCTCGGCGTCCCCCCACAAGCTGTAACGGCCAAGGCTATGAAGGAAACCTCACAAAAGTTCGCTGACCAAACCCGCACCATGTTTAACCCAGTAGCCCGTCCAGGGACTGGATATGCTGGATCACCTACCTCTCGGCCCATGACAAGAGGGAGTGATGTTCCTCGGGCAGCTTCACCAGCTCCACTTCGCAGCGCCTCCCCAAGACCTGTAGCAACTGAGGATTCTCGAAACAGCTATAGAAGTTCACCACGCAGCGGTTCTCCAAGAGTCCCGGCAAGCGATGATGTCCGAAGCGGCTATCGGTCTGCGTCGCCCAACCCTCATAGTCCTCTTGGGCGAGGCCCATCTCAGATGTCACAGATGAGCAGCACACCCAGAAGAGGCTCGGAGAAACCGTATTACCGCCAGAACTCGCCAAGCAATATTTCTAGAACGGCGTCGCCGGCATCCTATAGAGAACAGACGCGCCCAAGCAGCAGTCATACTCAGAATGACATGGCGGTCCAACTGGCGCCTGTGGGGGATGACAGCTACGGGTCGGTGCGCGGGCGAGCTGGTAGCCGACCAGGAACAAGCTTGAGCAACCGAGCTATGGGTCTGTACGAAGGCGGCGGACCACCGGGCCAAGGCGAATCAAGACAGCGAAGTAAAAGTGTGGCTGACCCCTCGCGACAGTACACGCGTGATGGCCGACCAATCCTGCACTTCGGTAAGTGCGTGCGACGGCATTTGCTGATATAGCGCTAACATGTCGAATAGCAAGGGCTTTATACATGTACCAGGCCGCTATCCCGGAGGAACTGGGCTTCTCCAAGGGTGACCTTCTTGCGGTGTTACGGCATCAGGACGACGGGTGGTGGGAAGCTGAAGTACACGGAAGCAACGGACAAATTGGGCTGGTCCCAAGTAACTACCTTCAGCCTTGCTAAAGAGATTGGAGGAGAGATATTATGACAACGAAGGGTAGAGACTCGATTCCATTTCTTGGAAGTGCAAGTAGCATGATCGACCCGCGCTGATGATGGTTTATGATGTTGTTGCGCGGTGATAGGCTTTGCTTGTTTTCGATTTTGTGTTCTTGCATGTTAGGAGTTCAGGTTTTGTATGGATATATATTCCATAATAATGTGGTTTTTTTTTCCTTTTCCTTTCATGATGGCTAGGCTTTGAGGGTTTGAGATTTAGTTTACATTCGTGTCAGGAAACGTCTGCAAGCCCCAAAGTAAATGACGATCTTGAGAAATTGAGGGCATGTGTAATCTAGTAAAGATCGATGACACACCAGCTAGAGCTAGAGCTCCTTGGGGAACTGGAATTAGCTAAACTGTGCTTGGATCAACTCATTCCAGCTGTTGGTGGGGCCAGTAGCCACATGCTAGTACTATGTACCTTCCGCATCATGGTCGTTTTCCCTCAGTAGCGTGAGTAGTTGATTACAGACAAGCAAACGTGTGAGGTAGCCGAGGAGAAAGCTACCTAGCACTACCTAATTATATCATGGCAACTAGTAGATAGCTACGAACAGTTTGATCCTTGGCTTCGGTGGCTGAAGACGTCTTGTAAGGCTCTTTTTAGCTCAGTTCACACTCGCTGCAAAATTGGGGTACATTCATGAGCACGCCCCTTGTCACCAAACCCTCACCTCAAAAGTACTTTCTCCCTCTAATCCCATCCAACATTTTTCCTCGGGGACATGCGCAAGGTCATCTCCCTTGCTCAACCATTAGCGGTCATCTTGTGCTTCTAATACCTGCGCGCATTTCAAACAGACATCACAAATAACCGTGCTTGCAACCACCCAAAAGCTTTGCTACGATTGCGAGCTGCCCCGAATGCCAAGTGGTTACCGGTCGGTCTTAGTCAAGGTGTCATACGGCCTGTGACAGCAACTGCAGCAATCCGTCTTTGAGATGATGGTAGGTAACCCCATCTTTGACATAAGGTAATGATGTTCAAAACTAACCATTCGCGCAACCGCGCTACTCTAGGAGGCTTTGGGCAAGGCATCTCGAGCGGCTGCCTCCAAGACAGCACAGCGGACTCTGGTGAACTTGAGCCTTCTCATGGGAACCTCTCTGATACTCCTGCCCTTTGCCGCCATCGCTTCCGTCCTCTTCTTCCGCAACTACCTGCCCGATCATGTAGTAACGGTGCCCGTGCATCTCCAGTATGGGTGAGTTGGCCCGCCACATCGATTTCTTCTTGCTTCTACCTGGTTGCTCTCGCTTATACAGATTTCTAGATCAGGGGTCAATCCTTTTGGGATAGCCACCGTCCCAACCTCTAAGCTGAGAACTCAGCAGGAGTATGACGTGTCTGTCACGTTATCAATGCCTCGATCGCCAGCGAACTCAAATCGCGGCAACTTCATGGTCGCACTCTACTTCCTTGACGCAGGGCTCCCATCAACAGACAGTAGCTTCGTGCAACCTCATACCCTCCCCGAGCCCTACGGTCACTTTGACGACAAAACTGTTTTGTTTTCGTCGCGTCGGCCAACTCTCGTGCCTTACCAGGATCCATTGATATCAATGGCGTCGCGGATTCTTTTTTTACTTTACCATATACTCGTTTCAAACTCACAAACATGCGTGCTCACAATACCTATGGCTGAGCGTGCTGAGCTGTCTAAGGGCTCTGTTCTTCCATCCTCGGCTTATCTTGAGATCCAGGGTGGCCAGACAATTGAGACGTACCACGCGTCGATAACACTTACAGCACGATTGCGTGGATTACGCTGGTTGATGTATCGATATCGCCTGTCAACGCTAACACTCGCAATCTTGCTGTTCTGGGGATTTGAGGTCTTGTTCATGGGTGGCGCCTGGTTGATCTGGTCTGGTCTTTCAGGCTCGGGCTGGGGATCGAACGGCATACCGGGCGGCGAATCTTCAAAATTGACAGCGCGGGTTAAGAGAGAAGACGCTAGCGGTGTCGATGAACTATCAGATGCGCCGAGGACATTCCCTACCTATGGTAACCAGGCGCCGTTGAGATACGAGCCTGACGTTAAGGAGGAAATGCAAGCAAGCTCTCGCATGGAGGACTTAGTGCCACTGGGCGGTGAAGCGGACGATGAGGAGGAGGACGATGGACGGGGCAGTTTCAAGGGTGACTCAGGAATAGGAACAAGTTACAGCGAAGGGGGGTCCAGCAGTGTCCGACGAAGATCATCGCATAACCGCTAGGATGATGCAACCGCAGCATGGTCCCTGGCGGAAAGGGAGCAGAGGCGGTTGAAGGACGAGCCACATCATCACATTCATGTGCGCGAGAATGAGAGGCCATTCTGTCGATAATCAACCACAATACACCAAGCCAGGCAAACATTGAGGTCACTATAGATAATTAAGCTGCCCAAGCCCAAGATACTTTGCTTCGTCATGATACAATAGTCTTGATATAGGTATCGTAGCCAATAGCTTTATCCAATCCTCTACATTGCAAAGTGCTTGTCCACATGAGGTAATCGCGCAGATGTTGCTGTTGAAAACATTTTCTCATCTGTGGTGGTGAACTACTCATTCAGGTGCAGTGTTTCGAATAGTCAAGCCCCGTAGTTTATTGAGTATCTGCTGTAAGCTGCTATACAAATCCGTGTGTTCCACGTCTGATGTGCCTGCATGCTTAGATAATCTGAAGTCTTGGTCCCGGCTTCCAGGCCCATGTTCACTTAGGCCCCGCCACCCCCTCCAACTCCTTCCCCTCCCACACTCACCGCACTTCACACCGCAAGGCTCAGTGGGATTTTGGCCCCTGTAGGTACGAAGTGTGTACGTTTTCTTTGGTTCCCTTCTTTTTCTTGGACGACACTGAGAAAGGAGGGGTTTGTCGTTTTTCTCCCCCACCACCACTCTGCTTCTACACTGCAGTGCATTTCTCCCCGGCCATTCTCGGGGTTTTCCTTGTGCAACTGACCATCACACACTACCTCGCTACTTGTTTACGGCTTGCTGCTGTTTATCCGCGCTCACACCGCTGCCCTGTGCTGTTGACTGTCCCGCTGCTTGATAAAAAAAAGCCTTGCCCTAGTATTGGCTAAGGCAGCAACTGGCGTCTCTCAGCCTTATCAGTTTTCTTCCGTTAATACTTTGTGTGGTCACTGACGTGCGAGGTCGATTTTCAGCCTGAGCTGTGTCTGGTCCCAGCCATTGGGGGTATCATGCGCACTCGCTTCTAGACCTCTCCGCTTCAGGTCCCATAACCCGTCAGATCCACTCAAGTCTATCAGAGACGGTGAGGGCCAGCAAACCTCAACCTTAGCCTCACCACCTTGGCTTCATCTGCGCCATCCGTATCTTTCCTCCTCTCCCTTCCTCCTCTCTTGCTGCTGCATGCACTCAATTTCCTCCTACTCAAGCTTTCTCAACGGCCTTTCTTGGCCGACATCAACGCCCACTTTACTCAGGGCATCCTGCCCGCTCCACCGACCCTTTCTCTTTCGACACTCGACGTCACTCGCGCGAACCCCGCCACTGCAATCCGCTCCCTCGGCCGTCCCCCGTGTCAAATCCTAGAGCCCTTTCATAGGCATCCTTACCTAGCGAGGCCCCACCCCCGGAGCCGCGCGCCTTTGGTTTCCACGCTTTCGCGACAACCTTGCCCTCGATTTATCGCTTGATCGCAGGCTTGCGTCGCTGCTGTTCAGTCTCTGACGAATCCTTTGTGGACGAAATAGTGCGACGCGCCAACGCGACATAGCCCTTCGCAATCATGCCCTGCTTCAAGGGCATCGCCGTCAGCATACATGCTAACGGCGCGCCTCTCCCCGAGTATGGCATGCAAAAACAATCTCGTCTGTCCCGGATTAGTACCTATATACCTGTGCCCCAACCGAGCATCAGCCCCGATTCGAACAAACCAGAACCTGCAAAGTTTGCCATATCTATTACTCTTTTGACACCAGGGCTACCGATCCCTTACTCGACACCAAAATCCACAGAGAGCAACCCCTACCCGAAGCCCCAGTTCGTTGGGGGTCTTCCAACCGCTGCCCATGGCCCATCAAAACTATCTGGCGTGGTCAATCCCTATATTCCCATGACCAACTCGGAAAACGAAACGATAGCCGCCTATATTTATTTTGATGGGAGGTCAAAGGAGGAGGTTGCTACGCTCCTTAGGCCTGGGGAAGAGACTTGGGTTAATAGCCGCTGGGTTCAAGTCCCTGATTCGGAGGGCGGTGGTTTGGCCGAACGCGAGTTTCTCTTTCGGGAGGTTGGGCTAGAGCGCTGGCTGAACGGACTGGACCTACAAGGTCACGATGCTGCAGAGAAGCTTGAACGTCGGCGGCAAAAGTTCGAGAAGCGACGCCGACGTCAAAAGGTTGCCACCGAGTCTTCTGGCATGCACGTCGAAGATGGACCCAATGGACCCCGCGATACTCTCCGTTACGGTGCTGACGATGGGTCTCCTGTCGAAGCCGTCTTCGGTGAGGATGACTCTGACTCCTTGTCTGATGATGATGATATTCCTGAGGCAACTGGCCAAATCAAGGTGCTCATGTTTCGGGTGCTAGCATCTGGGGAGATAAAAAAAGGCGAATACTCGCCACAGTTTGACGCTCACGATGACGATGACGATACGGATGCTGCAAACGAGGGCAATGGAAACGCAGGCGTTGATGCCGATGTCGAGCACACTACGAGCTTTGCTAAGCCCAAGACTTTGGACCCTAAAACCATCAGCACCCAAACTGTGACGGGCATTGATGGTCCGGATAAGCCATATGCGTCCTTTACCTTCTTCTATCGTGGAGAACGTAAGTCTAACCTGCTATGCCTTGGACTGCCCTGTACGCTTGTTTTGTAAACTGCTAACACTTCTGCAGGGCAACTCCAAAAGATTGGCATTATTGCTTCCTCAAGAGCGCCCCAAACAACCCCTGGCTCGGCCAAAAGGCGATCAGGCCAGCTGGACTTTTCCAGTCTAGGACCTCTTAAAACATCCGGTACTGTCGGCTTCTCGGCCTTCAGAGACCAGGATACAGAAGCTGCTAGGAGACGGAAGGCCCGCAAGAAGAGCAACGGGAATGTTGGAGGAGCCCTCAATGATGATAGTGAGGATGATGACGATGAGAGTGAACTCATTGGCAAGATGCACGAAATTGACGAAAAGGATGTTAACAAGACATTCGCCCCTGAGGACGTCCAGTTTCAAGGAGAGCTTGCTGAGGGCGTAGATCGCATCCATGTAGGTGGCCAAAACCTTGCTCTCAACCACGATTGCTAACATGGTGTAAACAGTTAAAGAGACAACACTCAGCTGAACCTGATCGCCCTGCTACTGCGGCTGCGACAAGCAATGTTGGTCTATTTGCTTCCCTTGCGAACTCCTCCTCGGATGCTAGAGCGACCACTGAACCCGGTCAAGCACCGACAGACCAGGCTGTTTCAGTGGAATCATCAATCGGTAGCCCTCTGAAGAAGCACCGACCGAGTATTAGCGTCAAAGATGAGCAAGGGTTGGGGAAGGCGACTAGTTCCAACACAGGATTTGATGAAATTTTGAACCGTTCCCACGAATCAACAACAGCACCGCCAACTTCCCTTTCAAACGAAGCAGACGAAGAAGAGTTGTAAAGCAAATCATATCCCAGAAGACGGTAGCCACACTTCAAATGGTTGCATATCCAGTTTCGTGCGGTTGCCTTCTCTGATTTTCCTAAATACCATAATGGAGCCAAACACGGTAGGCGAATGAAAGGTGGCGCGGTTGAAAGACCAATCAGACAGCATAGAAGCCGGCGGTTACTGGATTACATTATGAAACAAAGGCGGATTAGAGACAACCAGTTGACCGGCTAGCATGGGCATCGGCTTTTTGTCGTGTTGTTGACACAAATGATAAAGTACAGAATAAACACTCAAAGCTGCCAGCCTTAAACCATATGCTAATGCCAATATGCACAGGACTTATGCCCATGTCATGTGAAATCTTCTTTCTGTTTTATTCAGTTTGGTCCCATAGGTGCCTTCCCAGAGTCAGCACATACGTGTATGCTGACATTTTGCGCTATTTGTACTAACTATTGGATGGATAGACAGGCAATTGTGAAGATGAAATTGCGTTTCCCTTCCTCACCAGGGCAGAACTGGGGTTCTGTGTGATTTCGAATTGTAAAACCTGCTTCATGAGATTGATAATTTGTCAAAACCCGTCTTCCAAGCATATGCCTGATTAGAGGCAAAGTAACATGGCTGGCATTCACTCAGTCAATGAACAAACGGGGAACACCAAGCAGGATTACGAACGGTCATATTGGCACCACATCAAACATTTACATGCTTTGAAGCAGAAGTGATGGTTCATACCATAACTTTATACTGAGCATTTGCAAATACATGGGTGTAATGATAGCAGCTTATGATAGCAGCTTGAAAAAGCCACTGGCACCAAATGAAAAACACTTTTTTCCCTTCGACTTTTCCGCAATGCCTGCATGCGTCAGTGCACAGAGGCGCGGACGAGATAGCCAACCTTGGAAGACGCTTTTCGCAGCGGAACACGCGTTAGACGAGATCGGATTGGTGTCATTATCATGGTCATCGATATGCCTACCGTACTTGGTGTTGTTCACCGGTTGTGAGGTCCTACTGCAGCCACGCGTACATTATGTTTGATGCTCTGCATGCTCGGAACTCACAAAGGGAGGGGGGGGGACACCTTTTGAATGCCTTGCATATCTCTTCGTGGGAAAGTCAGGAAACCGATCACGGGTTCGCATGCCACTAATATCACGGGAAGATTTGTTATGATGTCCGAGTACTTCGGTAAACTCAGACTGGACATAATGTTGTATACTACCCCTACTATAACCAACATTTCACTCGTGAGCTGCTGCACCCAAATCAAGTGCGTCAAAACGCGTCCCCTCAGGCATAGTGCAGGCTTGATCAAATGACTAAGATTCTCACACAGACGGTCTACGCGTTATGTAACAAAACATTCTCTCAAGCCATTGAATGTTAGTATACATGTATGTACCAAGACAATGGTATCGCTTTGGTCCTGCTTTCTGATTGTTACTTCGCTGATGTTGTTTGCCCTGCGGCTTTTGGCACCATAGTCACAGAACCAACAATGCTCTGCAAAGTATCGTGTGCGACAAGCTCGACCTGCAAGTTGAGGATTATTATTTCTAGAGACGCACGCAGGCACTTCTCACAGTGGCTGGTTCACATGCCTGATATTAGGAGTTGCCAGTGAAGTCATGTTGTTGAGAGCTAAGACGAGGCCAATGCCATCTTCCCATACCAACGTCCGGCAGCACCAATTTCTCACGAAGCGGATTGTTAACATGTGTAGCACCTATCCTGTGGTGACCTCCAGACACGGCCCTCGACTACAAATTTACTCTAGTTAGATGTTGCCCTTGCGAAGCTGAGGGGGAAGTTCAGGAGCATCAAACACTAAACACACATCTACACGTTCTGAGACATGCCAGTGATTCCTCGGGCTAACAGTTCATTTCACCACACGTGGAAACTCTGAACAGCATCGATTAAAAAAAAAAAAAAAGTGATATTACAATCGTTGAGTATACAACAATAACAGACAGTGATATTAAAGCGATAAATCGCCATTACTGATGACATCTAACGCCACCACTTTCACGAATCCTCCACGGATCCATGCACGATCTAGTCAAATAAGACCAAAATTAAATTCGGACACCAAAACCACCTGAAGCATTTGTTAGCAGGGATATCCAACCAATAAATGTCTTGCGGATGAACTATAAAGAAAAGCTACAGTCAGACTGTTGAGCTTGATAAATTTGAATCAACATGATTATTCAGTTGGCCGTTCTTAAGAAGAGGTGATCATCAAAGTAGCGAATCGAGGTTGTTTGTTAGAGAAAGGGGACTTAGTAGCCTTACCTTGTGTGACGAGACCAGAAGTGTGGCAAACTGACGATTAGCAGACTTGTGTATGATAGTAACCCACGGAACGGACAACCTTAGTCAAAGTTGGACTGTCAATGCGGCACGTCGAACAGGATGTAGATGGATGAGAAGAAAACTGCCTCGTTCTCTGTTGAGAGCAAATTTGTAGCTGGAGCTGGACCCATCATTAGCTGCGCACGGTTCAGGAAAATAGGTAAGCGAGATTTTATGCCGAGTCTATTGCATGAGTCAATACGACAAAGACATAACTTGTCATCCTAAGCTGTGTAATTGCATACGAGTCTGAGCTTTTTTTACCCAGTGCGCAAGGGGTTGCCTCTTGCGACGGGCTGCCGAGATCCACTGTCAATAATCGAATGCATGGAATATGTAAGGTCAGGCAGCTGCTGTGTGTGCCCTGCCCCGCCGCCTGTGTGATTGTCAGGTACTAACGCCTGTCAATGAGAATGTACCTCCAGGTCATGCCAGCTCTTTCCACCGTATTCTGGCTGCAAGCTGTTGCACAGCGATACATGACACCTATCAGTGACTCCCCGTACCCATAGCAGCCTTGACCCCTCTCAAGGTTCCTTCCCTTCACCCACTACCACCTCCATTTACTTCCATCGGAGACTCACCCCTCTTCCTCTCAGCCTGACGAAAGCTCCTCCCACCAAAAGCCCACCAAAAGTGTTGCCCTCGTAAACACTTCGTTTGCCCATCGACTCGATCCTCAACTTACTTTAAACCAGCAATCTTCCCCCAAAATCAGGCAAAATGGCTGGCAGTAAGACCCCCTCTGTACCTTTGTTTTTCTTTTTCTTTCTTCTTTTCGCTCTTCAGTTATGGGCTTTGTGTACAAGAAATGATGCTTATCGATGCGATGCGCTACGCTGTGCTTCCTCAAATCCTCTCGTTTTCTTGCTTCTGATTGATGCTCTCTTTGTCTTGCAGCGATCACTAACCGCAGTAATTTGCAGATTTCGAAGACGTCGCAAGTAGGTGTCTTCCTCACGACCTCGCCACAGCTCCCCACTTCCCATGATTATCGACATTCAATACTGAGCCCAAAAAGCTGATTACGTCCACACGAACAGAGCAGTTCATTGAGTTCTACTACAACCAGTTCGATACGGACCGGAAAGGACTCGGAAGCCTTTATGTGAGCTGTAATGTCTTTGTTATCTAGCCTGTCAAAGCTGACTACGATGAATAGCGCGACCAATCCATGCTGACCTTTGAGTCGGCCTCGGTTATGGGCGTCAACTCCATTGTTGAGAAGCTTTCGGTGCGTCCGGTGTTACTGACACGCAGTCTTGCGCGCTATGGCCTTCCTTAATTTGATAACTAACTGTTCTCGCCACAGTCTCTCCCTTTTGAGAAAGTCAAGCACCAGGTCTCGACTCTTGACGCTCAGCCCACCCTCGAGGGCGGTGGCATCATCATTCTCGTCACTGGACAGCTCCTGGTAGGCTATAATATACTTTCTCTGCGTTTGATTCTTCCATTTGCAAGACAAGACGCAGCTAATATGTGAGCCCACAGGTCGACGAGGAACAGCGCCCGATGAACTACACGCAGGCGTTCCAGCTCCTTCGCGATCCCTCCGGTAACTACTTTGTCTTTAACGACATCTTCAAGTTGGTATATGGTTAAGTCCATGATTTGGGATGAGGACGCGCGCACCGTTCGCAAGCGGGATCCGCGAAGTGCGGAATGTTGGTGGTTAAAGAGATGACGACGTGATGAGAGTTTCGGTCCCAGTCACGAGGGTCTGGGCGAAGGTGGAATAGGGCTCCTACCCGGTTTCTTCTCCCACCCTTCTCTTGTTTGCTTTCCACTATTATCCGTGGGGTTCAGGCGAACATGTCGACAGATTCGTTATTGAATTTGTTGAAAAATTTAAGACGCATCTTCACAGCCACATGGCTCCTTTCTCAGAAAAACAAACCGAACCAGAGAAAAAATTACATTGTGCCTATACCAGACGCCACTGACGCCTGCATAACATTTGTTAACTACAAAATCATCCTTTCTCCAGGCATCTTGCTTAGTGGACTTCCATGGAAGCATCCCCTCCGTCGCGGAAAACCAATTGTGCATGCGCCCCGCGGACGATCTCCTCTTCACCACCCGTAGACACGATGCCTCGAGCCCCGCCCGCTTTTGGTGTTCCAAATCCCAGGTCTCTGATGCGACCGCTAGCAATATCGAATAGGCAGCCATGCACTTGAAGACCGCGTTCAATGACGGCGTCCCGAATGGCCATGTTAGCCATAAGGACCTTCACCCCAGCCTCGACGTTCAATTCGGCAATACGAACAGCACGTGTATCCTCGTTTTTAATGGCAGCAAGTTCCTCGGCATAATCAGCCCTAACGGCTTTGAGGGGTGTCAACCATGTATCAAGGACACCCCCAACACGTGAGTCACCAAGCGCAGCCTTAGCGCCGCCGCAGGCAGAATGGCCACAAAGAACGACATGCTTGACTTTGAGGTGGACGACGGCGTACTCTATGACAGCTGAGGTGTTGATATCTGTTGGCGCGACAATATTGGCTATGTTACGATGGACGAAGACGTCACCAGGTTGCAGGCCGAGAATCGTGGTCTCTGGTACTCTCGAGTCAGAGCATCCTAACCATACTATTACAATATCGCCATATGTTAGCTGAGAAAATAAGCTTCCTTGATGTGACATCAAACAACTCGGTCGTTGGGGACGGGGCGGCGTGAGGTGATGAACATCGTGAGGCGATTAAAAGGGGCAAGGGAAGCATACAGATAGAGGGCGATTGGCCAGATGCCAAGTTTTTGAAAAAGGCTGGATTCTGATGTGACTTGTATCCTGCCCAAGCCTGGTTAGAGCTGAGGGCGTACAGGAACTTGTTTTCTGCGTCAGGCGAACAAATTGAGTCAGCTCTCATGTATCAAACGCGATTGACTGCGGTCCATTGCCCTTTTGTTTTTGTTTTATAGACATATGAACAGGTACTCACGGTCATGAAAAGCCATAGCAGTCAAGTCCGCGTTTGTCTTTGGGACAAACGGATGCGTGTAAATTCGCAGCCCGATGGATAAATATCCGAACCAAGCCAGATAGTTTCAGTAGGAGGGCTAAAGGGCGACGGGGCGAAAATGGTCGTTAAGAAGTAACGATATCGAAAATAGAGGAGCTGAGGAGGTCGAGCGGGTTCGTTCTTGTGCCTGAACGGCGTGATTTGCGACCTAGCCGAGGCCTGCGGAAGTAGTAACACTGTTCAAATAGGAGGTAATTCTAATATAATCTCTTTGTCAGATATATTCTTCCAGAGCTAGGTAGGGGGAAACACCCGGGCCGGTTGCCAGAGCACCTTTCCGGTTTCTTGTTCTTCGGTTGGACCGGTCCAAAACCAAGCTTCCGCTGAATAGGGGCGCTGTGGCAGGAGGCTGCCGGTCGGAATGGACGGCAAGTACATGAGCATGGGGATGGGTTGGACAGGTGGTTCTCACAGCTGACAATCGCCACACCGTAGACAGCAGGTGGGTTGCTTAAACTTCAAGGTCTTACAATGATGCTCGCGTGGTGGCGGACGCCGGGTGCCGTGGTGTGACAAGATTTTTCTTGCAGAACTGTTGTGCCACACAGCTGTAAGATGGGAGGTTTGCTTGACTGGGCAAGTAACGATAATTAGTGTCCGTCGCAAGGTTTCAGGCATTCGGCGGAGGAATCAAGGGAGGGGGGAATTCCCATGGTTGTTGATTGGGTGGGGGAAAGGAGCATATGTGAGTGGCAGCGTAGGGAAAAAAGGGTAATGGCATAGGGTATTCATCCCATTCATGTATGATGTGTGTGTATAGGTGATCATCTAAAGGGTAGCCATTCGTGCTAAGGACATACATAAACTTGCGTTAGGATGGGCAGAGGCATGCAGCCAGCGTGGGATGTTCGGGGCCCCGGCTTCGTTGACGAACCAATAAGACAGTACCGGGACGCGAAAGTGACTCCTAGAGTAAAACGGAAGGCAGGGAAGAATGCCGCCGTAAGAGAGCGCCTGAATCCAGCAAAGGTGAGTTCCTGCAGAAGGGGGCGAGACAATGTACGAAAAGGGTGGTGGTGGCCGATGGTATATGAGCTTAGATGGAAGGCATGGCGGTAATATAAGTAGAGAATGCTAACTGATTCACAGGTATATCGCTGGCCACGGCGGATTACAAAAATATCTCTACATTCTGCGACAGTCCCAGTCAATGACACAGGTCTGCGCTTGTGAACCAGACTTGCGCGTCTCTGGGGGAAAAGCTCCCCGCACCGGGGGAAATTCAGACAGAGCCAAGACTCAACGAGTCGCCCGAGACCGTGCCATCCCAGGGCATAGAAATAGGTACCTGTGAAAATATACATATGGTCTGGTGCAGTTGGTCTGGCGTGCGGAGAATAATCGCATACACAAACGATGTATTGTCGTTCCTTTGGGTCCATCCTTGCGCCGTTTGCCCATGCAAGTTCGACTCAGCCCAAGCATAATAATCTACAAGGCAGTTTCCAGGGCCCCATGCTAATCATACTTGAAGCGACAAGGACTACACGGCAACCACTGGACCTCCCTGGACATCTGTCACTCATGTGGTCGGCGGGCTGTCTGACACGCAGAGCGGATGTCTGGCTCCTTGAGTGTGATAGGTTCATCTCGCGCACGGACGCCATATCTTTGTGATATCCACTCCTAGAACATGAAGCAGGATATGATTGATAATAGTAGCGAGGATGAACCAGATCCAGGGCTTTCCCCGATCATGAAACAAGTAGTCTCGAACTGTTGATCATACATAGCTTCATCTGGCTTCGAAGTACTCACTAAATATGATGGATGGGATATGCTGAATCCACTGCGATCTGTTGTGCCTCCCCAGCTTGACCTGTCTTCCTGCTCACCCGACGGTCGTACGCCTGAATTGTTCTGTGCGTACATTTTCTCCCTACTTCTTAAGTGGCACTTCCGATTAGGAGGAGTTGCTTCTACCGTTTGATCTGACACCAAGTACAAATAGATATAGATCACCAGACCAATTAAATAATTCCCAAGAGGGGGAAATACTCAACAGAGGAAAGGAAGCATGAGCACAGAACTTGGGAAATGACCTGGCTCACCACTTTGCCCAGCAGACCTGTTAGAGGCACCGAATTTTGGTACATCTGGGCACACACTTGCGACAACCACCCGAAGTGAAAATCGGACACAGGCGACGTGAAGATATAAAGCAAAGGGAGACGATGAAATGCTTAGAAAAGCCTGAGATTAAAGGTTGGTTTGCGCAGCGTTCTGCGGCGAGCTCCATGCTTTCATTCGTCCCCCATCTGGACCGTATTTGGCCAGTTGCGGAACGCCGCGACGGATTAACGCGTGTGATCAAGAGATGTTTAAGAATAACAAAGGCTAGAGGAAACGCTTTAAACGCCTGACAAGCAAGAGTATGGTTGTTGCATTGGCTTGGCACGGCAGTTGCATTCATGTAACGCAGCTTAGCAGTAACTAAAACAACCTGATTTCAGACAGTGATCTCGCACATATGGACACAATCCTCCCTGGTGAATCACTTTCAGTTTCTATTTACGAGGGCCTATGCTGTGAACTACCCCTGTCATTGACCAACCCCGCCATTCAGCCTGACAGCTGAACTTCTACAACTCCTGAGCAGGTTAGGATGTTACCAAAGAACCAAGCCTCAGCATAATAGCGGTAACGTATGTATTTAACCTCCAAAACAGTGAGAACAAAGAGCGTTATATGGCTTTAGCAGATGCTTGAATGCCTGGGTTGGCTGACGTTGAGTATGCCTCACTATACACCTCTGCGGGGGTTTTAAATATTAGTTTAGTACATGCCCATTATTTCTTCCTTTTCAAGTAACAGGTTTCCAGTACTTAGATCTCGGGACTAGACGTAGCCAGTTGCCGAGTACCCGCTACAATCCCTATGAGTACTGATGCCGATACAGCTATCAGTTCCTGGGGGATTCCTAGTGGTTTGCAGAGAGAATATTTCTATCACTTGGATAACAGCTGGTTTGCGTTTGATTTATATTCACCTATCTTTATGGTCCTCTTTTTTTTGACGTCAGTTGTGATATCGCCTTAAACGAAGAGAATTCAAAGTTGTCAGTCCATAAAGAGAAACAGCCGGTGAGTAGTTTCGTTGTGGGTGAAAAATCGGGTTTGTATACGAACTAACAATTAAAACCCCGGCGGAGGTGTAGCTGAGGTGACAAACGCCAAGACCGTGGTAACCGGGTAATGCATCTTCAAGTTTGACGGAAAGGTTACTATCCTGCTCTAACCAAAAGCATGGAAAGAGTCTGACATGGGCATGTAAGCGAAATCTGGGCGGCGAACGCAACTGCGACGTGGAGACCAAAGCTGAACTGAAAACCCAAGATAGTGATCCCGACGCCATGCCAATTTTTTATAAATCCGATAACCTCCAGTGACCTAGTCTCCTAATGCACTAAAAGCAAGCCGGGCAGTGTACTATTTAGACCTTAATGGCGGTCTCAAGAGCCTTCTTCTTCTTCTCGGTGCGCTTCTGGGCCTTGGCACCCATGATACCACCACCCCACTGTTTTCTCGCCTGCTCGGTCTTCTCCAGGTATCCATCCTTGATGGCAGAAATGAGCTTAGAGTGCTCAGTCTTGTCCTCGGAGCGAACCTCGGTAAGTGCCAACACGGCAGCAGTCTGAGGGAAAAACCACGGGTCAGCATACCGAAAACCATGCAAGATTCAACCAGCTCGAGGGATGTATTCATGCTTACCTTCTTGTGAACAACAGTACCAAGACGAGCCTTGCCCTTGATGATAGCAAAGGGGACACCCATCTTGCGGCAGAGGGCGGGCAGGAAGATGACCAGCTCAATAGGGTCAACATCGTTGGGGATCAGAACAAGGGACGCCTTCTTGTTCTCAATCAGACCAACAACGTGGTTCAGACCGTACTTCACAGTGTAAGGCTTCTTGCTAACATCCTCCTTCTTCTTGCCCTCCTTGATGGCAGTGGCTTCCTTGACGAGGCGCTCCTTCTTTTCGGCCTTGGTCTCGGGTCGGTACTTGTTAAGAAGCTTGAAAGCCTGGGCAGCGGTGTTGCGGTCGAGAACGTGCTGGAACTGGGCGATGGCGGGAGGGACCTTGAGGCGCATGCTCAAGATCTTCTTCTGGCGCTGGAGGCGAACATACTCGGGCCACTTCACCATGCGGGAAAGGTTGCGGCGGGGCTGGATGTCCTGGCCGATGCCAAAGTTGCGAGGCTTGCGCTCGAGAAGGGGGTTCTAGGTAGCATGTCAGCCTCAATTGACCTAAGCAGCGTTGACGTTCGTAATGGAGGGTACTGACCTTAGGGGCCTTCTTGGAGCCAGCCTTTCCCTGAGGGAAAGGGGCGGGAGCCACCTTCTTACCGGACTTGGGAGGCTGTCATTGAGAAAGAAAGACATCAGCGAGTTGTTCCTATCAACTTGTGTCTTCCTTGAACTCTAAAGAGGAGAACGGCAAAACAGTTCAACACTTCTCAGTGTTTCAATGCTTTGCCCTCTCCTCCAGCCAAATCAACATCAACGCCACGTCCTACATGTATACATGACAGGAATAGAAAGGCGGATGGAATTCCATAGCACGTAGAAACGTAGCTGGATGTTCTGGCCTCGAGGGCAGACAAAGTCGTAACTGCTCAGTGTGAACTCACCATTTTGTTGGTTGTCGTGATGCTGCCTTGGGCGGATGGTTAAGAGACGTCGCACTTTTTTCGAAGGCGCAAGTTGGCTGAACGAGGAAAATGTAAATGGACTGTGGGTGGGCAGAGGGAAAAAATTAGGGCTTCCCAGTGAAGTGGGGCCAGGTGCTGGCCTGTCAGAGAGACTGGTATTGTCACGTGATCGCATACACAATTGTGGGTTTAGCAACGAACTGTCCCGATTGGTTCTGTCTGAACCAGATATCGGTACATCAATCTGTTTTCCTTACTGTAACAAAGTCAGATATTAATTTTTGAAAGGTCACTTGTTTACCTCGCTCAGCGACAAGGAGCACCTTATTTTTGCTTTATTGCCTTTATATTGTATCAGTTGTCTTATCTAAGCTGGCCCTCTGCGGTGATCTGTATCAGGTTTCTATTCAACATTTACAGCTTCCATTACTGAAGACACTGTTTCGCCTCTTTCACAAAGTCATTGCCCGTTCAGTTTCGTATCTTAATCTTGTCAGGAGGAATTTTTCATCGCAGGATAACACTCTCAGTGATGTGGGGTATATGTGCATAAGTGAACAATTACGGAGCACTTTTTAGTGCTGAAATTTTGGCCCGCCCCCCCCCCCCCCCCCCCTTCCTTTTGTCTTCACCCAGTGCAGGGCTCTTAAAGTGCGGGGCATTCCAGTTGCGCCAGACACAGCCTTCTCAAACACACATCGGAGTCTTTCACCAAGAAAGCGGCAAGTTTCTGTAGTACTCTTCTTTGTGTTTATTCCACTATAATCACTTCATGTAGGCGGTAGCATTTCTGCTGGTCTTCGCCCCGGTTTCCAATTTTGTTCTGCTTCCCATCAGCGTCGTTCTTTTGCCACCTCGGACATGGCGCCTGTCCTTTGCGCAATTTGCAAGACGCAGCGCGCTCTGGTGAAGCGGCCAAAAAACCACCAGAAACTTTGCAAAGCTTGCTTCATATCTGTTTTTGAAGAAGAAGTCCACCATACCATAGTCTCTTCAGCCATTTTCGCTCGTGGTGAAAAAGTTGCGATTGGCGCTTCTGGTGGGAAAGATTCGACCGTGTTGGCAAGCGTCCTGAAAGCACTGAACGAACGATATCATTACGGCTTAGATCTCGTACTTCTTAGTATCGATGAAGGGATAAAGGGCTACAGGGATGATTCGCTGGAGACCGTCAAAAGGAATGCGCTGCAGTACGATATGCCTCTGACTGTGGTAGGATACGACGAATTGTACGGCTGGACAATGGACCAGGTTGTCGAAACTATCGGCAAGAAGGGTAACTGCACATACTGTGGAGTCTTTCGCCGGCAGGCATTGGATCGTGGCGCCAGAATGTTGGGTATCAAGCACCTTGTCACTGGCCATAATGCTGACGATGTTGCCGAAACCATTCTCATGAACCTACTGAGAGGCGACTTGCCCCGCCTCGGTAGAAGTACCAGCATTGTCACTGGCGACGACTCTAGTGATGTGAAACGCAGCAAGCCTCTGAAGTATTCGTACGAGAAGGAAATTGTATTGTACGCTCATCACAAGAAACTCGACTACTTCAGCACCGAATGCATATACAGTCCTGAAGCGTTTCGAGGTACAGCACGCGCTCTTATCAAAAACCTCGAACGCGTACGACCTAGCGCCATTCTCGACATAGTCCGGAGCGGCGAGGATATGGGTCGATTAGTTTCAGGGGCAACAGCCAACTCTTCTACGTGTAAAGGAGCTGCTGCCCACCTCCTTGAAGAAGGTTCCTCGGGCGGTTGCGGTTCCCACAATGGCAGGGGCTCGAAGGGAGATATCGCTCAGCTGGACGCAGAATTGAGCCGGATTGCTGTTGATGCAGACCTGGCGACAGATTTCACGGGCTCAAGACCTGCAACTACTATGAGCAACGACAATAGCCATTCTGGGCCAGTAAAGCCTGCTCCGAGTCGCGTACCACTTGGTACTCCACTTCAGAGGCTAGGTAAATGTGAAAGGTGCGGATATATGTCAAGCCAGGCCATCTGCCAGGCTTGTTTGTTAGTTGATGGATTAAACAAAAACAAGCCGGAAATTCGGATATAAAATATAGATTTTTTTTTACGCCATGGCATCTCGCAGCACCTCTTTGATCCCAATTCCATGGTCTTCTACGCTTATCATCGGCGCTATGGACTCGTCGTATGACCCATTGGACGAACGGCTTGTTGTGACTTGAGTATGAAGTTTCATTGTATGATTGAAGTACGCGAGGCAAGGTGAGATGACCCATGGTTCCAGTAGAATACACATTTTCGTCACAACCTGTTCGTTAAGAGATACGTTTTTCTAACTATTTCCTGGTTAGCTGCAGTGACATCTAGATTTTTTTTGTTTAGACTTACTCTCCAAGGGTTGTTCAGCTCGAAACCTGGCGGAGCTTCCGCATTGTCAATTTGTCCTCGAAGATCGCCCGTAAGTCGTCGATCGCGGTCCATCACTAGAAGGCAATTGTGTTAGTTTGAAATTCGTTGGGCGACCCATGGACCATATCATAAGCGGCATACTTTGCTACAACGATGGCCATATTAGCATTCGTAGCCACTAAAATATCTGAATAGAAGATACTTACTCTATCCCACTGATCCAAACCCCAGCGAGGCTTCTTTCCACCGTTTTGGATGCTTTTGATGACATGCAAACCGGTACCAGTGATGCCGAACATCTAAGTGCTTTCTTAGCAACATGAAAATGACATATAACCAATTGCGGCTAGTATGAAGAGATAGCTCTTACGGCAACCATGATTCCGTAAGGAATCAGCGTCTCGAAAGGAACAGGCATTGTCGCGGGGAGGTATTCGGTCGGGGATGATTAATGTATGTGAGTCCGCGGTAAAGAAATAACAGTAGAAGAGATAAGATGGCCGCAAGCTGTTGCCTTGGCTTTTGGTCGAGTTCAATCGCGATATTGATGGTACAGAGGCCGGACTTCCTAACTTCGTCACGTCGAATTACTGAGGAGAGGCACTCCCATCCAAAATGGAGGTCCACTGGTCCGGTTGGGACACGGCTTCATCACGTGACTTCACTATCGGCATAACCAGTTTTGTGATTAATTTGATTGGCCCTTTCGATTAGCCATTGAGAGCACCGGAGCGTTGGTGTCGCGACTAGCAGGCGGAACACAGTGTTTGTTAAATTGCAGGGGCCACCAGACGGTCTTGCCAGCCCAACAGCCGCTAGAGAAGTTCATAAACATCTTCGAAAACTGGTGCCAATGCATTATAGACACTGTACGTGTCAGTCCAATGTCAGGCACATCCCTTCAGTGAAGTAGACCCTGGGTTTGTTGATCTGAGAATCGACAGCGTATCATCTCTTTGCTTTGCGCCAACCGAACTTGCCTCTGGGAGGTGCATCTAGTTGTGCAATCTCGACAAGCTCTTTAACGCGATACGTTGTGATACCCTTCTTCTGATACATGAAGCGCAACTCAACAGACTCTAACTCGGTATCTCGTACTCGTGTCGTGCACCGTTGTCCTCAACAGGCAGAGAGAACAATTATCCATAGTACGCCGTACCTTCGCAACACGCCCACGCGCCAACCCTATCTCTTTTCTCCATTTTGTGTCAGCGATGGGCCGCGAATATCCAATCTTGGAGCTGTCAGGACGCATTACTCAGCAATAGTGCGAACAGAAGCACATCAAATCGTTGCATACTTCAGTAGAACTATAGGAAATACCTCAGAATGGCTAGCACTCAGCTCACCGAGGAACAACTCCAGCAGAGTGTGGTATTGTCGGACGAGGACGCCGAGTACGAAGACGCCCCCGCGGCTCCTACCGAAAAAGCCTCCAGAAGCACCGAAAGCCCAACGAATTCCAACACCCATGAGGATGCCCTCTCAGACGCAATAGACGTTGTGGATGAGGAGAGGGACGCAAGCATAGTTGGGGAAGACTTGGAAATGAGTGTAAATTCGGACGAAGACAGCGACCTCTCCGAGGAGGAGTCTCTTGATGACGACACTGACCATAACTTTGACGAGGAGGACATAGACCCTCACTTGAAACAAGATAACGGGGAGGAGGGCTCAGCAGTCGCGCATAGTCCGGGTAGCAGCCTCTTGGATGACCTTGAAGAAGACGAGGCAGAAGGCGTTGGCGCTGTCAAGATCCGACCGGGAGAAACCGACGATGAGGCCGAGCTAGAGAGCGAGCATTCCGACTCGCAAAGCGATTCTGGTAACGAATCCGACGGAGCTGCAGCATGGGAGGAGGTTGCCGAGGAGGATGAAGATGATGAAGACGGATCAGAGAATGCTCCAACTACCAAGTGCGTGTTCTGCAAACAAGACGAAGAACACGACCCAGGCGAGGAATTCGAGGAATACTTGACTTGTGTGGGATGCGGCGACAACTGTAAGAATATCCGTGTGCATTCAGTGCAGAATCTAAAGCTGACTAGTACATAGCACACCAACATTGCGCCCGGGAAGCTGGAGCCCTCAGAAGTCCTTACAGTAGGTTGTTCCTCATGGTTTAGTGTAAGCTCACTGACACCTTCGTCTAGGTCCTCCCCACTGGAAGTGTCTTGAATGCACCGCAGCAGAAAATGAAGCGGTCATCGAACCTGCGGATGAAATACCTTACCGGCCCAATCCTGTGCCCGAAGTTGAACTAGAAGTGTCTCCCTCTTCTCACAGGCCGACGACATCTGAAGTAGCGCGGGAAATGCTACCTGCGCAAATCGCCCCCACCGATCCTGATTCCCTCTCAGTCTTCAACCAACCTGTCTTGGATGGTGATCGGGTCCTTCGGAAGCGCAAAACATCCTCCGTCGAGGCGGATGACATTGTTATGTCGCTTCGAAAACGCCGGCGAAATACCTCTAAAGATCGTGAATCAAGCCAGGGTGCAGGTGCTTCTCAAGACGCTCCAAGCGAGGCAGTAGAGAGAGAATCCCGCCGCAAACTACGTTTGAATCCTACCAGAAAAGCACAAGCAGTGACCATCATTCGCCGCCATCGTTCAACAATCGTTAAGATGCGCGTACAGCCATCTGTGCTCAGTCGCCTTCTCTCCAAAAAGTCTGCATCAAATCGAAAAAGGAGGGAGTCGGGGACGTACTCCCGTAGGGGTATCACAGCTGCTGGATCGACATCGTTTGCTTCGTCAGATTATTCGCATCCATTCTATTCCTTCCTCGACCGGGAAACAGATGACATTAAGACCAAACCATACGGTGGGATCCTCAGCGAGGCCGAAGCGGATACATCGAGGACACTGCCCACCAATGATGACCGCCGACGTTTTGACGAGGCAAAGCAGAAGGCTGAGGAGGTTTGGAGGGCACGCCTTCAAAGTGTCCAGATCAGTCTAGGGACACCCGCTAAGAAATCAAAGAAAAGCTCGGGGCCAGCGAGTCAAATTGAGTGCATCGACTTTGGCGGTTGGGAAATCGACACTTGGTATGCCGCTCCTTATCCTGAAGAGTACAGTCGCAATCGAACTCTTTACATTTGTGAGTTTTGCCTCAAGTACATGAATTCGGATTATGTTGCTTGGCGCCACAAACTCAAGTGCCCGGCCAAACATCCACCTGGCGATGAGATCTACCGGCATGGATCCATCTCTGTTTTTGAGGTTGACGGTCGAAAAAACCCGGTGTACTGCCAGAATCTCTGCCTATTGGCAAAACTTTTTTTGGGATCCAAAACACTCTATTATGATGTCGAGCCGTTTTTATTCTACGTCTTGTGCGAATATGATGCGCTCGGTTATCACTTTGTTGGATACTTCTCAAAAGAGAAGAGAGCAAGCAGCCAGAACAACGTGTCTTGCATCCTCACGCTGCCCATACATCAGCGTAAAGGCTATGGCAACCTGCTAATAGACTTCTCATATCTACTTACTCGCGTTGAGCGCAAGACAGGATCACCCGAGAAGCCACTATCGGATATGGGTCTAGTCTCATATCGTAACTATTGGAGGTTGGTATTGTGTCGCTATTTTCTAGACCACGTCTCTGGTGAAAAAGTGGCGGCTGCCGGTCTAAGCATACGGCGGATCTCCGATGAAACGGGATTGACCCCCGACGATGTCATATCTGCCCTTGAAGGTCTCCGATGTCTTGTCCGCGATCCACACTCGGAGTTGTATGCTTTTCGCGTCGACCTGGCTTATTGCAGTGAATACATTTCTAAGTGGGAGCGCAAAAATTATGTCAAGTTACAGCCCGATGCGTTAACCTGGACACCGTATGTTATGGGACGGGGCAACGCCACAAACTTCGAATTGGGGCCTGCCATCAGCGCGATTGCACCGCGTGAGGAAGACGAGATGCAAAAGCCTGTCGAGGAATCACTATCGGTGGTCTCTCATTATGAGCTGGCCTCAAACGGGTGTTCTGTTGATCAAACAGTGGAAAAGCCTATCACTATGGAACCTGCGCCGTCTGATGTCGTTGGTGTCGCTTGCGAAGATCTAAACGAAAATGCCCACCCGCAGCTGGACGTCTATGAATCAACAGAATCGCAAGAGGACGGCTTCGCAAACGAAGACAACGAGCAAGATGTGGCAATTGAAGATACATCACATGAAACTTTGGCGATCCAGGCTATTTCCAGACAGCTGGTAGGAGATGATTGGACCGCCTTGTACAGAGATGTTCCTCCGTCGAGATTCGAAGTCTACCCGCCACCTGGAGGCCGCCGTTCGGACCGACCGCGATCAAGTGCTTCTCGGCCGGCTGTGCCTCGAAGCACGAGCAACAGCTCACGACCACGACGCTCAGTTGGCGGCAGTGGCAGCACCCGAAGATCAACAACAAGCCGACCCAAGAGCTCTTCGTCGTCGTCTCGAAGGAAGACTGGGGGAACGGGGCGTGGACCAGGTCGATGGCCTAAGGGCACCAAAAAAAGCGATTATGGCAACGCCGACAGTGGGCCCGGTCTCCCGCCGGCCTGGATTAAGGAGAGGGCACGTCTTGCAGCACTTACAACAGGCAAGGGCAGTGAAGGGGAAGGATCCATATTAGAAAGTAAGGAGACCATTGATGTGGCTCGTGTGCAGTTCGATGATGGTGCACGGATGTTAAGGGTTACTGGCGGAGAAGAAACCACGGGGATTGACACCGATCACAAAGGTGGTGAGGGCTATCCAGAGGATGAGTGAACGCTACCGGTGATACCCTAATATTCTGGTCTCTGGCGTGTTTGAGCGGGATGTAACATGTAATGTAACTAATAATGCAAAGGCGATGGCCTTGATTGAGAATGACAGCCCTGTGAATAATTGTCTGTTGTCAGACCTGGGATGTTTTAAACTCAGGCTCAGATGCGCATAACCAGATTGACTGCATTGATGTTTTCGATATCCAAGAGAAGAATCAACTGGGGATACCAGGACTTAGGTGCTGACAAGCTTTTACTTTTTACTGGGTCTTTCTGAAGTACTACACCGACATGAATTTAGCGGCAAATGTGTTCATGTCAGTTTGCCTGGGATGCACCGTTGATGCAGAGCGTAAAGATTGGTGATTAAACTGGCACATATCGCCCAGGAGTTCGTACTGTTCCACACTTCATAACGGGCAAGACTTCAGGTAGGAAAAGTACTTACTATGTCTGTACCTTTTGGATTTTACGTGTCTGTACATGTGTGGGTGTGTCGTAATTTTCTCATTTCGGGAGAAATGGGCAGAGTAACGGAATGGTGGAGCAGGGTCTTGGAGGGTAATCCGTTTTCAGGGAAGTGCCCGCCGGCCTCAATCACTGGCAATGAACCTAGACACAGACCAATATATGTACGGATACCTTTACTTCCTTGTGAAGGCACCTTGCATGGCCTGAACGGTAGTGACCTCATTGCTCGTCCACTTGAATTGTCAGCTTACAGCTCACCAGTCACTGTCCTAAGCACTGTCTAACCTTTTCCTTGGAAAATTACACTTTCATCCCAAACCATTGGGACCGCAATGCTCAGCCTCAACTGGTTCCTAGTGCATGCACTTTTTCACCAAGACCTCTCTACCATGAGCTCTGCAGTGGGCACGGTATCTTCTGCTTGACTAATTCTCGGTCACTTGACCTAGCTGGGTCAACCCACAACATCGTACGGATCCCTTACCTTACCTAAGGCATTCCTAGATTTACACCCACAGTCCAAGGTGTAGCATGCAATAGGCTCCCGAGCCTCCGCCTCCGCCCGCCAAGTCGCATTACGCACCTTTCGCCGCACCTTGCGGAGGACAGGCGTGACACTGCCCACACCCGCCAACCAACCCTCAACTTGTTCGACACTGGAACTCAGCGACCCAGTCCATTCACTTACCTAACTTTGACTTCTCCAAACCCCATCATCCCCAGGTCTGACGTCCTCAATCGGCGCTCGTACCAGCACCAGCAGAAGCTGTCATTGCAGGCGACCCATCTCTGGCATCATCCGCACCTGCTTTGTACCGCCGTGCTTCCAAAGTAAGTTAGGTACCTCGCCTCGCTGCGTCCTGCGGCATCGAGGCTGCTCGTTGTCGCTACCAATGTTGCCTCTCTTATCGCCCCTCCATTGCCCTGCGAAAAGCGTTGTCCATTCGACTTCTTGAATGCCGGTAATTAATTCTTTGCTTCTCTAGGCTCTTCACCTTATCTCGCACCAAGCTCGGCTTGCGACACCCAACGCTCGGCCGTCATTTCGATTACTCGTGGGACCGAAACAGCCAACCACCAGCAGCACCACCAACACCAACAACACACCATTCACCTCTCTGCCCCTCCAGACACCTTTCGTGTCCCGTATTCATCGTATCATTTGCCGACCGCATCGATTCAATCGCTCCCAACTATCAGACACTTTCGATAACCCTTCCGCCAACTCACTTATTGTGTCAGCTCTTGCCTGCGTTGGGCCCAAGCGCTCCGTCGCCCAATTGCGCCTGGCTAACCTGCGCTGTTCTTCTCGCCGAACCTGTCGACTCAAGGCTCCTACACCTAGTCGCCTTGATTTCACTTCGCTATTCCCAGTCGGCGGTTTACTTCGAATAATACATTGCCCTCTGTAACGAAATCACCTGCGATCCCGTTGTTCCCGCGCCACACCTATCTGTCATACCAGAGCTTGCCTTACCACTACGATCATCCACCGCCAACATGTCAAAAGTTATCCGTAGCGTCAAGAACGTCACCAAAGGTTACTCGAGTGTCCAGGTCAAGGTTCGAGAAGGTCCGTTTTCCCCCTCCATGCTTCCCCTTTCAGTTGCGCTTCTTTATTTGCTAACTGGCGCTTATGTAGCCACCAGTAATGATCCATGGGGTCCGACCGGAACCCAGATGAGCGAAATCGCTCAATTGACCTACAACACGTAGGTTCCTCCTGTGTACCACTCCAGTTGAAATGCTAATGGTAACGCAGCTCCACTGAATTCTATGAAATAATGGACATGCTGGACAAGCGCCTTAATGATAAAGGCAAGAATTGGAGGCATGTTTTGAAGGCGCTAAAAGTGCTTGACTACTGCTTGCATGAAGGATCTGAGCTGGTCGTGACATGGGCACGACAGAGTATCTATATCATCAAAACATTACGCGAGTTCCAGTATATCGATGAGGACGGCAGAGACGTTGGTCAGAATGGTAGAGTTACCCACCGGCGATACACTTGGTACTTGTCTAACTAGAGAGCACAGTCCGCGTTGCCGCCAAAGAACTTACTGCACTCATCTTGGATGAAGAGAGACTTCGGGCTGAGAGAAGCGATCGCAAGTCGTGGAAGTCTCGTGTCACAGGCCTTGAAGAGTACGCACCCCAGCAAGTGGGACCTGCACAACCGCGCCCCCGCCGGCGCCCGAGCAATGATGACGACGCTGAATACAGGCTCGCCATCGAAGCTAGCAAGCACCAGGAAGAGGAGGATCGCAGAAAGCGGGCAAGCCGTGCAGTCAACGAGGCCGAAGACGATGACTTGGCTAAGGCCATCAAACTCAGCAAGGAAGAGGAAGAGCGGCGTCGACGAGAAATGGAGGACACCAACGCCTCCCTACTTTTCGACGATTCCCCCGTGCAAACGACGCAACCACAGTATACTGGTTTCAATCAAGGCTATCAACAGGGTAGTGCGGTTGATTTCTTCGCCAACCCTATCGACCAGAATCAGCTCCAGCCCCAACCGACCGGCTTCATGCCTAACGCCTACACTGGCTATCAGCAACAACAAGCAACTGGCTTTCCCAATGGCTATGGTACTGGTTTTGGAATGCAGCAAAACATGGCTATGGACCCTTACGGACAACAGCAAGGCATGCAGGGCTTTCAGCCTCAACCAACGGGCTTCAATCCCTACGCTCAATCGCAAATTCAAAGCCCTGCCGCTCAGGAACCCGTTGCGCAGCCAGGGAGCAACAATCCATGGTCGACAGGCACAATGAAGCAAGCGCAGCCGATGAAGCCAATGCAAACTGGTTCCAACAATCCTTTTGCATCGTCTTTTGGGCGCCCTCAGCCTCAGAGTCAGCCTTCTATGCCTGCTCTTGGTAGTCTTCCTGAGCAAAAGACACTCTCGACCTTTAGCCAGCCCAGTTATACTCAGCCCAGTTATACCCAGCCGAATCAAACGTCCAGTGCTTTTGGTACTCCACAAAAAGAATTGACCGAGCACGAGGCCAAGCTCAATGCTCTGCTCGCTGGGGGCGATGGCATGGATACATTTGGCAACACCGGCCAAACTCGTATCCCGGCCCAGCACACGGCACCCGGAACATTTGTCAACAGTGCAGGAACCGGCGCCAACCGGCTCACGGCGGAAGCGACCGGGAACAATCCCTTCCTACGATCGCAATTTACTGGTATGCCTAACATGTCGTATGGCGGCACGCAAATGCCCACTGCGACGGGCCCTGCAGGGATTAATGGCAGCAACAACCCATTTGCTGCAACGCGACCACAACAGCAGAATGGCCAGACGCAAGATCTTATACAGTTTTAGCCTTCTTTTCCGCTTTGCTTGGTTATACCAGGAAGAAGTTCTGTCGACTATGGCTGCTTATTGTCGGCGTTTGTCAGAACAGGCTGCAGGTAGCGAGATGACCAATATCAGATTATCATTCTTATTTTTTCTTTCTTTACTACCTAGAAGTTGGGCGGGACAAACTATTTTGCGGAGCTGCGGCATGTTCCATTGGGTGGCTTTAAAACTTGTTTCTGTTCATACTCGGTTGACGACTCGTCCTCTACGCGTTATTTACGCAGCTTGCGCATATCACTTATTCCACCAACCGCGCCCCATGTGTGTTCTTCGGTTTTCCCTCGGTCCTGAAGCTTTCATGTAGTGTGCTAGGACTTGTCAGTGTCACTCTTTCCAAAGTCGGCTGTGACAAGCAGCACCTGCAGACGGTTGTTGCTGACATGCGAGACTATAATTGTAATGATTGCAGGTCGTCATGCCATAACTTGATGGCTTTAAATTACCTAAGTAGTTATATCAGACCGGGAATTCACATGTACCGGACTCTAAGATGATATAGGAAGTATTGTAAAGGTCGGTTAGGGCATGACTGATTTGATCATATAGTGCACTGTCAAAGCTGATGTGTCATCATCAAGTTGGACGTCCCCCCAAGTGCAAGGAGAGATATTGGTCACAAGAGGTTTGTATAGAAGACAGACGTGCATAGATATGACAGGGACATAAAGTTTGACAAATGTACCGCTTTTTAGCTGTGCCTCGATTCTGATTAATGATTACTTTCACTAACAAGTCCTTCCTGAGTGAGAGTTGGAAAAAGAAGGGTGGCTGACCCCAATCATGATAGGGAACAACGCTGGCAGTGAGCAAGAATGGGGGAATGGAGTGGACTGGTTGCAGGCATAGCACTGTGACGCATCTCGAGGCAAGCTCTGCAGGCAGGCGGAACTGGAAAGTATTTTACTAATAAGTGTAGGCGGAAGCTACATCTGCCTGCTCCTGCCTAGATGCTGTTACCATGCTTTCATTGGCTCCCACCGATGAAGTCTTCCCTCTGGACGAATCAGGTAAGGTAGCTGTCCTCAGGCAGCAGCAGCATCATCAGAAGTTCCATACGTTCAACCGCAACATACTGGAAAATTACCTAAGCTCTTGTCTCTGATGGTCACCAACTGGGCTAAGCTGTCTGCCCAAATCACCAGCGCGCGGCCCTACTTAAGGTGGTGAACCCTTTGCATCAGTGGGAGAGATAGAGCTCCAAAACAAAACGCAAACACTGCGAGCACCAATTCTCTGTGGCCCCCATCGTATGCGCCAGCATATTTTTTACTGCTCCGCTGTCGTCCATTACCGCTGATACAGTTTAAGCTCATCTCGTCTTCTGCTGCTTTTGGCTGTGCTGTTTTTATGGGGCACCTCCCCCCTTGCCCTTTGCTCCTTTCTATACCTAGGTAACGCGCGCTGCGGCATACCTTTCACCCACCCCAGCCACTTTTTCTCCACGTACCTCTCTTTCCTGGTTTCTTTGCGTAGCAACCAGAGCGAGAAAAAAACTCGACGACTAGCTGTGCTACAACACCACGCCTCATACCACGTCACGTCGCCAATTCATTCATCTGACGCGCCCACCGGTCATCAACACCGACGGTCGCCTCCGATCGGATCGCACTGCATGTCAGCCTTTAATTGATTGCCAGCGATTCAACTGCGTTCGCGACTTGGGACCCTCGTCCGCGCTCTAATTCCTTTCCCATCATCGAGTTTATCACGGCCGCTGCTGGTAGCCCCCATCCATCATGTCCGGGTTTGGCAGTACCGGCTTCAGTGGCTTTGGCCAGTCCAATAATCAGCAATCATCTGGTTTTGGCGGCTTTGGTACGAACAACTCCAGCTCCAGTACGGGTAAGTCGAAACTCAACCCCCTCCCCTTCCTTCACTACTTTGGCACGTCGTTGCAAAGTTCCTAACCGCCTATCTTCTTCAGGTTTCGGCTCTGGCAACACCGCGAACAGCGCTTTCGGGTCTACCAGTAACAATAATACTAGCGGTGGACTCTTTGGCAACACAACTGGTGCGTTCGGTGGTACATCTTCAGGTACGTTAACCCAACCATTGCGACATGCTATGTTCTTACTTGTGTTGAGCAATGGACTAACTGCTGTCTCTTCAGGTGGCTTTGGATCCAATACGAATACCAGCTTTGGAACCTCGAAACCTGCCTTCGGAGCCTCCACCTCTACTGGGGGTGGCCTATTTGGCTCCTCTAGCAATGCAACTAACAATACAACCGCCAACTCTGGCTTTGGTGGCTTTGGCGCCAATGCGACAACGAATACGTCGTCTCCCTTCGGGGGATCAGGCGGAAACTTGTTTGGTGCCAACAAGCCTGCCTTTGGCTCTACCACCAACACCGCTGGTGGAACTTCATTGTTTGGTGGTGGGAACACCTCCAGCGGCTTTGGTGGCAACACTGCGACGACTGGTGGCTTTGGCGCATCCATGAACCCTGGAATTGGTTCCGGAGTTGGCGAGCCGCCTGGCACCGCGCTCACGCCATTTCAAGCGCATCAAGAGAAGGAGCCAACCAACAGTAGCCAGTCAAACTCCTTTCAAAACATTCTGTTCCAGGAGCCGTACAAAAAATGGTCTGCTGAAGAACTTCGGCTTGCTGATTATGCTCAAGGCCGTCGCCACGGCAATGCTAGTGGGACTGGTGCCTTTGGTGTGTCCAACTTTGGTGGCACTGGATTCGGCTCGACAAACCAACAAAGTACGGGATTCGGAACAGGCACTGCTTCTACTGGCGGTGGTCTGTTCGGCGCCGGCAACAACAATAACAACACTACTTCAACAACCAGTGGCTTTGGGGGTACTGCGACGGGCGGGTTTGGATCCGGAGGTGGTCTCTTTGGTAATCAGCCAAAGCCGACTACTGGAGGTCTTTTTGGTGGTAATAATACAACCACATCACAACCTGCACAGTCGACAGGACTATTTGGTACGAGCTCCGGAGGCGGTTTCGGCGCTTCAAGTACAACAGGTGGATTCGGCGCCGCCAACAATACCACGGCCGGTGGAGGCCTTTTCGGCTCTAACACCACCAACACTAACAACGCTGCGAATCAGAACAAACCTGCTGGCTTCAGCTTCGGAAATACTGGTGCTACTACTGGTGGTTTTGGAAACACCAACACAAACGGCACTTTTGGGTCGAGCAATGCCAACAATACTGGTACTACAGGCGGGTTGTTTGGTAACAGCAGCCAGTCCACAGGCACAGGGCTCTTTGGCAACAACCAAGCGCAACCTCAGTCACAAGGCACAGGATCGGTTTTTGGTGGTGGCGGCTTTGGCGGACAAGGTCAGCAAACAGGCTCATCCCTATTCGGTAACCAGCAAAAGCCTGCGACAAGTGGCGGCCTTTTTGGAGGGGGTGGAACGGCAACTACGGGCGGATTATTCGGCGGCGGTGGCGCTACAACTTCCAATTCCTTTGGCGGAACCGGTGCGAACAACACGACGGGCGGCCTATTCGGATCCAAACCTGCCGCTTCTGGCGGAGGGTTGTTTGGATCTAGTACGGCAGGTCAAGGGACGAACACTGGTGGGGGTCTTTTCGGAGGAATCGGCTCGAACTCCCAGACCCAGCAAACTGGCCAGTCATCTCTATTTTCATCCGCTGGTCAGAATCAGCCTAAACCTGGCTTGTTCGGCGCATCTCAGCCGGCTGGCAATAGTCTCTTTGGAGGACAAAACAACCCACAGCAAGGCTTGTTCGGGAACAACAATTCACAGCAGCAGCCGCAGGGATCTCTTCTTGGCAATTCCATTCTGGGAAACTCCCAAAATGCCAACTCTGGCCCACAGTCATTGACGGCCAATATTACAGATGTCTCAGCCTTCGGCTCGCCGTCATTGTTTTCTAACCTCGCAAGTGCTGAAACCCCTAACCCAGGCCCATTGGCAACGCCCCTTTCCAGCAAGTCGAAGCCGAGACGCAGCTCTATCCTGCCTATGTACAAATTAAACCCCGCGTCTGCCGCCCGCTTTGTTACCCCCCAGAAGCGTGGTTTTGGATTTTCCTACAGTACCTATGGTACTCCTGGCGGCAGCCCATCCAGTGCGGCTAGTACACCGGGCGGTGCCAGCCGCAGTCTGTTGGGGTCATCAAGCCTTAATCGAAGCTTGAGTAAAAGCGTGTCAACTAGCAACCTGAGGAGAAGCTTCAACGCCGAGGATAGCATTCTCGCCCCCGGCGCTTTCTCGGCGAGCTCCGGTCCTCGTTACTATGGTAACAATGGCAGTGTAAAAAAGCTGGTCATCAACAAGGATATGCGCAGCGACCTCTTCTCTACACCGACCAAGGACAAACCTACGGCCGATCAGCTGAACGGTTCTCGCAAACTGTCCAAAAGAGTAAGCTTCGATACCAGCAATGTCGAGGCTCCCCAACCCGACGAGGCCGATGGTGCCGTAGTGTCGACACCCAGGGGTGGCATCCTCACGCAAGCTTCGACCCCTGCGAGTAATAGTACCAATGGAGCCAATTCCTCAGTGGCAGCAACTGGAGACTCAGAGCATAGTAAGGGCAAGGAGCTTGCTATTGTTCATGAGGAGGATGGTCTAACTCAGACCCATGAAGTTGCTCATGATGGCTTCGACAAGGCTCCTGGCACTTACTGGATGAGCCCTACCAAAGACGCTATAGCCGCTATGAACAGGATGCAGCGCCAGCAAGTCGCAAACTTCACTGTTGGAAGAGATAACGTTGGCTCCGTCAAGTTCAAGGTTCCGGTTGACCTGACTAACATCGATCTCGACGAAATCTTCGGTGGGATCGTCATTCTGGAGACGCGCTCTGCCACTGTGTATCCTATTGCGGCCAAGAAGCCACCGGTCGGTAAAGGCTTGAACGTTCCGGCCACTATCTCATTGGAGCAGTCCTGGCCACGCGGAAGAGATAAGCGCCCCAGTAACGATGCCAAAAAGTTCAGCAAGCATGTCGAACGGCTGAAGCGAATCGAAAACACTACTTTTGAGGAATACAATCCTGATACTGGGGTCTGGAAGTTCTCTGTGGAGCATTTCACTACATACGGGCTGGATTATGATGAGGATGAGGATGAACCCGAACATCATGATGGAATTTCAGCTCTTGAACCTTCCTCTCAAATTCACTCTTCCCAGCAAGGCCTTCATGAATCTGAATCTAGCCCTGGGGACGATGATACTTTCAGTTTCCGCAGAAACAAGCGTCGTGCCCTTCCTGGTGCTTTTGATTACCGAGATGAAGATTTCGGCGAAGTCGAAGACGACAGTGCGTCACGCCGTTTTCAGAGCCAGCCTTTTTTAGGGGATAGCTTCGCGGGTTCGACGTCCAATGCGCTGGTTCTTTCTACGGAAGGCGAAACGGTTGCTGATCAGGACACCGGATATGGAATGTTTGAGGACGAGAATATGGCGGGCACTCCTCTCAGACACCATCTTGCCGCGGAGCAAACAGTAGACTCGCCTGAGGGTGACATGATTGTCCCAGCAAGCGAGACCCCCGGAGGCATTCTCCGAGCGAGAATGCGAGCCCTAAAGGGTTCAGCTACCCCTATGAAACTTCAGGTTGCTGGCGGAGACGAATGGATCGACATGCTGCAGCGGTCTGTGAGTCCCAAAAAAAGAGACCGATCATTTTTGCGGAGCGTGAACGAGACAGCTTTAATATCTACTACGGATGAATCAGAAACAGGCCACAAAGGCCGTGTCGTGTCAGACGGACGAGGCTTCGCAACAAGCATCGATCTTATGAACTCGTTGTTTGAGAAAGCCAAGGCTCCAGCTGCTCCAGCGCCGTCGAGAGGATTTGTTCAGGTTGGTGAATACTTCATGGTCTAGAGATTTCTCCTTCCCGGTGCTGCTCAGATTGTAGAGCCAGTGACTGAGCAGTCTTCTGTAATTAATTAAGAGATCCTTTGACTAAGATAAATGATGATTTAGTGGCCATATCAACGACAGACCAAATCTTTTGTGGACCAATCCGGCATGACTGAGATCGATCGCTCCTACTACAACTCAATGAGACCTAGCTGGGGACCAGACGGAACCTTGATCTTTGCAACAGCTTGCACAGCACTCGGGACTGCTAGCAGACATGCCAAGGTGGACAGCCTCACGATTGCGAGGAGTATCATTCAAACGCATGATCGAGAAATTCAAGCGGTGAAGTTTTCCAACGAGGCAAGTGATTTTCCCTTTTTGTGCCCTTTTCTGGAAGACTTTTTCACATTGCTAACTGATCCCAGGCTTCCGCGAAAACCCTCGAAAATCAAATCCAGATGACGAATGTTAAGCTTGTTGCGGGTATCCCTGAAGTGGCCTTGCGTACCAACAGTCTCAGGTCTATCTTTCATGACCAAGATACGAGCAACCCTGCGAACGCACACGAAAAACTGGTGTGGGAACTTGCCAGTATTCTTTTCGATGGTCCAGTCAGCACTAGAGAAGGCACGGAGGGCGCATCTCGGAAAAGTAGTTTGTCTAAATTCTGGGCAGCACTTGTCGACTCATCGTCGTCCCGATCGATTGCGCTAGCCAAGTCAGGCGAAGAGAAAGCTATTGCAGCCCTATCTGGGCATCGTATTCAAGACGCCTGCAAATATCTCCTGGATGGAAAAAATTTCCGTCTTGCGACTCTAGTATCGCTGATCGGTACTAGTGACCAGTCTAAGAAGGACGTCCGTGAACAACTCAACGAATGGCAGGAGGCCAATTTTCTATCTGAGTTTTCCGACTCTGTACGTGCGATCTATGAACTGCTTAGTGGCAATTCAGGCGTTTGTGAGGGCAAGAAGGCGGTTCCTCTTGAGGACCGCATTGAATCCTTCATTATCTCGCAGCGATTTGGTCTGGACTGGAAGCAGGCATTTGGCCTTCGACTTTGGTACTCTATTTCACATAGCGACGACCTCTCGACTGCTGTCCGTATTTTTGAGGACGACGTTACCCAGGATAGGGAACAGCGGCCACAAACTTGGTATCTAGAGCAAGGTATACCGACGCTCTGGGAGGACCAAGATCTCAACGTTCGTGAAGACCTATTATGGGGGCTCCTAAAACTTTACTCAAACGAGGAGACCGACCTGGAGGCTGTTCTACGACCAGAAAACAGTCAGTTGTCACCCCTGGACGTTCGCCTGTGTTGGCAGCTTAGCCGCGCCCTGGTATCTACCAACAAGGTTTCGTATGGCCATGACGCGTTAGAGAAGGCCGATGCTTTAACCATATCCTTTGCCGATCAACTTATCAACGAAGGAAGCTGGCTTGAAGCTACATTTGTCCTACTGCATCTTAGCCGAACAGAGATGAGAGCAAAGGCAGTGCAGGATAACCTCTGCCGGCATGCAGCGCTCTTAGGCCCAGAGGCGGACAAGGCCTTCACAACACTCACCCAGACTTTCAAGATTCCCTCGTCTTGGATCTGGGAAGCCCAGGCCCTCTACATGCGAGCCGTCAAAAAGGACGCAGCGGCCGAGGTGCAATGTCTGCTTCGTGCAGGCTCATTCTCGGAAGCGCATGAAGTATTTGTCCATAAGGTAGCACCAACGCTTGTTATTAGCCGTGACTACGATGATCTGGCCGTCACCCTTTCTCGCTTCGAGGATCATGATGATGCCATTCCTGGCTGGACCCTGGGTGGCGAGGTTTACAAAGCTTTCCTGGAGCTTGTGAGCTGTTGTAAACAGCGACAGCAAGTCCCTTTAACTGTGTTCGAGAAGCTTGTCAGTGGCCTGCCGGCTATGCGTGAGAATGCTGAGAGCACCAACATCATTAGCTTGGCAGCTATTTCTGAGATGGGGTCTATTGTGGCCAAGGTGATGGCAGATGTGTCGAAGCAAGAACAGGTAAGACACTTCTCAAATTCGATTCTTGGTTGAGTGCCATTCGGTGCGCTAACGGATCTGTTACAGCATGATGCTCCACGGGTTTTGGGTCTTCCCCTTACAGAGGACGCCCACCTCAAACACTCTCTTCACCTAAGCCTTTCATACTATGAGGGATTGGTGGCAGAGGCTAGGTAACAAAGTATCAAGTTTGAGCGAGACATGTTCATGGTGGGAAAAGAAAACGGGATGTCTAAGTGGACGGTATGGGGCTTAGCTTTCCTTAAAGGATCACAGGCCATAATGTATTTATTGTGTACGTTGTAGGTGTAGCTACGTTCTGGTCTATTCAGGACGTGATCTCTATTGCGAATAAAAAGTTTGTATCAGATTTGACACGTCCCCGTTCTGTCATTTACAGTGCAGGGCCTAGAAATTGGCGCCCGTTTGTAAGCGAAAACACACATACAGATTCAGGACAAGGGCAACGATTGGATTGGCAGACCAGCTGCCTAATGGCAAGTGGGTCCCATTGTTAGAATCAACTCTGCTCGGTAGTGTAGTCGGAACCACTCAGCAAACAAGACTAAGACAGCGAAACAATACACCTATCTGCATGCGTTGTGCCCAGCAAGTCTTATTTGAGCTACTTCTCTCGGTAGAAACGCTACATATTTTCTCAAGGCATCTGCATTTCATGGCGCAACCCAGGAATTGGCCGCTCGGCCTTTTGTACCTTCCAAAGCCAATGCACTCGCGCCTGTTGAGTGAATCTCAACGAATGTCTATAGGCCAGCAGACAGCGGAGCTGCCTGAAATCCCAGCTCATATCACCTTGTTACCGAGTCCTCTGGTGAAGATCACTCCCATTACAGATTTCAAACACCCAGCGAAGGGTCAGTTTGGGCTCTTTGCGGCCCGGCATATCAAGCCTGGGACATTCATCATTCCTTACCTCGGGACAGTGCATCCAGACGTTCCCTCCAAGTCAGACTACGACCTATGGCTGGATCGAGAAGCTGAGATTGCTGTTGATGCTAGTGAGAATGGCAACGAAGCAAGATTTATCAATGACTACAGGGGGGTCGCGGAGCGGCCCAACGCTGAGTTTCGTGAAGTTTGGAGTCATAAATTCCGGCAACGGTGCATGGCTGTTTTTGTGCTGCCTGAAGGGAAGAATGGGCGCGGAAAGGGCGGGATTGGCAAAGGCGAGGAGATTCTAGTCAGCTATGGGAAAGGGTTCTGGGGGCATCGGATGTCAGAAGAGTGAGGTAGGAAGTTCAGTATTTAAGTATGAGATCATGTACCGCGCGTGTATTTCTTGTCCCTGCGAAGCAAAGACCAACACGACGTATGCATATGAGAGCTTGCGAGCAAATGTGGCTTTCGGTATTAACCGACATGCCATACAACAGAAGATAGAAATTAGCTTTGCCTGCCTCTTGCGCTGCTCGCATGCGCCTGCTCAATCCATCGTGGGTTCCTGACCTTGTACCGGTTTGCATACTACGTATATGGCCAGTTACTAGTCCACTTGTATTTCTGGCCTAAAGTTCCCAGCATTGCAAAGTGATCTCACTTTCTCCATGTCCTGGTGATCTACAGGTAATCCTAAACAATCGAAGTGAGAGTGACTGGAGTAGAAATAGAGGCGAAACGAAGCACAGTTTGCAGTGGCCCAAGCTTTTTCACCAGCCACATAAAGGCACAATCAACCCCAATAAGGGAAGTTGCTAAGCTAGCCAGATAAGGCTTCTGGTTGGTTTGTGGGCCCGTGCCTCCTCTAGTGATTGATTGAGCTTCCCCAAAAAATTCTTCCAGTCAGACCGTATACCGGAAAAGCCCTGACGCTGGCTTTCCCCACCCTTGGGTTTCCTCGAGACTCGAGCTGACTGAGGTCCAAGGTCAAAAACTCCAGCGTGTCCCCGGATCAATCAACGCCTTTCAAACCTCCATCGGCAGGCTGGTTCTTCCTATTCCGTCCTCCAGATCGCCTCTAAGCAGATCCATCACGAAGCCCGCGTCGGATTATTTTTTTTTGAAAAGAGGTCAGTCAGCCCGAATTGCTACCAACCCCCACGTGCATTGCTGCCAATTCCTGTTTGCGCCGGCACCGCACGATGGAAAAACTTCTTGTCATCGTCGCAATGCCTCGCGCGCGGAAGACAAATCGTCGCCGACAACACGGATGAATCTCCAGCTCTAGCTTGAGCTTCTAGCCAAAGCTGTCGCGCGTAGACGCACGGAAAGAGGAAGCTTCCAAAGGGGTCTAAATGCTTTGCCTTTGCCGGAATCTTGACTAAAGCATGTAGTTTCGCACAGAAATTTTCACCCATTGAGCTCGTGTCGACATTTCAGGACTCGGGCGCCTTGTCGTGCAACGGTTTGCGACGCGTTCGTGCATGCGCGAATCCGAACCACACCAGTCGTGGACGCGCGACTCTACCTCACCGGCATCCCGCTCTATCCAATTTTTAGCATCAATTTCCTTTGACTCGCGTCGAACTTCTCATTGCTTGCCTGTGAGGCCTGTACCTCTCTTCGCACTTCGTAACGTCGATCAAGAAGCAACTCGAACGTTTTTGTGTTAGTGGTCTTCTCACCCTGTGAGCGCACAACCAAACTTCCGTGTGCAACGCCTACCATGAGTTCGACACGCGAAGGCGAGACTGAGGAGGAGAGGTTGCAAGCGCAGGGCCTTCAAGATGATGGGATTTCACCGGACGAGAGGCTTCCAGAAGACCGAATGCAAGAGGACAGGATAACCGATGAGAGAATCCCAGACGACAGACTGCAAAGTTACCCTTCTCCTTCGGCTGATACTCAGGATGTTGGTCCCTACTATCATCCACCCCCTCGGGACGATTCTCAACAGGAGCCGCCGCCACCGCCTACACCCCAGCAGCAGCCGTCTCACTCTGCCAGCGTTGAGGAATTACAGCTAGCTGCTCAGCTTGGTCAGGATTTGGCAGCAGAACCCATGATGCACGTCACGGATCCTGGCATGAATGTCGAAGATCCAAACCTGCGAAGCATCATGCCACACCCGGAGCAGCCACAGCATCAGCCTCCTCCCCGACCCTACGTACCCGAGGAGCCCTTGCCCGAGCCGCTTCCTCAGCATGTCCCCGTGCCTGTGTCCCTAGACCATCACCACCTCCCCCAGTCCTACGCCCTTGGGGACAGCACACCGCCTAGAAAACGATCCAAGGTGTCACGCGCCTGCGATGAGTGCCGGAGAAAGAAGGTCAAGTGCGATGCTCAGTCAGACTCTGGTGATAACCCCTGCTCCAATTGCAAGCGTTCTGGTATTCGCTGCATGTTTAGTCGAGTCCCTCAGAAGCGAGGCCCGAGTAAAGGGTAACGTGTTTTTTCCACTGATACTTTATACTTTAGAGGACACAACACTGACACGATTCTCATACAGGTACATCAAGGAACTGGCAGACAGGATTAACAGTATTGAGGGCAAGCTAGAGATTCAGAGTATGTATCTGCAACTCGGGCTCCAGTATGGACTCGGCATGTTTTGTGATGCATCTCTAACATAAATCTAGGCCCCGGTGACGACGCCAGTCGGAAACGACCTTTCTCCAGCATTTCCAGCGCTGATTTGTCCACTCCAGCACCTACGCGACAGGCAGCCTGGAGCACTGAACATCGTCCTCTCCAGCCCATGACTACCCAGTCTGATAGATATCAATCATCGCCTTTCTCCGCCAATGGCTTGGCTCCCCAGCCACTAGCAATCAAGAATGACATGCAACCGCGGCCGCCAGTAGCGCCGATGGACGGTGCTGTGACGGATATGCCAGATATTGATCAACCCCGTGATGTAGATGACGCCGTATTCGATGGGTGAGTTTTTTATCGTTGTAATCTCGCCTTGTCAAGGAACTATGGCTCACCGCAAGACATGCAGGTACATCAACATCATTCAGCCATATCTTCCCTTTCTGCCGAACAGCAAGGCTTTAATCCAGGACTACCTGGCCCAGTGCCCTGGGCTCCTCCGCGAAGCGTTTGTTGAAGCATTGGCAGGGACTATGCATTCATTCCCATCCTTCCAGTCAGGCAACCCGGGCGACGTCAGACTAGCCCACACGCTCTTGGTGGAGTGGGAGGCCAGTGACTCCACATCTCGGACTCCTGCGGCCAACATCGTGTTTCTTCAGACACTTCTTCTTATGATTGTTGAAGCAGATAACCGACCATTGGGCTCCATCGGTGCACCCAAGGAATCACTTTTGGGTAGAGCGGTAGCGGGCGCCAATGCTTTGAAGCTATATCAGGCCAGACTAGAGCCATCTGAGATGGAGCTTGGTTCGGATACTGATAATTTGATTCGCGTTAGAATCTGGTGGTCTCTGGTTCTGCTTGATCGATGGAATGCGGTGGGTTTTGCGGTACCTTCCTTGATCAGAGACGAAAGTGTTGTTGTTCCCCCAGGCCTAAAGTTGGCTGTGGGCGAGGTTCAGTTCCTCTTGATCCGTAAGTCTGCACAGCATGTGGCCGATCTGTTTGATTAGCGGTAAACTAACCTTCTGAAGGATCTTCAAAATTTCTGAGCCGTGCCTCGGTCATGATCACAAATTTCCAAGAACCCCTAAACCCCTCGTTTGGAGATCGGATGGTTGGTACTTTCATGGACGCTTGGGTCGAAGACTTCCGTGAAGACCTACCTGCTCATATTGAGCCAAGTTCATATCCTGTGGTTCATCTTGTCTACTGGCACTGTCGGCTCCTGGCATATCTGCTTCACCCATCAGCCAAATCGATAGATGCTCTGTGGCCTTGCCAAGAAACAATCAGCCTCCTCATCGAGCACTCGCAACTTATTACACCTCTACATCATCACTTCACCATACTTGTAGTGCTGGTACTCATAGAGCTGGCAAAAGTGGAGAGGACAAAGGAGGAAGCAACAAGACTACTTGATGTGTTCCGTGAATCATCTCTGCCTGCTTCCGTGTTTGACGGGCTAGTTCGAGACAAGATTGCTGATCAGCTCCGTCCATCTACGAGTGCGGCTGCAAGTTCGGCTCCCTCAGCAATGGAGGCGGCTGCAAGTCAGGGGCTTCAGCATTTGGCCGATTTGGCCACTCTCTCATCAGCTGCTGCGGAAAAGGCTGACGGAGCCTCAATATATCGCACCTCACCGAATTACGAAGACATGGGTTTCGATCCACGGCCTCTACTCCTTACTGGTTACCTCAACGTTGTCCGCGCAACGCAACAGTCGGCTTAGGATGAGGTCTGTCGGCTTGTGCAGACGGGATGGGATCATCGTGCTGATTACGTTTTTGCTTGGCATTAGTGACCCAAGGTACAAGTTCGTTACTTGCACACAGTAGAGAGAGAGAGAGAGAGAGAGAGAGAGAGAGAGAGAGAGAGTAAAAGCGCGGGTGTCATGTGCACGTACACCAGAAACCAGAATCAAGTCCTCGGCCTAACTAAATACTTCATCTGATGTGTAAGGTACGGCCTTGATGGGACGTTGTTTTGTATTAATATCACCCGTAATATACAATGGATTAAGTGTAGGCCAAAACCTTACGCATGATGCTGCTATCATGCGTCTTTGGTACTCAATTGCTTCAATAATGTCTGTATCGATGTACCGCAACTGTGCTTTGTGGTGTAGTTCGCGCAGCAACCACGTTGCCATTACCGGGCTTTACAAGCGAGTGGGTAGTTGGTCCGGTGGAGTGGTTGATAATGCACAATGCTGAACGCATAGGCACAAGCCGGTGGGTTCCTGTCCTTCCTAGATGCAGCTGAACGATGTTGTAAAAGCCGGTCAAGAAACACGGCTATCCCGCGGTCTTTCGTACCTCGAAATATGACCAAAAAAAATCAAATGCGACCGTCACCCTCAACATAGCCGGAATTGTTTGCCAACACACGCATACGCGATGAGACAAGCTGCGTGATAACTTCAAAAATGGACAAGCGAGGCGGAAACTCGAGGCCAACACCGACATGAGTAGACAGTACAAACGTGACAATCTGCTCCTAGTTTCTGGTGTGTTCATTCAAGGCTCAAGCTCGCCCTGCCTCTTGGATCTGAAGGGACAGACTTAGGATTTCTAATACTGAGAGAGGCACCAGTTTCCATTCTTGAACACTGACATCGATTAGCTGCCACTCTATCATTCCGAATCCAAAGATTCATATTCGCGACTCTGATGCCCTGTCGCCATTGGCTCTTCTTGGCTCCTTCTTAATCGCTCCCCGAGCACAGCTTCCCCAAAAGACACTTGTCCCTGACGCCGTTGGCTTAGGCCACCATTACCCATGGGTACATCCGTGTGAGAATTGCGTTGGTGAGCAGTGCCAGTGCTGACACGCTATGATGACACACAGCCAGCATCACATCATCGGCTCCATTTCCTCTACTTTAGCATCACCTCCTCAATCCAGAGGGAATAGCAATACAATAGTAATAATACTAATAGCAATAACAGCAAAGTCTAGCTAGAGGGTTATACAACCGCCAGAGCCATTTACGCACGGTTGAAGGCACCTACCAGGCACTTGCGTTCTGTCGTTCCTTGGCCTTGGAGGGCCGAGCTGGCAAGCGTTCTCCGGATCTCGGACCAGTGCTGACCGGGGCCACGGCGTCATGGGGAGGGGAGGGGAGGGCGAATGCTCAGTGGGGCACAACCGGGGGAAATCAGTGCCGCCCGTTGCCCTGCCCTGCCCTCTGGGCAGAGGGCCTGTGACGGCTACCCTAAGAGGCACCCCTAGTCATACCGTGCGTGCTACGTATCTGTACGTATGCACAACAGACGAGAACGATGACGATACTTGGATGACACCTGTTGACAGCGCACACATGGCCGCACCACAATACCCACCCACCTCGTGAGGACCTCACGAGATCACAGACATTGGGCCGGGCTCCCATCCGACCTTACAAATGCATTTCGACACTGGCCTACATTGCATTCAGACAAACACTTACAAAGCCATATATGCATAGACAAAGGGACAGTAGAGGCAGATGGCAAGGCGAGTAGCCGATGGCATGCAGGAACGTGCAGAACCAGAAGACAACTGCCCCACGAGGGCCCCTGCCCTGCTCTTGCCTGAGGTTACATCAACAACCGACTTTGCTCTGTACCTTGCCTTGCCCTACCCCTACGTATACTAGTTGGCGGCGTTTGACTTGATGTCAACTTACTTGCCTGCTTGTCTGCTTGTCTGCTTGAAGCTTGGCTGACTTGCTAACTGGCCCTCGATGAGAACTACTGACTGGCAAGCATGCCCTCGTTCATCCTTTGAGCGGATGAAAAGAGGTCCGCATAACTCAATCGCCGCTGCAGGCCCCTTTATCTGGTTAAGTGGGGCATTGATTGAAACTACGTAGCTTGGGTTCATTAGGTCGTTTTGCGTCTGCCCCTCTTTCATCTTACTGCCATCGTCATATCTGTGACAGGTCATCGATGTGTTTGCAAGGTGATTCTTCAACACCATGCCGACAGGGACCAACAAATATAAATATATTGACAATGGGGTTGCTTCTTATTGAGCAATCGGATATCGCCGGAAGTCGCCCGGTTTGTCAAGTCCCAGCAGGGTACACTGCACTTGTAGATCGTGTGTTGAGTGTACGTGTGCATGGGTTGTGTTCGCTCTGGTCCTCTCTATTTACCCTCAAGCTCTCCGAGGAATCTATATCGCTTGAGCATTCTATATACAGCTTGTCCATGTGCAGTAGAAGACACGCGAATGTCGTGAAAATGCATCGGTCCCGACTATGCTGTGCTCAACGAGCCAAGCTGGAAGTCCTTGTACGTTATCTGTCGTCTGTATCCAGTCAACCACGCCTTCACCCTCACCAAGCCCCACGTGCCAGACGCCATGTCCATTGAAAATGATGATAATGTCGAGATGCAAGACACCCTCTTTTTGAGCCGCCCCCCTTCTTTTTTGTTTTTCAATACCGAATCCAAATGATATAAGAACCTGAAACCCCACCAAAAGAAAAGAAAAAAAAAAGCTGCTGAAAGAGACACGACCACGCCGACTCCAGAAATCAAGATCATGAATGGCCATACAATTGTGCCGTCCACTTCGTATAGATCCTGTTCCTCCTATGCTCGAATCCCTTGCGCCTGTGCTTGCCGTCTATGTTCGTAAAGCCGGATATCATGGGCGTGTACGCTTCGAAACATGCTCATATCAAAACGCCTTATTGCATTGTCCAAGAGTCGGGTGTGAATTGCGGCAGGCCATCGGGTGATTCCGTGTATGTTGCAATGCCGTCGTTGAAGTGCTGACCCCAGAAGGCAGGATCATCATCAAACGTGAGAGAGCCACCAGCGATGGGGCCCCCATCATCAAAAGAAGACGGTGCCGTCATGAATTTGTTTGTTGACGACTTGACAAAGCTGTCATAGTCAATGGTGCTAAGGTCCGTCCCAGTCGATAAGTAGCTTGCCGGGTGTATGAAGCTGTTACTACCGGTTCCGAATCCGTCGTAGTCGCTGTCACCTGCGATGAAGTTGTCTTCTACCTCGGACACTTCGCCGGATGTCGACGTGGTCGCCGCCAACGTGGGTGCCGGCTCGGAGCCTGCGCCGAAGTCGAACATGCCGTTAAAACTGTGAGCGCCTGCTTGACTATAGCTGGATGGTGCAAACTTGTCAGTCTTGTCGGCAAGGTCGATGTGACTCCAATCAACCGATGCTGTACTCAGCCCGGCGCTGAAGATTGGCGCATCGTGTTCAGACGACAGGCCAGAGCCTCCAAACAGGTCAAAAGAGCCGTTCGGGACATATGTCGGATACTCGATGGCAGACAAGTCCAGCGGCGGGAGTTGGTTGTTGAGCTGCTGGAAGCTAGATGAGCCTCTCATTAACGGAGATGCAGCCTCAGACTTGACAAGTCGCTGCTGGTGACCGGGCGCGGCTCGGCCTGAAATCGAGTCTTTGAGGGTGTTTTCACCAGCGCGCTCGGGCGAGTGGCTTCCCAGACTACTGGCGCTGTGCAACGAGTTTACGCGATTCAGCTGATAGGGCCCGCACTTCTGAGAAGCTTTGTTGTGCTTGAATGCGGGTTTGTGGTGGCCGTTCTCATCGAAAGTCAACATGCCGTCCGAGTGAACAGTGTTTGCTCGGCGCCTGCGAATTGGCGGCTTCGGTCGAGGAATATTGGCATCTTTGTCAGAATCGGACTCGGGAACGGTATCGAGGCCTGGTTCCTTCTTGTGACTACAGGTACATCGGCCTCCATGATTGCAGCAACAAGTTTCTGAACGAAAAGGGAAAAGTGCCAGGTTAGTAGGCTGCTGTATTGTTTTTTGTCAAACGGGTGGTTGTCCGGGATCGACTCACCACGGTGACCCTCAATGGTGGGCTGCAAGTGAGCGCACTTGCTCGTCTTCTCGCCACAGTCGCACTTAACGTGGGCGGACCGCGACTTGCGCATTGAGCGACAATGCTGGCATTGGGAAACAGGGCGACCCTTTTTGTTGATGTGCTGAAGAGGACGATCTACAGTAAGTTGAAGAGTCAGTTGCGCGTGCCTATGTTGTATGTCTGCAATTTCACCAGGGAATTTAATCGGAAGAGAGCCATGAACATCAACCAGAACCAACATCAACAACATTTACGGGGAGGAGGGTGGAGGAGGGAAGAGGAGAATGAGGGGTGTTTTGACTTACCAGAGTGTTGGCAATTGCTAACACGGTGACCCCGAACACAAGCCTCGCAGGCGTACTTTTCCCCGTCAATAATCATGACGGGCAAGTGTAGGGCAACTCGCGAGAAGACTGGGAGAAAAGAGGGAAAAGAAAAGGAATCCAAGTTCCCCGCCACAGGAAAGTGAGGAGGAAGGATCGAGACGATCGGCCGGGCGGTCGGTCGGTGTCCAAAAGAAACGGTCGAGACGAGGGTAAGGTACAAGCGGGCAAATTGGTAGGCTGGCGGGCTGGTCGGGTCGGCCTGGAAAGTGGGATTGTATTTTTTTTTTTTTGCCCTTGCGTGGAGCGGGAGCTCTTCGGTCTCGTTACAGAATGTTTGGCGTGGGCTGGGGGGGGCCGTGTTAGTCCCTGGTTGAGGTGCGATAGATAAATCAGGGCCGGCCGGTAGCGGAAGACCTATGTAGCCGTCTCGGGGGTTGACGGTGGGAGGATGGGTTGGTGTGGGTGGCGGCTGCTGCGCTGCTCCCTCTGCACTGATATACCTCAGCCAACAAGGGTGGCCAGGACGACAACGGAGACTGAAGAACTGACACCGGCCAATACGAGGGTTATGAAGAGGACATGACCGTGGGGTATATCTGGCAAGAGATTTACATAAGAAAGTGAGGAGGAGGGGAGGGAAACGAAGGGGAGAAGGAGCGAGCAGCAAGCACGAACAAGTCCCATAAAAGAACTTCAGGGCCGACACCCAAAAGTACAGTGAGTGCACATGTACAAATCCAATTGAGCAATGTCAAGGCCCGGAGATTCCAAGTGGCTAGTGGGTAACTTTAGTTGGGTGGGTATCAAGTGGGGATGCTAATAGGCTGTCCTGTCTTGCCTGACCAAGAGTGTAAGAAGGGAAAAACGAAATGATAATAAAATATAATAAGAGAGAGAGGCAGAAGCCCGGTGCAAGGCGCTAACAAGACGGGATGCGAGTGCAGCTGGCTGGACAGGCGGGAAGCAAAGCCGATGTAGGTGTACGTAGGTACCTTGGTATACCGTCGGGCAGGTCAGCCAGACGAGTAGGGGGGAGCAAGCAAGGGAACTTGGCGTCGCCCAAGTCGTATTGTGCAGAAAATTGACAGTTAATGGCGGCGCCGTGCGAAACTCCTTGCGGAAAAGTCGACCGAGCCAAACGGTCACCGCATCTGCTTCTTGCTGGTTGTACCCCAAAGCAACAAGAACGGCAATAACAATAACAATGATGATGATGATAATGATAAAAATAATAATGATAGTAGTAGTAATAATAATAATGATAATAATAATAATAACAGTAATAATAAATCGATCGGTGAGTGGAGGACCAGCAGCAGTAGCCGGGTTAGGCGCCTGTTCAGCTTGTCTCCTTTGACTTTGATTGCTCGCTTGAACCGACTTGGAGGGGGTTGTGAGCGAGGTCAAGCAGGGGACGGGTTTTGCTGGGCGGCCCTGGTGCTGGTACTGATACTGCAACTGGTACTGGGTCGCGGGAAAACCTTGCTGGCTTGAGTAAGAGGAGGAGAGTGGGTGGATGGTGGGAGGATCGGTGGGGTTGAAATGGTACAACGGGTGGGGGAGGGAGGATCTCGCTGGTGCACTGGAGCGGCGTGAAGTTGGAGGTGGTTAGGTAGCTGGAGCTGACGGGGCTTGCAATGTGACTCTCGTTTCGATGTATATACCGAGACGAAGGCTGTAGGTAATATTGACGGGACGCCGAGGGATGCCAAGGTATCTTGAAAGGCCAGGTGCGGATACTTCAAAGGCTGAGCGAAGCGGTTGAATGCTACTGCGAGAGAACGGAGACTATGCGACCCAAACCGGGATGAGTAAACCTATGGAGGCTACACAGATGGGTGTGGATATGAATGTGTTCTCCTTCTTCCTTTTGCGTCTCCCCTTTTGCCTTTTGGGGGGGGAAGGGTTTGGACCTTGGGCGACGGCGGTTGGTCGGTGGTTTTTGGTCTTGATCGGTGGTGAAGCCAGAAGGAGAAGGGCCTGAGGTCGGCCAAGCGCGGATCCAGGGTTTGGGCCAGCCAAGGTATGGCAACTGAATCTGTCAGAGTAGCTGAAGACACCTTTGGACACCCTTGATTGGATAGATAGAGAGCTGAGCTTCACGATGATTGGGTGCGGCGGACAAGTGCCAGCGGAGTACCACGGGGTCAGTCAAATACACCTGTTGGGCCACTGTCAAGTTTTCGCAGCTGGTGTCAGCTGCCAGAACCCTTTGGATGTCTTCCGTGAAACACTGCCTTCCTTGTCTTGATGGGCAAAGAGGGAGGGCAACGCATCTCTAACCTGCCAGAGCAGGAGACGAGACCGCAAAAAACGACGGAGACAACCAGAAAGAGAGAAACAAGAGAGATGGGTGAACACAGGCTGAGGGCGGATGAGGGATGCTATTTTATTGCTTCACGTTGGGGCGAAAGCGGACGACCAAAACGACGGCCAAATGACAGCGCGGCTTCTCGTCCTTTTACGCTACAGATACCGCTGATACATCTGATACATGTATTATTGCTGTTACTGCCGCTGTGTCCTTCCCCTGTTACTAGGCTGGGAATGTTACCTGGAGGCAATGTTGGTGTAAAATCTGATGCCTCTCATCGGCCCGCCCTGGTCGATTTGACAGCGCCTGGATTGGGGTTGCTGGGAGCAGTAACAAGCTGACCAGCCCCAAGGAGCAAATGCATGGGTCCGCCCATGGCGTGGGAAGCGATGGGACGATCGCGTGCGTGTGAGTGAGTGGGTGAGAGTGTGGGTGTGTGTGTGTGTGTGTGTGTGGAGGAAACGGGCTGGGATGGGAAGCAATGGGATGGAATATGGATTGGTCTGTGTGCCTGCCTGCTGTCTGCGTTTGCGCCTGCGTCGGCGCCTGCGTCGGCGTCTCGAGGATGGTATGGTGTCAACTGTGTGGTTGCCCATGGGGGGTGGTGGGGTGGCGTCGCCGAAGTGAGTGCGGAACATTGGGGCCTTCTGCGTCTGGGTCTCAATCCAAGGCCAAGTCAGGTAGGTATTCGTAACCTCAGCCGTAGGTAATCAAACAACGTGGCAGAGTGAGAAAAGCACATCAGCAAAGAACATCAGAGACAGCCCAGAGACACCTTGCCTCCTTCCGCCCTGTCTAGTCCTTGAACTCTCACTGCCGTAGAGGACGAGGGGAAAGTGCGCCGAAACATGCCGAAGGGTGCTGTGCTTCGGGCGAGCGTCACTTCACTTGTCACTTACTGCCAAGGCACTTGCTCTCTTCCTCTCTTGCACCGAGGGGCTTGCTCAAGTTAAGACTCAAGTGTGATCAACTCCCTCTTCCCTCCTTTCCAGTCAGCCTTGGAGCAGCCACCTGACAGTACGGATTTAAAAAAACACAACTGGGAAAATTGGTGGTCGGCGACCAAAAATTCGGGTCAGAAACGCACTCCGTTGTTTCGCTTGCCCATTTTAGCTAATGTTGCTAGGTAATGTGATGCTGACTCTGTACGTACTTTGACTTTCATCAGCTTACCACGAGGCACGGGTATTCCTAGTATCGCAAGCATGGCCCAGCTGCCCTCCACTCGCCTGGACCGTGTTGATGGGCATGTTACTGACAGATCCAGGGTTACCAGCTAGCTTGTCCAGGACATGTGCCAAGACCAGATTGCGACTTCACTGCCCCGTTAGGCCATTCTGAAGCCTCCCACCGATCGTTCCTCCTTTAAGCCATAGGCTAGCAAACTCCAGCCTTACTCTGATTACGATGGGCTTTGGACATTTTCTTCATAAAGCAGGGCAGCACAGTACTCAAAGTATCATTCATGAGGGACTCGCCCAAATCCTGCGTCTCACATGCGATGATTTGTAACCTCAGCTGATTCCCAACTTCTCATGATAGTCAAGACGACTGCTCAAAGTCAGGTGCCCAGCAACGGGTATATTTGTTATATGCCAGGAGCGAAAACACCAACGTCGTGTGTGTACGACGGTCGATGCCGATCTACGCAGAACGTAGTTGCTGGCAATTCTCATTTCATCTTCTCCCTGTCCTTCTGGTTGAAATGTGGTCTCACCAGTCAGAGAGACGCCCTTGGCGCTACCGCAGTGTTTCGCGGGGGGTGTGGGTGGAGGTGGGGGTTATGCTACGTGAGAGAGTGCGAGAGCAAGGAGAAGTCCTGAGGGGTTAGCAGTCGTTTAACATGCCTTAAGCCTCACCAATGAGGGTAGACTGCTTTGTCGTCATCACCTCGATCTGCACGATAGCATCATGGCTCCGGCGGCCGTCTGTAGGCGCTTGCACGGAGAAGCCATGCCAGAAGAGCCAAACGCTTAGCGTGGCAGCAAAAGGCTTGTGCCGTGAATGTAGTTATGGCGGTGGGCGCGCGTTTCGACGCACCAAGCTTGGAGCAGTTTGCATTGCAGCATCGCGAACAAATTCATGTTGAGCTGAGCGATCTGCCGCGGGTGGCGAGATATCCAGCCAATCCGAATCAAGCTGAGCGGCGAGACGCAATGTTGAAACCTTGGTAAAGGTCGACCAAAGACTGGAGTGATAGATGGTGGTAATGAAGAATGGAAGCAGAGGGAAGAAAAAAATTTTAATATGTAGGAAAAAGTAGTGTGGTGATTCGGGAGAGGGAAGCGAGGGTACGTGCGTTACAGCATATACTCCGGAACCTGAGGCACCCTCACATTTGGTGTGAAAGCGGCCGATAAGATAGACAAGCACGCAAGCGATAATGCTGATATCTGGCACCCCCACTATGCTAAAGAACCTTACGTATGAATGTATGTGCTTCGTGCCTAACACAAGATCTCTCTTAGCTGCAAAGTCAGAGCGTACATTTGACTTATTGGTTGGGCGTGTGCACGGGTCAGCTTCTAGAAAGACGCATGGAACCTGCCTTGGTGCCATGACGGAGCTAATGGACGGGAGGGTGTGCTCGAAAACCCAGTGGCTCGTTTCATTTTCGTTGGCTGCCATCTGTCCGTCAAATTATCGGAACAGCCTTGGCCTACCTCGCTATTTTAAAATCGCCATGGAATACGGAAACGCAGAACCATGTACACCGTCGGAGAAGAAGAAGATGGCGTATCCTTCCGACCTACATGATGCAGGTGCTGCCAGCAAACCAACCGCCGTCCGCAATCCCCCTTTGTGCGTAAGGACCTTCCTGGCTGCCTTCTTTTGTCACTGCGCTTGTGTTGGGTGAAGCTTCGTATGGCTCCTAGCTTAGGCTGCGCAACTTCGGTCCCTGTTTTGGCTTCCATGCGCAACGGCTATGGCTCATGGAGCGGTATGCCCTGAAATAGGCTGTTGACATGTCCATGTCTCTCCAAGCTTTTACCACGCAAGCCTCTATAGCCGCTCGGCACGGAAACGACATGCCACAATGAACAGCGGCGGCCGACAAACCGCAGAGAGGAACAAGTGCAGTGGTGCCACCACTATACCTGGCTCTGTCCGCTGCCTTGTCTTCATCTTGTAGAAACGCATTGCCTGCATTTTGCCCCAACATGCAGGCCGACCGAACGGGACCTGGCCTGATAGAGGACATAACCGACTGACTGCATACCGCAATGGACCTTCTGCTCATCCAGATAACACAGCCTCTCTGGGTTCGACGGCCTCTGCCCGTTGTGTAAAGCACAGTCCAACGTTTGCTTGACCACACGTACGCCAAAGGGAACACATCAACTAGTCAGGAACAACATTGAACGGTATCCGTCTGAGATCGTTGAATAACTCACGCTTAGTGGCCAGAAACCAACGCAAATGAGTCGATTTGCATTGAACAGATCAATCGGACACCTCGGGGGGCTATGACTGCTGGCATTCGTTTTTTTCCTAGTGAATGGGTGTGCGGAAGTCTACAACTTGTTGCAGTTTTGGAGCCTCGAACTCGAATTGTTATTCTCCATTAGCCCGTCCAAGGAACCTTTGTATGTGAGTAGTCTAGTTCAAATTTAGATTATCCGCAATCCCGCCGTTCCCGAGTTAGTAGATCAAGGGTGGCAGTGAAGGATCACAGTACCGTCGCAATTAGTCGGACTGGATGGCCGAGGAAGACATGAAGCAGCAGCTCCTAGACGCGGCCATGGTGAACGAAGCTGCTGCAAGTTGCCCAAGCAGGAAAAGAGGTGGTGTCATTAGCATACGCGAGGGCCCGATAACTGATGCTGCCAATTATCAACCCCCAGCAATCTGACGCGCATGAGAGAATGCACATTGAGCCCAGGACAGAAGAGGACGGCAGCGAGGTTCTCGCACGAGCACAGGCACCCAGCGAAGGGTCTCGCGCCTAGAGAAAAAAACAGGGGTAGTCAAGGATAGGAGGACAGCGGTGATTGGTGAGGCCCCGAAGTTCGACACCTCCGAACCTGAATATGAGAAGTACAAATTTCACCTTCGCGTGACAGAACACTCGTCTATTTCTCCCGCTGAAGCGTGAACGGCTTGTCCTCTACGTGGGTGGCATTTCGGTTGAAGCTTGGAAATAAGTCGCCTGGCTCTTGGGATGCCAATCTCGAAAAGACGTAACTGGAATCTGAGGAAGAAAGCGCGTACCCCACCAATGCTAGGGTCAGTTTGATCCCCGTCTCGTTTGGCTGAGGTGTCCCTTACTCCACACTTTTAGGAGGGTGTGGTCAAGGCGACCATTGGGGGGGGGGGATAACCTGACCAATTACCCACTTATTTTGTGATTTGTGGGGCTACCCTGAGATCAGCTGACCATGGTCAGCTAGTTAGCTATGGTCAGGTTGAAATTCCTTAGCGCGGTTTGAAACCTCACCCTTGACATACTTTTTGTAAGAACATACGACATTTAAACGCTTCCAAATCCGTTCCGAATCGATTTACAATGGCTCTTCAATCGATTGAAAATCTCTTCCCTCGCCTAGAGGGAATAAGTCCTCTATTAGAACCTACTAGTCTTGATGCAGAAGCTGAAGAAGACTTAAATCTTTACTATCAACTACCAGCCCAGGCCCAGTCTGGCTTACCAGTAAATGAGGAGGTAGGGATATATGAGAACGACTTTGGAATTAGTTCTAAATCGATTCAGGATCAACTCGAAACCGATTCAGAAATACCTCCAACACTTGTTTCATCAGAGGCAACCCGTTCTGGGCATAATAGCCTCAGGGATGTTCATGTACTTGCTCAAAAAGTAATCTTTCTACCTACATTTATAGAATATCCAGAAACAAGTGAGAATGGAGTCCTTTATGTATCCAGAAGTAAGTTTGGAATCCCTTCTGAATTGATTCGGAATTGGTTTGGAATGCGTTGAGAACTAATTCAAAAGTACTTAGATGTGCAGAATACGATCGCCATCTTTTAGAGCAGGATACAGTGTTTACAACACTAGGAATCCGGCTTTCCTGGAAAGATGTTTCTATTATTAGCCGTTATAATACAGCTGCAAGCCGTTTACGTAAGTTAAAAATACTTTAATATTTATTAATAATTATTTCTAAATTATTTTAGAACTTAAACGCCAACGCCAGAGGGAATCCCGTGAGCAACTAGATAATGAACGTGTTGAAAGGCTTTTATCAACCCGACTCTTTACGTCTAGTCCCTCAAGGGGTACTAATTCAAGAAGTCCATCCTCAATTCCGAATCGATCCCGAAGTCTTTCAGAAGCGATTCGGAATCGATCCCCTCGTCTTTCCCATGCTTCATCTTCTGGGGTTATTAGGTCAAATACTCTCCAAAGAACATCTATTTCTAACTTAAGAAACGAAATCAGACAGGGACAACAAGATGACTTTGACTTACAGAAGCAAAGTCTAGAATTAGAAGAAAAGCGATTAGAATTAGAAGCAAGAAAACTTCTAGTTGAAAAACAGAAGCTTGAACTACAAGAAAAGGAACTAGAGTTAGCAGAGCGGCGGAGAAGGTTAGGACTTTGATAGCATATAGGATAGGTAGAGAATCGATTCTAAATCATTTCTGTATTGATTTAGAAATGCTTTTTTTAAAAAAAAGCTTAAAAACCGAACGCCCCGGGTATCTATAAAGAATTGATTCTAAAGCGGTTCCAAATCGGTCCCGAAAGAAGTCCCAAACTGGTTCCAAACCGATCCTGAATTGATTCAGGCCTCATCTTCTTCATCATCCTCAAAGCGGGCCCAGACCTCACATTCCTGATCGCGAAGGGCGGGAGGACATTCTGAATCGATTCGTAATTAGTTCTGAACTGCTTCAAGACTGATTCTAAACTTACTAGCATTGCGGGCAGTGGTGCAGTAGGTGCACTTGCCCTTGGCAGGGAAGCCGGCGGCGCGACGCATTTCGGCGAAGTTGATCTGTTGCAGAATCGATTCAGAATGGGTTCCAAAAGGATTCCGGATCGATTGAGAATCATGTGGAATCGCTTCTGAATCACTTACCTCGTTGAACTCGAAGGGAGGAAGATCCTCCATGCGGTGGTTCTTGCCGCCCTGGAGAAGACCTTCTTTGTAGGTCTTGTAATCGTCCTGATTCTGAATCAGTTCTGAATCGATCCTAAACCGATTCCATTGTACTTACAGAATCCTTGTATGAAGGCATGATGTCGGATTTCTGAACTGATTCGGAAGTAATTAGGAATCGGTGCGCCAGGGGGGGGGGGGGGGCGCATACGATTTGAAAGGGTTACGGAGGGAAAAGGAAGAGAATCAGAATAGAATAGGGATTTAAATATTAATATGGGGTATGCACCCTAATCAGTAGTGGGACGCAATCAGTAACTGGTCCGTGCACCTGACCGATTAAAAATTCCATGGTCAGGTGGACCCACTTCACCTCAATACAGCCAATCATAAAATTGGTCAGATAGACCCATAATTCATTTAAATAAGTGGGTAATTGGTCAGGTTATCCCCCCCCCAATGGTCGCCTTGACCATACCCTCCACTTTTAGTCCCAGCCCCAGCCCCGTGCCCTAGGTGTACGGACGGTATAGCCAGGAAAGGAAGTCTGTAGCACTCAACCTCGTCAAACCCCGGCAAGTCCTAATCCGGCAGTGCCGCCCAGACAACACAAGTCCAGGACGAAACTTCTTAGTCTGGTGTTGACAATCGAAACCCTTGGTCAGAGTCACTTTTTTTTCTTGCTACAATAACGTTCAAGCAGCCCAGGTAACGGATAATTCTGAAAACGGTTGGTCTGAGACTAGGCATAAGTTGAGATATGCAAAATGGTTCGGGCAAGTAATTGGTCGGTGTCAATATCCGACACTACCCAAGATATGTAGTTTCTCATGCTTCATTACACTTGCTTACTTCCGGCCCAAGATAGGACTTTGAGTAGGTACAATGACTGTTCTGAAATCACGGGCTTGTAGCATTGGGGCGACCAACACTTCCTATTTGCAGGTGGTTCATGGCCCATGATTCATCCAGCCAAGCGCATCTGGTTTCCAGTTTTATGATACCCGCCGTCGATGGCCAACGATTTGTACTCGAAGAAAGTAATTTCAGTTTGATGCGCTTCGCTAATGATATTCATAAGATAACACTGAAATACATATTGGATGTCAAGGTATTTATAATCCTGCGTTTCAGTCGTCTATGCTCAGGGACCGCGTTCCAAGCCTCCTGGAACAGGCCTGCCTTTGCCGGCGTGCAATATGCCATGTTTGATGAACCTTCCAAAGTTAGAATGCAGTATGGCATTGCGTGGTAATGAGTTATAATGTAACAAAGTATGTGAACTAATAGTCATTAAGCCATGTTATCGAAATATTGGTCACTGGTCCACAGTCCTGGGGAACTGAATGATAGGACGTAGGCATATACCACAAACGCAGCACATTCATTGTAGCGAGCATCATGTTTGGCTTTTGATGTATATTCCATTGGATCTAACTATAGGTGTTTTTTTATGGCAGCCGACGAGATCTACTTGCCCCTGAGTTCACGTTAAACAGGCTGGAGATGTGTATGAGCTAGTCCCTGTCTCCGAAGCACATGTTTATTAGAGACACTAGGTTTCAACTTCGCTTTTTGGTCAATATCTTTCTCGAACTTGATATGATGACGTTTACAATACCAAGGGCTCGGTGTGGTATGGGAGTATCACGAACCTGAACTGATTCATTTCACGGGGACCTTGACCCATTGATCTCTATGTGTGAGGACATTGGACTCTTCTGTTAGCAGGATGGTTCTTACTGTGCCACCTGTAAAACAGAAACCTTTCAAAAGACCACGTTAGACGACGTGCCTTCCCGCCTGCGATCTTTTCTTGGATACAACGGATTCTCAGGAACTTACTAAAGAGTCCCCACTACACCTTTTTGTTATACTGAAATAAGCCATGGAATGATGAATATACCCTTAAGTTGTGTCTAGGAGAGAGAGTGTTGCCTACAACTCAATTGTTGTGACGAAGAGGCTTTGTGACGCGGCAGTGAGCCGATTGACATAATGTCTCGAATCATTGAGACTAGCGGATAGTTTAGCCTAAATTCTCACAGAGAAGTGCCTTGGAACTGTTTTACTGTCTGGATTGTTCATTCCGAAGACCACTGTGCCGAGTTCCCGATGCGAGGTTTTGACGAGGAAGTGACCAAGCATTACCATCTCCGATTGAGCCAAGGACATGTAGTCAGTTCAACCTTCTATCGCAAGTCAAGAAACATGTGTTGCAATCACTGGGAGTAGCAGAGCCATGTATGTATTTATTCACATGTGCATAAGTGTATAGAGGAGTATGATGACAGAATCACCATTGAAACGCGGTAAGAAGTCCATCTTCTGGAGCTGGTTTGAAGAGAACCTCACATAACGACTCGGCTATTGTCTAGTCGATCGTTGTATCATTCATCATAAAACATGTCATCACTACTGAAACTGCCCCAAAATAAGTAAAGGCCCACCAAGGCACCTATAATAGCAAGAAGAAGACATGAAGACTGGTTGCATGCTTCAGAATCCAGGTCCAGGAATTGTAGACATATATTGTCTGGCTATCCAACGATGAAGCGACGCGTAAATTACCGTCATACGAGCCGTAAGCTGAGTATCATGGCAATATACATATATGCTGGGATTATTAATATTGGAAATAAAAGTATCTAAGATTGCATGTAGGTATTGTTAGACTGGAGCATGGCAACCTTTACAAATATATCTTGACTGGTAAATGTATGAACACCACTCAATGTCCGTAGTTGGTCATCTGGTGCCAGCTGTCACCATGTTCATGATGGCGACATCCAATGTGGGGCGTAACGGCTCTCCTTGTGCCGCATCAGGGCGGAACAGCTAGACCTCGGTCAAGTCGAGGTGCGACCGATAAACGATCACAAGCATACCAAGCACAGTATAATACACTTTACCCCTAACAAGTCGACGAGGACCTGCATCATTTTATCCATCCAAATCCAAGGCAGGACGAATGGCCTCAAAAGCTGAGAAGTCCAGCGACAGGTACGCCTGACCCCTAACATAACCTCCAGAGGTTGCGCCGTCACTCGCAGACCAAAGCCAATGCTGACGCCTCTGCAACAGTGCTGTGAATATTATTTTCATCGGAGCTGGCGCCGTCGGCTGTTTTTATGCCTCCCGTCTACACCACGTGAATCCCCTCGCGATCTTGAAGAAATGTATGCACAGTTTTGCTGACTGGTTTAACAGCCTGACCGCAACATACACGTCTCACTGGTTGCAAGGTCGAACTACAAAGCTATTAACGAGTCCGGCGTGAAGTTGCAAACCCATTCTTTCGGAGACTACGTTTTCACGCCTCAAACAGCCTTTCCGTCTGTCGAGGCTGCAGCGGCATTGAACCGGGCAGGATCGACGTCCCAGTGGGACTATGTTTTCGTGACGACGAAGGCGCTGCCGGACCGCTCCGATGACTCCGCCATGATTGCTCCTCTTATAAGTCCCGCGTCCTGTATAGTACTGATACAGAACGGCGTCGGGGTTGAAGAACCGTTCCGTAAACGATTCCCCAAAAACCCCATCGTAAGCGCCGTGACGGTTGTTAGCGCGGAGCAGACGTCCCCTGGCGTGATCCGACAGAATCGCTGGACTAGAGTTAGCATCGGTCCGCATACGAACGGTCTCGGTACAGGCGATATTGAACTCGGCCAGTTAGGTACGCGGGCTGTTGAGAATCTCTGCAAGTGGTGGGGGCCTGGCTGGGGTGATATACGCGATATAGAGCCGCACGACGAGGTTGGGCTGCAAACGGTGCGATGGCATAAGCTCTGCATCAACGCGGCCTTCAACCCGAGTGCAGTGCTCAGCGGCGGTAGGGGCAACGCTGATATGGTGACAGACCCGGAACTGCGAGAGCATGTAGTAGGTGTCATGAACGAGATCAGGGCAGCGGTGCCCAAAATCTTGGGCCGCAAATTTCCGGATGATCTGGCCAAGCCGGATCGGATTGTCAAAAGCACAGAAAGGAACACTGGAGCCAGGCCGAGTATGCTGCTGGATTGGGAAGCTGGCAGGCCCCTGGAGCTCGAGGTGATTCTCGGCAATCCGGTGAGAATAGCGCGGGCTCATGGGGTAGAGATGCCACGACTACAAAGCCTCTATGCGCTTCTCAGAAGCGCACAGAAGAGCCGCGAGGAGAGAACCATAAAGGGAAAATTGTAGAATGCGCCACGTTTGCAACGCCGAGGCTGATAATCCGGCTTGCCCTGGCCCATCTGGCAACATTTCTTGTTTTCTTAGAAACTAGCAGTGATTTTGTATCAAATCTGGAAATGTTATTGAGACATTTGAACACTGGGTTATAATTGACCGAAACAATCTCATAAATCTCTGGCTTATCAGCGTTTGATCACAGTGCATGCATAGCTCCAACAATGTAAATTTCGATAGAGCAATCAACAAGTTGGAATTGGAATGTTAGGGCATGCGAGTTAGTAGTACACGACACGACGCGCCGCAGTCTCCAGGCGAAGCACTCCAGCCGCATGCTGATCGGTGGCGAGTCTTCACTGACAAGAGTCGGCACTTTGCCGGCAGGCACGTTCATTTGGAGCGATTTGAGGTTTGAAGGGTGGCCTGACGTCGTGCTTCATAAGGCGATGACAAATCCGTGGCGGTGGCGCTTGATGATGTTTGCGTACTTCGTGGTACGAAAGACGTCAACAGGTCTTGGACATGTAGGGGGCAGAGCAGCCACATCTCGTCTCACATCAGCGCCACAGACAGCTATGGTCCACATTCAGTGGTGACAACAGCTACCAATCCATGGGCTTTGTACGAGGAGATGTGGCGGTGGGAGGGAATGGGCTTGTTTGGAGGGAGGGATTCTGCTGCAGAGGGCACGAGCCTTGATGACGACATGATTTCCTGTTTTTCTGGGGTGGGGGGAGGGGGCAGCTTGTGGAAGCACCCACAACACGACGGAGATGAGGTGCTACGTACACCAGTAGTTTACAGAAGCTACGGATACACAATGCTGCTGCGTACCCTTGTTTTCCAAGGTGCCCTAGCTTCACCATTTCCTCTTGGTCTGAGATGGGATTCGGCTGGTGAAGGAGCAAACCTAGTGGAGAAGCCCAAGAGGATAGGTGGCTCGCGCTTGGCTCGCGCATGGCTGGCCTTGAGCCGTGGGATATGCAAGTGATAGAAAGATGCGACGGGCCGGTCAGCTGAGTCGAGGTTACCGACAGAATAGGTGGTGTTGGCAGGTGTGGCACCCCGTAGTATCTGGTTAAGCCTTATTCTCTGTACCACAGCGTTCAGGGCTGCAGCACCTATGCTTGGGGAGTGCTATGTTGTGGTGGTAGGGCCGATTCGCATCGCTTCGCATGAACCTTCCAGCCTGCCCGCGAAAGCAAGGAACCTCACCCCCAGTTGAGTACATTATCCCGAGGTTACCAGTACCCACTTGAGGTATCGGCCTTCTCCTCACTAAAGCAGGGATCAACAATTGCACAACCCATCGAAGAAGCATGGGCATTTTAAAAATCCCATTCGCTTCGTGAGCACAAGCTCATCTGTCCTCGCCAGCCAAATCAACCGCCGCCACCATGGATGGAGGGGTTGAGGCCCCGCCCCTGTTTTTACCATGCAGCTGTATCGGTGTCATGTATAGAAGGACGGAACCGATATGATATCAGGCGTTGAATCCAGGATGACTGGGTTTTTGTGGTTCCACAGAGCAGCATCTGTTGTTTAGTGCGGGCAGTGCGCGGGCTACAACCGTTTTTTTTTTTTTTTTTAAACATCAATACCTGGGAACTATCGAATCTCGATCTCGCATTCGTAAAGAGCTAATGCGGGAAGACAGAGCATAACAGAGTCAGAGCTGGTGAGGGTATATGAAGTGGTGAGCAGACATGAGACGGCAAACGAAACCAAACACCAACAGCAATCAGCAATGGCGGTGGCTTCCGCCTGGTTTTCTAGCCAACACCTAAAATTGTGTCATTTTATAATTTTACTTTTGTCACCTGGGTGCCCTCACTCCATCTCTCTCGCCCAAAACCAGCCAGCCGGATACGTTATCCCCATTGGTGCAAGCTCCGTGGCGCCTGGGAAAAGAGTAGTGTAATTTCTTGCCAGGGCACTGCTGGGAAGGCAACCGCACAGGACACGATTCAAATCAAGTTTCGTTTAATTCTCCTTTAGTTGTCTTTGTCTCCACTAGTAGTTCTGATGGCGCTGTACTTCTTCGAAGGTGGCGGGCAGGCGTGCCATGCTCAGCTCCATCCAACCCTTTCCCCTCGTGCAGGGTGATTCCATTGTTTCTGTCGTCTGCTTGAACCTGTGGCCCGCAACATTCGATACCTGATCTGCACCCTTAGTTCGGGACTCTGCGGAGCGAGCGTCAATACGGGCTTTGGGGTCCATCGCTTCGGGCAATTGCCGCCCACAGCACAGGATGCCTTGGCTCTCAAGCCGGATGTCCGTCATGGCCGCTTCCCTAATCGGATTTTCATCATAGTCCTTATGGTTTTGCCATTGGGGAGGGCGATTTTTCTTGTTTGTGGATGACAGTTCAGTCCTGTACGAATATTGTTACCGAGACTCTTTTCCCTGCAGGAATGTCCCATATTGGCCGGACCACATGTGCAAAGACTGTTCGGTGTCACGGATGACAACCATTACACATCTGGACCCCACGTTAAAAGATCACCATGTTTGAGTATCTGGGAATGACCCTGCTTTGTACAAACCGAGCAAGGCAAGGCAACGCAGCGAATACCATGATTAAGACTTGTCGGTATGTATACCAACGTTCATCAGGCCCCACGCCCATGCCCAGACTAGGTCTGCAAGACCTCTGCTTGCTTGGGTGGTGCTCGGAAATGATGGGGAATTAACCTGTCTTTTGGAATCCGACAGAATTGAGTACGTCTTGTCTTGGTCGTTTGTAGTTGGTGTTTTGGCCGGCGTACTAAAATTGTTGGTCGGACCCTGTCTGTCCTGAGATCGTTACCCCCCCCCCCCCCTCAACACAGCTACCTCGATTTACTGGTCGAAGGAACTACGCATTTTTGATCCGAATGTTGGCTTGTGAGTGTGACCAGGAGTTTGCACCAGAAGAGCTGCTGCTGGGCTGGCAAGCTGGCACAGCTGGGTACATACCTTCCTGCTATTCGCCCCAGTTCTAGCTCAGACAGGCACTTGGATTGACCAGCGCACCGTGCTTCGTACCAGCACTACTGGCCGGAGGAAAATGTCCTTAAGGGCGGGTCAGGTTCAGTGAGCTATCAGAAGAGAAAATACTACTACGTAGTGCAGTGCCCAGGGTCCCCAGTCCGCATTTCCAAAACCCCCGTTGTCTGTCGGGGTATTGGCCTGCGGCGCATCCAAGGTAGCTTGCCATATTTTTGTTTGTAAATACATCTCACCTTTGGCTGAGGTGAGTGGAAACGCCTGTTGAATGCTTATATAGAAGTGGTTGGCTTTAACGAAGGAGCACATATGCCTTAGTAAACGGAACATCGGATTGAAGTCTCCTATGGCATGCATCACCTCACCAAAGTTCTCTCACTGTTCAAGGAACGGACACGGACACAGATATGGGGGATGGTTTGGTATGTCTACGATGAGGGCCACTTGACCGCGGATCGACGCGCTAAAACAGCCTAGGCCGCGCATCCACGATGACTCTCACCAGTCCTGAACCTCAGCTGCCCCTTGTCGATAGCCGCCACTCTTGCGTCGGCTCCTGGAGCTTGTGCAGGTTTCCCTGCCCTGGTCATTACTGCACAACGCCTCTATCGGCTCGGCCTGTTGCTACTGGAACTGTGGGCTGTAGACTGGACTGGGCTTCAAACTAAGGTCAACTGGGACCACCTACCGCGCCCTATCCTTGCTAGCTGGGACTTTGCTGGGCTTCTGCTGCGTTTCGCTCTACCTGTGCTCCTCGGTGGTTAAATTTCAGACGGACCGGGGAATGAGTGTCATCTTTCTCGCCCTCTTTGTTCTTGTCTTGGACAACGTAAGTACCCGCCACAGATACCTTAGTTAATCTAAGGTCCTTTTAAAGGCCAAATACGTTTAGGAGGAGGAAGGAAGGAAGGAAGGAGGGAAGGAAGAGTGTAGAAGGGGGAAGACAGCCAGAAGTAACTCGATTGGCCGCCTAGGGACGCTGGTACCTCGAGGAGGGCAATCTATGTAGCAAAACCGCCCGCTATGCACTTGAGGTACCTAACTTTGCCATGCTTCGAAGCGCCTTGTCTGGTTTGAATGACCCTGCAAAGCCTCGCTTTTCCCCTGTATTTCCTCGTTCTGGCACTGGCTCAGTCTTCCCAACCTGCTTGATCTGGCCGAGCCTTCCTTTTCGCCTTCTGTTTTTTTTTCTTCCCTTTCCCCTCTCTCCTTCTTCTGATGATTCCTTGCCACTCTGGGGTTTGTGCTTGTGACAGCCCTTGTTGATGTTTTCGACCTACTGCCTCCACGGTACTGGATCGGCTACCACCAGTCTTTCTTTCTGGTTTCCTTACCCTTAATGGGACCACAGAAAAACATTGCATTGCTTGACGCTACCATACTATACCTGCCTTTTTTTGCCTTTTCTACTTCCTGCTTTTCTTCACTTTGCTGGGCTTTTTTGATGCAGGAGTCCGAATAACTACTGTTGTGTCGTCAGCCTTCTCATTCTTATTCCCCGCGTCATCTCAAAGCCTGTGCTCTTTGTTACTACTAGTATTACCACTAGTATTACCACTTCCACCGCGACCACTACCACCGCCACATATCAACAACCAAGGAACTCGAGGGTGAATCTCGACATCTCCCTCTCCACACCCCACGTTTGCCGCACATCTGACGGATCAACAAAGGGGGAAAGAACGGGAGAAACGAAGAAGCAGACGGGAAGAAACGTCTTGCCCCTGTCGTTGTCCACAGCGAACCGACCCTGCGCATCCCACCTCACAACCCCCCGGCCGAGCACCGCCAACCTCGTTGTGCAGAATTGCATCCCACCCCCGACTTTCCCATAGCCCGCGCCCCTCTAAATCCGAATGATTGAGTAAACCGCCGCTTCGCAGCCCACAACACCGGGAACCAAGGCCCGCACCACCGCTTAGATCGCGCCGACTGTCCGTTGTCGTATCTCCAAGACAATTCACATCCCTTTCTACTCCTACCTTCACCCACAGCTTCCCGGCCCTTACCTATTGCACTTTTCTTTGGTTCAACCCACAAAGCGCCCTGTCGCCTCATGCTAGGCCTGTCTGACTGCGGACCTTTGAGCCTCTGGCGGGGTCTCGTCCAGCTTGCATACCAGCAGGAATCCATAGACTTTTAGGTCTTCCGTCTTGCCCCTCAAGTATGGACGACCAGCCCGACGTCCGGCGGCCTTCTGTTTCCTTTGCCGACAACTCGACGACAGACGAATCCTCCGAAGCAACCCCGATCGCGAGCAATCATTCGGGCGCCGCTGCGCCACAGGTGGCAGACTCATCCGCCCCTGCTGCCGACTCCGCCAACGCTGCCGCTCCAGTTGCATCTTCCGTATACGTCTCCGCCAATACTGCGACTGCGACCCCCAGCTGCTCCTCGTCATGGAGTGCTAGTTCCGACCGACAACTCGGGCATGGCGCCAGTCCCGATCCTTCAGACCGAGTCTTTCCTATTCGTTCTGTCGTGAGTGTCGACCGTACCGGTCGAACCTCTGGCGAGCACGACTATTTTCCTCGACTGCCCGACCATGGCCAATATCAAGCACCTCGACCTGGCAATCCTCGTATCGACACTGCCGCTCTTGAGGCCGTTCCTCGTCGCGATTCTATCTCTGTCTCTACCCCTCACTCGCTCCCTTCAACACTTACATCGCCAAGCGATCGACAGGCTATTTTGACCAGGAGAAAGAATACAGGAAGTGGGCCATTGTCTAGCGTCCAAGCTGACGCCGCACGCCACGCCATTTCTAAACCACTTGATATCTTCCAAGATGCCCCGTCTGATATTGAGGAAGATTCGGCGCAAGGTGATGAGTCCTCTCAACTTCAGGCTTCTAGCTCGACCAGCCAGCTCGGCGAAGCGGGCAATGAAGGCCTCTTCACGACACGCTTCAAGCATGTTGTGACTGATGAAGGACATCATGTCATCACTGGCACCGACAGCTTTCTACAGCGATGCGAAGATGAGCCGATCCATACTCCCGGTGCAGTCCAGGGTTTTGGTGCCCTAGTGGCCATTCGTGAGGAGACTGATGGCCGGTTTTCAGTCCGCTATGCTAGTGAGAATACCGAGAGGTTGATGGGCTACTCACCGCAGCATCTGTTCCGTCTCAACAGCTTTCTCGACATACTCACTGAGGAGCAACAGGATAATTTGTTGGACCACATCGATTTCATTCGCGACGAAGATGCTGACCCTGCCATTAATGGGCCGGAGGTCTTCAGCCTTTCCATTCGCCCGCCCAAGAAGAAGAGTGTCAAGCTCTGGTGTGCCATTCATATTAATCCAGCACACCCCGAATTGATCATTTGCGAGGTCGAACTAGATGACGACCACCAGTTTCCGCTTCGACCACCAGAAGAGGCTACCCCGAATACGCCAGAAGATACGTTGCAGGCGAATCCCACCATGGAGGAGCTGGCTGAAAGTACAGAAATTCTCAGCAAGCCATTGAGGGTTCTCAGAAGTGCACGAAAACGCAGAGGTGACGCAGGCGCTATGCAGGTATTTGATATTATGTCCCAGGTACAGGAGCAGCTAGCGGCAGCGCCGAACCTGGAAGCATTCTTGAAGGTCTTGGTCGGCATTGTCAAGGAACTCACTGGCTTTCACCGAATTATGATTTACCAATTTGATTCCTCGTTTAATGGAAAGGTCGTCACCGAGCTTGTCGATACCACACACACAAAGGACTTGTACAAGGGCCTGCACTTTCCTGCCTCCGATATCCCGCGGCAAGCTCGCAACCTTTACAAGCTAAATAAGGTGAGGCTTCTCTATGACCGGGACCTGGAGACCGCTAGGCTCGTTTGCAAAGCGAAGGAGGACCTGGATCTACCCTTGGACCTCAGTCATTCCTACTTGCGCGCTATGTCACCCATTCACCTGAAATACCTCGCCAATATGGCTGTACGATCCTCAATGTCGGTTTCTATCAATGCATTCAACGAACTATGGGGTCTCATTGCTTGCCATTCTTACGGTCGCAAGGGCATGCGTGTGTCCTTTCCAATTCGCAAGATGTGCCGCTTAGTCGGAGACACGGCATCAAGAAATATCGAGAGATTGTCATACGCAACCCGCCTTCAGGCTCGCAAACTCATCAACACTGCACCTACGGAGAAAAATCCGTCCGGATATATTATAGCTTCGTCAGACGATCTTTTGAAGCTTTTTGATGCTGACTTTGGTATGCTTTCCATTAAGGGAGAGACCAAGATACTGGGCGATATTGAGCAGTCTCAAGAAGCGTTAGCTATGTTGGAGTACTTGCGCCTACGCGAACTTACATCAGTCGTCACTTCTCAGGACATTCGGGAAGACTTCCCCGACCTACGTTATCCCCTTGGTTTTACAGTCATTGCCGGTTTGCTGTACGTTCCATTGAGCGTCGGTGGCAATGACTTTATCGTCTTTTTCCGAAAAGGGCAGGTAAAGGAGGTGAAGTGGGCAGGGAATCCGTATGAGAAGACGTTACGCGAAGGCACAGCCGCTTATCTCGAGCCCAGGAAGAGTTTTAAGACTTGGCACGAGACGGTTCTCGGCAAATGTCGAGAGTGGTCAGAGGAACAAGTTGAGACAGCAGCTGTGCTATGTTTGGTCTACGGCAAGTTCATCGAAGTGTGGAGACAAAAGGAGGCTGCATTGCAGAGCAGCCGCCTTACGCGGCTTTTGCTTGCGAATTCGGCGCACGAAGTACGCACTCCTCTTAATGCAATCATCAACTACTTGGAGATTGCCTTGGAAGGCTCGCTAGATCAAGAGACCCGCGACAATCTTGCTAAATCGCATTCTGCATCGAAGTCTTTGATTTATGTCATCAATGACTTGCTCGACCTGACCAAAACGGAAGAGGGGCAGAATCTTGTTAAAGATGAAATTTTTGACTTCGGAATGTGTATTCGCGAAGCGACCGATCCGTTTATGAACGACGCCAAGAGGAAAGGCATCGACTACCAAGTCATCGAGCATCCTGGCTTACCTCGTCACGTCTGTGGCGACAGTCGGCGTCTCAGGCAGGCTATCTCCAATGTGGCGGCCAATGCGGTGCAAAACACCTCCAGCGGTTATGTTAGGGTTGAACTCTATGTTAGCGAGGTTCTCGAAAGCCGCGTACGAATCGAAATTGTCGTAGAGGACACGGGCAAAGGAATGACGGCGAAGCAGCTGGATACTCTTTTTCGGGACCTGGAGCAGGTCAGCGTCGAACTTGATGAAACCACTCCACCATCCCAAGACGATGGAGTCGGCAAAGAAAGTAGGATATTGGGTTTGGGTTTGGCCGTTGTTGCAAGAATTGTCCGGAACATGGATGGTCAGCTGCGTTTGAAGTCGGAGCAGAGCAGAGGTTCGAGGTTTGTTATTCAGTTGCCCTTCGATCTTCCGGACGATGAGCCCGCACCTACAGAAGGTACCATAGCTTCGAAACCGAATACTGCGTCCAGCGTCGCGTCAGTCACGACTGCGGTTATGCCGGACAACGATGGCGAAATGATGCTCATCGACCGCGGAAGCAAGCTGACCCACAATAATGAAGGCTTTGGGGAGACGAACTCTGGGTGTGCAGGCTCGAAAGCGGAAACCCTCAGTCTTGGGAGCCAGAGAAGCGCCGCCACAGGAGCCAGTCGAACGAGCGACAGGAGTTCCAGAAGCGATGCAGATCGGCTTATTGATGCGATACAAACGCCATTTTCTATCGGTGATGTCCACAATAACCGGCCGGTTTCTCAACGCCAGTTCTCGAAGGAAACCTTGCACCGGCCGGCATCTTCCGATGATAAAGATTCGTTGGCCTCAGCCGCCAGAGTTCTGGGATCACCAACTTCACGGCGAACAAACCCTAGTGGAATTACCTCGACCGAACCAACGCAGCCATCCGAAGTTGGATACACCAACGTCATGGACACAAGAACCCCCATAAGGGCAATCAAAATACCTGATGAGTATTTCGACCAGCCATCATCCAGACCCCAAGAGAGCAACTCTTCCCGAGTGCTCTTTGAAGTGCCAGAACGGCCTAAGGATCCGGCAATATCAGAAAGCGGTACTATTGGGACAGCTACCAGCATCGTTTCGGGGGCAGATGACACCAAGCTGCAGGTGCTCATCGCCGAAGACGATCCCATTAACTTGAGGATTCTGCGCAAGCGATTAGAGAAATCAGGCCATCAAGTATCACATGCCGTTAATGGTGAAGATTGCGCAACAGTTTACCGCGACAAATCCAAGTCCTTCGACGTTATTTTGATGGACATGCAGGTATGTGTCTTAGGTAACCAGGCGTACACTTGTGTTCTCGTTCTAACTTTCGGGTTTTGCAATACAGATGCCAATAGTTGATGGGCTTACAAGCACCAAGATGATACGGGCGTACGAGCAGTCCGAAGGCCACGGGGGTCACTCCACGATAGCCACCCACAACGGCAGAATCCCTATATTTGCCGTCTCCGCATCACTTATAGAACGCGAAAAGGACAAGTATGTCGACGCTGGTTTTGACGGATGGATTCTCAAGCCCATTGACTTCAAGCGGCTCAACACCTTATTGTTGGGAATTGTGGAGGATGGTGTTCGTACGTCGTGCCTATACGCCCCCGGGCAATGGGAGCGTGGTGGCTGGTTTAATGTTCGAGATCGCCCTGATGATGATTGTCAGAAGCATCAGGGGCCACACACAGAAACTCTAACCAAATCCTCATCAGAGGAAGAAAACGGGAGCATGCCAGAAGCTGACTTAGCAACTTGACCTTTTCCTTACTTGCCCCAACTTGCCAAGTGACGGCATGGACGGAGGTGCTGATGATTGAATAACGCAAGTTGTACTGTCAACCTTCGCATGTCTCCCCCAGCTTCTCTCCCTCTCCATGAAATATGTGGCACGAGATTCTGGAGGCGACAATGGCGATGGTCGAGATTTGCATGGCCGAAGGAGATTGTTACTTTTGTGCGGTTCTTATACGAGTAACTTTGATGCAGACTGTTATGAGAACGCAAGCGCCACACTGTCTTCAAGAGGTTTTGCAGACATGGAGTTTATGAAGCTTAAGAGAGGGACAGGTTTGAAAACAGGAGCTAGCTTGTTGGAGCGTAGCGACTTAGATCGGGGAAAACGGTACGGTTACCATGGCAAAAGCATACGGATTGCATGGGGAGGGAATGGGCAAGGAGCCCGGCACTGGCAGGCGTTCTAAGTGAAATTTTACCTGTTACGTCTCTCGGCCTTAAGTGCAATATACCATCACGGGGTTATTTTTACTTTTTCCAGGACATGGCGCAGGCTTGGAGCTGCGGTGAAAGCGGATCAAGAGTAGTTGTTCGATGAAACGACAAGATGACAATATCACCTAAACGACGCACCACAGTTACATTTAGTAGATCGTGGCTGCGACGTTGATAATGGAACACTTTCAGAAGTTACCAAACCGGCGGGTTTCCCCTCTTCACGGTGTGATTCCAGTGTCTGCACAATGAGGATTAATTTTACAGGTTCAGTTACTGGGTATTATTGTTTGTGTGGAAGGTCGAGAAGTAAAACGCAAGTGACCTGACTTGGCAACTCAGTAGCCATTCAAGCTTCTTTCGGACTCGTTTAGCGTCTCAGAGCCCGTTAATTGTATTAAACCTTGGGCTTTAGGAGTAATGATCTAGTCATTCGAGTAGGTTGAGTTAGTAATTCAGAGGAGTGGGCGGGCCAGGAGTTCGTTCAATACAGTGAGAGAGATGGAGAACGTGGGTATGGGTGGGTTGGGGAAACTAGCGTAGGGAAGCATATGTGAGAGGCTTGGGTTTCATTCCAGACGTGGCTCCAACCACCCACGCCGTGCATGATGATTCCGAGGACAAGCAGTTGTGTACGGAGACGTGGCAGCCAATGCTACTCAATACTCACACGAAATGCGTCAAGTCTTCAGTCTCGTATTTCATAAGGTGAGACATCAAGTCTTGGGAGGTAGACGGCTGCAAACGGTAGGTAGGCCCCTGTCCATCTAGAATCAGCCTGTCTTGGAAGCGGCAGCAGCAACGACACTGACAGCAGTGAACGGTATATATATAATAAGGTGAGTGCCCACTATCGTGGATGAATCACTCTTTCACCGAAACCGATCACTGTCCAGCAGAGCATGTGCCATTTGTTCTGCTTGCCTGACCTCTAGTTTCCCTTAACCAGGTGAGCAGGTGGGAAAACGATAATCAGTAATGCGTCGATGGAGTTTTTCATGACTGAAACATAGAGGGTCTAGTACAGTTCACCCTTACTTAGATACCGCCTGCCCTCGTAGCCCTCCTTATACAAGTTATCACTGGGTGGTAGTTCGGAAGTAGCAAGAGCCGGGCGGCATAAGAAGCGGGCAAATCCTTGGATATATGTGGCGATGTAGGTGCAGAAAAAGACGGAGAAAATGTAATTTGAGAGGCAGTATATACACCAGAGCCATGAAAGAAGCCATTAACTGGTGAGCGTTTGATCGTGCATATGCCTTTTGGTTCTGATTCGTAGTGTCCAACAAGCACCATCCAATTGACCAGCAAAGTCCATCGGGGATTGATACCCGTGCACTTCCCCTCTTACTCCTTCAGTCATGATTGGCGTGGCCTGTCGTTACTGTTCGTGATTCGTGTGTCTCTGGAAAGTTAAAGTGCCCCTCTACACCAGCGCCTCGTCCTGCTGCAGTAGACGGCACTTCTATTGTGTACCCCGGCCTCTCTACTTATTCAACATGCAATCATCCCGTTTTAAATCAGAACCATCATTTTCTGTAGTTCTCACGAGCCTTTAACATGCTTCCCCGCTTTCCACTGTCAACCTCCCTTGAGATGGAAATAGCAGAAAAAGGTAGACTGCGCCATATTATATGGTATCTGGATATAGGAGGGATGATGAAGATATTACTAGCCAGCATATCCTTTTTAGTCTGGCTTTAGCTAAAAGAGGATCCTGGCAATTGGGCAACTCTGTTTAGGGACCGGCGGTTGGGTGGGCAGCGGACAAGGAAAAGCCGAGCACGGCAGTTTCTTTTTGGGTTTCCTCTGTGCTTCTCTCAGTGGACAAGTGACCAGCATTGCGGACCTTATATGTATGAAGAGAACGATGTGATGATGGGGTAGAGCAGTGGAAGTCCAACAAACTTCTTGACAGCTTTTGCTGATCAGCGTCCAACTCTCGTCAGCGTTTGCGTTGGCTACGACTTGATTTAGGAGGGATGCTTGTAATTCATCACAGCCTTTCCGACTAACGCACTCCCGTTTTTCCGTCTTAGTCTACTGAATGAGTACTCCTCGCCAAATCAATCAACTGGATCTCATCTGCTTTCTTCGCACACATACACATCCGCACGCGTGCGCACTCTTTCCCTCTCCCTCTCTGCATCTCTCTCGTCCTGCGCCTCCACGAATCAGAAAACGACATGGTCCAAGAAAGTCTTCCTCCTGAAGCATACGATGACAAGAGGGCAATCGTCATCGGATCAGTGGTTCTCTGCATCGGGCTTCCTGCAATACTGGTTGGCCTGCGAGTGTATACAAGGACTGTCGTCATTGCATTGTTCGGCATTGATGATATCTTTGCTATCTTTGGGCTCGTAGGTGATGTCTATACAAAGTAAAATAAGGCTGAACTGACATCCGAGCAAAGATGGCTACGACAGGCTGTGGTATTGCTATAGCTGTGAGTAAGTTTCGACCAACAACCCCTTCGCAAACCTGAATACCCGCAGTTGGCTTACCTAGGCTGGAGTGACTGAACATGGTCTCGGAAGACACATATTGACCCTAGATTCTTCTGTTATACCAGATTATCTTCACGTAAGTAGAAAATCAATCCCTTTCTCAAATTGATGTCCATTTCGCAATCAATGAGCTTACTTGCATGTCCCTCAGACCTTCTTTGTCTCCATCGTTCTCTACAACATCGCTCTCCTCTGCATCAAGTTATCTTTTCTGTTCCAGTACTACCGAATCATGGCCGTACCGAGAATGCGACGGACCTATGCCCTTGCCATGGTTGTCATCGGAGCATGGGCTGTCTCTCAGGTTCTCATTGCTACGTTCACCTGTATACCCGTTGAAGGGTTTTGGAACAAGACCATTCAAGCAAAATGCATCCCCTCGCAACCGCAGTGGTATATTAATGCAGCGGGGAACATAGCTACTGATGTTGCGGTATTTGCGCTACCTCTTCCCATTTTCTGGCATCTCAGCCTGCCGCGGAAGCAAAGATTACTTCTGATGGGTATTTTCAGCCTCGGCTTTTTGTAATTCACAAACCTTACCCTCCATCAAGTATGTTTGTTGTCTGCTAACTTTTTGTGAGCACCGTCGCCATCTCGGTTGTCAGGACCAAATACCTCAGCATTCACAAGGACTTCACATGGACTAATGTTGATGCATCACTCTGGTCCTTGGGAGAAATCGCCTCAGCCGTTACCACCGCATGCCTCCCTACCTTGCGACCTTTCCTGACTGCTATGTTCCCAAAAATGATGGCCCGGGTGAACTATTCGTTCCACAGTCATCAGACTGACACTCTGGGCACGTACCCCATACACCCTTATTCTGCCTTCACTGCCGACCCAAACGACGTCGACAAATCCGCAATGGAATCGGCCGTCTCTAGTGCAAGATCGAGCCATATGAAAGATGGCAAGCCGCCGACGCATGAATCGCCCTTTCAACATCACACCACTTCCACTGAAAGCATCTTCGGGTTGGCAAGCTTACGGGAGGACGCCATTACCCCCATGAAGTCTAACTCAAGCCCCACAAGTCCCAGGCTGATATGGTATCCTTCCAATAAAACCCCCAATCGCCTGGGGGGTTTTGACCAGCATGGTTCAGTGATCTGAACTTGTACCTGGGCTGTGTGGACGGTTCAGGCCATAGGCTGTAGAACCTCAAGGGGGCGAGGTAAAGTAGCACTGAACTGATGATAGTCCCAGAGATACGACCCTGAATTTGAGCAAGAAGAGGTGCTGCAGTACTTTTGCTGCGAACGGTAACGGTTACCAGATGCTTTATGGGCGGGTAAGGAGTAATTATAAGTCATTAATGAGAAGACCTAGGAAGTGACTCGTCTCTTCTTATGTCGTGGTATCTTTTCCGCAGCTGTAATCGGCGCCAGAAGGGGCCCCCGAGCGATAATTCTATATATTATGTACAATAATCTCTGTCTTGGGAAATCAACGTCTAAACTTCCACCATGGCTTCTTCTCCGACTCCTTGTAACCTTCTTCCTTGACGTTGTGCTTTCCAACGATGGTAAGAAAAACTTGATCGAGTGTTGTCGGGCTAACACTGTAATGCATGATGCCCAAGACTTCTCTCTGCTCTTCTAGCATGACTGCCAACTGACCAACTGCGCTAGATGACACATCCTGATCTGCTCGGGTGATGTCTTTGGTCTTGGGGCCACCAAAGGCCCCGAGAACCTCGCTTGCTGGCACAGAAAAACGCATCTGGCCATGGTATGTCTTTTCCTCCACCTCAGCCCCAGGAAATGTACTCTTCACCCAGCTGCGGAGGCGCTCGGTTTCATCCGGAGTGGTGTGTGGCGCTGTTTTGCTAATCAAGTGGACGTGAAGCGCATCTCCAAAGCGGCGACGAAGGTTGTCTGTCGTGCCAAGGGCCAGCATACGTTTCGCCAGAATTCCCGCCCGGCTAGCGAGAGCGTCTGCTTCCTCCATACTGTGAGTAGTGAGAAGAAGCGATCGGCCTGGAACAGTGGCTGCTAAAGTCTTCCACATAATACGCTTAGCGGCGGCGTCTAAGCCAGATGATGGTTCGTCTAGCAGGACGACCGTAGGGTTGCCCATGAGAGCGATGCCAAGGCTGAGCTTGCGTTTGTTGCCGCCTGATAAGGCGTGGGCCATACGGGTCGAGAAAGCCTGGAGGCCGACGGCGTGAATAACGGCATTGACATTGTGGTTGATGTCGGGAATGCCTCGGATTCGAGCGTAGAACTCGAGATGCTCTCGCACCGTCATCAAGTCCATAGCGTCATGCTGGGGGCAGACACCAAGATGTGCTCGAGCAGCGGGCAAATTGTGAATGACCGATTTGTCTTCAACCAGAATTTCGCCACCGTTGCGGCTTGGCTTGAGGTCCCCGCGAATTAAGGAGATGGTGGTTGATTTTCCAGCTCCGTTAGGTCCTAACAAGGCGAATACTTCTCCCCGCTGAATACCAAATGTGACGTTATCTACAGCAGTATTCCTGCCAAAAGTTTTGGTGAGATGCATCACTCGAAGTCCATCGTCATTACTTTGTGTTGTAGTAACCCTTGCCAACTCGTTTGCGAGCTCTTCATCGGATGCGGCAGGGTCTTCTTCCTCACTGTGCCGCCGCTGCCATAGCCGCCTTAATGATGAGCCAACAGAGCCGCTGTCACACCATAACAGGATGGCAAACAGAATGATCGATTGTAAAGCCAAATAGAGGATAGGGCCTCCGTACTGGAGCATCCCTCCTGGGTTCTGTGCAAGCTCCCGTCCGTCGCAAGCTGTCGAGAAGAGGTTGAGCGCCAAAAACATGGCCCGCACAACTGAGCCAATTGGTGCAACAGCAGAGATGACGAAATGGACTACCAGAAGGTAGTCGTCGACCTTGGTGACAGGTGCGTAGGTGACGGTGCACATATACGCAACCAGGTATATCAAAAACATAACTGCTTGCCCGGCAGCGACCCAGGCATATGTGGAAAGCTGCGTTTTGCAGAATAACGAAATTACGTAGGCCAGGAGAATGGCGGTCAAGCCGTAGAGCATGAATATGAGGAAGATGAAACCGACATGATACCAGATGCTCGATAAGGTAGCCCAGAGAATGGTTACCAGAGTAGTAGAGGCAAGAACGACAATGAAATCAAAGGCGAGATACGCAAGCCACAAAGGCAGCGGCCGGACGCCGTTAGAGTATTGTAGTCCGCGAACCATCCGTCTTCTTTCCAAGCTCGGGTATAGCGCGAAGAACCCGGGGTAAGCACTGAGAGCAATGCCGGTGTATACAAGGAATTGCAGCGAATTTCCAGTATCAGGGTCCCAGGGGGTTGCGAAGGGAGCCCAAGTCATCATGACTGTAACGTTGCTGAGCAACATGTTCATGAAATTTTGGGATAGCAACGGATTGAGAAGGCCGTTATAGTTGGACATGTAAGCAATGGTAGGTGCAACAGTATCGTCACCCAGCCAAAGACCACCTGGCAATGTCTCAAGGCGCCGATCGACAACTGTTCTTTTGAAAGCGTCAAATGTGTCTGCAAAGGTAGCATTCTGTTCGAGTAATTGCCGGGCGAATTCTAAGCCGGCACTGGGGTCAGAACCGGTGCTGGACCCAGAGTTGCCAGAAGCTGCGTTGAACACAGGGAGAAGAACGCTAGCAGCAGTAGCAAGATCAAGACTAGAGGCTGGCCCAATTACCAATTTCCAACTAAATTCGTTGAGGCTGAATCCCTGGCTCTGGTCAAGTGATCGCTCCTCCGAAGGAGCACATCCAGCTTGTTTTTGACCCTTGATGAATAGTGTAACAAGGCCAGCTGCTGCCACAGGAAGGATAAAAGCTGTGAAATGAGGGACCCAATTTGTCTTGAGAATGGTAATACGCTTGCGAAAGAGAACAGCAGCCTGCTTGAGGTACCCGATGCGGTGACCGTCTAGCAGCTGCAACCCTCCCTGAGGTACAGCGCCGACAGGAAGAACCTCGTCTGATGTCGCTTTCTTCTCGTTGTAATCCGAAGATGTATCAAGTGTGGAGTTCTCTGTTTCCCCGCGGACCTCTTCCGCCAGCTGTAGAAACACGTCCTCAATTGTAGGCCCTGAGAATTTGTACTCTCGAATGCCGTTGGCCTCCAATGTGCGGATAACCAGAGCAGCCAAGGACGAAGACGGGGCGATATAGCTCACAAAATCGAAGGAGATCTTCTTCTCAACACCCTCCACCTCAGGAGCGTTCTTGATTCCAGTATCCTTGTGAACATGAACTCGGTATCCGCCTCCAAGTCTGTCTTTTAGCTCGACTGACGATCCATCAGCACGCAGTGTGCCTTTAGAAAGAACGGCGATGTGGTCAGCAAGGAGATCAGCCTCATCCAGAAAGTGCGTAGTGAGGACAATGGTGCGCCGTCCGCGTTCAGCTAATAGGATGTCCCAGATTTTTCGCCGACTGAGAGGGTCGATGCCACTGCTAACTTCATCCACACAACACACTGCACTCCCTCCTGTAAGCATCATTCCTAACTGGAGCTTTCGTTTTTGTCCGCCAGACAGAGTTTTCGACATCGCTTTCCGTTTCAGTTCGAGATCAACAGACTTGATCAGGTCAAGAATCTCTTGTTTAGTTGCAAGGTTTGTAGGGGACTTGAGCCTGTTAAAGATCTGAATATGCTGCTCAACCGTCAAGTCGTCCCACATAACATTCTTCTGAGGTGCTATTCCCAGCCCGCCAGTCCCATCGATAGTGATTGAGCCACCTGTTAGCTTGTTGGTACCGGCGATGGAGTCCAAAGTGGTAGATTTACCACTACCGTTGGCACCTAGAAGGGCTAAGATTTGGCCTCTGCGGACGTTCAAAGTCAAATTGTCGACCGCAACGACGGGTTCGCGAGGGGTTGAGATGAAGGAGAACAAGCGACGCAAAGCTGAGGGCCTGTAGATTTTGGTAAAGCCTTCAAGGCGTACAGCGGCGTCATCTTCGGGGTTTTCAGTCGAGCCGAGTACAATGTTCCTGCCTTTAGCAGTAGTGCCGTGTAGTTTAGACTCAATAAAAGCTCCAAGTAAGGGATAGCCGAAGATTTGAATTATGAGGTAGATCCAGAGCACAATTCCAGTGAGTTCCCAGGGGCTCCCCGGTGCAACTTTGGTGAGATTCGTCGGGGCATCTTGAGCCTCCCAACGGGCCATGTATGTAATAAAATAAACGTAGTTGCACGGGGCAAAGAGAAGGCTGAGAATGCCGACGGCGGCGGTGTTGGGGTAAGAAATGGACTGCGCGAGGATGCCGAGTATTATACTCAAGAGAACAGCCGCAATACCGCTGATCTGGGCCTTCTTGAAGAAGGAAGATGCTAGAATAGAGAAGGAGGCCATGGAAATGCCATTGAGAACATGGTAAACCAAAACAGTGGCCACACTGGTCCGGGCGAAGACGCCCGCGCGCAATACCAGCGAGCCGATTACCCAGCCAGGGAGATAGAGGACGGTGAAGGCAAGATGATAGGAGACGATACGGGCAGCTTGAGCGTGCCATCGGCGTTTGACGGGCATCATGGCATCGAGGAGCCGGGTCATGCCACTCTCACGCTCGGTCGCAATGAATCCGGTGAGATGATAAGTGACGAACATGATGCTGGTCATAAATGCAACACCCATCCAATTGGTGATGGCGCTTTGATATCTGATGCGAATCTGAACGGCGCGCTCCTCTTGAGTTATGCTGGTGAAAGGATACTCGTCGACAGGGTCGGGCAACGAACGTTGCTGAAGTTGCGAGGATTGTCCAGATGCCGAACTCGCCTGGACGGAGGCGATAGCGGCATCGACTGCGCGTTGCAGCGGCAAGAGGTAGATTTGGGCATCGTTTCTGTCCGAGTCAACGTCAATGACCATGGATCGCAACGCGCCGTCGCTGCGAAGAGTGTAGTTCCAGTAGTCGCCAGGGCCCTCAGTAGGAGAGGCCTGAAAGACAACAGCGCCATAGCAGGTCGAAACTCCCCGGAGGTTGCTTCGGCAGTCGGTACCGAGGTCAGCCGTTGATGACCGGCGCAGGGCTGTCTTGCCGGTACTCTGTACGGAATCGACAAGAATTTCGATGACTCTATCGATATCGCCGCCGGCGAGACCATTGTTGACAAACACAACCGTCTCTCTACCGGCGCTGGATGCAGCGTTGAGAGCATCCGGGAGTGCGCGAATGTGTCTTGGATCAGATACACCATATGTAGACGGTGGGACAAAAAGGTTCTTGGCAAAACTGAAAAAGGTCGTCAGGGCAATCGGCAGGATAAGTGCGATGAATATGGCGGCAATAGAATGACGACTGACAATCTTCCAGTTCTTGCAAGTCAGTGTCCAAGTCTGGCGTAGGAATGCCATAATGACAGGCGTCGCCCAGAGCGGTTGGGCAATGAGTCGCTCGTCGTTTTCGTTGTCTGCGGATGCTGATGGTGTGGGCACTGACCACTTACTTCAGCGGCTCGCTCCAACACCGGGAGATGGTGTTTAGAACAGGACGACCACCGCTGAGGGAAGCAAAAATTATCGAAGAAAATGATTATCAATTGGTTGACCGAAACGTCAGGAGTAGTTGAGCAAAGAAAAAGATGGTGGTTGTGTGCAGCAAAGCGGCTCCACGGAGCGCCCACACGGGGAGTTCGTGCAGACGGGGTGTGGTTAGGACCGGGCTCAACTGGTTCGAGAAATGTTGGATGTCACCCGTCGTCAGAAGTTGGGAGAAGGGCTGCACGGCGTCGATCGTCCTCGGCCTGGAAGCCTGACCAGAAGACGAGAACGAAGAGACGTGCACACTTGAATGAGAGGAGAAGAGCAGTTTATGTATCGACAAGAAGATATCGGTTGTATAGGATGGAAAGATGAACAAGGGTGCGAGGATTAACCTTCATGCCACAGGGCAGATAGCAAGCATGAGATAAGACTGGGAAGTAGGTGTTCGTCCCAACAACAACGTTGGATGACAGACCACTGCGTAAATCTGTTCTCGGTTTATGCGACTGAGTCTTGAGACTCGGAGGTGATGGAAAAAAACGAAAATTTCTCCTGGCGTCGTGGATCGAGGCAGAACAGGAATCATGCCCGGATAAGAAAAAAAATCGCGGTATTCTGTACTACCTTATGGAAGGCACTCTTCTCTACTATATACGTACTCTAGCGAATTGGGGCGCCGCGGCCCGCTAGAAATCAGACCGAATCCCGGGCGGTTGTTAGCATCTGTGCCTCTTGAACGCGCCTCTTTGCAGTATTTGTTCAGGCATTTCCGGGCCACTTGGCCCACATCATGCACAGACTCACCTCGCTTACCACGTAGTGTAGGTAGTACCTGGGCTTCGAGCTTCAGAGCTCCATACATATAAAATGTGCAAGTGGCTTGGCAAAGGACCGTAGTAAGCTTGGCTGGCTGCACTTGTGGCTGGCCTACCATGACATGGCGACGTCTACCGGACCGTACAACTGAGCTCAGTGACTCTGCGTATTGGGGTAATTTACTCAGGATGGCAACAGTGCCTTGAGCAGATGGCGGTCATGATGTGTTCCAATCCTACCCAGAGAAGTAAAGTGATGGATGCCTGCTCGTACCATCTACACCAAAACGGCTTTCACCAAGTCCGTATTTGAGCCAACAAATGAGAGGGTCGCAACATCCCGCTCCTCTTCACTTCATCCAAATGAATTGATTGTTGTTGAGCCTTCATCTTGCCCGCGCGGTCTAACACAGCCCCTTTGCGCCAGATAGCTGCTATGTCTCGGGTGTCCGCCGTTGGCCACTAGTATACTGTGTTGCTTTAATCCCGGGCGTACCTCGCACAGAAGAGACTTGGGTCATCAGGACGCGTGTCACCGATGTCCAAGCAGCTACTTTTTGAGCATACAATTGCACAATCGTCAGCGTCGTATCACACATCTAGTCTCTGTCTCTCTTATTTTTTACATTAATTTATTTTTGTTCATTATTTATTCCGAGATCAAATGTTCAACACCTGGGAGATTTAGGACCATGTGGCCATCTGGCTTCGGGCCAAGCCGCCCTGAAAATCGTTGACGTCGGTCAAGAATGCCTCGGCTCTATTGGGGAATATGAACTACCAATCACGGTTGTTAAATCCTCCACTCTTCACACAACTCTGTGTCGCTTCTCGTGGTCGGATTTAGCCTCTCGCAATCCACGTTACCCACGCGGAGACATGCCCACTAAAACCACTCCACTGCGATCTCTCCGTCTAGTGTAAGTTAATGTGCATCGCGCCATGAAGATAGCTTGCTTTCTTCCGCCTCGCTCAAGCTCACCCCCTTTAAGTAGGAAGCACCATAAAACAAAACAATATTCATGTATCTTCAAAGTTTTTCCTGAAATCTCGCAGTAAATTTATTGACGCGAGACTACTGCCTTGAGAGCATACAGATCCAAAGGCTCTGCGTCGTAAGCTCGCTTGTCGTAACTCGCTTTGCGACACGCAAGGTGATCCTCGTCTACTCCACTAGAAATCCTCCGCCACCCCCGTCCTCTTCCATGTCGTATTCTTCGGTAACGTCGCTTGGTGCATCCTCAAGCTCGTCTCCATGTCTCTCGAACCCACCGCTGTCGTCTCCGGTCCCCATAACAACTCCGTCCTCGTCTCCGTGTTCGTCCTCAATCATGAATCCTCCACCACCATCCACTGCAATGTCATCTTCTTCCGTCCCCGCAAGCTCTTCCGTGATTCTTTGCTCCTCCTCGGCCCTCTCATCCGGATCCACACCTGCCCATACACGCTCTCGGATGCGGAGTGCTGTGAGGAACCGCTTCCAAACTCGGATTGCCATCAGAGACCGTTTGCTCTGCTCCGCTTGTGCATCCATATCCCCCAAGCCATCCATTACTGCCTGGACTGCCTCTTCATACTCTCGGGCTATTACCACGCCGTTAAGAACCGCCGTGCCGTGTTTGCCTTTGAATTGAAAACCGGTCAGCGCAGGTGCGTAATCAATGCCCAGAATGTAGGCTGCACGTGCAGCAGTGTCGAACTCGTCAGCGACGTGAACGCCCCCTTCGGGTACCATGCTAGGCACGTAAATATCAATATTGCCAAACTTGTTCTTCGGCACGCATCCGTTGACGACTGGTGATGGACGGTAGAGCTCAGTTTGTTCCTCCATAAACACCGGCATGCCTGCTGCATCTCTCTCATCTCCACCATAACCATCATCGACGTACTGGCCAGGTTTTGCATTGGACCTGCGAGGAAGGAATTTAACTGGAACCTCCATGGGCTTGACTTCGCGTCCCATGCGATACCACTTGTCTCTGCTCCTCGCAACGCGCACGTCTTTGCGACGGTATACCTTCTCTAGCGGGGCCTTGCTTCCGGCCGCAACTGTTCCTGCAGGTTGTGCTCCAGGTATGAGGACTTCGTTCCGCCGCAAGTGCCTTTCCAGCGCAAAGACAGGATGGTCTTTAAAGTCTGCCACATTACGTGGCATGGGCTCACGCCCTTCAATAGCAGTGAGCTCGTTATCTTCAATTTGATCAAGATCGGTGGGCCAACGCCGGGCAAATGGTTTCAATGCCTTGCGCCACCACCAGCTACCTTTCTCATCCGCTGTTTCGACGCGCAATCTTCGTGTCTTTGCGGCATACGCCTTTGCGTATCTTCTAGTCACGTCGCGGACAGTACCATCGGATTCAAAGGCAACTACATAACTCAGGCAGTTTTCTCGGTCAGAGGCTGGCGGCTCCAGTGCACGAGGTTTCCACATTGAATTAGTCACCAGGGGATCAACAGGTTGCCATTTCTGATGAGCAACATCTAAAACCTCTACCCAGTAGACCGGATATGGAGATTCCCGGATTCTTTTGCGGGCTCCCGCATGTTTGCGGGCGACTGGTGCCGAGCCTGGCATCAGTGGTAACTGGTATGCCGTAGCGTTTGGGTGTCCAAGTCGTTGCAGAGGCGAGGCTTTGCTCATGTCGGAGGATGAAGATGCTTCCTCGGGAGCCGAGTACTGAGACAGCTGTGCCTGAATCTGTTCTGCCTTGGTGGGTTTTGTTGCGGTCTTCGTATCACGAGGCTTGGGGAGTGTTGGCCCGCTTTGAGAAAATGACAAGGGTTGCAAGGAACAAACCAAGCGGGCGCGTACTCCGGCAGATCGTAACAGAGCGCAGTACAACTGAGCACCAACGTCTCGAGAACCATGCAACTTTCTGGCAGTCTCCCTGAAGTCTTGCCGGTCCATGCATGAATCCATATCGCTGGGGAGCTCGTACTATGATTTTGGCACTCAGCTATGCTGCATAAGCGACAGAGGACAAATGCACTTACTTTGACAAGATGACCTGGGTCTTCTGACCATAGAGACCGGCGCAATCCCCTCTCTGTGACCTGAAATTTAGATTTGAACATTGATCCCGCTTGTTGAAGGCCTGTTTTCAAAGATTCTGTCTGACCAAACTGTGGGAGAGTGGGCGCTGGATTTAAGTAATCGATAGTCTTTTTGGACAGTAGAGGACGTAGAGAAGCCAGGACCTGTTTGTCACCGCACCATCGATTTCTTAAAGCGCAGTGAAGGAGGAGACACAGTACATGTGCCTTATGGACTGATACACGACGTTCCCTTTCCTCCTTGGTAATTGGTTTCCGCCTGTCACCGCGTGTTTTGGTAGCCGCTGTTGTTCCTGCATGGATCGATAGATTAAGAGTAAGCTTCTCGGGTTCTTCTACTGTCCCTGACTCAGCCTGCACAGCACTGAAGTCAACGTCCTCGAATTCGACCTCTTGTTCGTCAGATTCTTCATCATCAGAATCTCTGTAGATAGTCTGGACAGTGGGTGCAGGGAGAATAACATCTTCGAACTGGATGTCTTCTTCTTCTCCATCATCATCATCCTCATTCACAGGCTGCCCTGGGGATTTGATAGAGTCAGGCTGTGCCTTTCTTTCCCCGGGCCTTTTCAGCTTTTTTGGAGGCGGTTCTGATGAGGCTGAAGGACCAGCATCCGCGGCTGCTTCAGCTAGCATCTCCTGATAGACATCTGGTAAATCAGACACTGCGGGCCTTCGCTGAGAGGCCCTGGTTCGTTTACGGCCAACCATTAGTGGGGGCTGTGCGGTATGGAAGAAAGTGTATCGGTTGTAGTAGTATAGAGGAAGTATTCCAAGCACATGTGAAATACGCTTAGCCAATACTGAAGATTATTGGTTGCTTAAGTATCCGTATGTTCACTAATGGGTCGAATAGGCACCTTGTTCTGACTGACTCCTTCTCAAGCTGACAAACTAGTAGTGCAACGTCATAACGCACAGGCCATTAACGCGAAAACATGTGACAAGACACCTGACAGTCCCATTCCACTCCACTGAACCCTGTCTATTGGTGCTCCAAGCAAAAACCCTCAGAGATGTTGTGTGTAAAACCCCCATCATTTACAGTGACCCTTTTCTCCAGCTTCCATCTCCCAACCTTTCACTATAAATATCCAACTCCCACACAGGCATATGCGATGATGTTTATCGTTCACTCGCATTTGGGTGAAACTCGCTCCGCCCTGTCAATCTGCAACTTAAACCCGGTCTAACATGTTTTGCAATCTGGCCGACACCGAGCATGTTTAACTGCGCACTTATGCCATATTGGTGTAGCGCCGGTTTCGCTTATAGCAAAATATCCTTTTGGGTTGGGGGCGGGAGGCGAGTGAGCCTCTAATTTTAACTGGTGACGTCTTCATTCTACTAGATGATTCATTACTGGCCGCGATAAAAAAGGGTCGTGTCCAGAGGCAGTTTCTCGCCCATCCATATGGCTCTCTGTGTGTGGTTACGTAGTTCAACGGCATTGTGATCAACCCCCTCTTCGACCGTATTAGGGTGGATGAGCACAGACAAAGGGCCTCTGTAGATAGCCAACCAGGGGATGAACGCGCCGAACTGGGCGGGCGTGAAGAGATTGACCTCGAACATGGCGACAGGGTGTGGGCCAATTGGCTTCTCCCAGAATCGGTAGATCCTCAGTTCAGGGACTGTACGAGGTTCAGTTTGCTGTTCACTCGGTTTAAATTAAGAGACTCACACTCCCTACGAATTCGCTCCCACAGTTCCTTGGCATGCTTGACTTGGTCTGGATTGCTCTGGAAGTGGTAAATATGAATGTCACTGAGGGCTGACTGTCAGCTCTCGAATCGCCAACCTGAATGCTGAGGGTCTGACTTACAAGCCTCCTCGACGTCCATTATCCAGTGGGGCTGGAAACATATCATATGCCTTACTCAAACCCTCACGTGGAGGGTTTTTGAAACTCTTCCCATCCTCGTTGACCTCATCGGGCAGAGGTGAGGCATTCTCGTATCCTTCAAGAGGGGAAACCCAAGTGTAGCGCGGGGGATTAGAGGCCATTGTGAGGGCTAGGTTGATTTAGTGACTCTATGCGTTGGGTACTTCAGCTTAACACTAGGTTTCCTGACAGGAGCGAGAGTTTTTGAAAAGACGTCAGACCAAAGGACCGATCCTAACGTTATATAGCCTCGGTAGCTAAAAGAGAATTAGATTGCCGGGCTACTTATACCACACTTTACGGAGAAGTTCAATTAAAGAGTTACTTAAAAGTTTTAGCCTTCAATGTGCAACGTTGTCTCAAATCACCAGCTGACGCCATCTATGGTAATCCCCCGACAGGGTCCCACCTATTTCTAAGCAACCGCGCGCGCAGAAAATCGAGCACTTCGCTAATCTGCGGCCATCCACATGCGGCATATGGCACCGCATCTTTCTGCCGCATCCGGCGGGTCTTCTGAAGTATACGGACTACTACCACGTATTCCCTCCTTCCATGCCCCATATGCTTAGTCAGTCACCCTGATCGACAATACACTGACTGGTCCTGGAAACATCACCTAATCCCATAACCAACACCACGGCGGCTGGCTTGTCGCATGAATACTTCCTTCGTCCAAACTTCGTCTCAGGGTCATCGGAAGCCAGATTGATCGTGTGGGTACCCTTGACTGTAGCATTTATTTCTACCCTCCTTCCGCTTTGCACGGCTAATTTGTCGTCGAAGAACTACTGATCTTTGGTGCCTGATTTGAGAAACCAAACAATGTATCTTACCGTTTTGGATTTCGAGTAGAAGAAAATTTGAGTTGTTTTGAATGAGGCTTACCTGCCCGTCAACCACCTCAAGGTAGGTTCTTTGCCTACCGAGTTCAGAACACAGCTCGCAACCATTATTACACGCAATATTTGTCTCCGAGCAACTTGTATCCGATGCCCCCGTAATCCATGCAAGAACAAGTTGCTCCCATAAGTCGCAACCTGCCGTTGTCGTTCGAAGCAAGAAAACGGAGAGTCTAACGGCAGGTTTTCCCTCACGCCCATCCCTGCGTTCTCGCCTACTGTGTTCAAGTGTTCATGAAAACATACAGCCAAACCGGCCTAACCAGATAGCTTGGTAATAGATCAGGCCGTGAAAATTTCTGGTGAATTCACTGTGGCAGCTCTTGTGTTTTGTGAGTAAACTTCAATGGTAGTTGATGGTAAGTGCAGGCAGATCATTAGCAACACTACTTCCAAATGGCTTTAGAAAGCATTGAGTACGACCCTAATTATAGGACCACCAGCACATGAACTAACTATAAACTGCTCTCAACCGGTGCAGCTTATTCCCCAGCCAGTTCACGACTCTCCGCGATATTCCTCCACCTAAATGAAGCATGTATCGCTGTCCTGGCAGAGGCCCAAGCACTAGTCCAGGATTCCTTTATTACCTGGTGGTACTATCCTATGTAGTTGGGCAACGGCAGATTCAGTCTCTGAACTGCCCTTGTGGGTCGTATTTCCAATCGGATATATACGCAGGAGTTGATCCAGATCCTCCATTGGTGGTGCAATAAACTCCTAACAGTACCCCTAGTCTGTTGTCAGCTCAGGCTCTGGTTTCCACGTATCTGGTTGTAAGGATCTTGCCTGTAAACCCCCAGCTGAGTGCAGCATTGGAAGCAGAAACGATTGTTTTCATCTGAGAAGCCGCACCGGCAGGGCCAGCAGAAAATGTATAGTGCGTCATATTAGCAGCTTTGATTTCTAGACGCAACGGCGTAGCCAGCCATTCCGATGGAACTGGTGCAACAACATCGGCTGGAACAGAAGTATACGACATGGCTCGGAACCTGAAGTGAAGCTTCAGCTCGTCGGGGTCACTGTTTGCGGACAGATTGCGCCCCGGGAACTCCTGCGTTCTCGCGCTTGCTGGCAGCAAAACTAAGCCCAAGTCGAAATGATGATTCTGAGTAAGAAAGGAGGATACGCCAGCTTCCTCCTCTTCCATTGTCGGCGCAAAATCAATAGTGACGCCGTAAGTGAAAAGGGTATCCTGCTGTCGCCTCCCGACAAACGTTAGCCCTGATGGGCCCGCATAATTGCCGTTGAGTGCTGTCAGATTGAGGTTTGAGGGTGCCAGGCGTAAGCTGTTAGGATACTCGGGTGGAGAGACTGAGTATGAGCTTTCGATAGGGTAGCGCCAGTGAGTGAAATGGGCAGGTAGTGCTGACCCTGGTACAAAATTAACGGCATCTCTCTCAACTTTACCCAAACGTATCCAGGGTCTATACTGTCAGCTAGAGGTCTGGAGATAAGGGACGGAGGCGTCTTTACCCAGGGCCCTCAACATCTAGATTGCTTGGGGGCATCCTCCATCCAGTCATTTTGCCTTTGATGGGCGACATATATGGCCACTCCCCTTCGTTCCACGTTACTGGAGTCAAGACTGTTTCGCGAACCATGGGAAAGTGAGAATATTCTGGTCCGGCTCTAGTCGATAGGGCAACGCACCACCTACTACATATTAACACAACGAATTGTCTGCAATGGTTTACTTACCAGTTCCCTGAGGCATCTTGGAAAATGTCGGCGTGTCCAACCGTCTGAACTGTGTAGTGTAATTCAACGTTAAAGAGGTTTTGGGAGAGGTTCCAAGTCACACTTACAATATTGCGTCTTGTTGGCGTTGGTTAGGATTGGGTTTGCTGGGTTTGACTCGTACGGTCCGTCAATATTCCTTGAACGAGCCATTGTAACCATGTGATCAAGCCCGGTCCCGCCTGTGACATGATATGATTTAGCGACTTGAGTTTTCACGGATACTATGCATACCTTCAGCGGCTAACAAATAGTAGTAGCCATCCTTCCGGTAAATATGCGGTCCTTCAGGGGCCTGGAAAAGCATGAGGCGTTTATCAATCAGCAGCAGTTTCCAGGAGACTCACTGTACCCCCCGTCCCATTCCAAACGGTTCTCCAACTCTGAACCTCACCAGTGTGTAGATTTGCCCTCGTCTGCTCGATACGAGGGCTTGCATCAGTTAGCGGTGGCTATAATTTAGTTGCCTGGCTTGCGTCTGAGTCTCACCCTACTTGCCAGGCATGAGCACCAGTTATGTAACTATTGCCTTCCTCGTCCCAGTATGGCTCCGTATCATACCCTTCAAACTCGAAATGGACGGCGTTAGACCAGGAGGCAGCGTCATAGGGGTCTTTTCCATGGAAGATAATCTGCTTCAAAGTTGGTACTCAATCACTTATCATAAATAATAGAAGTAGTTATTACGTTATCCCATCTTGACGGGTCATCTTTCGGCCTGTCATCATCGACGAGTGTGGTCACTAGCCAGAAGGTGTTGTCATGAAAGCGCAACGTTGGGGCCCAGATGCCACTGATGTTGTCAGATTTCGTTCGGACAGCTGCAATGCATCACATACCTCGTCGAGCGATTGGTCTCAGCAAGACGTGGAAGTTGTTCCCTTCGATTGAGTACATGCCCTGCGTTGTCTAAGCTAGAATTTGACACGACGAACTATGGAATACGAACCCACAAGTTTCCAATTCTGCAAATCTTTGCTTGCGTGAAGTGGAATGCCCGGGAAAGCATTGAAGCTTGACGACGCACAAAAGAAAGTATTGTCCCATTCTGGGAGAAATATGCAACTTGGATCAGGATGAAAGCCGGGCAGAATAGGATTGTAGAAAGTCGAATTCAAATCGTGATACGAGCTAGATTGACCGAGAGAAGGACATATCGAAGCAACGAGCCATAAAGCAGAAACTACGTGAAGTAACATTTTGTGTATTCTGTCTCACATGTAGGTAGTTCCAAGGGGTACATTTCTTTCATGAACGACCAGTCCGGCTTATATCAAGATCTAAAAGTATAGGCTAAACTCACCTGTGGGCCACTGCATGCCAAACGTTTACCCTGTACCACCCCGCATCATCCTCATGGGGTGACATCACCGGCTAAACATATTAGTAGATCATATGTAGTATATCATAGGACCAGGACTGACTGAGCTATCTTAACTTATTGGCCTAAACCTACCGGCCGGCTTCACCGCTAGATAAATGTGAGGCAGTCCCAGACATACCTTGAACGATTCGTGGAGCAGAAATTTTGATGACAGCCAGTTACACTTGACTTTTTTCCTTATTTAAACACTGATGACAATACGACATAGAATTGGAATGGACTTGGGTCCCTAATCCCATTGGTTCCAGTCTGAAGGTTGGGCACTTCCCCGCCATCAGGTGTGACGTTGCGAGCAGGCCAAGTTGGAATGGACGGTGGAGAAAACGTACATACCGGCTCGTAAGGACGGTGCAATCCTACTAAATTCACATGGCATAGGAAAGATCAACGAGTCTCGACGGTGGGGAGGTCAGCAGTTTACTGCCAGCAACCGCTGGGGCAGATTTACTGTAAGCTGTGAAAATCAATTTTAAAGAAATCATCAACATTTAGGTAGTATCTACTACGGATGTATCAAGAGATCAGTCACAAAGCTAATAACAAAAGGTATATGGGCTTTCGCACAATAACGCACATTATGTGGGAGCAAGTCCAAGAATGCGGTCTTTGAATCGACTGACGAATTACATGCAGTCTATATTCTGTCTCCCGAACCCAGAAATGCAGCGGCCGTCGAATTAAGCCTATACATCAGGCACTGTCGCCTGCAAAGAGAATCGAGTTTCGAGTTCGTTGGCGGCGTGAGTATTTTGTTTACTTCCGTTACGCACCCTCCTCAGCCAATTCTGTACCCCTTTTAGAAGAGTTGAAGCGGGGAAGTGGCCCCAGAACGCCTTCTAGCTTATGCAGAGCATCCACCTTGATCGTTGCACCTCGAACTCCGTCATCTTGCCCCATCTCGTAGGCCCTTCCATCTGGCTCGACGTTGATTTTCTCGCCATGGTCATGCGACGGGCTGCATAAGTCGCACGAACTCGAAGAACGTATCATCTGAAGCGCTCTCATTTTTCAAAGTTCTGACTCGGCACCGTTCGTCTCTACGTTCATCGGACTTCCGTTCTGTGTTTGTCTCTGTTGACGAAGACGTGCGTTGCCTCGGAGTGTGCGTCGTCGAGGTGCCGGCCGCCCGTTACCGTTCATGTTTTCGTCCTCTTCATCCGAATCCGGATGCTCTTCCGCGTAAATACGTGCCTCATCCAGCTCCGTCATATCATCTGGTCGGTCTCTAAGCCACTGCATTCGAGGTCCTGATTTCGCTATCTCTGAGACGCGGAACCCATAAATCCGAGGCTCGTATATCCGACCCGCGCCCAGTCCTGGCGCAATGTTCTTGGAGTACATGCCGTTTATCATCTCAAGGGAGTCGTCGTTGATGCGCGCACCCCCACTGCTGAGGACTTCAGCACCACGCTTAGTCAGGTCGTATTCAGGAAACGTAAGAAGAAAGAGGGCGCCAAAGGTGCGTCCGAAAAAGGCTCCGTCTACAGTCTGAAAGCGACTGTTGGGAGGAACATAGACGTCAAGACAAGAAGGGCAAAACAGCTTGACTGTGTCCTCGCCTGGTATGTCAGATAAACCAACGGGAAGTGTCCTTGCTTGGTCACAGTTCGTGCGGGGGCAGCAACCAAAGTGTCCCAACTCGTACTTCTCGCTCATTTGCTGTATTCCTGCTCTCGAGCAGATGAAGCGCTGGTGGATCAGACCGTAAAGCATCTCAGATGAGGACTCAATAACACTGAGGTCACTGGCCATCCGGCTGTGTTGTCTCCGGTCATGCCTGGGCCCAAGACGATCTTGATCCCCCGAGTCGTTATCTTCCTCGTCTTCCTCTTCCTCTTCCTCATCATCCTCATCCTCCTCGGGTTCCACATCGAGGATCATCTGTGAGAAGAAAATATTAGATCCAGGATATTCCTAAAATTTGGGGGGCGCTGCGGATGATAGGGCGTGGTATGGAAGATAATGGCAGAAAACAGTGATAACGGTAGGTGTTACCTCAAGCGCTTCCTTGTACATAGCGACTTGGTTCTGAAGACCCGTAAGATTAAAATCATCTTCGATGAACTCCTCAGACACCTCAGCGAAGTACTCGTGGCCGAGTAGAGAACAGAAGGAAGATATCCAAGACTCCGGGGCCCCCGAAGAGGTGGACATGTCGTCGAGATAATCCAAGGTGATGGTATTGACGGGGTGTCGGGTAGAGCAATCGGAGATGTTGCGCGAGGAGATGCTCGCGTTAGCCGGCGAATGGGATCGAGATCGCTGTTATCCGCACGGGTAGGATGGCTGGTTTCCCAGCAGGCGAAGATGGCGGGGTACGTAGGCGTAAAATGTCAGACACGGCGCATATCGAGCGCGAAGAAAAGGGACTTCGGTGAATATGATCGAATCAGAGTTGGTCTCGCAGCAGGTCGGAAGTTGTGCGCGCTGGCTTATTGAGTAGAGGAATGTGTTTTTAAGGGGCGACGTTCTGCTCTGGGCAAAGGAGGATGTATTTTGGGGAGCCTCTCAGCTTTTGCTGAACTTGGTGGGTGGGCTGTGGATGGTGGTGCCTCTCGACGACCAGCCCGCTTAGAGAAGCAAGATACGTCCAATCAGTTAAAGGTCCGTGCACAATCTGTTCACGGCAACCGGTCTAGCTTTAATCCGGGAGACCTCACCGAAGGTGGAATATCAGTTCACCGAGAAGACCGTACATACATCAGATCGTCTGCAACCAATGCCTCTCAAGATCTCTTGATCCTTGATAAATCGGAGAATTCTCTTCTTTCATTAGGCTTATGGAATAATTTTTTTTAAAACTCGACGTTTATTTGGAAAGAACAACGACTCGCCCGCTATGAGAGTGCGCCTGTCAGGCTGGCACCCACAGCTTGGACCACCAAGAATTCGTCTCTTACAACGAAGCTTTTCCACCGTCAAGTCCGTCAATACCGCTGAGACGCCTTTTGATTCTGTAGATATCACAGAATTCAGAGAAAATGCATTCAAACCGGGGCAGCCTATGCATTTCAGATGTCGCAAGGAATCGAGGAATCAGACACCTCTTCCAGCGTCATCAAAATGGTTCAAGCAAAATGAATCAATTCAACCCCTAACCTCACAGTCGCCGCCATCAATTGAACTTGCGCCGTATTTGACACAATTTTCTCATCATCTATTTCCTTATGAACTTATATCCCCGCAGCTCTCCGATGAAACGGGTCTTGTTATCGACACAATCAGCCAATTTCTCACCTGGCTCGCCTCAAGCTCTGATCCCATGGGGGCTGTGCTAGCCGGTATTGTCCATGCCGCTGCCCACCCTAACGCCACGGAACCGAAATTCTCTTCCTTCAGTGCACCCCTACTACTACTTTTGAAGGCTGCCGAGTTCAATACTCTACACGACAAGAAAATCAAGCAACTTTATATCGCCCAAGCTCAACTGCCTGATCTGCCTTCAGAACTGCAGGAGGATCTTCCTCCCCCTCTCATCGTGCGAGAGGCTGGCAAGGGCGATATTTACAACTCGAGCATATGGCTTGGGCTGGAGCCGACATACACGCCGCTCCATCGCGATCCGAACCCTAATCTCTTCTGCCAACTTGTAGGCAAAAAGATTATAAGACTGCTACCGCCAATGTCTGGTGACCGCCTTTACCGACGAGTACAAACGCAGATACAGCAGTCCGGTAGTAGCCGCATTAGGACGTCTGAGATGATGGAGGGTCGGGAGAGGCTTGTTATGAACACCGCCATCTGGGGCATGGAAGGCCCAGAGGATATAATTGAGGCAAGATTGGACTCAGGCGACGCCTTGTTCATACCAATGGGTTGGTGGCATAGTGTAAAAAGTGGACATCACGATGGGCGATTAAATGCGTCCGTCAACTGGTGGTTTCGTTAGTCAATGTAATCATAGGTGAAGGACGATACGGCACTATCCATTCCTGAAATATCATACGGTAACGCTGTACAAAGGTTAAGATAGCAATTCAATGCGAAGATTATAACAACTGTTTGTACTTGAATCATGACTGGAGGCTAATGGCTCTCATGAAATCGTTCCTACATGGCTGGCATGATCTGTATCTCAAAGTGAAAATTCATCTTTGATATCAGTCTTATATCAAAAATGCCTCCACTCAAAACCATCAGTTCGACCCACTTACGGAAGCACAATAGCTCAGGGGTAGAGCGCTGGGCTCATAACCCAGAGGTCCCTGGATCGAAACCAGGTTGTGCTATGAGAATTGAAATTTTTGTTTTTTAATCACCCTCTTATCTTGACGAGTATCTTGAAACGAAGTGAAGGTTCTCTCCTTCAGCTGGAATCTTTTATCTATTACAACCGAATGACAAAAAGCCGGCATCCAGTTGCGTTTCGTTTTACGCGGTGTAGACGTCGATATTGCGTCCGGTATCACTGGATAGTCAATGTCCACGTAAGACCACCTGGCTTATGTATTTAAATAAATAGGTCAGTTGAGGACTTTGATCCTGTTGTGCACCACACAAGGCAGTCCTTCCTTCATCGGAAGCGTGAGACTACTCTTGCTAACTCTCTCCAACTCATCAACCATAACAAAGTCAAAGTACCCCACGACCGTAGCAATGACTTGAACGGCAATTATCTCAGCCATCCTTTTACCAAGGCACATCCTTGGGCCTCCGTTGAAGACAGGAAACTCGGATGCGGTTTTGTTAACAACTTTGCCATCGACTAGCCACCGCTCAGGGCGAAATTGGGCCGCATCCGGACCCCATGTGGTGTGGGAGCGATTCATAGCCCACGTACACCATACAATGACGGAGTTTTTGGGGAGAAAAGTACCATCCGGAAGGGTTGTTGCCTGAACAGCCTGTTTGATCTCGAAGGGTATGGGAGGAAACAAGCGGAGAGCTTCGCAGAAGACGGCAAAGGTGTATGGCACCGATATTGGGTTACAGGTTCTCGAGATAGTCTGCTCAAGGACACCATCATCACCTGCCGTGACGAAATCTACCTCGTCACGGATCTTGGCTGCAATCTCGGGATGCTTCATCAGCATGTAGAATGTCCATGTCAATGCTTGTGCCGTGGTGTCTCTACCCGCCGAGAGGTAGTTTAGTGCAGCATCCGCTACCAGTTGCTCGTCTCCAATCGAATCTAAGAAAGACTGAATCAGGCTCCCCGATATGCGGTCTAGCTTGCCGCCAGTGGAATCTTCATGAGTCTTGGCCTCCATCTTATCGGTGCGGGTTTTCCTGTCGTTCATAGCACTGGAGACGATACTCCGGCCAAAGGACTTGACGATAGCAATGGAACTGCGTAGTTGAGCTCCCGTAATGAGTTCAGTGATGAGCCACATAGGGTTCTGGAACCGCTCAGCTGTTGCGCCAGAGGCGTAGTCAAAGGCGACGCCAAACTCATCTTGGGCATGCATTTCCATCTATAGCTAATGTGTCAGCCAGGGGATGTTCTCACGCAAATGGCCTCATTGAAAAGCCGCAGAGGTGCCTACGTTATAAGCCATCTTACCCATTAGCTGGGTTGTAATTTCGTGAAAGACAGCCTGTAAATCAGTTGTAACGCCATTCGCGGCTTGTCCCTTTAAGAAAGTCACGCTTTGAGACAAGTACTGAGGTAGGGCGACATCTGTCAAAACCCTCAAGTTGGCTGTGTTGAGGAAGTTCAAGCCGGCTTTTCGCTGGACCTTCCACAGCTCCCCATCGACATTGATAATCCCATTTCCTATAGATCGTTAGCAGGTGATTGTTCACAGACAATCTTGACTACAAACCAAACAAGTCCCTTGAACGTCCCTTGAAGAATTCGCCCTTGGCAAATATTCCCTCGTTCTTAAATACATAATCGAGGTTCTTTGGGTCACTGATGATGACTCCAGGCGGTAGACTGGGAACCGATATCTGTAGTGTCTCATAGCCATACAACTGCTCACACTTTGTGAACCAGTCAAAGAGCTTTTGACGGTCTTTAAGGAAATTGATTCCATTCCCAGCCAGAGGCAGAGTGTTGGGCGGGCGTCTTTATTACAGTTAACATGCTGTCGCTTTATGTGTTTCGTTTCATAATATATCTAATAGGAGATACAACCGATCACTTACCTCAATGGGATGCCGTTTCGTCTTAACTTTGTCTGTCCAAAGATACCATAGAACAAACAAGCGAAGGCCCCAACCAGGAGAACTACTGGTGCATTGATCAGGCCCATTTCTTGGGGTAGCTATCTATTGTGTAGATGTGCTTAGGGGACGACGAAAGTCCGATGGTGTCGAGGTCGTCACCAAGGTACAGCAAGTAAAGGTATAAGAACGTGTGGAGCTCTGTAGGTCATTTACGCTCATTTGCGTGATAAGGGAGGCTGCCAAGGGAAACTGACTGTTGTTGAATGGAATTGAGGTAAGTGTGTCGTGATCCAACGTCGGCTGCGGCAAGGTTACGTAGATTGGGGACTCAACGACTAGAGTCGTCCAGTCAGATGAAGGTGATTGGGGTTGACTCTGGGTTGAGCAGGAGGCCCCCACTGATTCCCAGCGGGTCATTCTCCATTACCTACCCCATGTGTCAGAGGGGCTTGGGTAGCCACCTGGGGATGCCGAATCCCTGTTCTGGAGCTTTTGCTGTCTCAATTGGTGTGCATACAAGCGGTAGGAACACTAGCGAATGCGATAGCTCCCTTTCCCGCTGGAGCTTCGGCACAAAACAGAGCAAGGTACCCAACGCTTATCGCAGTCCTTCTCAACAAGACCATCCAATATATAAACGTAGCGCAAACACTCAAAGTCGTCATTGGCTTCGCATTGGCTTCGCAAAAAATCAAACCTCGGACTTTTCACATGTTAAATTTCTCATAGTAACTCTTTAGCCATATCAAGAAGCCTTTAATCTTTTCACCCACTACCTCTCTTAATCCACCGCCTCCAACTCGAGTTTGTGCAACACGACTAGTCAAATACCAACGTCATTGCGATGGCACCTCTCATCCCGCGCTTTCACCTCTTTGAGATTGACGACCAGCCATGGTGCGTATGCATAACCTAGACGCACAGGCTGCACCTCTCCATGACAAGCTGTAACTAACACATCGCGCTTCAGGTTCCCTTCCTTCCTTCGCGCCCATGTCCAAGAAGCCCTTCACGCAACGTGGGTTAACCAATTCCCTGTGCTCCAAACCGCATCTCCCGCGCGCATCGCCGCTCAAATTCTACAACATACTCTCGGCTCCCGTCTTGCTTCATATACCTTCATCGACTTCTGCGCCGGTTCCGGTGGTCCCACACCTGCCATTGAGCGCGCCGTGAACCGTCATCTCACCACCCAGAAACAGCCCAACGTGAACTTCGTCTTGACGGATCTGTACCCGAACCCGGAGAGCTGGGCCCGCGCTGCTGCTAAGAGTGACCACATTGGCTACGAACCGAAGAGCGTTGATGCCGCCAATGCCCCCCGAGACTTACTGGCTAGCTACGGAGACAACGGCAAGAAAGTCTTTCGCCTCTTCAACCTAGCCTTTCATCACTTTGACGACCCGCTAGCTACGGCCATCCTGAAGAATACTCTGGAGACCTCAGATGGCTTTGCCATCTTTGAACTCCAAGGCCGTGACCTCTACTCTATTCTTATGCCTGCCATCCTCGGTATCGGCACGTTCCTCATGGCGCCCATCTTCGCATGGAAGCTGCGGTCGCTGACAGCCTTGATTTTCACCTACCTTATTCCCATACTGCCTTTCGTTCTGGTATTCGACGGCTACATCTCAGCACTGAGAACAAGAACACCCGAGGAGGTTAAAGCCCTGATGAGGTCATGCGGCGCGCGGATGGACGGCTGGGAGGTTAAGAGTGGAAGAGAGACGCACATGCCTGGCATTGGATATGTAAACTGGATTGTGGCAGAGAAGATATCGTCAAAAGACTGGTAAGATTGCGTGAGTGGGAATAAAAAAGGATTCGATCACAGCCGCGAACACTTGGTGAAATCCAGTGACGAGGAGCGACACATGCAGGAAATCCGTAGCTTCTTGCAGCGACGCATTCACCGAATCAGGATATTCATAAATTTGGCCTGCTTTGGCCGCTAATCAGGACAGAGATATTTGCTACGCGATCCGTTATGAACTGGCTCATACCGGTACTGTGATGATCGTCTTTTCGAACTGCCTCATCTGAACTGGCGCCTTGCTGCGTAAACTTGCAGTTCTTGCTGGTAACATAACATGTAAAGGCGCCCTGTACTTGGGCCCGAACAAGGTCAGCTAAAAATATGCCCGCAATGTCTTTGGTGATGTTTACTCTACGTCACTAGCGAGAGCATATGTCCTTGTTCGAGATTGAGACTGAGACGTTTGGTTTCAAGTAATTCTTTATTTTTTTCAATCTATCGAATGAAACCCAGAACAGATGACTCCTGTTTTTCCAGCATAAAACCCAAGGCCGCGATCCCAGCGGCATCGTGACGTGTCGAGAGCGTGTCATCGACATCGCAATTTCCCGGAACCCAATGATTAGAAAAAAGAAAAAGAAAATCGTTATAGCCCATCGCATGTAAAACCCTTTAAACCCAACGCTATACCAGGCATGCGAGCTGCTTAAACGACGGGGCCAGCCTTGACGACCTCCTCAGTCGCCTCGCTCGCGTACTTCTTGAAGTTCTCGTTGAAGAGAACACCAAGCTTCTTGACCTCAGTCTGGAAGCTTTCACCGCCAGCGGTCCAGGCAGCCTTGGGGTTGAGGAGCTCAGAGGGAACACCAGGGCAGGTCTTGGGAACCTGCAGGTTGAAGGTCTCGTAAGTCTCGTACTCAACGTTGGCGAGCTCGCCGGAGTGGATGGCATCGAGGATAGCGCGAGTGTACTTGAGGGGGCAACGCTTGCCGCCCTGGGCAGCACCGGCACCGACCCAACCAGTGTTGAGGAGCCAGGCGTTGGCGTTGTGGTGCTCGATCTTGTCCGCAAGCATCTTGGCATAGCGCATGGGGTGGAGAGCCAGGAAGGGCTGGGCGAAGCAGGAGGAGAAGGTAGCCTGGGGCTCGGTGACACCGTCTTCGGTTCCAGCCATCTTGGAGGTGTAACCAGAAATGAAGTGGAACATGGTCTGGGCACGGTCCAGCTTGGAGATGGGAGGCAGGACACCGCGGGCATCGCAGGTGAGGAGGACAATGTTGGAAGGGTGAGAATCGGACTTGCAGGGAATCTTGGCGTTGTTGATGTACTCAATGGGGTAGGCGCAGCGAGTGTTCTCGGTCAGAGTGCAGTCGTCGTAGTCAACAACACGGGTCTCGGGATCGAAAACAACGTTCTCGAGTACAGAGCCGAAGCGAATAGCCCCGAAGATATCGGGCTCCTTCTCGGCCGACAGGCCAATGGTCTTGGCGTAGCAACCACCTTCAATGTTGAAGACACCACGGTCGCTCCAGCAGTGCTCATCGTCACCGATCAGAGCACGCTGAGGGTCAGCAGACAGCGTGGTCTTACCGGTGCCGGAGAGACCGAAGAAGAGGGTAACGTCGCCGTTCTTGCCCTCGTTGGCGGAAGAGTGAAGAGTAAGCACATTGTGCTTGATGGGCATCTCGTAGAAGAGAACAGTGAAGACACCCTTCTTCATCTCACCGGCGTACTCGGTACCGAGGATAACCATCTCCTTCTCGGCGAAGTTGATGGCAACGGAGGTACCAGAGGTCATGCCTTCGGTGTATCTGTTGGCGGGGAAAGAACCAGCATTGTAGATGGTGTAGTCGGGATGGAAGTGCTCCAGCTCCTCACGAGGAGGGCGGATGAGCATGTTCCTCATGAACAGAGCATGGTAGGCGCGGGCGCAAATGACACGGACACGGATGCGGTACTTTTCGTCCCAGCCAGCGTAACCGTCGACGACGTAGATACGATTTCTTGTGTTGAGGTAGTCAATGGCACGCTCACGGTTGATTTTCCAGACCTATTGGATCTCACATGTCAGCGTTCGTTCAGTGAGTGGTCAGCCGAGTTCGGAAGTGGAACCAGGCCCGGGAAAAGCAGGAATATGGAGGCTGCGGCATTGCGGGGGAGGTGGGCAGGGGTGGTAAAGTTTAGCTCGGCTTGCATAAAAATTGCGGGGCCGTAGTCTCGCTTTTCTTGGGTTGGGGACCACAATGGGATAGGAGGGGTTTGCAGCCTATGACGACACGCTTGTTGTCGCAAACCGCGTGCCCAACTCGATCAGATTCTAGCAGCCCAGACCCAGTAAAAGGTCACTAATCTGTGTGAGACCGTCGACCACAATTACAGGAGCCAATGCGCATCACTCTGCGCAGATGGACCGAGTAGAAGTGGAAACATGGCCAGAAGTTGCAGCGCCGATCTGAAACATGACGTATCTGTCGACGACAAAGACTTTGGGAAAGCTAGCATTCTGACTCGGATTTGGACCGAGTGACAGACATGACGAGGCCAGTTTCTCATTGACGCTTTCCGGTCGACAGATGGTCGTGTGACAGTGGGGGGGTGCGTGCTCCTTGTGCAGATGCAGACGCATGTGCTGGGCTGGGCTGGGCTGGCTAGACTTGGTCGAGCTGGACTTGGCCGGGCTGAAGGGCAAACAAAGAGTGCCGACGAGAACCGCAGCCGCAGCTGGGAAGGTTGCGGCTGCACCATGACTCGATTTGGAGTTTTTCTTACCTCGGGAGACATGGGCTTGTTGACGGGACCCCACCTGCAAATGCATTGTTAGCAAATGGTTACGCACTTGATGGTCAGCGACAGCTGAAATGCTGCGCACCGACTTTCTTTCAATGCTGGGGGCTCGAGGACTTACCAGATGTCGTTCTTGGAGCTGTCCTCTTCAACAATTCGCTTGTCCAATGGAGAGCGGCCAGTCTTCTTTCCAGAGTAGGCGGTAAGGGCACCACTTGATGTGATGGCAGAACCAGTCTCATACACCTTGAATCTGTGTAAGCCTTGCAGTTCAAAGTCCAGATCTGTGGATAGAGTCTTTCATACCAGTGCATCTTCATACAGAGCCGGAACGGAGGGGTTGGGGATCTGGAGTGTTGCGTCAGCATCTTGGTCGATAATTTTCTCTTTTCTTTTGGACGCTCGTCTTACAATGGCAACGCGGTTGTAGTCAATGTGAGCGGTCTCGTGAAGCTCCTCCTCTATTCCAGTAAATCAGACAAATTCACACAAAGTGTAACATATACCGCTGCAGAGGATCGGCTCGAGGAGGGGAAAGGCTGTGCATACCGAGCTCAGTGTGCTCCAGGTGAGGACTGCAATATCAATTGTTAGCGCGAGCTCACTCAAGACTGTTTCGTGTCACGGAACACAAAGGCTGGGTAACATACGCGACACCACCGGGGTGGAGAGGGGTCTTGTTGACGTTGCTGGCGATCACTGTGAGGTTCGACATGTTAGCTGCTGGAGAGTGTTGTAGTATTGGACAAACAGGTCAGTCTAGAGGAAGTGGCCGTAGGTCATGTTTTAAGAGACTGAAGGCCATGACGTAAAACAGAGTTTGCGTCTAAGTGGGAGAAATCGGGTAAGAGTTGGGGAGATGACGAAGAATGGACGAACTTTTGCGTATATCTACCTGGTTTCCGTCGAAGAGGATTTGTGACTTGGGGCCCTTTACTGCTGGATCAGTGTAGGGAGAAGCGCTTCTCTGGACGGGATCCTTCATAGTTATAAAGATTCTGAGGGGAGAAAGGGATCGGGTGTTGAAGGCTTGGAAAGGGCTTGGAGGCTTGTATTCTCTTCCGCTTTCAGGGATCGTAAAGGAATCGTATCCACTTGGAGAAGTCAATGGACAAGGCTGCTTCGTGGCTTGCTCAGACCGGAACCGAGGATAGAAGGGCCAGGACGGGGTTGTCCACTTATAAGAACGGGCGCGGCGAGTGGAGTCGCGGGGGCGAAGGCGGTGATGTAACTGGTTGGAATATCGTCGTTGCACGCTTCACGATATTATCTCGGGTTCGTTGAACGGGAGAAGACCCTTGCCCGGGTTCGGGATAGAGGAGGAATAGGGAGAGAAGGGGGGTGAAGGAGGGGGAGGGACGGGGTGTGGGCGGAATAGTGGGTGTGGGCGGTGCAAATCTACGGCGATGAAGTGAGGTGCAGAATATCTTGGATTGCCTCATCGTCCCAAGATAGCGATGGCCCGACCCTGTCAGCCGTATGTTCCTTTTTTTTTTCGGGCCATGTTATCGCGGGGCCGGGGCAAGTCGTAGCTGAGGGGGCACGCTAATCGCCTTGGGTTTGATGTTGGCCAGTCCCATGTAGGTGGGACTGGGCACGACAGCAAGTACCTAGCCTACATGACCAGTAAATTGGCCTGGTTAGCGCAGTTGGGTTGGCGACCTGATGGAAGAAAAATACACGTATTTGCTACGGAAGAATAATCCATATCCAATACGCTGTGTGCTAGCAGCCAATAACCAAGGATTGTGATGTGATGGAGGGGAACACGGGTGTGTCACGGCGGAGGAGATGTGGAGAAGCCTCCCCACAATCTGCGGTTGTCCTCCCGTACGTCTCCGTTGCGTCGGCTTGGAACTCCCGAATCCTGGCTATTGTGTGGCCGATTTGGAAAATTTGAGGTTTGTGCTTAGCACCCTTTACCTCACATTTTGCCTATCGCGATGCTCTGCCCGCCTTCCTAGTACGTAAGGAAGTGTCTTGTTTGCTTCATAGAGGGGTATGATTTGTTGTTTTCGCCCCTTTTCTTTCTTCTCTCAGCATTGGTGCACGTCTCTCTGTTGGCATATTGTTACCATCAAACCAGACGGCTTGACCTCCGTTGTATTGCGCTAGCCATCTTTCGACGTTACTTTTATGTAGCAGGAAAGGTACGTCACCTTCACAGTTCGGGCGGCCTCCGGGGCATGCCTGGATTCTCCAGACTGGAGGTAACAGGCCGAGTATATGTACGTACCTTGTCACTATTTCATAATTATTTTGTTTTATTTTATTTTTCTTATGGACTGTTAATCCTAGATACCTGGCCGGCCTTGTATGCTATCCTACACACTGTTTACAGCCTGGATAATCATTCAAGTTCCTTTCTGGGACAGCTAACCACGGCTTTACTCTGTGTAGCACGTAAGAACGGTTCGCTTCAAACATATTGTGACTTTTCTTTTTCTTCCTCTTTGGGTCGCGTGACCGAGTCAGCCTAAAACAGATGGCCTTGCTCTTGTCAATATATGGTGTCGAATACAGACTCATTCCGTACCTTACCGTGCCTTGCTTTAGGAGCGCCGCAGAACTGTAGGCCACCTGGTACATGCGAGGTTGGTGTTCCTGGGTAAGGGAACGGACGCTGTAGCATCTCTGCAGGACCAGTCTGGTACAGATGCTGTTCCCATTGGTACCTTGCCGCCAGCGCAAGCCCAGCGTCTCTCCCCGCTCTCCCCGCCTCATCAGTGAGCCAAGCCTCCAAAGACAAGCTTGACATGGGCGTACCCCCCCCCTCCCCCCTATTTTTTTTTTTGTCTGATTTGGCCTGCCTCCTCGCCCTATGGCTCCGTTCGTTACCCTGCCATTGTTTCCAATTTTTTCCGCTTCTCGAACTCGGGAACGCTTGCACGGAAAGTCTAGTTGTTAATTTTTGCAACATCGGCTTTTTCCTTTGAACGCCCGTTTCTAGCAATTCTTTGTTCCCCAACTCTCCTCTCTGACCGGCACAACGCTGCCGTCCGTACGTTACTTTTCTTTATTACTTGCTATGTCTCTTCTCGTAATGTATCAAAAAAAGCTGAAACGACATGCACGAATTTTTTTAGGAACAGCCTGTCCGATGTTATGTCTGTTACCGATGGCAGCGGCAATGCAATGCGAGAAACAAAATACCATGTTTGTCAAAATAACCCTTTTTTTTTTTTTTTTTTTGGTAATATTTTCCCCTTCCTTTCCCGTCCTTCCCTACAAATCTGCACTGCACACACCCCCTTCATCTTTTCGTCTCGGTCGCATTTCTCTTCTCCATCGGGCCTTCACGGGAATGCATACCTGGTCATGATCGATAGAAGGCCTAAATCTGTTGCGGGTGAACCCCAAATCTTGCAAAAGATGACGTTCGGGTGCTGCATGAGAGCCGCTTAGCCCCGCCTCAATCCCACCTCCCACCTCACACCCCCAAAGTAGCCGAAAATCTAGTGCAAGTTACCCCGCGCTCCATCACCCATGTCCAATCACAGTCGCCCTTCATGCACAGAGGCTTACCTTTATCTGTTTGTTCCGACATTCTCCGGCAGACAATTCCAACTTCCTTCGTTCGCTGCCCTTCCTAACCTTTGGTCTCGGACTGGTCAATGTAAGGGCCCCAGATAGATAGGGGGGAGTGTGCGAACACGACAATCAAACTGACTGTGCTGTCCCATGTGGCTCCTGTCCGTAATTATCATCCATGGTCAAGTCTGGCCAGGGGGGTAGCCACTTGGCTGAATGTTGATCCATCGCCGCTATTGCACCTAGGGGGTTCTCGCTTTGACAAACGTTGCTATTACGTACATGCCTGCTTTACGAGTCCATGTGACTGACAGAAATCCAGCAGAAAAAACAAAATAGTCAGGCGCAGACTGCCATCATTCATGGGCACTGTCACTTGACCTGGCACGTTCCTCGAGGGTGCTGGGGGGGAAAAAAAAAGAGGAAAAGAAATGAGATGGCATCGTTTGTGGACTGGTCTGGCCAGCCGCATACCAGATGCGCATGCGTCAAGGCAGACAAAACCCCACGATACGGTGTTCCTTCCCGCTGTCTTTGACCAACAACACCACTAGCTGTCAGTGACCAACTAACTAACTTCCCTCCTGACTTTGGACTGGGCTGGGCTGGGCTGGGACGTCTCCGTTAGGCCGGGGCCCCCTCGGCTCCGCCGCCCCACCTCGATTGCCGTGACCCGTCATATCTCGGCTCCATAAATTTCTGCCCGAGTCCCTCACCCCTGCTATTGGGTGTTTCCAAGTCCACTTCGGCACGAGAATATCTCGGAACCCCCCAAGATGCTAGGGCATCCTTATCTTTTCCTTGCTTGTCATCATCGGTCCCGAAAAATGCCCTTATCATCGGGGCTTTTCGGAAATCCCACAGTTCCAGACTGTCCCCTCGGAATCTGTCAATCCTAATTTCCCTACCTTCAGAGGGTCAAAACGTGAAGCCATCGTCATGCGCATGTTTTGTAAGGTTTGAGACTGGTTTTTAGTTTTATTCCATTGTTCCATCCCTTCCATTCTCCCAGTGCCACTACATTTCTATCATGCCGGCCCTATTGCCGCCCGTCCGTGTTACAGAATTGCCGCTTTCCATGACGTCGCTCTGTCCTCTTTTTTCAACCATTTCAGGCCGATCTCTATGCATAGCGGCCACGGCCCAGAATTCCTGTATATCTCTCTACTCCTGGCTGGCCCGTCCACCATTTTGAGAGGAACTCAAATCAGCCCCTACCCATTGCCCGAAGTCGACCTATGGCTTGGTATCAATCATTGTGAACTTAAGACGTCTCATCGGTGATTAGCTTGGTAATCTTGCCAATGGCAATGGTTTGTCCCTATTTTTCCATATGTTAGCCATTAGGTAAACGATTAGCGGGGCCATCATCACGAACCTGATCTCTCAGAGTGAACCGACCCATCTGCGGGTAGTCCTCGAATCTCTCCACGCACACTGATCCAGCACCACCAATGACTTGCATGCGAGCAATGATGCTGTCGCCCTTCTTAGCGTGTGATGGCGGCAGCTTGCTCTTTCTGTTGGTACCCTTTTGCAGCTTATGAAGCAGGGCGGCGAAGGTCACTTCTTCAATGGCCGCATGGACGTGCAGCACGCAGTTAAATCCAGCAGTCAGGATGCTCTTGAGCTCTAGGATACGGATCTGAGCCTCAAATGTCGTGACGTTGTGTACCAAACGCTTAGGCGAGCACAGGACGAATCCTGGCAGAATGTCTTCTTCTTCAATACCCCTGAGGCGGATACGGACCTGGTCACCACATTGCGCAACCTGGGTTTCCTCCTCAGTCTCGCCATAGACAGCCGACACATCCACGCTCTGCTTGTTGGGCATCATGGTGAGCGACATGCCCTTCTTGATGACACCTGCTTCAATCTTACCCTCAACCATGGTACCCAGGTCGCGGTACTTGCCGGCCACTGCCATCATGAAAGGCGCGTTGACCTTACGCTCGAGGGCCTTCATGTTATCAAGGAATTCGAGCAAAGAGGGTCCCTCCCACCAAGGAGCAACTTCCTTCGGAAGCCTCTCCTTGATATTCATGGACTGCTGAGCGGCAACGGGCAGGAAGAAGACGTCGGTCTTCAAGTTGTAACCAGTGCCCTTGAGGAACTGAGACAGCTTGGTTGTGCATTCCTTGTAACGTTCGTGCGACCACTCAACAGTAGGATCGTCCATCTTGTTGATGGCCACAATCAATTTGTTGACACCCTGGGTCTTGGCGAGCATAGCATGCTCTCTGGTTTGGCCGCCTCGCTCGAAACCGGTCTCGTACTCACCCTTACGGGCGGAGATGACCAGAATACCGACATCGGCCTGAGACGCACCACCAATCATGTTGGGCACGTAAGTCTTGTGGCCCGGAGCATCGAGGATACTGTAGCGACGCTTTTCCGTCTCAAAGAAACCTCTGCCAACCTCGACAGTCTTGCCCTTGGAACGCTCCTCCTTGGTCAGATCCATAACCCATGAGAGGTACCAAGTGGGGTTGCCGAGCTCCTTGGCCTCGCGTTTGTATTTGTCCATCGTCCGCTCGTCGACCATGCCAGTAGCGTAAAGAATGGAGCCACCCAGGGTAGATTTGCCAGCATCGACGTGACCAATAAAGATAATATTGACGTGCTCTTTGCCGTAGATTTCCTTGAGAGTCTCTTCGTCAACATCAGCGGTCTGCTCCTTCTGCACAGCATCGGCCTCTCGAACGACACCCTTGTTGCCACCGCCAGAAGGGCTAGAGCGACCAGACGAGGGAGAAGGAGAAGTCTTGCCAGACTTAGTGGTCGAAGCTCCCGTCTTCTCAATAGCCTTGGTTGCTGTAGCCTTGGCTCCGGCCTCAGCTGCTGCGTTAATCTCCTTCTTAGGCTCCTCTTTAGGCGCCTCTTCCTTCTTCTCCTCCTTAGCCGGAGCGGTAGCACCAATAGAGAGCACCTTGGCCTTGGGCTTGGGAGCGTCACCACCGATGCTCAGGACCTTAGCACCGCCCTCCTTCTTCACTGTTGGCTGAGGAGCGGGGGCATCAGAAGTGGAAGCAGGAGCGTTGGCGGGACGCTTGGCAATGGTAGGGGCAGGCTTCTGGGTTTGAGCCTGGGGTTGTTGTTGCTGCTGCTGGCCATATTGAGGATATCCTTGGCCTATCAAATATTAGTATTGACGAAAGAGTCGATGATATCTGTACAAATGTGATAGGTTGTAATGCACATACCGTATTGCTGCTGGAAGCCCTGTTGCTGGCCATAGCCTCCGTACCCAGTTTGTCCGTACTGGTTAAATCCTTGCTGGCCTCCTTGCTGGCCTCCATACTGGGGAAAGCCACCACCGTAGCCCTGGTTGTAGTATTGCTGGTACTGAGGAGCGTAGCCACCATATTGCTGACCGGGCTGGAAAGACGAAGCGCCTGGCTGGAAAGACGAAGCGCCAGGGCGGAACGAACCGGCTTGAGGATTGTGTTGGTTGAGGTTAAGCTGCTGCTGGGCCTGTCGCGATAGGTTATCGTCCTGGGCAGCAGGATCATCTTCCCACGAGTTGAGGTTCGACATTGTAATGAACTGCGGCGGGGCGGCAGATGTAGCTGGGTGTCGAATTCGAGGGGTGTGAGGTGAGGTGGTGAGCGAGCGGATTCGGGAGATGCGGTCAGAGCTGGAAGTGGGATGGGATGTTAACGAGATGCGCCGCCCAGGAAAGATTTAAAGAGGGGCTGGAGGGCTATTTTTCCCCAGAGGCAAAAGAACCGGTAGCAGTACAGTGGGATTGAAGGCTGATTTGGGCTCAAATGACTCACACTCGGATTTGATGCCTGCCACGGGCTATTGAAAGGTCCAGTAGCAAAATTTGATAATGAGGGTGTAGGAAATTTAGATGCTGCCGCTCTGTTAACTTTTTTTCCCTCGTCTCTAATCATCTGGCACAGCTGTTCAAGTTTTGCAATCGAGACCAGCCTGATCCACTACACGGCGGGGTGCTGCCTTACCTCCAGTGACGTCGCACTGTAGCACAGCCAATTGAGGGGTAATTGTACCGCCAAAACCCACCGTGTCCCCCGCCAGCGCACGTGAGCGTCCTGTATTCGTACTGTGTTGCGCACTGAACCCCTCCACCCAAATCGGGCACCTGCGCCTGCATCGTCACTGGCCCAGCTCACTCACCTATGGCAACCTGCCTCAGGTATCCTGGTCAAATCCGATTACAAGTAATTATTCTCTCTTTGAAAGCCCAACTTCTTCGCCGAAGCTCCTCTTTCTTCTTTCCTCACTCTCTAACAACGTCATTCTGTTGACCAGGATCGTCATTTCCCTATGCTAAGTCTAGTTGTAATAGCATGGGAGGAAGTTATTGAGCAGCCATGGATGCCTTACTTGCTAAGCTGGGAGCTCAGGCGATGAACATGGCCATAAGGTCAGGCATTGCTTTGACTTCAACCTACGCCTTTTCTCAGTGTTCGCGTCTCATGAAGACTGTAGATGACAGAGGTGTTCGTTCTGAGCTTAAAAGGCTCCAGAAAGTACTGGATAGCAAGTTAAAGGCGAGGATCTGAGACAACGCCGAAGTGCTATATTTCACTAACAAGTTATGTAGGTGGTCTCTCCTGCAATTGATCTTATCGAGTTCAAGTAACTACCTCCTAAAAAACTAAACCGATGTCGGTCGCTAATCTCTTTGTAGGTCGGGAAGAGGAAATGCCTTCCTCGAGTCAGCTTTACCCCTGGCTAAGGGTCTTCACCAGGACATCATTGCTCTTGGCCGTCGGGTAGAGCACGCTGCCGAAGCAGGTGAAGCACCTTGCGGGTCTTCAAAAGGCAGCACCGACGGAGAACAGCAACTTGGCGAGCTTAAGGCAATCATCAACGACATGAAGGATCTCCTAGCCCGAATCGACAGGGATATCCCCCTCTTGCACATGGCAATCACCGCGTCGGGAGAGAGTCTCAATTCCTCAATGTCTCCAAGTATATCTCCATCCAGACTATTGCAAGCTGGCATGTTTCTCACCTTCGGGGATACTCAGTACGCCGCCGACCCTTCTCGACCTGTGCAAGTAGGGCCTGCCTTTACATTATCACTCTATATGCTCTTTCTGGGCCATTCTACAACCCGTCCCGAAGCTCGACCGCAGCAAGGAGCACAGTCGCCCCAAACCCCCCAGACACCTCAAAGGAGCTTCCTGGGAGAGCCAAGAAATTCCTACGGATTTGATGAAGACCAGAGGAAACCCGTGTGGCAGGAGGTCATTCACAAGGCTAGGGTGCGACTTTGCAGAACACCCATGGGCCATGTGTTTGACGCGGATAAGGGTTTTCAGCCACCACAGAGAATGAAAGAGAACTTTGGACCATCAGACCACTTCGGTTCTTCTCACTCTAGAGGGCATCATAATGAGTATGCATATCACTTGGAGATAATAGAGGACTTGGATGACGGTCGTGCTCACGACGATTCCGGGCAAGCTGCTCCCTACGACGAAATCAGCTGTGCAGGAATCAGGGAATCCATACCGATTCATCAGATCTCCAAAATCTTCTATGCAGACACCGGTCGCATTCTCAACATTGGCAGTGACGGCTTGGACAATAATCCCATTCTGTTGTTAAAACGGGACGCCCTAGCGAAGCCTCCATCACAAATTCAGAAAGAGATGATGGCATATAGAGACGATAACATATCAAATACAGGTGCTGGTTCTGAGAGCAGTTCGGATGAACAGGAGGACGTTGACCGACAACTTCGTGAAGAGAGTGCGGCATTAGACGTTTTGGATGAACTGCCCAAGTTGCCAACAGCCCCACCCCGAAGGCAGTTTCCCAGCCATCTGGACCCGGAATGGATCGCGCTGGAGGTCTTTGAAGAAGATTACATGGAGAGCAGTGATACGGAAGACGAAGATTTTGTGGAAGAGGAAGGCAAGCTGCTAGCGGGCCCCGCACTAGCGTTCAACGCAGCAGCACCAAAGGTTGACACTCGACCGACAAGATCCTCGTTGGATTCGAATCTTGTGGCTCAAATCCAAAATATGTCTCTGCACTCTTCGCCTTCCACAAGAGACATGCACATGCCTTCGCGGCCGTCTCACCAACGTTTGGCACATCATAGAGTGGACAATAGCGACTCGTTTGTTCAAAGATCACCCTTCGGCGCCGTCACCACATCTCTCTCCTTGATGGAGATGCTCATAAGGCTTACAAGCTTACAAGAGTTTCAGCAAGCCTCACATCTGACGATTCATGATCATATTCTTACATTCTTTCTTGAGGAGACATCCACGACTGGGTTGAAAGGAGAGGAGAGGTTGAGGGCTAGGACAGAAGCGAAGCGTCGTGTTGGTTTTGATCCGTACACTGATACCCCATCTAGATGATAAGAAATGGTAAATTCAAAAGCGAACCTGAATAATAATCATGATCAATGCATCCATCCTACAAAAATTGAACAAGACTCGGTGAACTCGGTGAAGAGGCGCTGGGTTTTAACAAGCCGGGTGCGATTTAACGTTGCGCGGCACTGTGTGGATTAAGGAAGAGTCTTACGCGGAGTTAAATGCTGCTAAAGCAGCACCAAGCAAGGAATGTGCACCGCCACTTTGGACCCCTCACCAAGATCTCTATTCTCCTTGTGGCGTAGCATTGGTTGCCCGTTGCTGGGGAGAGTGAGGTATGTCATTCGTAAACGGTAATTACTAGCTGCCCTCACTTCCATTCACATCTAAACACAATCTTGTCACATTTGCACCCATTTACGCGTCTCGGCCATTTCTACGCGACCAACCGCTTTCTCATAAATAGAACTCTGTCGCTCGCCCTAAATTACCAGAGTCGCCTAGCCAAGGGTATCGTACCAGGACCTGCAAAGTTTGTACACCCCTCATCCATTTGTTTTTTTCTCAGGATTGCAATCCCGATCACTGACCTCGTTCTGCAATACAGAAAACTAATTACGGACGTTACCCCCCACCAACAAAAAAGAAACCATACGACGACAAGAAATCTAGCGTATACATAGTATCTTGCAAGTAGACGCTAGTTTCTATCGTTAGCTGCGAAGAGAAGCCGTGACCATCATATCCAGATATGGTCAACCAACGCAGCCCTGTTAAGGGCCCTTTACGCCAGATCAACCCTAACGAGGACTCCCACTCTTTTAACAGTCATGATTTCTCCAAAACGACGGCAATTGCAAAAGAAACACAAGACGATTCTAGAAGCTCTCCCAGAACCGAGAACCGCGATACGTCTTCCTTCGATCCCGATTCGCTAACTGCGAGATTCGACAATATGCGTGTTTCAACAACGCTGCGAGAAAAGTCGTCGCCAGCTGTCACTAACATGTCGGCACGACGCCTTCCGCCTGCACAGCGCTCAACAAGCCCCGACCTGATCGAAATAACTCGCGATGACTTTACACAACCCTCTCGGCCTAGCTCTAAGGAAAGCCAGTCAAGTTTGCAAGAGCAATCAACTCTACACTCTGATGCACTGGAGTCCTTCTTCTTGGACGTCAAGCGCCACGATCCCCTTCACACTTCCTCCTCCCAGCGACCAGTTTTCGGCCACCCGACAAAGATGATGTCCTCTCTTAAGCAGAAGGCTACCGGCATCTTCAATGAACGGAGGTCCAGGCCGGAGCATCACCGAGTTCAGCAGGTCTCCGTACCAGCCGTACCCCTCTACCAAGATAGGAAACCTGAGCCTCGTACACTCTATAGTTCCATTGGCCCCGACGCGAACCTCGCCACATACAGGCCTACAGATAAATTCGGCGACACTGAGTTTTACACCGACCCTTCCAAAGCATCTGCCGACTTGAAGGCTCTCTTGGAGGGTGGCATGGAGGATGAAGATGCAGATCAGGAGAAGCAAGAGACTACAGCGGATAACAAGGACGGTAGTATGGAGGGCCTGAAGGTGAAACTGCTGCCTCATCAAGTTGAAGGTGTGGAGTGGATGAGAGGCCGCGAACTGGGTCCTGTGAAAAGAGGAAAGGTTCCCAAAGGTGGTATTTTGGCAGACGACATGGGTCTTGGCAAGACTCTTCAAACTATTGCGCTTATTTTGAGCAACCAAAAGCCCGCTAAAGGCGACAAGGGATGGAAAAAACATTTTGACAGTACCGAGAAGACGACACTCGTTGTGGCACCGCTTGCTTTGATAAGGCAGTGGGAATCAGAGATTCGAGACAAGGTGTCGAAAACTCATGGACTCAAAGTCTGCGTTCACCATGGGCCACAGCGAACCAAACGATTCAAGGAACTCGCCCAATATGATGTCGTCGTCACGACCTACCAGGTTTTAGTTTCCGAGTGGGGACACTCCTCTGAGGATGATAATGGCGTCAAGGCAGGATGTTTTGGTCTTCACTGGTGGCGCGTCGTGCTTGACGAGGCACACACCATTAAGAACAGAAACGCAAAGTCAACGAAAGCATGCTATGCCCTGCGGTCGGAATATCGCTGGTGTCTTTCAGGAACACCAATGCAAAACAATCTAGAAGAACTACAGTCTCTTATCAAGTTCTTGAGAATCAAGCCCTACGACGACCTCAAGGAGTGGAAGGAACAAATCGAGAAGCCCTTAAAGAATGGCAAAGGGCATGTTGCTATTCGTCGCCTTCACAGTCTCCTACGTTGCTTTATGAAACGTCGTACCAAGGACATCCTTAAGGAAGCTGGCGCGTTGAACCCCGGAGGCAAGCCGTCCAAGGAGGGCGAACAGTCAAGTACTGGTTTTAAAGTCACGGAACGCAAGGTTGTCACTGTCGCCACATCATTCTCCCCTGCTGAACGTCGTTTCTATGATAGACTGGAAGCTCGAGCGGATGAGAGCATTGAAAGAATGCTCAAGGGAAAGGTAGACTACGCTAATGCATTGGTTCTACTACTGCGACTCAGGCAAGCTTGCAACCACCCAAAGCTTGTCGAGGGCAAGCTGGATAAGGACAAGGATGCGTTGTCAAATGACGTCTCTCAGAAAAACGTAACGGCAGATATCGACTCGCTCGCTGACATGTTTGGTGGTATGGGCATTATTACAAAGACTTGCAGTATCTGTGGGCGCGACTTGCCTAAAGATGTCGTCAATAGCGATAGAGATACTTGCCAGGAGTGCTACGACGACCTAGCCTACTTCAAGGAGCATGAGACGCCAAAGAGAAAGAAGCCCAAGCATAAGAATGGCAAGGTGAAGAAGGTTGTGGAACAGAGCCTGCTAGCTGATGGCGAAGAAGATAGTCCGCAAAAGCCCAGGGTGCGGCGACCCAGAAATCGGAATGTCATTCTTGATAGTGATGATGAGGAGGCAGACGGCAGCTGGCTTGTCCCCGAAGATCAGCAAGGCCAATTACGGCTGGGTAAAGCAGGCGGGGAGGAAGATGAGAACGCTGAGGGTGGTGGCGACTGGATTGGGTCTGAAGACTCACGACACGAGTCGGAGAACGAATATGATGGTAGCCGACTTGACAGCTTCGTTGTTGATGATGAAGAGGTCAAAAACGAGCATAGCGTGGATCAGAGCATTGTTTCTGATGACAGCCTTCCGTCGATTGCGGCGATAGCATCGCAGGCCAACAGGAAGTGCAAGTCATCACAATCCTCTCAAGCCAGTTCGAGGTCTGATTCGGAAGGGGATACCGGAATCGATGAGTCTGAACTTTACTCTGACGACGATACAAACTACAACCCAAATGGCCAGGTGTCTCAGATTCTGGCTTCCGCCAAGATTCGCCAAATGATGCAGTTACTGCATAAGGAAACTAAAGAGCATAAGTTTATTGTTTTCTCGCAGTTTACCTCCATGATGGACCTTGTGGAGCCATTTTTTCGCAAAGAAGGCTTCAAATTTACTCGCTACGACGGTAGCATGAAAAACGATGAGCGTGAGGCTAGTTTGGACCGCCTACGCAATGACAAAAGCACTCGCATCTTGCTCTGCAGTCTCAAGTGTGGCAGCCTGGGTCTCAATCTCACGGCTGCCACCCGTGTGATTATTCTCGAGCCGTTTTGGAATCCTGTAAGTTTGGACAGCCTATGCTTCCCTTTTAATCTTTTTAGACTAACGTATGTTCTCCAGTTCGTCGAGGAGCAGGCTATTGATCGAGTTCATCGCCTTACCCAGACGGTTGATGTAGTCGTCTACAAACTTACTGTCGAGAAGACGGTCGAGGAGCGCATCCTCCAGCTGCAGGAGAAGAAGCGGCTGCTTGCTGAAACGGCTATCGAAGGTGGCATGAAGAAGGACGCCTTCAAGCTCGGCTTCAAGGAGATCATGGATCTATTCCGCCGCGATTCTCCCAGTGGTGGCGGTGCTGGCGACAACAGCTATGTCGATCAGTCACGAGCCTCGGCCCGAAGTAGCAGACAAGCTTCTCCAGAGGTGGGCTTGCTGCAGGGCAAAGCCCGCAAGGCTGCCCCCAAGAGGGCAGAGCACGAGATGTATGGCCGACGATGGTGATTGGGACTCAACAGTATATATCAGAGCTCGGCGGCATCATTTATTACTTTACGATCAGCGAAAAAATTGGACTTGAGGAGAAGGCTTCGCGTGCTGTTGATTATGAGAGGCTCATCTCTTCTAAGCATGATGCAGGAGGTCATGATGGGGGCGTTAAGGGCGTTTCGTTTGGCCACTCAATGGCTGGTTAAGTGTCGAAAGGGGGTAAAAGTAAAGGTTACTGGCAACACAGAGCAAACTACACGATGATTCAATTGCCCTTTATGACATGACCACACGGAGTCGTGACACTGCGAATGTTTATACTCTCTTGAAGCCAACAGACATATCAGTCGTATCAAATCCAAAAAAAATCAATAGAAAAGAGAAGCCAGCACTTGGTATAAGTCGCTTAATTGAATGAGTATATTACAGTGTCTTGCGTATTATGTACCCAGCCCCCCATCCACCATACCCTTCACCTCCTATCCAGTCAGCAAACTATACGCTATATCTTGGTAATACCGAAGTTTAAGGGCTCGCGATATACATCGCCTCCATTCTTTGCAACTCCGGCGGCGGTGGGAAGTTACTGCAAAATACGAAATCCCCAAAGTGCCACACCAAGGAGGAAATCAAGAAAGTCGCTAGCGTCGCAGGGAAAAAAAGAATGTAGTCATTAAATAATCAGATACCCTCCCGTTGGACTCAAATTTGTCATTGAGTCGTGCTTTACTGACCCGTTCCCAAGCTCTAGTAGACGCCACTCTGGCGATAGTAGTCATTTGCAGAAGGCGCACTTGGTCCGTCGGCGGCAGCGCCTGGTGGCACATATGCTCTATACTGCGGCTGCATTCCCTGGCTGGGCAATCCTTGCCTGGCGTCGTAACTCGCACCACCGGGTTGCAGAGGTGGCGGCGTCATAACATCAGACCTGCCTGCACCTGGAATGGGTGGCGCAGCTCCGATTGGCACTGGTGGTGGTGCCTGCGTTGGGGCATTGCTGTAGTTATCCGGTCCCGTTCCTGGTGGCTGATAGCTTTGGTACTGGGGCTGAGATTGTTGATGCTGCTGCTGCGGCGCAGATGGTTGGGATGGCTGAGGTGGTTGTTGTTGTTGTTGCTGCTGCTGTTGTTGTCCAGTAGGTGCTGATGGCGGGAAAGACGATGGATGCGGTACATTGACTGTAGAGTTTCCTGTCACTGGACTAGACGCATTGTTATACGGGTCGTCCTGGGAGTATACAGATGAAGAGTACGTCGCGGCCGAGTTCGGGTTATGGGTAGCGATAGGCGAATCATACACAGAGGTCGCCAACTCCTGAGCGCCGTACGTACTTTGCGGTCTCTGGTTAGGCGGCTGTGAATAGGCACTGTAAGCGTTGGCGGGAGGCGTAGGCGACGTATTGATTGGCGCTGGGGCTTTGCCTGTGGACGGCAAGCGGGAGTTTTGGTCACGCTGAGGGTACTGCTGGTTTTGCGCAGGAGGCGGTCCACCCGCCGAGGGCACTTCGGCGCCGGCTACGTAGAAAGGGGCGGGCGTTGCTTGTGCTGGACGCTGGAAATTCGGCGAGGGCGTGGACTGGGGGTATTGTGGATGTTCTATGTACAACTAGTCAAACTCGATGCACTCAAGAAAGGCTATCAAGGTAGTTCACCTTGTGGTGCGGGAGTATAGTATCTCTGCTCCTGCTGCTGCTGCTGCTGCTGCTGCTGCTGGGGAGGCCCCTGAGGAGGGTATCCTGTCCCTGGCCCGCCTGGGTAACCACCAGGACCCGGCCTCATCGCGTACTGGTGATAGCTAGGCTGAGGTGGGTGCGACATGGAGGATTCAAGAAGCGATTCATAGTCACGACGAGCCTTGATGAACTTCTCGTTCAGCTGCGTGAAGTCATCTGTTTCTGGTTAACTTAAGTTCTGGTCCAGGTTGGGAGGGGAGGGGACGTCACCTTTCTTTTGCGAGTACTTCTCGATAAGCTTGATCAGCTTCGGCCGGATAGCCAGCGTCTGATGGTAGAGTTTCTGAACAGTTGGTGTCAGCAACCTCTGTTTGTATGGGGTCCTCGTCCGTGACTTACAGATATCTCCTCATTATCCTTTTCTCTCGGCGCCGTGTTAGAAGTGCTCAGCAGGGTAAGCAACTTTTCGACGTTCTTGATCTCCGCAAACACTTCGGCCTCCATCTGAGCCTCGCGTGCCAGCTCATCGGGGGTCGGGTCCGTAAGTTTCTCGACGTAGTTGAGGGGGAAGATACCCGTCTTGCCCTTGAGCGAGCCCCGCCACCAATCCTTATAAACGGACTCCAAGACGGCAATAACGTCACCCTTCTTGAACTCCAGCTCCCCAGGTTCCGATGGGACAAAGTCATACAAAGCTCGCACTCTCGACACCGTAGCAGCTGTCGTACCAGCAGGCACAGGTGTGGGCTGGTTCTGGGGTTGGGCCGCCTGAGCGGAAGATCCTGGGGCGGCAGATGATGCCGATGATGATGCTGCAGCGCTAGGCTCGGCCGCCTTCTTCTTTCGCTCCTCCTCTTGCAGCGATAACTTCAAAGCCATCTGCAGCTCGTCGTCCTCCTTTTGACGGTCCAAGTCCGTCAGACCCGTCTTTTGAGGCGCCGAGGGGGCTTGCAAAGTTGGGTTGCTCTGCTTAAGTCGGAAGTAGGCGTCGTACATGATGCCGAGGTCCGCATCCTTGCTGAACATGTCAGACCAGTCCTTCATGCGCTCGATGATCTTGGCCTTGACCTGGTTATGGGTGTTACGGTCGTTTGCGAGTTTAAGAAGGGCGTCGGTGAAGGCTCGGCTGGAAAGCTCGCGATGCATATTCTTGCCACAGTTCTGGCTGAGGGCGTTTGCGAGCTAGACAGCAAGCGATGAGGTCAGCGACGTTCGCGCGTGCCGCCAAGAATGCCGTCAGTGCGAGGCAGGAAAGAAGAAGACTCACCTCAAGAGTGTACAGCTGAACATTGGCGTTGCGATGTGCCAAGCGTTTAATCATGGCTTGTACGACCTCTTTGGGTCCATTCTGATCGTTGCTTACGCGGTCGCAAACTTCGATGATGGCTCCCCAATCTTCCGAGGTCAGGTTTTCGTCGGTCGCCTTGGCTACACGATACAAGCGAATTAGCAAGCTGTCCAGGTATTTAATGTTGTGGATGCATCAAATGCGATCACATACCGACGCCATCGTCGAAGGGACCGGCGGCTGCAGCTCGAAACATATTGGGCAGAAGCCGTGAGCCGCTGCGAATGCTCTACAGTGGCCGTTTTACTCAAAGCCGTTTCGTAGCAGGTAGCAGATGTTGAGGCAAACCAAATGTGTCGTGCCGAATATATCAGTAGGCAAGTAGGTTAGCAGGACCAGCAGGTTTTCAGTATATCCCGTAGAGAATTATTGTACGTGAAGCACAAAGTATGGCGGGCAGAAGAGGGTTGTGAGTGATAGGATTGAAGTGAAGTTTGGCCAGCTCAGGTAGGTTTGTCAGGTCTTGGAGCCTGGTTGGATGAGCGCGCACGGCCTGGGTTGTGAAGTAAGCTCGGTGGAGAGGCAGGCGTGTCAGTGTTCGTTTCCGCGGGGCAGAATGTAGAAGGGGAAGGACAAGGTAGATAGGTCACCAAGATTGTTCAGTAATGGGTACGTAAGGCCGCCTAGCAAGAAGAGGCGAGGTATGTAAGGTATGTGTGTAGGTTGGTAGTCAGGTATTGGGGGGGTGGTGGACAGACCGACAGGTGGACATGGACATCGATGGTTGGATGGATTGGGCGGGAAGAAAGCAGGTGCCACAACCCATGAGGTAAGTAAGGTGCCTTGGCTTAGAGAAGGAGGGGAAGCACCATTACGCTAATGGTAGCTAGAGACAAGGCACCTGTCTCAATGTACCTCTCCATAGCAAGTATCTCCAAGAGTGACTTTTGCAAAGCCGCCGCGCAGGCCCACCGACCCACTAATATACCTTGGGAAGGCCCGTCGTCATCATCGATCCGTAAAGGCTGAGCGGTTTCGCCCATGAATTACGCGGACTTCGTCTTCGCACCGCCACATCTGTGGACTGGACCTGATCCCACCTCCACCAAAATGGAACCTCTCACTCACATTTGGGAAAACCGAGGGTACGTAAACAAACTCGTGGACATTGCGACGCGACAGTATCACGAACAATAGAAAGACTGCGATGCTTCGTTTATTCGTGCTGCAGCTGATTCATTAATTCCGTATTGATTTATGTCGTCGACCGTCACTTCATGTGTCCGTTTCTCACTTTAGCATTGTATATACACATTCATCCGTTCACTGCACGTTACGGCTTCGGTCGTCGCTCATCAAACACGATATTGCCCCTATATTGTCAACATTTCCAATAACAACCTTGATCCTGTCACGAGACCTTTGATGCCTACTTACTTGTAAGAGAAGAAAAAGACCAGATCTATAAGGGAAGGGACAAAATAAAACCTCGCTGCCCTGCCGTTTGGCATGGCAAAGGCGGCGTCAGCTATGCATGCGCCATACAACGACTGCGGGGCGAGGAATGAGCATGTTGACAGGGCCAACCAAACTCACAACTATCAAGCCACATCCGATTGCTTGGCTCCCATGACCTTGTCCTCTCAGTCATCCAGTGCGTGCTTATTTATCCCGAAGCGTACGCAGTGGCTGATTATAGAAACCTTACTGGACTCACCTCGAACCGGCCAGCCTAACGTCAAAGATTTTCACTCCCACTCTGCTACCGGCCAGTTGTTTCGCGATACAAAACATTTCTGCCTAGACAAGTCCCCCACGCGTACGTAACTTCAGACGAAGCGTGCTATAGCCACATTGCTTCCTATCTAATTTTCGTGTATCGTTGTGAGAATTAACTTGCATCTACCTCACGACAAATTACACAGCACTTCTCTAAGCCTTCAACTTTGTTGCTGTTGAGTGGGTTGACACTCGCTGAATGTGTACATGGCAGTCTTTGTACATTCTCTATCATATCTGTAATCCCTAGCCCTACTCCAGTCTTCTTTGCTAGCACCAAAATACCATCATCAGCTAGCCCAACCAACGCCAAAGTTCCTTATCCCTCCAACCGTCATATATTTATATAAATTGTGTGTGTGTGTGTAACAGTGACATCGTCTCTGGCAAGGCTCTTCTGGTCTTGCCATCACGCCGTTCCAGGCTGTAGGGCCCATTCCTCAACTGTAGTTGGACCGCTCCGAAATTGCTACAACCGTGCGCCCCGGAAACGTCCTGTATCGTTAAATTTTGCAATTGTATGCCTCTTAATCGACCAAGACAAGGCTGATGAGATAATGCATGGTCTACCATCCTCGTCGACTGATGCCTCGGGGTTCAAAGTCGCCACGGCTCCCCGAGCCAGATCCAACGTTGCCGCCACCGCGTCCTTCCTCCAGACTTCGACGTGACTGGGCGTCCATTTCTGACATGTCGAAAAGTAGCGGCTCCTCGTCGACTAGGTCATTGTCACCACGTCCGTATCGTCCGATGGAGCCTGTGAAGCTTCCTCTTGATGATTGGGGGGGTGTCTGGCCGCGGCCACCGGTTGATGCCATACCAGCATATCGACGCCTTCCAAACGGCGAGCTGGACGGTGCGACGGCCATAAGACCTCCTGGTGGCTTAGACCCTTCAGATGAGCCCTGCCTGATCATATCCGCCGAGCCCGATGACTGAATGTCAACTGCTGGCTGTAGCGATGTCCCCTCTCTTCGGGTAGATGACTCGGCTTTTGCTTGCCTACCCAGCAGCATACTGAGGGTGGGCGGCTCACGGTCTTCGGCGCCCAGACTGATGCTACGGTTAGCTGCAAAAGCAAGGTCACCATCGTCTTCATCCGTTAGTGCCCGGTTCTGCTGGGCCACGGAGCTAGAACGCCTCGGATGCGTGCCTATTCTTGGAGAAATGGGTATATCAATAGCAGTAGTACCATCTTGAGTGATTGTGTCTTCTCTATTAATCTGCGTGTTTTCTGCACTGCTGTTGCCTCGCTCGCTTCGAGGTTGACTGGTGTTGTAATTAATGATTGAATTCTCGCTCAAACGTGAAGGTACTGCAGGGGTATGAGGAGTGTGTGGCGAAAGAGGTTTGCCAGGGGAAGATGAGACCGATATCGAAGCGGGGGCGGCCATGCTGGGAACGTTGGAGAGCTGTCGGCTTGACGAACTTGATGATCTGTGCATCTGCATTGAAGAGGTCATTGAGTCTGTGAGAGCGTTGTTTGATTCCTTCATCATGTGGAATTTGGAGAGCTGAGCAACCGTCCTGTTCGTTGCCCATTCGCCTTTTTTGCTAGGCTCAAAGCTCTTAAGAGTTTTCTTGCTGTCCAGTGCCTTCAGAAACTCAGAGATTTGGTCGTCATCTGTTTGCAGTGACCCTGAACTACCACCGCCTCCTGCTTCGGCCAATAGCCCAGAGCCAGGTTGCGCCACAGACGAAGAGAGGCTTTGTCGCCCGCTGCTACCCTGCTCGTCATCCACCGCCTTGCTCGTACCGCCGAAGGAAAGCCGCCCTTTGCGATGGGTAAAGCTACTGCTATAGCGGCTCGTTGAGGATGGCCGAGGGGAGCCCACTACAGCTGCGTCGCTTGCCGGAGGACCGCCTCGCAGAGAGGCAGGCATACCGGCTGTCAATGACGTACGGTTGCGAGGTTGCGTGAGCGCATTCAATGCTGCGGCCCGTGACATGGGTGAGGCCGGTGACTCAGAATCCAACGTTCGAGGAACTGGAGAGCCAGACAGGGAACCAGCTTTGAAAGGCTGAAAGGAGACGGATGGACGCCGGCCAGTGCTACTGAAGCCCTTGGCAGATGGCCTCGACGCCAATCCCGAGACAGGCAAAGAGTTTGGGGGATTTGGCACAACACTCGCCGGGACAGAATCCGGGGGCGAACTTGTGTCAGAACCAGGAGGTCGTACGGCCTTCAGAGCTGATATAGGACTGGTGCCCAAAGGACCATCGCCGTGAAAGGTTGAAAGGCTGCCATATGTCTGGTGAATGTCAGACAGGTTCCTGCTGCGTCGATGAGACGGTAGAGACCCGACCTCGGGGTCGTTCCTGCGGCTTTCCCTCCTCTGAGGCAACGAGGGCTTAAAAAAGTTCTCGTCGACGCCCATGAAACGTGAACTCAGGAGCGCCTCGGAATCATCCACTCGAAAGTTGCACTCATTCCTGTACGTCACCGATGCATACAAACGACCGACAGGGACTTCCAAATCACCAAACACATAGTCCGTTACAACATCTGGCCGGCCATCATACAGCGGATGCCTGAGGCGATCGAGGCCGTCGGTATCTGGCTCGCCGGTTCGAATACGGCATCGCGGTTCTAGTGAGGGGTGCACGCCTTTACTGAGGGAATGCTGTGTGAACTTCCAAACCGGAAGGATCCTTGTTGCGGCAAATAGTGACCGAAAGAAGACGATGCTTTTCTTGTATATAGTCGGTAATGTTGGGCCGAAGTCATTTAGGCCATCGGATGGTATTGTCTTCAATTCAATGCGCCATCTTTCCAGAATAACTTCGGTCTTCTTTTTTGCAGCAACGGGTCGGCCATCATCGCTCGAATCAGAAGAATTCAGTGCCTCCATGGCATCCCATCTCTTTCCATTCTCGTCAACAATGACCAAGGTTTGGCTAGCGGTCAGGCGTGAAGTGTCAAGATATGTCTCAATGATCAAGGGCGGCGGCTTGTTTTCGAAGCTGCCGCAATTTCTCCATACACGCAGCTCATCTTTGAAGTCGTCGAACTCTTCGGTCTCGATTTGGAACTGTCAAAGAAAGCGGTATTAGCATCTCATCGGTGGAGAGTGCACCAGTTGCTGCAAAGGATTAGAGACTAACCCATTTGTTCAGCTTCTTGCTGCCAGACCCACGGGTTGTGTATATGGGCTTCAGGTTGATGCGCGATTGAAGGACCACCGAGGCAGCCTTGGTGTGAAAGTTCTGCTTCAGTTTAGCATAGACCCAAGAGTATCAGTCTTAACCCCCCGAATCGGCGCACCTGGATTATCTGGTCCAACTTTTTGATGGCATCGGCAGGAGGGCCAACCCCTGGAGGAGTCTCGAGAGTTGGAGAGGCAGCGACTGCGGGTTCACGGCCAGAGGCTTCAGACCCTGATCTTGCGCGAGCACCCAGTATTCCTTCTCTTGGATTGTTCGTTCGGGAAGGGTTTGTCTGGGGTGAAGAAGCGGGCGATGAGACTCGCGGTGCGGGTCGAGCTTGTTGATGCATTTTGGTCGGGGTTGAAGCCCCAAAGGGCGGGGGATGGTCGAGGTTAATCTGTGAAACCGGCAAAAGCTAGCCTGGATATAGATGTTACGACGAGAGCGAGTTGCGAGGGTACAAGGCGGTTCTAGGCGGATTACGGGAGGGTATTCTCGGTGTCGACGTCGGGGTGGTACCGAGCTCGCTCATCCATCCTTCATGACAACTAGAAGCCGTTAAATCGGTTTGGTGCCTCAAGTCTGAAGCGTAGGGCGGGGTGGGAAGTCGCTCGAAATGGACAAGAATAAGATGCGATACGGCGAAAGAGCTCCAGTGGGGTGGGAAACCCTTGGTAGGGTGCGGCGCGGGAACGAGGCAGGCAACGGCGGGCAGGGGCAACGTCGAGGAGGGGGATTCGATGCGACCGACGCAGAGGTAACTGGGTGCCGCACAAGCAGGCCAAGGAGGCACCAGGCAGAGCTGCAGGATGAATGGTTGAGCTATCTTAGGCGGCTGTGGCTTTGATCATGGCTTTTGGTCGCCTGGGGTAAGCTTCGCTTCGATTTGGTTCGCAAAAAAAGTGACGTCCTCCAAGACACATCGGCCGGCGACAACAAATCTGTCGCTCAAAGGTAGAGAAGGAGGGTTTCTCAGGAAGGACTTGGGTGGCACTGCAAGTCGATAATGCGGAGACTCGGCGCTGCGGTGATGTAGTCGGGGATTAACGGCGTTGGTGTCATCCGCTCAATGGATGGCAAGTCTCGTGATCGTCAACATGAACCCTTCCGTCATGGAGTCACCTGGTGGACTTGCTGGGCTTGGGATGCTCAAGCGAGTACACAAGGATAGGCAAGGCAAGGGCAAAGCGGTGTACTCGAGGGTAAGAGGTTCGTGACGAGACGGGGATGCAAAGGACGGCAAACCAGAAACAGGCAAAAGATCAGATGGTAATGCTAACTCGAAGAAAGGGAGGGAGGGAGAGAGAGAGAGAGACGGATAAGAAGAGGTTGGAGTATGAAATGGTGAGGTTGCAAGAAATACACGGTAACAGAACGGGATCCGAGTCAAACGCAGAAAGACGCAAGGGCTGGAATTAATGATGCAGAAACGGCAGGAACTAGGCACAACAAAGGGTTTGTTATTGTCTGGGAGTTGCTAAGGGCAGACACACAACGCTAGAAGGTTGAAGAGAAGGGGAGAATAAGATGGGAAAATAAAGAGGTAGAGGGAGAGAGAGCGAGCGCTCAAGGTTAGAAATGGGAACGAGTTAGAGGCAAGAAAGGAGCAGACAAGACAGCGGATGACATGGATGTCTCTGGGTTGCTGGAGCTGGACAAGGTTCAATCAGGACCAGGGGGAGGGAGCAATCTATGGTCCAGCAGAGCGGGATAGTGAGGAGGGGAGGGAGGAGGAGGAGTAGGAGGTGCAGGCAGTAAATATGAGCGAAAGCAGGGCCCGCCCAAGTGGTGGCAGGTAATAATAGGTAATAGTACCTCACTAGGGGTTGGGGGAAAGAGACTGGGTGCAGCCGCTGGTACTTTTCACTCATTTTCTGGTGCTGCCAGTGGCCCTGGGCCTTCTTCCAGTGGCAGTAACAGCAACAGACAGGAGCAGCAACAAGTAAGCCAGCAATGTACGTGGTGCACCCTCAAACAAGCATCCGTAGACCACCACGGACCATGAGGTGTGGATGAGCGTTGGCGCTGTGGACGGTGCAGGTGCAGCTAGGCAGGTGCAGGTTACAGGGGGGTTGTGGAATAGGATGGGATGGAAGAGAAAAGGGAACAAGGAAATAAAAAATAAAAATAAAAAGACCAGGGGATTTGGTCGCCTGCCTGCACTGATGCTCAGTTACTCAGTTGCTGTTTTAATGCTTGGCTTGACGAGACTAAGTGCATCTTGTCCCATTGCTAATATCGAGTACATTGTGTTAGTGTAGAAGGACCAACGGCCACAAGAAAAGAGACTACTTTGTGTCATCATCACCCACCCCATCAAGATGCGCGTGTGCATGTACCTAGGATCGAGCAATTACCGGCATCGGCATAACATACTCGTTCGTCACGACCAAAGAGTGGCAGACACGAGACATGCCTTGGCCTTCTCTCTCTCTCTCTCCCTTTCTCTTATCCAACTTGATCATTTGAACTTTCTTCCATTTAGTGTTCTCGGTATCCCCAAATGGTCATTCCATTTTGTCTACCTTAGCCAGCAACAGATTAACAACTCTCTTCCAGCTTGACGGTAGTTTACAATCTCTTCTCTCCTTTTCATTGACTGCAACTTGTCTCAGGTAACTTTGCTATCCTGGTAAGTTACCTCACAGTGACCGCCATTGACTGTTTTCCGTTGTGGTTCCAATTGTGGCAAGGGGATGTGGAGGGGGCGATGGTCTTGGACAAGCCCGGACCTCAGAATGGCCTCAACTCCTCCTCAAAGCTTCGCTGTAACTGCCAATCTCTGGGGCATGATGAGGGGGTGGTCGGGGTTTCGGGGGCTCTGCTCTCTGTACTGCTGAGTCACTGGGGAAGTTCCTTCCTCGTGTGCTGTGGCTTGCTGGCCGCACGGCTCCATCAATCACTGCATTACAGCATAGTACAGCTCGGTAGCACGCAATGCTACTCCGCTTAAACCAGACCCTCCCGATTGGCGCCTGACAGCTGGCACCAGGACAGGGTTCCCCATGGCCGATTAAACTGATGCTCTATCTGTCTGTCGGGGCTCATCAAGCCATGACCTGCTTGTTATTCTTATTCTACTTCATGGCACCATTCCCTTTTGCCCACGGAGGAAGCCTTGTTCTGCCTGCGGCTCTGTCACCCTCCTCCCCCCCCCCCCCCCCCCCCTTGTGAATCATGGCCAACAAGGTCGTCGGCCTGGACCAGGACAACAGGATGCAGCCTGGGGCCTGCAGGAGCAGTCGTACATAGCCCCGAGATACATACATACATAAATAAATTTCATTCCTACCTACTACGTAGTACCTTGCTGTGCCAGTTCATGGGCAACATGTGCCCGGCCTTCGGTTGACACCGGGAATCGACCTCCCAGCATGGCAACTTAGTTGCTGCCCGTAAAAGTCCAGGACTCCCTTATCTCTTCTTACCTCAGATACGTCCCAAAGAGCGAGCCATATCGCGTCATGCCACGATCCGATACGAGTTGGCGGCATTCCATCTCTGCAGCCTATCATTTTTCGTCATTTGCTTCCTCAAGACTACCTACCTACTCGATACGGCCGTCGCGGCATCTGCGGCTGTCCCAATTCATCAGCCAAGCGTAGCATGTGTCGAACGAGTCATCGCCGCCCATGAACTAATCCGCATAGGTATCATCTGGTCTTTCTTCTTATCATTCCCTACCTCGTGCAGTCCCGCCTCGATAGCGATAAGCCTATCCGTCGTCCCCAACAGGCCAACCTACCAACCAACCAACCAACCAAACCGACTTACTAGCCACTGCTAGGACTTTGGTGTGTGGTGGCCTTCATGCACATGCACATAGACGCTCTTTCATGCTCCTCTCTCCGCAGATCGGACCCAGTCCCGGGTCCTGCGTAGCGTTTCTGCTGTGAGAACGGAGCGCCTGACATTAGCGCCGCCCATTCATCACCCACTTCCTCCTGGCCTCCGAATTCCGTAAAATGGACATGGTAAGACATCCATCAATAGACGGCCTTGCGACTTGGAGCAACTCTACCCGGCGTCATTCCCCGTCACATGAGACAGTCACCCTACCGTGTTGCTAAGCAAGTTTTTGATGTACGAGGACCCCAACCATGTCTATGTTAGTGCAAGTGTGCTTGTCTGAACAAAAGTCTTTTCTATATTTCCAGTCTGCGAATCGTACTGGTGTGACAATTCAAGAAGCATCTCCTCATATGTAATGTTTGTGCCCAATAAAATATGCCTGAACATGTGTTCTGCTTTAGCCCCAAGACTCCCCAAAACGCCTACGAAATCATGCAAATCACAATGCAGATGCCGATGCTGATGTCGATGTTTTGCCGCCTCTGCCCCGGCCTCGGTGACTCCGTCCTCGGTTGTTGTTCGAGGGTCCACTCGGCACTTTCTGCGGAGCAGCTACCTCGTTGCTGCCGGGTCCATCAGCTTGGCCCGTAGGTGTACTGATACCCTTCCCTTTTCCCCCTCCTGCCCCTCCTCCTCCTCCTCCTCGACCACGCCTGCCTCTTCTGCTATCTTTCGAGTTTCGCTCCCCCTTCGCCTTATCCTTGGCCTCCCTTCTAGCTTCCTCTTCCTGCACGCGCCGTGTCTCCTGATCCCACCATTGCTGAAACTCTTGCTCTTGCTGAATCTCCTGCATCGACCTTTTCGCAACGGCTTCACGCACAATTTCTTGCTCGCGCTTCTGTTGGCCAATAATGTCTGCCATACTAAGTCCCAACATGGGCTCGGCTTTGGGTGCGGGAGTGATGTAAGATTTCGAGTGGGGGATGAGCGGCTTCGAAGGTGCTTGGCTTGACGAGATATTCGTTGTCGCGGGAGGGCTACTGATGCGAGACTGGCCAGGGAAACGGGTGTCAGGCGACGCGGCCCGTCTAGGGCTCGATTTGCCTGAAGACTCCACCGAGAGTAAAGACTTGGCGCCCGTTGTAGGCGGTGTCGATATTGGCGAGGCCTTGGCCAAGGTGTCCTTGAGAATCGGCTTAGGACCACTCGAGGCTACCTTCCATGGTGCCGTTTTGTTCCCAGTCGACTCCTTATCCCACGCCACCTTGGGTTGTTGGGCCTCGGCCTCCAAAGCTGCTTGTGCCGCTGCCTGTGCCTGTTGCTGTTTCTTGCGCTCCTTTTGCGACAATCTCGGTTGAGATGGCCTGGGGGACGCCTCCTTGCTCTTTTGAGCTGCGATACCGTCCGACAAGGCTGACTTGGTTGGAGTCTCTGTCAAAGCCTGACGCAAGTCCATCTTTTGCGTCGGAAAAGCTGCTGGGCCCCAGGGACTCCCTGCCTTCGGAGCGCTAGGTCCGCCCAGTCCCTGAGGCGATCGCGATGGGCTTAAGCCAGACTGCGCAGGTGTGCCCATGAGTGGACTGGCAACTTGAAGCTGATGTGTGTCGCCTGCGGATTGCCCCTTGAGATCTTTCCAAGGACCTGGCAAGGACGAAAACCGTTCAGGCTCAGGTCTGCCCCTGGCCTTGGATGCCTTGTGCAAGGGGGAGACCGGAGGACTGCCCATGGATGGACTCTCCTCATCCATATCAAAAATGAGGTCAGCGTGAGACTCCTTGGGTCGCAAGCTAGGGCTGAAAGGCTCGTTACGACTAGTTTTAGACCTCCGACGGCCCTTTTCCAAGCTAGGAGAGGTGATAGCAGCAGTGTCCTCCAAGCTACCAAATTTCGTCTTCAACGAAGACGAAATCTTCTTTTCCTCTTCTCTTTGATTTGACCGGAACGCCATCTCCCGTACCCTTCGTCGGCGTTCCTCGTCAACGTCAAGGGCAAGGTCCGGGTCCTTTTCGAACAAAAGCAACTCCGCCCGACCGCTTCTTGCGAAGGGATAGCGAGCCAGCTGGTTCTCCCGGACGACGTGATCGAGATCTTCGAGTAAGTCCTCTTCCAAATCATCCAAAAGATGGTTTTCAAGCATGGACTCCATCTGCAAGCAAATGTACTCCAAGCCAGCATCTTTGAATTCCGTCACTGAGCAGGGGCTAATCTCGTTCAGAAGAAGGGCGATATTACGTGTCGTAACAAAACGTGCAATCACAAACTGGCAGATCTGTGATAGCCTGTCAAGCATAAGTTCATTTGCAATGCTCATGACAGCCATGACCAGGTCGGAAAACTCGTCAATATTGACAGCGGTTGTTTGGTTAAAAAGCTCGGCGCCAACGTCTGCGTAAAGATAGCGCAAAACGTAGTGAAAAGCTTGGGGATCGCAGTGGCTTAAATCCACTCGTACCAATTCTTCATCGTCCAAAATGTTGCGGCGACCTGCAAGCCATTGGCCCCGAGCTCGACCGTGGAAAAGCCCTTCGAAAAAATCGCACCTCTGGCGCATGAGTTGGCTGTGAACAGGTACTTCCTCGCCATCTAACTCGACCAACGCGTCGGCATCCTCGAAAAACGTTGGATCCTGGATTGCTCTGGCGAAGTCTTGGTCCAAAGACTTGTCAACGGTTGTCTGGAGACGAGCAGCTGCCTCAAGCTTCGTCATATCGAGCTTTGTAGCCAACCTCATCAGCTCATTTCTAACCTGGCGATATCTGTGAGCTAGAGATGGCGCTTGACGTGTATGGTTCCACGCCGGAATGACGGTGTCGTCATAGCAATAAATGAGAATGTTGAGCAGGGAAAGCAGGTCGATCGAGTCAAACGTGATCACGGTTTTCCCGCCTTCTTCTCCAATCCGAAGGACTTGCGGTATCTCCCCCTCGCTGCCATTCCGATACTGGCTAAGAACTCTTCGTAGGACTGAGCTCCGGCCTGTGAGAAGCCATGGGTGTATCGGTATCTTGAGCTCCGGGCACGCTGAAGTGCGGAGCTCCATATCAGTCTCTGGATCTGGTACCATTAGAAGGTATTGCTTAAGGTCGCTCTCCAGATCTGATGACTTCAGAATCTCGTAGGGAAGCAATCCGATACGATACTTCAAGTCCTCTGATTTCCAAAAACCAAGTGTATCTTTGTCCCCACTACCTGGTGTCGATGCTTGGAAATCTCGAAGGATGAGAAGTGGTGCCAAGTCATCCCAAAGCGATTGCTCATTAATATTGACCTGTTCCTTCATCACATCGCAATCTTTGCGAATCGCCGCAAACGCTCCAAAAGTGGAACTCCTAACGGCTACAGCATTCGTTACGCTAGGTACTCTCTGGAATTTGAAGTCTTTCCATTTGATATCGGCTGAGCCAGGGATTGCGGCATCTTTTGCTTTGGCACGTTTGATACGTTTCCAAACTGAGCCTGACTCTGTACAGATAATGACGGCCCCGTGTTCGCCGACACTAGCCGATTTGACGCCGTCTTTTCTGGCGTTCCATACGCACTTTGGTGTCGTAACAGCACCTTTAATTTTTGAAGGGTTTGTGGTCGATGTCGCTATAGGAGTCGAGTCGGTATTGTGATTCAACGTCATTGTAAAAAGATCACCTCTGGTAGTGAGAGCAGCGATGGTGTCCCCTCCTGATGTGATGCGGTTGACCTGGTTCCGAACTGAGTCGTATCGCGTCAACATGGACGCGGTGAATTGGTGGTTGACAAAGACATCAGGGGAAGGAAATTTAACAAAGTTGTAGCCATAACTGGTGAACACACAAACCGTACTATCGGCTAGCAAACACGTCGTCGCTTTATCAATAGCGGAAACGGCGGCTATGGGTGACGAGAAAAGAGACGCAGCGACTTTTCGAGGGGTTTGTTGGACTTCCAGAGATCTCGAGTCTGCATCCATGAGTGCCAGCTGGCCAAGGTTTTTGCCCCAGCAAAATAATGATGTAGAAGTGTGCGCCACGGAATGCACAGCAGACGCCGCCACGCCAAGTACAACCTCCTTCTTCAGAGTCCCAAACACTTGTCGTGGGGTAGCGCTCATAGGCTCCTCGTCTTGTCTGGCCGGCGGTGGCAAACTGTATCCTAGCTGGGAATTGCTATTTGAGCCCCAGGTCCAAAGCTCACCTGCATCAGTGACTGCCATACTGTGATTTTGACCAAGTGCGACTTGCACTACCTTTTTGTCGGCGAGGCCTCCCTGCACAGGAACGAAGCGGAATTGGGTGTTTTCGTTGCCTAGACCAAGGCGCCCACCACGTCCGACGCCACAGACATATAAGTTGGAGACAGGATCAGTCGTAAGAATCGCTGTGTGCAGTTTGGAAAGGACTGCATCATGGATCCGGATTGGGCGGTTTCTGATTAGAGCCGGAATGTCTTCCATATCCATGTCTTCAATAACAGTGGCTGGTTCGTGAGAAAGCCCGTTCTTCGTCTTTGCAAGATATTCTTGGAAGAACCTTCGCACAAGCTGGTCCGGTCGTTTAAGGGTGATCCTTTCCGGGAACTGGCGGTCGTCTTCGTCACCCACTCCAAGAGAAAGATTCCGATTACTACCGAAGACGAAAAGCTCAACGCCTTCGGAAACGCCGTCTAGTGCAGCAACAGATTTCATCAGCACCTGGCCTCCATCAGAGCTGCCGTCCATGTCTGAGTCGACATCTGAATCGTCTGAGTCTCCTGAGCCACCAACCATCCGTACCGCAATGGTCGAATTGTAGAGATCGAAGGGACTGTTACCCTCTCGGTCCTTCGTCTTAATAAGCTGACCAACCTTGGCCACTGAGCTTCCAAGTGTCTGTTCCGTCAAGATCTTCCGCTCCCTTTCGAGCAGCAAGCGGGCTATCGCGATGTTTCCGGTATATAGGGCTCTGTGAAGAGCATTCCATCCACTCTCCAGGTCTTGCACATATAAATCGACCGCAGGATGTTCGAGAAGCGCCTGAATGAATAGAATGGCGTCGGAGTTTGTGGAAGAGGCGGCCCGGAGGAGGACGGTTAGACCGGCATGGTCGCGACTGTTGATCTCAGCTTTTCCCAGTGTGGTATTGGAGCTCTTGGAGGGGCCAGCATTGACGCCCACGGCGGAAGACTTTCGCAGCTTTGCATTCCGAGGGGAGGTCCCGTATCCTCCGGGACTTCCCCCCAAAGGCGAGGCAGCTACCGCTGGACTCCTTGTTGCAGCTTGTGACGTGTGCCCGGCCGGGGCCAGTAGACGTCGAAACCTATCGACATCGTTTTCCCAATAATATTTCCAAAGTAGGTGACTCATGGGCGGGGGTAAGCAAAGGACCCTTCAAGCACTGGGGTAGCACCTCGCTGTGAATCTCTTGGATCACGGCCTTTTTAAAGGTGCAGTTCCGAGCGCGAGAAGAGGAAATGATCGATTACCGATAAACTAGAGGTCGTAATCGGTCGAAAGGCGCAGCAGATCGATTGCGAGTATTGCGAAACCCTGAAAGAAAGGATTTGACAAAAGGTCGCCACCTGGCCGTTTAGCTTACAGCTTCTCGATGATGTATGGTAGTGGCGTTACTAGTTAAGACGAATACGATGGAAGATTCGGTGTCGCGAGAAGAAGGGCTTCGATTTCGGCAGCTAGAAGAATCGATTTGGACGGTAAGGCGAGGGTAGTTGGGAGATTGAAAGAGAGAATGCTCTCGAGGGTGGGGTTGACAGTCAAGGAAATTGAGGGCATTGTGAGTTGTGCGCGTCAGAGCCCAGAGTCCGCCGCGCCGCAAATTCCCGGCTCCACGGGTGTTTTCGTCTGTTATCGTTTAGCCAATAGGACACCTAACTTTGAGCTTGTGCTTTGGTTGCAGGCCAGACAAGCTTCATTTCAGGAGGCTAGCGTGCTGTAGAGTTACAGACTACAGCACTGAAAGGTGCTGAAGCAATTGAATTTATCCGGGTGAAGTGGGGGTTAGGTGTACCTAAAGCCTGGATCAGGTGGAGTCGCTATACTATGGTACTTCTGATGCCCTGTGGATCATCCGAATCAACGTTGGCCCTGCGTGGACAATGAGAACACGCCGTCAGTTTTGTTAAAAGCCGAAACAGCGAGATGTTCTTGAAAGAAATCAAAGGAGTGTTTGGTTCATCTTTATCTAGCTCGGAAAAGTCGTATGCTGGCTATGATAATAACTAGCATCTTGGCTGCTGTGTTTAGAAATGGGATGAATAGCTCCAAAATGTTTCTTTTCGAAAATACGTCCGTGAAACAATCCGCGGACACCTGCCAAGTTGGTTTCGCGAAGAACCCAGGAAGGTACATTCAAGGTATCCATATCCGTACACCGCGCGACCTTAATCTTCATTGTGGGGAGCTACCCCCCGCCAGCTCCTGTACCCCGCCTGCACATGTGAAGCGCCTGGATCGCATTAATACGTTCGTTGACATGCGCACCTCTCATTTTCCTGCATTTGTTCGGCTTACCGCATTGCGACTGGACAGGGGCCAAGAACATGCTTCAGCTTAATTGGACCGGATTGTTCGTAGCACAATGTTTGGGCATTTAGAATAAGAAAATAAGACAACTTGACTAATGAACCAGGTTCAGAAAGAAGTTTGTTGAGGGGCAATGTAGCACAACATGCGCCGCGAAAGCCAGTTTGGTCTCTAATGGATGCATTGGCCCTGAGAAACACCTGCGCCAAAGTGCCGTCCGTGTATGATGAAGTATCAAGGCGCATAATGTAGTCAACTTTTGCAAGTCTAGAAGCCGGATTCAGGGCAACTTTCAACTCGACCATCAAACAACATCTAAACGCTTTGCTCAGTGACCGAGAGACAAGATTAAATCAATCGCGATTGCTTCGGAATTGTCGCCCGAATCTCGGGAACAGATGGAGAGTCAGAGGTGCAGCAGGTCGACACAGCGCAACATGGCCCATGCCCTAGCAGCTTGGGTCCCTGGGGGATCTATCTTTACCCCAGGCTGAAAGTACTGAAAACCAAGACCAGACCATTGCCAATACGTAATCCCGTCGGACCTTCACCGTGACCGACGCAGTACACCGAGGATAACCCAATCAAATCCTCCTCAACTGTCAGGGACTATGAGCACGAGCCCGTCCTAGTGGAGTCCGGCGCGGCTCGGTAACTTGGGACAAAGCCGATAAGGGACGTCCACGCCCGGCCCTTGCGATAAGAATCCAATACCCGCTAATTCTTGTCGTCGTTCGATTTTCGCTTCCCCAAACCTCCCACCTGCGCACCAAGTCTGCCAGTTTTTATTCCTTTCTGCTCCTCCGTGAGTTTCGATTCGCACTGCCCTTGCCTAACCTCAGCTGACCGAACCCCCTCAAGCTGTTTGATCCGTCGAAATGTCGTCCGAAAAGCCTCTTCCCTTTGCCTACCAGTTCGCCGCAGGTTTGTTCACGAAATCCCCACTGCCGCGATATCGGACCTAGACCACTGACCGTTGCATTCAGGCGCCATTGCCGGTGTCTCGGAGGTCAGTAACCTTGCAAATGGGTATCCAGAGATGCAATTACCATAGTGCTTACAATTCATCGTATCTAGATTCTGATTATGTGAGTCTAAACTTCGTTCGAATATATTCCGTGCTCACCGCTGACCAACCTCAGGTACCCTTTGGATGTCGTGAAGACCCGAGTGTGAGCTCCGCCCGCTTGCTTTATTTTCAACCGCGCATCGACTGACGACCCCAGACAACTTCAAACTGCAGGAGCAAGCGGTGCCGACGCCTACAATGGCATGCTCGACTGCTTCCGCAAGATCATCCGCAACGAGGGGTACGCAACGCATTTCAGCCAGCATTGGGGGATCTTTAGAGCTTACAAAACACAGTGCCTCGAGGCTATACCGCGGAATCACCGCCCCCATTCTCATGGAGGCCCCTAAGCGTGCGACCAAGTTTGCTGCCAACGATGAGTGGGGAAAGATTTACCGCAACATTTTCGGCGCCGCCAAGATGAACCAATCCCTGTCCATTTTGACCGGTGCCAGCGCCGGTGCTACTGAAGCCTTCGTTGTTGTTCCCTTCGAGCTTGTCAAGATTCGTCTGCAAGACAAGGCTTCTGCCGGAAAGTACAACGGTATGCTCGACGTCATCCGCAAGACCATCAAGACCGAGGGTATTTTGGCCATGTACAACGGTCTCGAGAGTACCATGTGGCGCCACGTTCTCTGGAATGCCGGTTATTTCGGCTGTATTTTCCAGGTCCGCCAGCTGCTCCCCAAGGCCGAGAACAAGACTGCGCAAGTCACGAACGACCTGATTTCGGGTGCTGTTGGTGGCACTGTTGGTACGATCCTCAACACCCCCATGGATGTTGTCAAGTCGAGAATCCAGAACAGCCCCAAGGTAGCCGGTCAGACGCCCAAATACAACTGGGCTTGGCCTGCTGTCGGTACCGTTGCCAAGGAGGAGGGTTTCGCAGCTCTGTACAAGGGCTTCCTTCCTAAGGTTCTCCGTCTAGGCCCTGGAGGTGGTATCTTGCTCGTTGTCTTTACAGGCGTTATGGACTTCTTCCGTAACATGAGAGCCGAAGCTTAAACGGCTGACTGGCGGCAATAAAGGACTAAAAGAGGATAGAAACCTGGGTTGTACATCTTATACAGGCAGATACCAATACTGGCTTGGATTTCTGGCGCTCAGCAATGCAAACTTCAATTCTGACAAAAACAAAACCCAGAGTCTACGCACGAAGGTGGTAGCTCTTATGAAGTGTTTCCCCGGTGATTGGCCTGACACTACTTCTTTTTGCTGTGACAGATTGTGTTGACTAGACCCTAATCCCAGACTCACTTTTATCTATACCCTCTTCTTCGTGGCTAATCGTGAGAAGGAGGGTGTCAGTGGTTGCCACTCCCACTACAATATGCTTCTTCTCATTGTCTTTGTATATTTGTATCGTGATCCGCCCATAACTCGGAGATTGCACTGATCCCTGCGATTGCAGTTGCTTGGCCGTGGTTTCCTAGTTCGTGACCACTTTCTTCATTCTTTCCCTTGTATCGCTTTGCTCTAATATATATGGTGAACCGCTGCTATCCCTCACCTTCACTGCTAAACTTTTCTCTTACTGCTTTACTGCTTTCTTCAGCTTTCCAGGTTTTTCTTAGAATGACAACTCGCATGTGCTAAAGATTTCAGACACGACACCATTCTTTATGGCGAGGATATCAACCTTTCTATCACCTACAACTATTACTTATGCACCTGTGAATCTCTTCTCAAACGTCTCATTAAGGAAACACCCCCATACTACTACACTGGGCCTCACCTGCTTCAACCAGCTTCGCCCTCAATACTTCCACAAGGGTAATTATTTCCCGTATCTGGCCACCGTAGTCGGTAAACCGGCCCAGGAAGTCTCACTTGTCGCCTTCGCCTTCGCTTGGTTAACGAGTGGTTTTTCGTAGACAAAGTGCTCCCCAGTCAAGGCAAGTGAGCTGTTCGCTCCTTCCACTGATGGTTTGAGTACTTCCAAGCACTTATCATGGCTGTGTTCCTCGCCCGCCACCTGGCTCTAAATCTCATCCTGCCTCACCCTTCCACGCAAACGATTATTTTCCCTCACTTAATTACAACCTTGCTAACATCTCATCACAGTTTTCCTTTCAGAAAAAAGTTTGATTTTGCTTTATCCTCTTCCAATCTTTACAGCCTTTGCCGCCTAGCTTCTTAATATTAGCTTAGGCTAAGTAACCACCAAAAATTACAGCGATCAACAAAGCGTCTCGGCGATGTCAGTGCCTTCGTCTGCCGGAGACCATTCCTCTTCGATCTTGCCGTCGAACGAGAATATGTCCGAAGATATAGGACATCAAGACCCTGGCGATGCAAGTGGTCTCAACGCCGACCTTCTCACGGGGCAAAATACATTTTCACAACTTATGACGCCTTCAGCATCTCCCAATGATTATTTTGATTCGGTCAACGGAGGTCTTGATTTGAGCCGCTTGACTATCAATTCCTATGAGAACGAGGTGCCAGCCCAGCACTACGATCCTGATCGGGATGAGGTCGAGTCACAAGATGGAGCGGGTTCGAATGATGATATGAACGAACCCGATGAAAATGTCGTTGATGGAGAAGCATATTTAGGCAATCAGAACGTCCAATATGGCTTTGAGCAAGATGAAGAAAGTCATGCACCAGAAGACGTATCGATGATGGATGATTCCGAAGACCAGAACTCTGACGAAGAGTCTTCGATAGATCTTGACCATATCGGCTGCAATGATGAGTGCCAACAGAATCTTCAACGAAGGTATGAACAATTTAATCAGCGAATCCAAGAGCTTCAAAATCAAGTGCGGAGTTTAAACAATGCTTGCAACCAGAAGGATGCAAGAATCCAGGCTCTGCAAGCCGAAATACAGAGGAAGGCTCTGGGCCAAAGCAAGACCATTAGAGTAAGCAGTTACCCTCATTCAGGTATAGAAATAAACTGACAACAATCATCACAGAGGTGGCCAACCGAACTTCGCCGTCACTTGGAGAATCATCCACAGGCACTAACATACAACAAAATATACGCGCTATGCTGCAAAGAGGAGAATATGAGTTGCAAGACCCTTGTCGTCCATCCCAATCTTCGGCTTCGAAGACCAACCAGCGCAGAGACTGAGGCCGCCATCTCACATGCTTTTCTTGCTAGTGATTCAGAGAGCGAAGCTGACGAAGCAGAGGGCCATCAGAACGGTGAGAGACCCGTGGATCACTCTCCCAAGCCAGACGAGATCTTTGTTCGAGAGCAAGAACCCAACCAGCATAGGCAAAAGTCAGTGGGATATCAGCTTAGCGGGGACTCGCATCAACCTTCCAACCATTTTGCATTCCAACAGCTTCCAGTCAATATCCGAGTCAACATTCTTAAGTTTACACTCGTCCAGGAGGACAAATTGATTCACTGCATTTCCCGCCTCGACCCATTTATATGCCCAGAAAGCCCTATCGAACCTGATGCCAGGAAAAGCGGATTACTGCATCGATTCCATCTCTCAGGAGCGTCCTGCAATGTATCTTGCGCCATTAAACCAAACGAGCATCTTCGCGTTCTTTTGGTGTGCAAGGAATGGTGCTTCTTAGGTGTACATGTGTTTTATGGCCTCAATACCTTTGCCTTCTCAAGCCTTGGAGAGTTTTCTAGTTTTTGCACCGGTATTGGACAGGCTCGCAGAGAGAGAATTCAACACATTGAGATGTTGTGGGTTGGTAACCAGCATCTTACCTTTCCGCGCATCTATAAAGGGAATTCTACTCAGCCAAAGTATACATCCCGAAGAACTTGGGCCTGTTCGCTGCTTTGTGAAATGCCCCAGCTCAAAAGTCTTACAATTCATATTAATGAGACTGGCGCTGGGTATATTCGGCGCAGACATGAACCCTCGCAAGTCATAGACTACATGGCGTCGAACACAGCTGGCCAACCTAACTTCCGACTCACAAGATCACTTCGGACTATCCAGGGACTGGATTACATTACACAACTTCGTGGGATGAACTTTGTCCGTCTGTTTGACTTCGAAATGCATTTGGAGTTAGGTGGTCGTCATGTGATACGGGATTGGACCTTTACCCGGGATGTGCAGGAAGTGACTAGCCATCCCAAGTCTGTTGAGAAAGCTGAAGCCGCCAAGTTAGAAAACCTAAAGCCTGTTTTGCGGCAATTTGAAGCACATGCTGGCCACTTGGAGGCGATCAAGAGATATTACGAAACAAGCAGGGCCTTTGACACAGCACATTTTTCTCGGCCAGGAACATTAAGTCAGTATGAAGAAACTCAGTCACCAATCGCAGAAGAGAATGTCGACGACGACATTCAAATGAATGCCGTTCAAGACCTCGATTTCGAGCGTGGCGCCGCAGCCAAAGATGAAGACAAAGAGACGGCTAAGCTTCCCCTTAATATTCAGAAAGAGGCTGATGGCTCAAAAACGCATGATCAATTTGATTCGGATTTCAGCGCAGAAGGTGGTGAGGCAAATCCCAGAGTAGAAACTCCTGACGATCAATCAATTACTACGGGGACAGACTTGGGCACGTTGGGACCTGACAAGCTGCCTGAGGATGAAGTGTCATTGGCAGGATCAATTGCCAGCAATCCCATCGACATCGAGCAGTACACGCCCAAGTTTCAGGAGGGTTGGAATCATATCAAGCGAGAGGATTCAGTTACGAGTAGCAACGAACTATTTGTTCGTCAGAATACTTACGATACTTGCTTTCAGTCAAATCAACGAAATGAGATGGGCAGACGCGATAATCTTTCACCAACGCCACTATATGACCTAGAAAGCTTCATGGGATTTGATCAAGAATCAAGCGCTCTCCACAAATCGCCAGTACAGAGCCTTCAGCATGCTCAGAGAGGTCAATGTGATTTGCGCGAGGGTATGGGTAAGCGAAGATGTCAAGATGACCAAACGCCTCAGTCACTTGAATCAAATGTCGGCTCGGAGCGTAACAGCGACCAAATGCCTTTGTCTACAGACCATTCATACACTGGATATTCTCAAACCAGTTCTTCTCGTGCTTTACCTACTGATTCAACTCGCTTCATTTCCTCCGATCCTCTCACATTTTTCCTTCGTTCCGGGGACAACCCAGATAATGATCCCAACCCTTTTAAGAAACAGAGAAAACAGTAAGTTGAAGCTTTGGCACGTTCTGCTAGCGACGCTTACACCAATATTTGATGCTCCGACTTTATTTCAAACATGGACCTCATCTCACGGAAAACGAGCGCGTCGGACACTGAATTTTTCATTACAATATTCTGCGATAACCTTTTTTTATATTTGCAAAATCAATTTTCACGTCATCTCAACATATGGTTTAATGGAGATCCTAGAAACCTCGATTAACGTGGAAAGGAAGATGCAATGCGATAAAACTTCTGCAGAAGCCTAAGGTGCAACAGGCAGTGCTTATTTCTGGACTGGACACTTGGTTTGGATCCAAGAACGTTTAGTTCGGTCGTATCCGAGTTAGATGCCCTACTCCCAATAGCTAATAGATTCACAGCGTGTGATTTATCATTAATGGTATCCAAAAACCGTGACCTAGAATGTAATCTTTGTACCTGCGAACGCAGCTGTGGTTTGTGACTCCTTGGCCTTCTTCCTCGCCTCCCAACTAGGATGAAGCGGTCCCTCATCGTCTTTCTTAGGACGCGGCCTCTTCTCAAATGTGGATTGCGACCTTTGGTCTCCCCCGCCACGTTCTCGGCCCTGCCCCTGCCTGGCAAGAGGGTCCGATACGCCCCGCTTCCAAGGCTTGTTGCTCCCTGCTTCGCCATCAACAGCTCCCTTCTTCATGTCCCAGCCGTTGTCGCGACCCTTTTGCTTCTGCTTTTGCGCCTGGTTCTTGACGTGGTTTGCTTGGCTTCCGTACTTCTTCTCCCAAATGGCCTGGCGCTGCTTCTGGCCCAATCGCTTCTTGGGTGGTGCGAGGTCGAGATCGGACGCCTCGGACTCGGAGTTCGAGATATATCCACCCATGAGCGAAGGCAGGAAGGTCGTTTCACCGGCCTTTCCAGCTGCCTTTTTGCTCTTGGGTTCCTTTTTCTTCCGAGCTGGTGGGGGTGATGGGGATAGAGATACATTGGCTGCGTTGATCCTTCTCATGCGATCCGAGTCCATGCCTTCGTCATCGTCGTCGTCGTCGTCGCCAAGATCTTCCATTTCGATTCCCTCTTCGTCGCTTTCGTCGCTGTTGCTTTCATCGTCCGCAGTATCTCCATCCGCAATCTCGCCCAACAAGGCCTGATATTTCGCCTTCATATCCTCATCCCCACTTTCCTCCTCATCGGAGCCACCAAGCATAGCCTCCATCTTCTCGAGTGCCCTCTCCTCATCGTCTTGATTAATCTCCGGTTCTTCATCGCTCCCGGCGTCCTCTTCATCGCTGTCGGACGGAACCTCGTCGTTCATCTCGTCGAAAGGATTCTCTCCCTCCTCCTCGGCCTTGGCAGATTCCTTCTTGGTAGAAACGTCCTTGGCATCTTCTGTTCTTGCCTTCTTAGCATCTCTGAGCTGGTCGTCACGATCAATTTCCTGAGCATCAGCGCCCTTCTTTCCCTTCTTCTTCTTATCCGGTATAGGCACGTTAAGGGCCAGGCAGACACCTCTTACTGCCTTGTCGACGGCTTCCCGGACGTGCACACGGTTGAACAGTCCGCTGGTGACATTGTGCAGAGCCGCTTTCTCCTCTTCCGAAAGCTCTGGCTTCGGCACACCTTGTTTTATTTGTTCGGGAAGGGCAGGGCTCTCGGCAATCTGCTTTACTTTGAGGAGGGACGAGTTGAGATGGGCGTCTGCCGTCTGTTGGAGATCGAGAGACTGCGGGCACATATCGGTCAGTGTATGTCCACAGACACATGAGGAGTAATAGTGACCATTTAAAGTACCTTCAATACCAGAATCTCACGCTCCAGTCTCTTAATCTTGTCGGGCGTGGATTTGTCGTCGCGCATGCGTTTGCTGTATCTTTGGCGCTCGAGGGCCTTTGCGCCTTTTAGGGCGCGGAAAATTTCTTTCCTGGCCTCTGTGAGCTTTTGCTCCAGGTCGCTTTCGCGAGACCTCTTGCGTTTGACCATTATTTGTGGTGTGTTTGTGGTGCCGTTTGCGTAATGAGGCCGTCGCTGGGGGGATCCGACGAAAGCTCAAGCTGTGATGCGACGACGATGGAGATCGAAAAAAAATTGTGGTTCAACGGCTGTCGAACCCAATGGCAGGGGCGGAATGTTTCCGACAGCTTTGTCCAGGGTGGGGGGTAAAATACGGTGCAATATGATTGGCCATAATTCAGATGTCTGACAGTGAAGATATATGATTGGCTGAACAATGATATTTCCGACGACATGGATGACGTTCGTTTTGGAGGGGCATCTGAGCACCCCGCGCGCAAGCTTGCTGTCACTACATTTAAGACTCGATGTCTGATTTTGTCACATTCTGATTCGGCGAAACACAGTTTTACACCAACCGGCTCTTACCATGGCAAATTCGGGAAACACCAAGGATGAGCTTGCCGCTCTCGGCGCGGGCAACCTCTTCGCCGTCAACGGCTTGGTTGCCGCCGTCACAGGTGGTGGCTCTGGTGAGTAATACTGGACCAGAGCATATCATTGCTATCTCACAGTTTTTAACAACTTTATACAGGTATCGGCCTGATGATGGCCAAGGCCCTCGCTGCTAATGGCGCGGAAAAGGTTTACATTCTCGGCCGGCGGAAGGAGGTTCTCCAGGAAGCTGCCTCTTCTGTAGGACCGAATGTTGTGCCATTGGTCTGCGATGTCACATCCAAGTCCAGCCTCCAAGAAGCCGCAGCAACGATTGAGAAGGAAGTCGGTTTCCTGAACCTTCTGGTCTGCAACGCCGGCGTTGGCGGCCCGCAGGTCAAGGCACCCTCAGCCGAGTTGACGGCGGCGGAGTGGGCGGAGCAACACCTCGCCCACGACACCGCAGACTACACAAAAGTCTTTGACGTCAATGTTACTTCAGTGTGGTACACCACGATGGCGTTTGTGAAGCTGCTTGACCTGGGCAACAAGAAGGGCAACCTCACCCAGAGCTCGCAGGTCGTTTCGACCAGCTCCATTGCGGCCTTCAACAAGAACGCCCCCGGCGGCTGGGCCTACGGACAGTCCAAGGCTGCCGCGACGTTGCTCATCAAGCATCTGTCGAGTAACTTGCCTCGGTGGAACATCAGAGCCAACTGCATTGCGCCTGGACGTGAGTGGACAGGTTCGGAAAGAGTGGCAGTCTCGGTCTAGCTAACCTCGTACTCAGTGTTCCCGAGCGAGATGTCGGCGCCTATTGCTAAACTTTACAGCGGAGACGGCAGTGTGCCCCCTGAGATGGTGCCTCTGCAGAGAATGGGAGATACCCAGGACATGGCCGGTGTGATGCTGTATCTCGCGTCTAGGGCGGGTGCCTACTGCAATGGTGCCGTCATCACCGTGGACGGGGGTAGGCTCGGAAATTTCCCCACAACATGGCATGCTTGAGAACTTTTATGGTGTTAGTTGTGTAGGTGGGAGGCCCGATAAAGCACATAGACTATGTATGTACATGTAATTTCGTACCTAAGAAAGTATCAGTTCTCGTTCGCATATGCCACATGCCTAACTTTCTTCAACATTAGGTTCAGAATTATCGGCCTCCAAGAATCATGATTACCCCCACCCACGGTGTTGCTTTCGTCATGCTCCGGCGTTCCCCATATTGTTTTCGGTAGTTTTGTCATTCTCCATGATCACCATCCCGACTTAGGCTCCACTCTCATCTGCCAAGGAGTATCCAAACTGAATGTGAATACAACAAGGCGCAATATGCGGCATCACTTGAAGGAACCATTATTTTGAGTCCCGAGTTCGGTTGGCCAAAGTTCGCACAAGTCACTGGCAATTCAATATTTAACATCTCCAACCTGTGTCTAATTTAGCTCACTTGTTCGGTACTAATGCGGTCGGTCAAGATCGGTGGGAAAGTGGAGACGGGAATTGTGCTTAGGGGGAAAGGACCAACATCTCAGCACCTGTACAGGTATGCAACCACACGGCAAAAAAAAAAGAGAAAGAAAGAAAAAAAAAAAAAGAGTTGTCTGCCAGCACCCACAGACAATGTTGAGCTACGCACTGTCACCCTGCTATCACGCCATAAAAGCCACTTTGTTCTAACAATTGTTTGTTCGATTTCGCGCAGGGGTCTAAAACCTCCATGCCTTTGTTTGACGATGTATGTACGTCTGTCTGTCCGAGTGGTATAAATCCAAAGAATACTCTTTGCCTCCCATTGAAAATGCCAGCATTACACCCTAAGCGCCGTACGGGAGAGAGACTAATTAAAGAAGCAGCGCACCCCGACAAAATGGGCGTCGGGATGGCTTGCTCCTGTTGCTGCTCCCCGGGTAAGAAACAAGGAAAAAGTTTAACCAAATATAGGAACTCCCGTGGGAAAGGGAGGGTCGTCGTTTGAAGGAGCGAATGTCGTTTCGTGCATCAGTCGTCTACTTGGTGATCCAGCCAAGGTAGTCAGCGACAATGAGTGTCACCATTCTGTGGGGAAGCACTATTGTTAGTACAGGGGGTTTCTCTCGTCAAAGCCTACGGGGTTGATAATGTCCACTTACGCATGGGGAGCAATGCGGATGTAGTATGTACCGAAACCGCGGTAGAAGCGCGTCACACCCTCCTGCTTAGCCACCTTGGCGAAGCAGTCCACCATTGATTTGTACGGGAGCTTGCCATCGGGGCCCTTGGACTGCTTCTGCAGGCGGGTCTTGACGAAGTCGAAGGGGAGGGAGAAGAAACTGGCGAAGAAACCGGCAATGGCGGAGGCGGTAAGGGTCTGGGTCTGGGCTGACAGTTGGGTGTTCTGCTTAAGCTGCGACTTGGCCTCGCTGAAGAAGGCGAGCTGACCGAAATTGAGGGCCATGGCGCGCACAATGGTGGGAGCGGCACCGGCCCAGAGGGCAGCGACGCCTTCCGACTTTGCGATGCTGCTGAGGGCGTCGATGACGTTCTTGTAGTTCTTGCGCTCGGCCAGGGGCTTGAGTCCGTCGCTCTGCATGCGAATCAGAGCCAGGTCGGCAGGGTTGCCAATCATGGCGGCCAGGCCACCGGCAGCGAGGCCGGCGGTGGCCCGTTCGCCGAAGCCAACGGCCTTGCCCTGGTCCTTGGCGCGCTGGCCGAGCTTGCCCATGAAGGTGTCAAAGAAGCCCAACCGAGCCGTGGTGTAGACAGCTTGACGGAGGAGGCCGGCCGACAACCCGGTGTAGAGGTCGAGTGCCTTGCCGCTGGCAAGAATCTCTCTTGTGACGGACATGGGGGTGGGCTTCGGGCCGCCAGCGACACCTTCGCCTGCAAGCTGGATGCGGACCTTGATCATGTCGACGGGCTGGATGACGGTTGTGGCGACCATGCCGCTAATACCGCCGTTGATGAAGGGTAAAGCTGCCCTCATCAGCGGGGTGTGGAGGAAATCATTGGCGACGGCAACGGTGTCAGACTTCATGACTTCGGAAGTGCGAGTCCTAGCTGCCTCAGCTGCCTGCTTAAAGGTACTGGAGCTCATGTTGATGCTGATAAAGGGCACTGTAGCACGAGGGCTTGTAGTGTTCGACGTGGGTTAGGCTGAGAAGATGGGAGTTGTCGTCGAGACTAACAGGCACTGCGAGGCAGGCAAGCGTTCGAGAAAAGTTGGGGTGGTAGTGAAGCTATTAAAAGGAAAAGGAAGGCAACTAGTCAGCCATGGTCCAGACTGTAGGAGGCATCAAAGGCAGCTTTATAGTAAGTGAGCTCTTGTCCCTCCCTCCCTCCATGCCTGGCAGTGCCGTGTGTTAGACAAACCCCCGGCATGCGGTAGCAGAAGTGGTGGGGGTCCAACAAATTCATGAGACGGGACGCAAAGACGCAATTCCACATCTTGACAGTGGCAGGACCCCACATGGGCGAACGGGCGCACGGCGGGCAAAGTATGCAGCTGTGTGGTGTAGACTTCCTCATTTGCAAGTATAGGGAGAGGCAGGGTCTTGGCCCAGGCCGAGCGTGATGCCGTGGCCCGAAATGACGGGACCGGGTCGCATCGGCCTGGACGTCGACGAGGCGGTGGGGGCGGAGGATGTCATCGGAAAAGATAGGGACGGGGTATGTGATGACCGTGGTTGAAGGTAGCCCGTCCACTGGAGCAGCGCAAGCAGGGGGGGGCAGGTGAACAAGGTGGACAAGGAGCTTAGCCATGGAGATGAAGTCGGCAACTGGGGGGAGGACGAGGACGAGGAGGAGAATGGGGCCCACGATTGGCGACAGGGAATGCGCACTACGCATAGCACAGCAGACTGCCGGCCGGACTGCAAAAGAGACAAGCCGTAGCGGGGGTGGGGTTGGGGAGGGGGAACGGGAGGGAATGAGAGGTGGGATTGGGATTAGCTCGGTGCCCTTGTTGAACGCCTCACATCCCCAATAAAAGCCCCAGAGACATTTGAGAGAAACGGTAAACTCGTCCAACTTACAGAGGTAAATAGATAAACACAAAATGTGTCTCGTGTAGGTGGGATGATTTGTCCCCGATACAGCGGGTTACACTGAGAACAAGTGCGCTGCAATAACTTAAAGTGGTGGTGAGTGTTGGCCGAGGTCGCGTGCCGTTGGGGAACGTGTGTGAGGATGAGGAGGGTGGTGGGTGTTAAGAGCTGGAGCTGAAGAGGAGGTGGAAAGAAACAGCAGATCCAGAGAAGCCACAGGCCGGACAAGCAGGCAAATAAGCAAGTTTGCAGCAAGTCAGAGAGGCGAGCTTGTGAAGACGAAAACGCCGGTTATCTATGCTGAGCAGTTACTTTTCCTCGTGGGCGCTTCTTCGGGAACGGTCGGTAGCTTAGACGAAGATGTCAGGTGCTCTCGGGACGATCAAGGTTCGGCAGTAGCAAACCCAGATGAGACTAGTAAAAGAAGGCGGGTGGAAGCCGTTGATCACCAAAGCGGAGGTAGTCTTGATTGTGTTGGAGAGGAGGAGGAGGAGGAGGTAGACGAGGACCGAGGCTTGACTCGTTCAAGGGCAGACACAGTCTTAAACAGACGACTGGCAATACAAAGGCTGAGGCAAGTTGGGCAGTACTCTGTCGCGAATGGGAGAGTAGGGTGTGCGAGAGAGAAGGACATGGCGTGCGGAGCTGAGGCAGTCGAAATGATATTTATGAGAGAGACATGCCTTGTTGTGCCACATACAGGAACCTGGTTCAGGACATGCCTTCGAGTGCAAGTGTACATGGACGAGATACTCGGTGGTGATGGGCCAGGTAGGTACCTTGACTCCGTATCCCATGTCAAATCATTTTGCCAGTCCATTCAAGCCAGAGAAGCCGAAAAGACCCAAGCAAACAGCCCCAAGCCCCAAGCCCCGAGGATGAAGGTGTATGGGGAAAGCTTCCCACCCTCCCATCCAGACGCCGCTGTCCCTGGTCTCGGGCACCACGCCAATGAGGCCGTTGGAATTCTCAGCGGCAGGACGTGGGTGCGAAGCCAGGCGCATTGTGTGTCGCGTCGCCCTGGGTTGTCGTCCGGATGCGGGGTTAATGGGTTTCGGCACACCTCATTCATCAACGTGACGAAGAGGGTGGGAGGGGGATGCTAGCAGCTGGCTGGACGGATGGGATCGATGGAGGCTAAGTGTCACAGGGTAAATATGGATGGATACCTGGGGTGGTGGGAATCGCTCGAAGCTCGGGGAATAGCACGTTAACGACGACGAGCTTGTTCCGTTGTTTGTATCATGCATTCTGCATTCAAAGGGAGGATTGGTGGATGGACGGCGGTAACTGATAACCCGACCAGGAAAACGTCACCAGAGGTATCAGGAGACGAACGAACGACAGAGTACGACAGTAAGGCTTTTCGAGGAAGCATGCACCCCCTGTTGAGCGGTTCTACTACTCCTTGGAGAATTGCTGTCAGCAGTACAGTCCAGTCGTTAAAGAGGGGGAGGGGGGTCTGTGTAGGACGGGCCTAGCTCCCTCGCCTTGGATCGCTTGGATGACGGCACAAGAGCGACAGAAATGAAACTGATGTCGATCGTTGTGCTGACTTGGACAGCTTGGATTGCTCGCTGGATGGCTGGGCTGGGCTGGCGTCGCTGACCGAATTGAATTGCTGCGCCTAGAGTACGGCGTATGTCTTGTCCGCGGACGAAAAAGAGGGCAGGCGTTTTCGTTTGTGTACGGAACTTGAGGGTCCACCGATGGATTTGAATTGCGTGCATATTGTTGTTGTTTATTGTTATTATTATTATTATTATTATTTGCTTCTAAATAATTGCCCTGTTGGCCTTGCCTTAATCGTCTTGTGGAGAGACATGCGGAGGGAATTTGCCATGTGTGGTGTACTTTGCTGCTGCTTCTTCTGCTTCTTCTTCTTCGCATGCCATGCCATGCCATGCTACAGCATCGTTTATGGGATTCCTCGTCCTCCCGAGAACAGACGAGAAAGCCCCGGTGATGCCGATCAAGCCGTTGTTACACTTTTGATCATCAGGTCCAATTCAGAGTTGGGGTAAGGTAGCAGCAGTACAGGCATTGGGAAAGGCAAAGGTGCCAGTGCCAGCATGAAAATAGACAGTGACACGAATTAATGGCGGCCTTGGGAACGAAAGACGTCGGACATTGGGTTAGCATTGGACGGCCTGGGATTGGATCAGGTCGCTGTAAGTGCACTGCACAGGACTGGGACTGGCCTGGGAACGGCCTGCTGCAGGAATGCGGGGTAAATGCACTGGCCATCCAGGCCCCACTAACGTGCTTAAATACTCCCTTTATCTAAGTCATTATCGATAACATGACAGCGCACCTGTCAAGCTGACCGGTACGGTACCTAAGCTGCAATGGCTAATAGCTAGCTACCTTTTTTGCTCCTGCTCGTCCTGCTCTTCCTCATCCTTATCCCGAATGCGTGTGCGTGTGCGTAGGAGGAGTACTGCCTTCTCTTCTCAGAGCACACCACTACCTTTATTTGCTTGCCTGGATTCCCAAGGGAGGCAATACTGAGTGCCCTTCGTCTATGGTTGTTGCCATCGTCTTACAATGTTCCGCCCGTTTTAGATAGACACGAAACCTCGACCAACGACACAGGAGTAATGAGCCAGAGGGCAGCATACAGGTTTCATCTCCCAGGCGCTATGACGTATCGATTGTGACAGTCACAGTTGATAAGGGGCTTCCACCGAAATGTCTTGTGTACTGTTTGGTGGCCTATCTTTACTCCCAATAGCAGCACTCTTGCTGTCGCTACCGCCACCGCCAAGTGTTCTACGCAGTGTGCTCTACATGCACTAAGCAGTGAGCGGGTGAGGGGTACCAGGCATGGTTCACTCAACCCTAGACTCTGGAATCGTTTACCCAGATGCCAGGCCACCGAGCTTGCACGGTTGAATTCCACTGGAGCTCACTCAACCACAGCCAGCCAGTTACTTGGTTCGAGCCCCATGATTGGGCCCACCACTCTTCGTCGCCTTCACCTTGGCTTCACCGAAATCCTAGCCATTAAAGCGCTGGTCGGGGGAGTCAGAAACCAACACTCATAATGTCACCGTATTTCAAATGTATACTAACAGCCACTATCAGCCCAGGGCGTTGAGGCATACACACACGCACGCCGCTCACCTTGCCCACCGTGTCTCACCGAAACGGCTTTTCCCGTTGGAATCATTGAGAGAGACCCCCCCCCCCCCCTCCCAAAGCTTGGAACTCAAATGTTGTTGATTCTTGCTGCTGTTGTCTCTTTGGGGGCCCACCCTCCCTAAGAACCAAAACCGTTTTATTCCCGTGTAATATGCGATGTCTTTAACGCCTCTCGCTATCGCTGACATGCAACACTTGAACCTGTTGAGTCACCAAGCAGCCCTACCTTGTTCTTGCGGTCCCCAACGAAGCGAGGTCGTCTCAGTCGGTGAGCTAATCTCGACCCTCAACCGGACGACCGAGCCCTGCTACGCCGTTTGGGGACTACTGCGGAACCACTTCCTGCGTCGCTTCGCAGGTCCCCTCCAAAACTCTAACCTGCCCATCAAGGATGGTGATCGGGCAACAATGAAAATCAATCAACAATTGAGGCCTCCTCCATTGGCAATTGCCCGATACCGCAGCGGAAACCTGCGGACCAAAACATCTTGTCTTGGAGGGGATAACGACACCATACCATGACAAGGCAAGGGTCCAGGATGAAGGCGCAGACTCTTGGCCTTCATCTTCACATCAGCGGCCTTCAACATTTTCACCTTGAGACCGAAGACGCGAGATGACAAGAGCCTCACCATTATCACCCGTGCGTCATGTCATCAAACCTTGTAATCCCAGCGAAGGCGTCGTCGTGTTATTCCCGAACGCTCGGTTCGGGCGACGCACACTGGTGGAAAAAAACAATCCCACATCCTTAAATCCAGCTATCCACTGACCGGAAATTCCTCTTGACGAATCCGAGCTCTTCGCCAGCCCATTCCGGAAATATGCAAAGCCTCACCTCAAAATACAATATGCACCTCGGTGTTTCCTCTCCTTACCAGTGTCTCGGTGGCCTGTCAATGTCAGGGACCCAGCCCGAGCTTAGGCTTGCGCCCCATCCCGCGGGATGACGCTTGTCCGTCTCAAGGAAACGGAGATCCAGGGATTGGACATGGAAACGTCCACGGCTCTTCCATCGTGGAAACCCCTGTCTGGGACCCTTGAAACTTCGATCGAGGTACTGACGTGGTGCGGCTCATCGCCGAACTCGACACATATTCACGTCACCCGTTTTCCGGCTACTCGCCCCCGAGAAGCCGGCTGCGAGAGAGCCTAGACAACTGCTCGGTTATCACATCCCACCTACATCCTGGCACCTCAGCTCAAGAACCCGTGGGATGGCTCCCCAAATTGGGCTCCCAAGGGAACCAAAAGCCTAGTTGCGATACCCAAATCGGACTTGACCTTTACCGACCCACTCCCCAACCCGGATGCTCCCGCATCTTTGGAACTTGGGCCGAGAGACCTCAATTTCTCCCCTTCTTGCTTGGCTGCTTTCCGGCTTCATCTGTCAGCTAGGCGCCCAGTACAGCTAACCGCGGCCTTTTCACGGCCGGAGAGACGCTATTCATCCTTGCCCATCATCCGCATCCCTGGAACTCGGCAATGCCATACCGCAATTCCCACGAAAGTCGCTCATTTTTCACGGGACATTTGCGAAAAGGCACGGGGTATTTCCTGCTTTCTCCGGCATCATGAATACAGATTGGGATTTGACGAATAATTGAAACCATACACCACTCGGGCCTTGATAGTCGGTCTGTACTTCTGTAGCCGATCAAGAGCCTTCGGCCGAGGACGAAGTTTCTTATGCAGATTAAGCCAGTCATGGTGATAAAGGCCGACACGTGTGTTAGATTTAATTCCCTGGCCCATTTCCCATGGACTAGTACTGTCATTCCTCCACTGCTAAGGCCCGTATCCCCTTCAAACATCAACTGAATCGTGCAACGCTTACAACGTGGCGGTTGGCAATGGAGCTGTTCGCGTGTTATAGTTGAAATATTTTGGCAGCTTGTCAGGTGCGGGAATCCTGCTGGCAGGCTCGAAATTGCTATTCTCTTTGTGCGATGAGATCCGTGCCCCATTTGCTTTCACTTTGGATCTTAGCTTCACAATGCCGCTGGGCTGCACAGCTGAACGTGCGATATTCGTTTCGGTGTGCGATTGACTTGATTTGACTAGCTCGTATACACGATGTTTTGCCCATGTTAGTTGACATGCCAATGGTAAGGGATTAGAAGCGCCCTTTGCACAACCATCATGAGCTTTCGTCTGATAGTGCGCTATTACAGACAATATCTTGGAGAATGAACTAATTCCTTTGTCTGCTATTCCATTTCTCGTCGCCAGTGGTAGTTGGCTCTGTTTTCGTGTATTCGTGACATTCCTGGCCTAATAAGGGTATTTGTCCAATAGTTCTTGTTGTGCATCTTTCCTGGACAGTTGAAAATGTGTAAAATGAGATAGTAATCTCTTGGTAAAGATCTCGGATCCACGGCTCGAAGCTGTGTACGTGGGCTCGGGCGAATCCCTAGTCAAGTTGAAACCTGACCACCAGAGTTTTGTTCGAGATGTCGAACGGAGAATTATACCAACGATAGTCGTTCGCCTTTATTTCTGTTTTCTGCTTTCTGCTTTCTGTTTTTTCTTTTTTTTCCGATGATGAGACGGCCGAATTCTAAATTCGCAAACGTGACTACGACATGTCATCCTCGTTGAAACTTCAAGATTCATCTTTTTGTACTACACCATAGCAACTCGACTGCATTCAGAACCGAGTCACTTTACGAGAAAGGTATAATAAAGAGGAATTATAGCGATGTGTACAAGACAAGCTTTTTCTTGATTAGAATAAGACGCGCTGGCGAAAGTTGCAGGGATATGCAATGGACAGATCGAGGCTGACAACCTGCGGCGATTCACACAATATGGAACTCAAAAACAACGTTGATTCCCGGCAGCATTTACAAGAGTATAAATCATTCATTCATAAACACTTATTGCTGCAAAGAACAGATCCATGTGGCTCAAAGGTGGCAGATTTTCTCGAGACTTGGCTGAAGGGACAGCAATCACCCCGAGTAACGCTTCGGATGAACATACGAGACATGTCAAACGGCATAGTTAAGGACGGATTCCAATTTGGTTCAACAATCACTGGCACGCGACGACTTAACGAGTGTTTGGGGCGGTAACTACCAAATGCTCGAGGCTACATCGAATACATGGTACATTATTTATTCATTTATCTAAGAAATCCGGGATCTACGAGGTAATTACTATGTTGATGAGATGACTGCACGCCTACGAGGTCAACTGCGGCCGAGTTCGAGACAAGGCAAGGCTCATTCGGTAGCAGTCACATAAGCAAATCACGATGGAACAGAAAACTACACTCTATGGACGAAAGGTTGCGGTGCTTGGCCAGACAGGAACCGCAAACGTACTCGGCAGTTCATTGAAGCGCTCGGTCAGCTTTGAAGAGAACGTGAGGGGATGGGGTTGCTTACCTTTCAACTTGGCAACGGGTTATATAGTTAAGGAAGTCAATTAGTTAGCCAAAGCCAATACATGCTGAAGGGGTGTTTGCTTACCTAAAGTAGTGTAGTTTTCTCTTGGGCCGGATGGGAGTTTCGTATAAAGTCAGCAAGCTATAACTTGAAATTAGGGAGGAAATACTTACCATTTTGTTTGATGCTTCCACTCGCCACATGGGGGTATTTCATCTCCCATGTGGCACATAAGTGAGTGGCTTTTCCTTAGGAGTACAAATACCCCCCCAAGAAAAGAAAGACAAAAAGAGAGTCAATGAAAACAAAAAGAGAAAGCGAGAGGAAGCTTGCCATTAGCGAAGCTGAGAACGATGCCCATGTCTACGGATCTTGACCCGACGGACGATCCGAGGAGCTGATATGGGGACCGGAGAGGGCGCAGGCGGAACCGGATCAGCGAACGAAGGAGGAACCCAGTCGGGAGGGAGCTGTTCGCCATATTTGGATAAGATAGAGGTGGCAGCGGAGCGAGCGAACTTCTGCAGCACCTGGATCGAATTGGGCGATAGAGGAGGAACCGGAGATGCGGAAGATCGAGAGACATCGGGCGAAAGAGACGAAGATGCAGTCGTGGAGGAGTTCCACTCAGCAACAGCAGAGGGAACGGCCGAAGTGAGAGCGTGAGTTTGGACCTCTGAAGGAGTCCAGGAGTAGTGAGCGTCGGGGGGGTCGATCGTCGAATCAAAGTCGGAAATGGTGACAGGAGTCGGCTCTGTGTAGGACTCGTCATAACTCTTCTCATGGGGCTTAGGGGAAGGCCAACTAGCCAAAAGGTCTTTGATCTGAGCCAGTTTTCGCTCCGACTCCAGAGCGATCTGGTCAGACCGCAACTTCATGGCAGCTACTTCTCTGTCCATGGTATCACGGCTGGGGGAATGGGCAACGGAATGGGCAATACCTCGCAAACGCATCTCGCGCTGCTGGCTTTCAAAGAGAGACATGACAGCGTTGAAGCTGGGTGCTGTAGAAGTGCTAGAAGAAGAAGAAGAACAAGAAAGAGGGCGAGAGGGGGAAACGAAAGGATCAGACAGAACGGCAGGCTGGGAGGGGTCAGAGGAAGAAACGAAAGAAAAGACAGAAGAAGGCTCAGGTATAGAAACAGGACGTGAAGGGGTGACAGGAACTGGGACATGGGAACGAGAACCAACGCAAAGGGAACGAAGCTTGCGTTGCTGATCCTCAACAAGAGACATGAGAGCATCAAATGACACAGGAGGGGATACAACAGGAGGGGATACAATAGGAGGGGATACAACAGGAGGGGGAACAGGTGAAGAAGAAAGGAAATCTAAAGAAACAGTCCAAGGAATGCGACGAGGTGTCCGGGGCCCAAATGGCGAACCCGGAGATATAAGCTTCGCGATACAACAAGTATGAGGGGATGGAACAAAAGAAAGTGATGAGGGTGCAGGAACAGACGAAACCAGAGGAGAACGAACAGAAGAAATGGGGGAAGGGGAAACATCGCGATCACGGAGATCATCAAGCCAAGAAGACACTGCAACTGTGACTGAGCGAGGAGTGAGGGGGGGTCGAACAGGAGAAAAGGAAACAGGCAAAGACCGCGAGGCGGCAGGAACATCCACAATAGCCGAAGCAGAGGGGGATGGAGAAGGGGGATGGGAAGACACACCAGGCAAAGACAATCGAGGACTGGATGAAGTTAGTAGGAAGACCAGACAGTGGTGATGGAGGCATGGAATGTCCCAGTGAGGAAATGGAGTTATGTTGCTTACCAAAATCTCCTAAAGAAGGGGACATGTCGAATCCACCGGATGGCGACGGTGGCACAGGCGAGGGGAGGTCGAAGAATAGAAGCGAGCAGGCGGAGGCAAGCATTGGCGGCTGGGACATTAACCCAGGCCCTCTCAAACGCGGTCTCAGACAGGCGCGGAGGGGGCGGCGCAGGCGATCGAAAAAAACCAAGCATCATGACAAGTCAGATGAAAAGAATCGGAAAGCCGTGAGGTGTAAGAGGGATCGAGAATGGCCCCCCACGCCAGAGAGAATATATATAGCTGGGGAGATGTGGATACAGAGATCACGGATCAGTAGCACGCTATTGGACGATCTTAAAAGAATCCGGGGTAAAGTGGGTAGCGCTAAGCCTAAAATGGAGGGTACGTACACAGTTTGATATTTTCGAGGAACACTGTTTACGCACTGGGAACAGAGAAATCATGATGAAATTCGACCATTGAAGAGGCGCAAGTAGAAATAGATAATATTTGAACGCGTCATAGTATTTATAGTGTCTACCTTATCTATGTTCCAAGTTTTCCGGCGAAAAACAAGCGGCGCAGCGTGGTGTTGGAAGGTTAACGGTTGCGAAGCTCGGGTTGAGGCCAAAATCGCGTGTTGACTGATGTGACGAGGGTCGCGAGCGCCGTTAGTATTGACTGAAGGCCGCGTATAACCCATATTCGATCTAAAGTGGCACCGTAAGAAAGAGAATATCGAGGAGTACAATTCCTGTGTTTGATACATCGGCGGGAGGAGGCGTTATCGCGTGACTGTGATGCGTCTGTGGAAAATGGTAGGGAAAGCATCGGTTTCGATGTTTTGCTGGATATTTTCCAGGACGATGATGGAAGAAAAGTAGTCGAAAACCGCCGTACTGTGGTTTAGAATGCACTATGTGATGCAGAATAATGCTTATATAAGTTTGATGCGACATACAGGGCAGGCCGACGGGTTGTGGTTGACTGCTTTCTCATCGAAGTGGCGACCCCTTTCCTGGAGTCCAGGTCGACCCTGCCCCAAAGCCATTACTCGAGGACTGGCCAACTCTGGACGGTGTCGTGGGGGCCACTGCTGCCTCGCTAGGAAGCGGAGGTGGAGTATCAATCCTTTGAACATCTTGGCCTCTTTTTGGCGGCTTGAAATTGTTCTCTCTGCCGGCACGATAGATGTCTTGAAGCATTGGCTCTAGCACACCCGCGTCGTCGAACTCCAAGTACTTGCGATACAGCTTGAGTGCCGTCCTTGCGTCCTCAATTGAATCGTGGGTTTCCAGCTGGATGTCCTCCTTCAGCAGATACCAGGCCAGGAAAGCCAATGATAGCTTGCGCAAACGGGATTTCAGGAAGAACAGGTCAATTGTGTCGATAACCTGAGACCTGGGGATGTGGATATTAATAACTCGGAAATCCTGCTTGAGGCCGTGGCCAAGAAACTTGCAGCCTAGATTCAGCAAGATCCACAGCTTCTTGTACACGACTTTCAGAGGTACGAGGTTGTGCTTGGACACTCGAGGGTCAAGATCGTCGTGTGTGATACCGGAATATGATGTAAGATAATCCACGATGGGCTCTCTGATGGAGATATAGTCATCAATGAACGGGAGACCCTCATCCTCTCCTTGACCCCGAACGACCGAAGCTCTCGCGAGAGCGTACACAATCGGTCGGATAGTCTCTCTCTCGCCATCCGAGTTCATTTCGATTTCCGGCTGACGAACAGCAACAAACTCGGTATCGAGCGCGACGATGCTCTCTGACCCAGGCTGTTCGGTCACTGGATCAAGCGCGCGATATGTCTTGACATCGACATTGGGGCTATCACGAGAATTAGCATCTTTGCTAAGGCGAAAAGACTCGGGTCAGGGGACAACACGCACTTGTTATCCTCATAGAGAAGAGAGGTGTCAATGTTCTTTTTCCAATCATTGTCGATTTTGTTGTTGGCCTCCTTTAATTGGAACACAATCACTGACGGCATTTTCCATGCAGGATGGAATGAGAGCGCCTCTTCAGTACTTACGGGCCGTACGAGGAAATCATTAAAGAGATGCCACTGGCTTGCCTGGGGAGCCTGGGGCTGGGCGTGGGCAACTAAACGATCTGTCAGCTCTGCCGCCTCGCAATGTGATTCGGTAAACAAACCATTGACCATGGCAACCAAATGTGGCTTCTGTCCTGGACCAGGATCGATGTTCACAGCCATACCGACCAAAGAGTACACTGTGATGTTATGAATACCACGCTGGAGATGGAGCTTCAGGTCTTCGCCTTCGTAGCAGAAGAACTGTCCATGATCTACTATGACGCCAATTTCTTCAGGCAGGAAACCCGGCGTCGACCAAAAGCGTCTATGTTCCGGGCTGGATATAAGGGTGTTCAAGATAAAGACAGCCGGAATACTGTGAACGGTCTTTCTAGCTGCAATGTTCTGGTATCGCTGGCATCTGCTACACCAGCCCTTGGACGTCGTCTCCCTCTCAACACTGGACTTGAGGATCTGGGAGAAGGTCACCTTGGGAGTCTTCTGGTTACGACCTGTAGTCTTCTGCCCATCATTAGCGGCTGAACGATAAAGAGATGTCTGAAGAAGGCTGCATTTGCGTTTTTTGGCCTATCAAGAGGCGTTCCCGAAGCAACATCAATCCCTTTCGGCATATTCAACAAAACTCACATTCGCTTGTGGATACATCAGATCATTGTGAAAGCCCGAAGCTGGTCGAGTGTACTCGCTTCTGCAATTCATGCACCGAATTGAACTTGTTGCTGAAGTTGCCAGCATCTAGAAGGAGTCAGCAACTTTCAAATTGTCACAGGTACGAAAGAACGCATACTTGATCTATCGAACTCGAGCTTGGCTGTATCGACTTATAATCTTGCACAATCTTGTCCAGAAGAAATCGGGTCAGGCCTTGTAACATGACTGTCAGAGTGGAGCCGTTGGGATCTTCTTCGAGAAGACCAAGAGGGCCAGCTTGCGAATGTCAGCTTCGGGTTTGACTTCGAAAACAGTTGACACGAACCTTGGGGGTGATGGCTAAGCGTCTTGAGCATATTAGTTGCCTGGCAGATGGAGCCTTCGGCTTTCTGTAACATATCAAACAGAAAACCGAGTTCGCATAGTAAACATGTGTCGGCAACGCAGGCAGTCGCTGCGTGTTGAAGAGCCGTGTTTCGGATCAGAGGCGTAAAATGCATGACCTGAAGCAAAGAGTTTGCGTAAGAGTTGGCGATGTGGATTTCGAGTCCGGAATACTGAGTTCTGTTGTAGAATCTGGCAAAGGTAAGCAAAAAGGACGCTCTATATGGCTTGGAATTAACGTACCCAAAGTCAAAGTCATCAACGCCAAACTTGCTGTACTTGATCTCCACATTCCGATACATTGGAGGGCACTCCGACTTCAAAGGATCAATCTCCATTTGCATCAGCGAGTTTGCAACGTCTTCGGGCATTTCATCATCGCCTGTAACCGGGGTCTTCGCAAATTCTCTGGCCTTCTCACTGAGGAACTTGGGCGCCAGAATGCCCGATGCATTGGACTTGTCCAAGTTGCGAGTGTCTTCTACTTGGTTTCTCCGAAGGCCTCTCGAGTTACGCCCATACATGCCAAAGTCAGTTGCCTTGAGCCCGGAAAGAAACTGGGGGTCAAGTTTGGTAGGAGGCGCTCCAACGTCGGAAGCAAGGTCTGGCCAAGCCGAGAGCAATACATCTCGGTAGTAAGGAGTGCCAATAGAGTTCAAAGGCCTGCTGGAAAGTCAGTGGAAGGTAACGGCGAAACTAAAATTCAGGGGTCGACCAACGTATCAGCAGTCCACTCCGTGGTTGGGAGCGGCTCCTCAGGGGTCGCAAACTCTGTCTGTGATGCGAAATCAACAAACCGGAGTTTAGAAGGAGAACCCCAGATGTGAATGTTGTAGTCCGCATCTGCAAGGGCAACGGCCTCGCCAGATGGTGCAATCTCGAACATGGTGAGATATGTCATCGTGTTGGCTTGCCGCACATTACTAGTGTTTGGATTCATCAAGTCGACGACGTGCATCTGGCCACTCTGAGACATCACGATGCTAGTGGTCGACATTCTCGGATGCATCCTGACAAAGGCGGCACCGGCGGGAAATGGAATTGGCGACATCGATGACATCTTTTTGATATCAAAGACGTTCAAGAAGGGATCCAGCATGTAATTCTGGCCTTGGCGCAGGGAATAACCGCAAGTCACAATAAAGTCATGCTGAGCGTCCATGTCGCTGATGAGGGCCGAGTGTGCATTCCAGCTTTTGACAAGCGAGAAGCTGACAGGGTCGATTAGGTTGACGGTGCCGTCTTTCGTTGCAGCGCAGATGTATCTGCTTCTCTTCATGACTTTATAAGAGTGTGCCGTCGGAACCTAACGGTATCAGCAAGGCCCAACACCCATGAGCTATATGCCACGGACCTGTTTAACAACTTCGCCCCTTGCGAGATCGATCACAAACATGGTGTCCTGAAAACCGGCGACAAGGATCTCGGAAGTCCCTTTGGACGTAAAACTCATGCATCGTAAGTCTTTCATATCTTCGTGTCTGTATTCACATCCGTCAGGCGATGTTCCCATATGCTCTTCCCAGGATTAAATACCTAATATGCCAAATAGGGGGCCCCTTCCGCGAGGCCATATGAATATCTCGAGAGCCCAGCACCACAACTCCCTTATCGTTTACTAGGATTTGTCGTACTGGGCCATCGGGGGTGGTATGAGCTTTGAAGGAAGTATATCGTTGGAGTTCGCTGCCATAGAAGGACGTGACTCGACCCTATAATCCGTCAGACTAACTTCAGTCCATACCTCAAGCTTGGATACAGATACTCATACATAATCGTTTCCAGTCCACAGCAGCTCCTGCGCCGTGTCGAACGTCATGGTCGTCACGGGCGTGGCCATGGCGTGGACGCCCGGAGGCGGAAAGGGGATGCGGGCGACCTAGCGAGAGGGAAGCTCATCAGCAAAACTTGCCATATAAAACGGCGACACGCATCCTAGAAGGTGGGCTCATTGCGGTTGGGGATATACGCGTGGCGCAAGATTGCAACTCAATATGTTTTCACAACGTCAAGGAGGGGTTCAAGTCCAATTTACCTCGTCCCAGTCTCCGTCCATTTTGGTCTGCGCTTCCTCGCCCAAATGACCATAGTTTTGAACCGAAGATACAGGCCCAAGACGTTGCCGACAGACGGGTCGCAGCTGGGCGCTTTAACACGTCAAAAAATGCACAGAAGAAGCACCGGATCGCGACCCCCGCAGCTTCGCGCAGCTTGGGCAAGTCGCAGGGCAGAGACAAGGTGTTGCGCCCAAGGAGCTAAGCCACTTGCATAAGCCGGACAGGGCAGGGTGGGCGAATGTGGGGGAGGCTGGGTTTGGGTATTGACTCTCAGAACAACTTCTGTGTCCTCTCAATCCATCGTACCCGGAATATTTCCGAAACCTAAGCTAAGGTGAGAACGTACCCCACCAGGGTACTGACCGAAGAGTCTACAATGAGATGGTCTCCTGGAGCTACCATCACCCGTTCTCGCCTTTTCTGAGTGGAATTTACACATAATGAATCAAATGTTGGAATCTAATCTGAGATTAGAGGCTGCGTCAAAGGGATAAATTTGAGCAAAGTGATCATTTCGAAATGAGAAGAAATGAGGAAGGGAGAGATGTCACTAAAGTTGACATGTTAATTTGGACGTTTTCTGTAATTCTGCCCTCCTGGCCTGGCTTCAATCCTCTCTATCGCGGCAGTATTTTATTCTTTCATCACTCAAAATATCAGGAAAGGAGGGGCCACGTGGTGATGAGATGAGAAAACAACACGAGTGAACATGGGTGTCATTAATTGCTACCTTTTTATGTCCGGCCATTATATCTTTCTATCTGAAGTGCCCGCCCGTTTTGCCCACAAGACAAGGCGAATATCAAAAAGAGAATTGACGCCCCTAATCAAACCGCTTCCATCATCCGTCCGTTCATAGTACACCGTCAATATTAAAACAAGCGCTTGGCGAGTCTAAAAGGTCCTGATACTCGTCCCTGCGTCGGAGAAGAAAGAAAAAAACAAGTAGCAGTGAACGTGAAATTTTGGGCGATAACGAAATCGCCGAATTACAAATGTCTCAACAGTATGCGCTGTATGTCAACAGTCGTCGAGCAAGAATGAAATCTTGCCCTTTACTGGTTGGCACGTCCTTCTACTCTTGGCTGGCACTAAGGTCCAGATTCTTCTCCCACAGATTTCGCAGAATAGCTGTCACGCCTTCGTCCTCGTCTCCACCGACGAGACTTGATCCGCTGAGCCCCTGAGTTCCGGACCCCTCGTGCAGGGCACGGCTGCTCTGGTGGTCATCGACATCAGCCTCGAAGCTGGATCCAGCACCGTTTGTCCGAATCGACTGTGCGCGCGGCGTCGTTGGTCTCCTGCCAGTAGCGGCCGCGCTGCTCTCGTTGAGACTTGAGTTGCGAGTGTGTTGGCCGGACACAATACCACTGCGCATCGAAGCCGCCTTGCCATCGACACTGGCGGTGCCATTGCGCGGTATACGCCGGTTCTTGTTGAGGCGATTGACCTGCGCCAGGCGATCTAGCGAACGAACCACAGGGTTCTGGAACCTGCGGACACTCAGATACTCCATCCCTGTTCGCTCCAGCTGCTTTGTTACTCGTGGATCGCGGCTGGTGCCGCCATCATAGCCTGCCCCTCCTATTCCCACGAGCGGGCTTGCCCCAACTGCCCCAACACCTCCCCCAACTGCTTGCCCTGGTTCGATCACAGAGCTTGCGCGCTGCAGGTTAAGCTTCTGTTGAGTTCGCGACTTTTCCGCTGGCGGAGCGAACCGTCTACCTGACCGCGGGGCAAGCGCCGTGCCGTCCTCGTCTTCTGATAACGTGGGGTCGCGCTGTGATGGTGGTCCGGAGCTTGAAGACTGCGGTCGTCGCTGAATGTTGTCGTCTGACCTTCGGCTGCTGGGTCGAGTCGGGAGTTGGTAAAAAGATCCTTCGCGAGCTGGGCCGGAACTGCCTGCGCCAACAAATCTCGAGATGAGCTCATCGCCGGAGCTTGTTCCCGGCAGGGTGCTGATGTTGTGCGAGTCAGCAAGCGTAGAAACGCGGCTGATGGAGTCTGGAGACTGGGATTGGCCTCGTCGCGAGACAGAAACGTTGTCTGCGGTCATCTTGGGTGGCGCGCCGTGTGACGGGGTGCGCTGAAGTAATCTCGATGTAAGATATTCCTTGTGCTGAACGGTCTCGCGATCAGGGGTTGACGCAGCAGGGGGAGATGATTGTACGGTGGGAGTTTCTGTTCTTGAGTTGTTGGCGCTGCTGTCGTCTGGTTTGGCCGAGGACTGGGCGCTGGCCAACGACCCTCTCCTCGATAGGTATGGCGAGGCGGACGTACTGGCATCAACCCATTCGTCGTCTTGACCGTCGTTGCCCAAGTCAAAGTGAACTTGCGACTTTTGCGATTTGACCTTGTTCACGGCGGGGTTCGAGTTCGTACGCTTTAGTTTGTCAGAGGACTTTGACCTTTTGTTCACTTCGCCGTGGGACTTGTTACGCCGGAGACTCGTGGAGGAAGTGTTCTTGCTCAGGTTAGTTGATGAGCTATCGCGGGACAATTTTGCGTCAGATTGCGCACGTCGATGGCCGGCTATAGAACTTGGTTTTCGTTCGGGCGAGGGAGATGCTATGCGTCGATGGTTCGATTTAGAAGCTGTTGAGCCATGGTGTTTGTGCAGTGCTTTGGAGGAAGGGACGCGTGCATGCAAGCGACCGGCGCCAACGACGTGCTTCTGAGGCTTCGGTCGGTGCGGATGATGATGTTCCCTCACGGCGTGGTCGCTGTTTGTCGAATCGCTCTCCTGATGATGAAGGGCAGGGCGTTTTGATTGGCTGACTGCCGAGGATTCGTCGCCATCTCTGTCTCGAACCATGATTGCTTATTTGCCCCTTGAATACGTATATAACAGTTGGGGTGTTGGTATGGTAGCAAGGCTTGTTCTGATGCGCTGCCGCTGCCGCTGCGTGGGCGTCCGGAGAAGCGATAGATACGTTGGTGGCTGCCGACCTGTTTCAATTGTCCAATGCCTGCAAATGCGCTACAGAGCGCCGGACACCGCGAGACAGCCAGGACGCTGCCAATTGGGCGGCAGGACTGAGGCTGGCTATGATGTGTTTTTCTCTGTCGTAAGGCAGTTAAAAGAGGTAGCAGGGGGATGGAAGAGATCGGGATTGGGATTATATAACGATAAAGTAGCTAAGTAGTTTGCGAAAAGACGAATGGAGGGAATGTCGAGCTTGTCAAGGTACCCGAGAGGAATACGCACCGCACTGGCGCCGCAACCGGGACTCCCAAAGCTCCAGTGCCAGTGCCTGGATTACAGCGTTGTGCCAACACACCCGCTAAATTGCGCCTGGACCGATCCGACTTCAACCGCCTCCATACCCCTGTATTCCAGATTCCTAAAATCCACAGGCGCTTCTGGGGGCAGCCGAAACAGGCATGCTGTGATTGGCCTGCACCTCCAGAATTATGTCGCGCTTCAGCCAAGGATTCTGCATTATCTTCACGTGATCTCTGGATAAGCTTGTTACCATCCATTACTGCACCCTCGGGGCTGCATCCGCCACAGGTTCGTTACATAGAGCGCTACCACCTCGACTGCACCCATACCTCTACAAACATACTCTGCAGGAACCCCCCAGAAATCCCTTGAATTTCTTTTCTTTGCATCTTGGTTTCTTTAATACTAGCAGCCTGGGACCATATCTATTTTCACGACAGCCGCCAAGATGTCTAGTCAAATTGCGACTCTGGAGGAAGATCGCAAACAGTATCAAGAGCAGGTACGTGCCATCACGCCCTCATTGACAAGACCAACAGCTGCTAACTTGATTGCGCCAGCTCGACGTTGTTTATGCCGGCCTCAAAGATGACCCCGATAATGCTGAACTTAAAAACCTTCAGGCGGAGTTGAATGACATGATTTCCCTCCTAGACGAGTCTCTTGCTGAGCTGCAGCCGAAGCAGGCACCCAAGCCCGCACCTCAGAAAGCCGCCAGCCCGCCGCCTCCCGAGAAGTGGTCCAAGGAGAACCACCCTGCCTTCAAGAAGGTCGCTCCCGCCCCCGAAGAGAAGGACGATGCTGCGCCCGTTTCATACCAGGTGAATGACACCGTCATGGCCAAATGGGTTTCGGGTGACAGAGGGTTCTATCCTGCGCGCATCACCTCCATCACCGGCTCGTCAACTGCGCCCATCTACATTGTCAAGTTCAAAAGCTACGATAATACCGACACGCTGCGGGCTAAAGACATCCGTCCCATGTCCACTAAGCGCAAGGCTGACGGAACACCAGCGTCCGGACTAAGCACTGCACAGCAACCCGCACAACCCACACCGCCGAGGCACACCGGGCCATCAAATGGGGTCGTCACATCTGCTGCTGCCAGCCTGTACCCAGAGCAGCAAGCCAAGCTTGATGCGGAGAAGAATGCTGATGGAGCTCCAAAGCCCCCCAAGGCCAAGAAGATCAAGGCCACCAAAGAACTGGAGAAGGGCAAGAGCAAGTGGCAGGAGTTCAACTCCAAGTCAAAGTTCGGAAAGACTCAAAAGAAAGACAGCATGTTCCGCACGCCCGACGGTGTCCACGGTCGAGGTATGTGAATTATCCCCCACTCATGGCTTACACTCCTACTCACAAAGCTACAGTTGGCTTCACGGGCTCTGGCCAAGCCATGCGCAAAGATCCCACCCGAAGCCGACACGTATATCAGCAAAACGAGGAACTTGACTAAACATCGCTTTAGGTTTCGCATGGGAAGTGTTATTATCAAAAGTGGATGCGAGGCTTTGGTGGCGTTTATGGGTGGTTAGGCAGTCTCGTTTCTTCCATGGTAATGTGTCTTGTTTTCGCTTTACATAGGCTAACAGTTTGTACACGAGATTATCCCTCCAGATGCGAATGGGGCTGATCCGTTATTTGGATGTCAATGGCGCAGAGGGACTGTTAATACAAATACATGAGATGCCCTCAATCCCCCAGTTTTAAGATCATGTTGACTAAACGTTCGCTTACACAGGGTATCCTACACTCATCACACTGGCATCTAAGCCCGTGCGTCTCCAGGCCTGCGGCAATGAGTAGGCAAATCAATGTGAGCGTAGGTCAATCTTTGGGGCAATGTCCTTCGCAATCTTGAGGAAGATCTCCGCCCTCTCGCTTGTTGGCTCAGACACTACAGTGGGTTTTCCTAAATCTGCGTCGTCGCCAATAGCTGGGTGCAATGGGATGTCGCCCAAAAAGTTGATTTTATGGTCTTGACACAGGCGTTCGACTCTGTCATTGGATCCAAAGACATGTGTTTCTCCCTGACAGTGTGGACACTTAAACAGTGACATGTTTTGGATCAAACCCAAGATGTTCGTGTTGACTTTGTTGAACATGTTGACGCCCTTTACGGCATCCTTGACGGCCAGCGTATGAGGTGTAGTAACAATGATGGACCCTGACGTCATTTAAGAGGTGTCAGCAGTCAAACTTTAGATTGGATGCAAGCCCGAAAAGGCACCCAAAAGTACGGACATACCGTCAAGAATGATTTGTTGCGTGATAGTCAGTTGTGTATCACCCGTGCCAGGAGGTAGGTCCAGAACCAGGATGTCTAGGTTACCCCAGTCAACTTCGTGAAGCAGTTGTTGGATGGCTTTCATGACCATAGGACCCCGCCACACCACCGCGTCGTCCTCTGGAACAAGATAGCCCATGGACATGGTCTTGACACCATAGTTTGTCATTGGCACCAACTGGTTGTCTGAGCCAAATGTCAATATGAGTTCCCGCTCGGAGAACTATGTAGCAAGCTCTTACTTTGAGATAGCCTAGGCTCTCCAGACAGATTGAAAAGAGTCGGGATCGAAGGGCCAAAAATGTCCGTATCAAGAATACCTGCACGGTAGCCTAGACGGGCAAAGGCCAACGATAGATTGGCTGGGAAAAGAAAATGAAAATCAATAAACTAGTCTTATAATTCGGATAGTGTTTCCTTATTTACCTGCAACTGTACTTTTGCCAACGCCACCCTTGGCGGATGAGACGGCAATGACCTTTTCTACACCGCGGATTTTACGGCGCTCAGGTCTTCTGGGCCAGTGTGGCGGAGTGCCAGATTTCGGAAGGCCCTTGATTCTTATGTCAGTGACATCTTGCGGTTGAGGAAGAAGAGGTGCTGTACCAGGGGATTCTCATGGCCGAGAGCTCTTAGGGTGGATTGGAATGGGCGAAACAACGTCGGTCTCATCTTAGCGGTTTTGAAAACAGATGGTAGGTCATCGATATCTAAAATTACAGCAAAGCGAAGGACACAGTGATGTCTCCTGTGCCTTGTAGCAGAGGTGAAGGAAGATTAAGGGTGCAATTGATTGGTCGCTCCCAGAACCAGTTCCTAGTCGGAATTTCTTCGGGGATAGCGAGAAAAGTTATCAAAATTCCGTCAAAAAACGTACAGGATGGCGAATAGACAATAACACTCCAAGGAAGAAACTTAGCAAAACTGTACTCCCATCATATATGCCAAAGACGTGAGTGCACATTGCAATGCTGAAAATGCTAAGGCTCGTCCTTGGTGCTTCGTCGAGACCACGTGACTTAGCGGTCAACTGCTCCACAATTTCCGTCAAGCTGAGCTTTTATGGTTAGATACGTACCCTCTCACCGCGCGCCTCAAGTTCGCGATGAGATGAATGAACCGTGTACCGCGCTGAGCCTGCTCTCAGTAGAATAGTGACCCACAAAGCAACTGCCTCCTCATGTGAAGCATGGAATCTCACAGAAGCAGATAAAACACTTTTTTTACATCAAGAAAGAATCGACAACACTTGAAGCCCTGATACCCTTTCCTTGTTCTCTGTTGTTTCTCTTAGCAGGGCTACCCGTTCTGGTCTCACTCTCAGTCTCGCCGACTCTGCGCCCCTCCCATATCCCGAGTTTTCGGGGCCGAGTGACGGCGCAACTAGCACTCTATATACCCGGAACACGAGTTCCAACAGCCTACACAAGAAGATACCATGACTACCGCGTCATTGTTCGACATGGCCCAGGGTCGTCGCGACCTGGCCTCGCTGCCGACAGACTGGCAAAACAATATCAGAGAAGCTGTAAGTCCTCAACGTCCGCCGTCCGCATCCTCATACTGAAATGAGACGCAGTGGGAGGTAGTCGACCAACAAGGCCTCGGTTCACTTAACGCGCGTGAATGGCCTTTTGCCCTTCGCGCCATCGGCTTCGACCTGCCGCGGACAGAAACTTACGCCCTACTGGTCGCCCACGGCGTCCCTCCCCACGACCACGACCCGGCGAGGGGCCCCTGTAGTCCATCACGCCTGCGCATGCCGCAGGAGCACTTTTCCGCCATCGCCGCGTGGCTGCTCATGCGCCGTGACCCGCAAGAAGAAGCCGAGGACGCGTGGAAGATGTTCGACCCGCGCGGAACGGGGCGGATCACTCTCGAGTCATTGCGCGCCGTCTGCTCCGAGGTCAACAGCACACTCAGTGAGGCAGACATGCGCCGCATGATCGACATGGCCGACATCTCTGGCAAGGGGTGGGTTAGCAAGGAAGAGTTCATAGAGGTTGCCAAGGGTGGCTTCAGTCGAGGTTGAGTTATATAGGTGGCAGCGAGCAGATGGTGATATTGGGTTAGTGGAGGGATAGGTTATTTTTGTGTATTCTCGTTTGGTTTGGAGAGTGGCTCAGAGTATATTTCCCCTCACAGGAGTCTGTTTTCTTATCCAAAGGTTTGGATTTAGCAACTACATCGGATCAACATAGCGAGGATGCTCTCTCATTCATTCATCCCGGGCAGTAAACCGAGCCATTATCGTACTATTATTAAACGGTGACTCCAGGGGATTTGCGCAACGGCAAACCAGCCTTTTCATAGGCCATGTCAATCATCTTCATCTGCGCGATACTGTCCTCTCCATCAACCCACGCATTGGTCGCCCGTCCTTTGACGCGGTTGACGAACTGCTCCAGCTGGTGCCGGTACGTGAGCCAGTAATCCTCACCCACGCCCTCCATACCAGCTTCACGGAAAGTATACGCCTTCTTCGACTCCCTCTCCGTCCACTTCTTCACTACCGCGCCCGTAGTCTTATTTTTGATGACATACTCATCCACCACGTCAATACGATGCCAGAAACCACCAATCATGAAGTTCACAACGTCGATTTTCCTCCTCCGCGTTTTCTCGTGTTCAGCGGGTAATTTCGCGTCCTCAACAACCGTCTCCTTGTGCGTAACTCTCAGTTTGGGCGATTCTATCTCAAGTAACCCAGCTCTCAGAGTCCCCTCCGCCTCCGCCGTTCCACCGTTCTTCATCCGCCAGGTGATCTTCCAGTCGTACTCGGAATTCTCCTCAGGCGCAGGCATCGTCTTGAACTTTGCGTCGAGGCACTCTTCCGGTTCGCACTGGAAGGTCTGCCTGATGGCGCTGACACAATATGTGCCCAGGTCCATGAATGCGCCGCCAGCAAGGCCGTACTGGAACCGAATATCGTCATCACTAGCCACAAACCAGGGAATGTGCGCACTTGCGCGGACATGCTCGACGTTCGGCGCGTCGACCAGCGTCAAGTAGCACTGCCAACTAGGTTGGAACCGATAATGGAATGCCTCTAGCAGCACCGGCGCCGTGGGGCCTTTGAGCAATGGCAGTCGAAATAGCGCCTCAGCCTCGCTTGCGTTAGCGACCGACGGCTTCTCCAGCAGGACGTGCTTCCCTGCCTCGAGCGCCTTAACGGCCCACTCGTAGTGCAGGCCATTGGGCAGGGGAATATAGACGCAGTCAATGGAAGGGTCATCAATGATCGCCTGATAGTCGGGTAGGACATCAGGAATGCCGTGTTTGGCGGCAAAGGTGGCAGCCCTCTTCTGGTCCCGCGCCGCGACAGCCTGGATCACGACCTCGGGGTGGGATTTGGCGGGTATAATGATGGCCAAAGGACTATGCTTGGTTTAGCGCGCCTTCTGCGGACTCCCCGCCCTCGCAGCAATTGGGTGGTCCGACTTACGCAATATTGGCGGCGCCGAGAATGCCGAAGCGGAGAGCTCCATCTTGCTGGGGCGCGATGGGTGGGTTAAACGCGAAGTAGTTGCGGCGGAGAAGACCCCAGACTGAAGCCATCTTGATGGGACTGTTTGCTGGGAGAGACGCAGTGCTGAGACGTTTGCTATGAGATAAACGTTGATGAAGAATTGTAATTGAGTCCTGGATGAGAGGAGTTGATATTTTATCTAGGTATGGACCTCGGATGACGTTGAAACCCTGGACGGACAGGTCGGGGTTATCGGGACAGCCGGAGACTCAATATTCCAGGTAGGGGAGCTATATTCACATAAAACTCAAAGCTGTCTTTGAGCAGATTAATTGTCCACGATAATATACCTATGAGTATGGTTTTCAGTTAGCCAAGCTCTCAGAAAATGAAATATTGCGAGCTGTCAAGGAAGGGAGAGACACTAAGTCGCAAGCGTAAATTACACCCACGTGGCGCATCTTCGGCACATGGCGGCACACGGCGGCGGCACACGAAATGTAAGTTTTTTTTTTTTGCTCTTTTACTTCAATTCAAAGCTACGTAGGTAGGCGTCTTTTGACAGCTATTTCCCCACGCAACAGATCCTGCGACCCGTCATTCCGGTCCAGTATCTGCAGAGGTATCACCCATTATCATCCCTTACAAAACGTTCTCGGCCTTGAAGTCAATCAAAGCCTGCTTGACACGGTCCTTCATAACCTTCTCACCCTCGCGAACCCAGACTCTGGGGTCGTACTTCTTCTTGTTGGGCTTGTCTGCGCCCTCGGGGTTACCGACCTGAGTCCTATAGAAGGGTTAGACATTGCGTGCGGATTGTGTCGCAGAGAGAACGTACTTCAGGTAGTCAATGTTCTTGGTGACGTAGTCACGGACACCGGACAGGTAAGCCCACTGGAGGTCAGTGTCGATGTTGACCTTGACGACACCGAAGGAGATAGCCTTCTGGAACTCCTCGACGGAAGAGCCAGAGCCGCCGTGGAAGACGAAGAAAACGGGCTTGTCGTCACCGTTTCCAAGCTTCTGGGCGACGTACTCCTGGTGCTTACCGAGCAGCTCAGGGTGGAGCTTGACGTTGCTGTGAGGGTGTCAGAATTGAACTAATTCCAGTAATGGATACTGTAAATACATACCCAGGCTTGTAGACACCGTGGACGTTGCCGAAACCAGCAGCAATGCTGAAGTAGGGGCTGATGGGAGAGAGGGTCTTGTAGATCTCGTAGATATCCTCAGGCTGAGTGTACAGAGAGTTGTTGTCTATGATCATCAGAAACCGGACTTTCTAGTGGGAACTGGATCGCTCGTGACTTACCGACATCCTCGTTGTTGACACCGTCCTCCTCACCACCAGTGACTAAAGGTTACGTCAGCTACCGAACCGACAGCAAATTTCAAAGGCATTGCTTACTTCCGATCTCCATCTCGAGCCAAAGCTTCATGGGGGCGGAGCGCTTGAGGTACTCAGCGGTAGTCTTGATGTTGTAGGCGACCTCCTCTGTTGGATGTCAGCTTGTGTTCACAATTGTTTTACAGCTTTGAGAGGTACGGACCCTCGGAAAGGTCAATCATGTGGGAGGAGAAGAGAGGAGTGCCAGAGCGCTTGAACTCCTCCTCATCGGCGGCGATCATGCCATCGAGCCAAGGCAGGAGCTTCTTGCTGTGGGACGGGTCAACTTCAGTATGAGCAACGCACAAGCTGGGAGCGGAGCAAACTCACGCGCAGTGGTCGGAGTGGAGGACGACGGGAACTCCGTAAATGGGAGCAATGGAGCGGATGTAGTGAGCGGCGGCGACGGAGCCGGCGACGGAAGCCTCCTGCTTCTCAGCGGAGTTGGGGATGGCCTTGCCGGCGAAGAAGGCAGCACCGCCCTGGGAGCTAAGAAAATGTCAGAAACAGTTTGGGCGAAGTCGAGAAGTCGAGTGCAAACGTACGTCTGGAGGACGATGGGAGACTTGGCCTCACGGGCAGCCTCGAGGGCAGCAATGGCGGTGGAGGAGGAGGTCTAGAAAGCGGGGGTCATTGTTAGCCGATTATCACCAACGCCTCTCTTTCGTTTCCGCGTCGTCTTTTCTCGCGGACATCTGAGCAAAAGCGCTGGGCGGGGATGAACATACGACGTTGCAGGCGGGAATGGCGAAGCCCTTCTCCTTGGCGTAGGAGAACAGCTTCAGGACGTCATCGCCGTAGATGACTCCAGGCTTCAGGTTAAGCTCTTGCAGCAGACCCATGATGAATGAAGGGGGGTATCTGATTTTCGTAAAGAAAGGGTAATGTCTGTTGCGCTGTACAGATGCTCGAGAACAAGGACGTTCGACAGAGCAAAAAAAAGGTTGCGAGGTAAGGAATTGGAGGAGGAAAGATTCAGGAAGAAAGTTTAGAATCAGGTGGACGTGGACGAGTTAACTATGTTTGGCTACTCACACACAGACACACACACACAAGCGGGATTTTACTCGGGCTGAGAGCAGCCAGACCCGGTCCATCGCTCCAGTTACCAGTCTTTTTTTGGCTGGGTCGCGGTTGCATAAAGGTGAGGTGCTGGACCCGGAGGTACATGAGGAGCTCCTCCTTCTCAGGTCACTTCCGGCACTGATATGATACATTGATATTGCGTAAGTGCATGTACCTTTTGGAGGGGCAGCATTTTCTACTACGTAGGAGAAAGTAAACAATCCGGACATTCACCTCAGAGATACACAAGGCTCAAACATCAATTGAACAAAAGCAAAAAAGCGCCTACAGACTCGAAGACAGCCCGTCAGTTTGGCATTGTGATATTTGCGCTACCGGAAAGACGGTCGCTGTAAACAATGGGAGACAGTCTTTCCACCTGTCTCAACCAGCACGACTTGTTGAGGGGGGAAGCAAAGAAAAAGATACATGACTCTAAGTCGCTCCTCTTCCAGTGGCTAATTCACCGAATCACAGAGCCCCTCTTACCACGTCAAACGCGAATAACCCCTCCCCCCACTCGCCATCCAATTGACGTCAAAAAAATGCTGGTGCACCACTTATTGCAGGGATCCAATCACTCACTGCCCTGTGCTTCTTCCAGGTTGAGCGAAAAGAGGGGCACTGGATGGCGGGGCCCAGCCCAGCTGCCTTGCTAGCAAGTGCTTTGGTCTGTGCTTTTTGCTATTGATGGCACCGAGACCGCACCTGCTGACTGCTACTGATTGAAGTATGGGCATTTTCAACTTTTTCCCTCGCCAGACATTTCGGCCTTATTTCTGCTTGTTGAGATATTTATTGTCCAGCCCTGACTCAATGTCCACAAGCGGATATGAATGCTACAAGGGTTCTTCTCACCGAGATTTCGGTATACCCCTTATTAGGAGGGTAAAAAAAAAAGGGAAATAACAAAACAAAATAAAAACCAAAAGTGCTTAAATATATCCCATACCCCTCCAGGGATGGATACATCGTGAACATCGGAACCAACGCCGCAACAACAAATCTCCGTTGCATCGTTGGACCACCCCCCCATCCCGGCCCCAAATGCACCGTCGGATCTCTCCTCGTCAATTCCCTTACCTCATGCAGCCAGGCCCCGGAAAAGCTAGACCAATCGCACCGCTCCATGACGATACCATCCCCGGCCATGAACTCATCCTTCCCATCCGTAGCCTTTTCCACCCCAGCCTGAACGCCTTATCCATTGCCGAAGGCCGGGAAGATGCGGGATTGTCATCACCCTCAACCCCCTTTGCCCGCAGAAAACCGAAGCACCGGCGACCGCAACGGGCAGCTCGCCGCCTTCTCTTCCTCGGTCAAACCTTTTGCATCCCGTGATGCCTTCCTTTATTGCCGGAGAAATTCTACGTCTCTCGGCTCATCTCGTGTTCTCTGATATCGTGGCCTCCACTTCCAAGAGTTTTGACTGTCCACCTGCCCGGCTCTAGCTCGAACTTCATCTCGGTCCCAAACCACGAGCCTGCATATGCCATGTCATGCTTCACGGCATCTCGATAACACTCCAGCCAATGGCGTGGTCTTTTGGGAGATTCTTCATCTCCATCACTCAGTCGTGCTACTGTTTCGATTACTACCACTTCTTCCTGCCCATCGTGGCTGAGCCGGCCCAGACTGACAAACCGTCCGTCAGTCCTAGCAAGCGGTACCATGTCGTCGTAAACAACGCCGTCGCGCCAGGGGTATGTATCCGTACATCTTCGTCGTCCACACTATATACCGTCGCTTCTCCCCATACGTCTTCACCCGAGTCCCGTCCCCCGCCATGCCACCGCCCCTCAGTCTAGGTCCAGGTCCTCTAGCGCTTCTGCGACAAAGGACATATCCCCGTCCCGTCCCGAAGGCGACTGCCCCTCCATGTGCGCTCCACCATCGTCCCCAGCTTCGCTTCTGCTACCCTCGCTCTCTGTTTCCGGCGGCGTCTCCAGTCCCGTAATGCCCCGGGCCCCCAGATTCCGCTTCAGCATGCACATCTCCACCGTGATGCCGGGACCGAACGCGCACCCCACCACGTAATCACGCGCCCGGCCGTCTGGGGCAATGGCATCCATATCTTTGGACCTCAGCCGGTCCATGACGCTGAATATTGTTGCCGAACTCGAGTTTCCGTGGTTTATGTATCTGTCGTAGCTCGCCCGCATATGGTACGGTGTGATGCCCATACATCTCTCGGCCTCTGATAGAATGGTGGCACCTCCGGGATGCATTGCCCAGTCGAAATCATCTGCTTTCTCGTAAGATGGCCCCAGGAGAGGGACCGAGGCAAGAAGCTCTGCGAAAGTCGAGGGCACCGAAGCCGAGGCGAATTTCGGGACTCGTGGTGAGAGAACCACCTTCCAACCTGGTTTGCTTGTATTAGCCTTACATCCGTGGGTCAAAGGATTAGAGTCCTACTCACCAACAGGATCGACGTCGAAGCCTAGATCATCTTCAGTATCCGGAATGACCTTGTGTTCCCAGCCTAGCAAGGAGTATACAGATTGCGTCGGCTCTCCGATACCGTTGCTTAGCACCACCGCGCTGGCGCAATCCGAGAAGAGCGCCACACCTATCCTCGTATCCTGAGTCTTGTCGATGCTGTCAAGTTCACTGCGCACCAAGGTCGTGCTAACCTCTAGCGCAATGCAGAGTATCCTGGCAGGCTTCCCTCGAGCCTTGTGGCCTAGAGCCAGGTTTGCCGCTGTTCTGAGGGTCGCCAGGCCTCCGCTACAGCCAACACCATGCAGGAGAACCTTTTCGACCTGGTGTGTTATTCCTAGATCTCTAACAACGTAATGGTCGAAACCCGGGTTGGCGCTGTCGGTGCAGGTCGTCGACACGACGTGGGTGATTTCGCTAAGGTCTATGCGAGCCTCTTGGATAGCTTTTTGAGACGCCCTGACGGCAAGCGGAACGCCATCGCTCATGAAGACCTTATGAAGGTCTGCTATAGATGGTGGCTCTTTCTGGTTCACGATAGGGTGTTCTGGAGTGCCAATTGACGAGCGTTGCTCGATGCCGGTGAATCGGTTAATAGACAGGACCTTCTTCATACTGCGACAGTTGTTGTTAGAATCCCGAGTGCCAATACGCCAGAAGGTTGCGATACTTACGCAGGAGATTCGGGATAATACTTCTCACTGAGGTAATCAATCGAGCTGGGCGCCAAAGAATGAGGCGGGTACTCAGTGCCAACTCCAATGATGTCGAGACCAAGGTCCCCGAAGCTGTTGGGAGCTGCCATTGTAGATCGCAAAGTGCGGGGGAGGGGTAGCTCCTAATTTGATCGCGTGGCTACTGGATGGGCTTCTATCAGAAGAGAAGATTGGGTCAACGACAAGATGACGAAGAGTTGAAGCTCAAATATGCGAGGAGGGAGCTCTAAGAAAGCTAGAGTAATGAGGCGAAGTCGGTCGCAGTGGACAATGGCTAAGCAGGGAGGGTGCTAGGTGGCATGAAGTGATGATATCACTACGACGATGCTACACAGATTAACCGAGCAGGGCAGCACAACAGGCGCTCAACGGTTTTTGGTGCGTGCTAATACCAGGGAGAATATGGAGAGAGAGAGAGAGAGATAGAGGGAAACTCGCAAGTGGTCACAACTCGGGTAAGTCTTGCGCACCAATGAAGTGAGTAAGAGGCGAAAAAGTCGGTCAATCGAAGTCAGGACAAGAGAGAGAGACAGGCAACGCTCATGCACAGAAGAAACATAATGGTGACGGCGCGTAAAACATGGGTGGGTGGGTGTGGGATAGGATAGGAGATATGTACTCCATGGACACAAGCGGCATCGGTTGCCTTCTGGTGACCATTTGCCCCCTCTCAACAAAATACGCGCCGGGGAGACGGGCTAGGAGGTAACCACGGCCAAGAGGACAGCTCACGGAGGAACATGACCATTTCAAAGTGGAAAGAAGGAGGTGTCTTGTTCGTCAGGGGGTTTAGAACCATGCTCATTGCGCGTTTCCTCGTGGCGGGCTAACCAAACAAGAGGCGAATAATGGCACCCCAAAAAAAGAGAGAGAGACGGAGGTTGTGTTGCACCGGTTTGATTTGCAGGGTTCCCCCGCCGATGACTGATGTACCACATAATGCTTTCCTCGACTCAGGGCTGTCTGCCTCATCCCTGGGATTGAGTTGCGGTCTGCACCAGCGCGGGTTGGCCATGCCGTGCCATGGGGGGTTTTCGAATATGTGGCTCTGTCACTGAACAGTGATGGTGCAAAAGGTGACCCTGAGCTGAAACATGCCTGAATCTAAACTTCGGAGCCGGCTTTCATGAGTGGAGACGCCCTCTTTAATCCAGCTGTCAGAGGAACATGGCCTGGAAGCCCTCTGTCGCGCTGTCAAGCTGTGTATACCTAGTACACTAGTGTAGATTCGACCCCTGCTTGATAGCTTGCCACCTTGCCCAGAAGCTCTGAGCTTTTTTTGTTTTAATTCTTACGCGTTTTAATTCTTACGCGAGCTGTAGGTTATGAAAATTACATGCAGGCTTTCAAAGTCTGGAACTGAAGCTGGGGGAGTGGATCTCCAGCTATTATTTTCTTCATATGTAAGAAAATAACCAGGTAATTGTTCGTAGTTCTCAAGCTACCTTTCGTCCAATATGAGACTGTAGAAACAACAGCTAATCGTCTGATGCATTTCCCCATCCGAACTCACTTTTTGTTACAACTGACACATTTCTTGCCGTCGTTTTTCTTCTTTTTATCTTCTTTTCCCCCCCTCTTGTTTCCACGCTGCGAGCTTCCACAAGAACGACCACGGCCCGCGATGGCAGGCTAAGTCTGACGCTAAGATCTACAATCCCAGGAAAAGGTGGTCTATCAAAAGGCTCTTTGTGGACATTTCGCGTCATAACTGATGGATTTGGCTCCAGCCCCTCCTAAGCTTGCTTGCCCGTTGTGGCAGGTGGCTGGCCACTGAGTGGAAGCTCCCTTGCATTAAAACTCACTGACGAGAATTCGACGTAACTACTTCCGCTTTGACACGATGAAGAGTATCCCTTTATTGTTTTCCCTTCCTTTTTCTCTCTTTAAACTTGGAACGAAAAAATCAGGAAGTAACTTACATTATAATTAACGGTCATGTACGCGTAATGTACTCCCAGGACCCCAGTCATTTCATGCCTATTGGCCAGTTGGGTGTTCCGCATTCAAGCTTACTTACCAGGTACCAGCAAGGCACTGGGAAAACAATGTGGCCCTTTCGCATGCTAAACAGCTGTACGTTGCCCCTGGCTGATATCGAGATCTACAAGTGAGAACGAGTACAAATATACTATACTTAATTATATAATATATAATAACTAGGATTATAATATATTTATTATAAATGGCTTAGATATTCCCGGAGCTACCGCCGGCGACACCCATTGGCATTTGGACCGCCTGTAACGAATACGAATCAGCCACTTGTTGATCCGATAGACTTTAGAGGCAACTCTCCGCTCGGGCAATTGATTACTCCATCGAATCTCCAAGTCTCGCCGCCCGCCGCCGGCCATCTGCAACATTTCCAGAAATTCTTAGCTGCTTTCTCCGGAGTGGGCTCCGCCACGCCGACTGAATACTTTCTTCGCAACCACCACCAACACGCCGCAGAAAAAACGGGCCAAGAGTTTGCCCGTCATGCAGCTCTCCAACCTCCCGTTCGTGCTCCATGTTATTATAGAGACGGCTGCCGCTGCTTCTTTCATCTTCAAACCAGCCAGCCAGTTACCCAATCCTTCTGTCGCCGCTCGGCTGGTGTTGGAATCCTTTGGGGGTTTGCTCCTGACCACAAACCTAATATGCCTGATCTTCGTGTCACGTCCCGAGTTTGACGGCACCAGCAGGCTAGTGGCCATTTCTTTGGCATTCTGGCACGTCTGGCCGTGTCGTCGCGCCTATGTAAGATTGACGAATCCTGCGGTGGATGGGAAGACTAGCGACCAGGCCAAGACTCTGGGCGGCCCGGCAGCGCATCTTGCGGTGCATTTTGCGCTGTTCTCGCTGTTTGTCGGTGCTGCGTTCTTTGGATAGAATTCTGCGTCTAATAGTGTATCACCGCTTAACGGCTTTTCAACGGATGTTGTATGTCGGCTAGCGCATTCTTTACGCGCCTCCTTTCTATTGGGATATCCTCATTTATACACACAAAACTTTTCCATTCCCTTAGCTCCTGAACAGTCTCAGACCCTCCTCCTCAGCATTAGCGTCATCTTCCTCCATGTCATCATCCGATGCCTGCTCAGTCAGCTCCATCTGCTGTCCAAAGAGCGTGCCAAACAGCCTGTCAATGGCGTCCTGCTCCCAAATCCTCCGGTCTTCAGGGGCCATGAAGTTCTGGAGCTTCTCGTGGACATTGAACCGCATCTTGCGGCCCTTGCTTGCCCTCCTGTCGACATGCTTCTTCGTCTTGGCCTCCTTCATGGCCGCCCACCGCACCGTCGGCTGTGCTGCTGCACCGGTGGAACCGTTGTCGTTCGTTCGCTGCTCAACGAGCTGCTTGAGCATGAGCTGGTAAAAGTCGGCGTCGTCGTAGATCTCGGGGTCCTCGTTGACCTTGTTCACAACCTGTGCCGGCGCACACGAGCGCGGGACACGCGTCCGCTTGATGAGGCGGTCCGCGTTGAGGAGTTGCTCCTCAATGCTGGCGACGATGGAATGCTGCGACGAAACGAGATTGCGGCTCTTGACCTCAACGGTCGTGCTGCGCGTCTTGTTGGACCAGGTTTCGAGGACCTTCTTGCGGTACTTGAGCGCGCGCTGCTCGGCCTCTTGGATGCTCTCCCAGATGGCCTCGTCAGACATCGACGCGTCCACTTCGCTGCGCTTGCGCTTCTCTCCTGCTTGGGCGAGTTCCGCGGGAAGGAGGCTGGATCGGAAGCTGTCGAGGGTGTTGAGCAGCTTCAATGCCGCCTCCTCCGCGGCCTCGTACGGCTCGGAATTCTGCTCGGCTTCGTCGTCCATGTTGACCGCGGAGAAGGAGTTGGTAGCAACGAGGGCCTTTTGCAACCTGATGCGGATATTGAGGAGGCCGTCAAATGTCTTGCGCTGCTCTCGGACAGCGACGCCCTTCAGCGCATCTTGTTGCGCGGCGGCGGATATCGTCGCAGCGAGCGCCTTTGAACCCTCGTTCATCAGCTTGCGCTGCTCGGCTCTGGCGTCAGTCTTGCTAGACTTGCGACGAGACTTGGTGTCTTCGCCGTCAGAATCGTCAGAGTCTTCCTCCGAGTCTTCGGCGGACTCATCCTCTGAGCCTTCCTCATCATCTTCCAACCCCTCGAGGCCGTCCATGAGGTCTTCGTCACTACCATCCGAGTCTCCTTCTTCTTCATCGTCCTCCTCATCGTCCTCCTCATCCTCATCCTCATCATCTTCGTCGTCAAGATCGTCACCGTCTTCGTCTTCGTCCTCCTCGTCCGAGATGAAGTCGGCGGCAGTGGGTCTATTGCTGCGCTTTCCCTTCTTGCTATCCTTTGGCTGCGAGCTACCACGGAACACAAACTCTCCAAGCTTTTCGTCGTCGCTCTCGCCAAGAGCATTGTCGCTCTCGATCTCGAAGTCTTCGTCGCCAGCCTTCGCCTCGTCCGCTGCCAGGTCGGCGGTCTCAGGATCATCGAACTCCTCATCATTTGAGTCGAAATCCTCTTGCGCATCCTCGAAGACGTCGCTGTCGTCGTTGCTCGAGTCGTTCAGGGCATCTCGGCTCACGCGCGAGCCACGGTACTGAGGGCCGAGAGACACGCCCTCCTTCTCACGGAGCTTGCTCTTGCTATCTAGTTGTTAGTTATGTTCTTTTTTTTAAAAACCAAAGCCGAGATAAAAGGTCGCGTACCCAACGGTGACATAGTGTTCCGTGCCAGCGTTCTCGTCTTCGCTCTCCTCACTGCCGCTCTCGTTTTCGCTCGCATCGACAGGCTCGGCCTCAGGATCAAGATCTGCGGGACATTGTGAGCCAATGTGTTAGAATTCAATTCGAATGGGTTGCTTACCCTTCGGCGCCTGTTCTTCCCAGTCGGAAATTCTTCGACGGCCCGCCATTGTACTTGATGCGTCGCAGTTGTATGGCAATGGGCGGCGGAATCCACTAGGCGAATTTTCTGGGCTTCAAGAAACTTTTTGACGGTGAGGAACGGCAGAATCCGGGACCCCACCAAGACTCCATTACATAAGCATTCCAGGCCTTTATTTTCAAGTAGCGCACTTATCTTTGAATGGTGCTATGTACCTCTGTCAGGATCAAAAAGTTTAATTTTGTCCTTTGCTATTTATTTGAGGTTTCTTATTAAAATTCCTCTCAGGGACCTAAAATGCAACCTCACAGGAAGTATTAATACACTGTCGTGACAATACCCTCCGTATTCTTAGCTTTAGTAAAGGTTCTCCCACCTAGTTTCCTACGTTGGGAGCAATCTCCAGAAAATACTGGCCATATAGAGCCTTCAGCGTCAACGTGTGGGCCAATCACAAGCTAACTTTGATAACCCTGACAGAGGTATACTTCATCTTGAACAAGATTCATGAACTAAACTGTATCAAGGCCGCCGAAAAACAAACGCCCCTTGACAGAAACCAGATACCTAAACTCCAAGCTTAAACAGAACCAGTGCAGGAGCTTGCCTCGATCAAGCTGTCTAGTGCCTTTACTTTTCCCATGACTCCAATACCGCCGCGCAAAACCACTTTACTTCTTGTCGTCGCCTCTCAGGGCATATAACGGCTGCATCTTTCCGTTGCCATCACAGGCCCCAAACTTCCACCAGTCGCGGTGGGCCCACCAGGTGACATATCGAACAACGTTGACGATGAGCTTACCAACCGGGTCCGGAGGGATATTCGCCCATATGCCTCCCTCGTATTCGGTATCTATGGTGGTCAAGGCCCACGGAAGGCCATCGAAAAAGCCAAGCTCCCCCTGGATCTGTGTCAGTTTGTGTAGCAGACCAGGACGTATTGCTCAACACACCATGACTTCTTGACCTTCTTGCCTGAGAACCTTCTCAACAGGGCCAATTTTCTCAAGACCAAACTTTTCAAGGCCAAGAATTGTGGGAATCTCCTCTTCGAGGTGAAGGGCCAGCTCTTTGCCAAATGCGTCTATTAGCGAAACGACCTTTTTGCCGTCGTACGCCTCTTTTCGGGCAATAATTGCCTTGATGTATTCTGCGAAAGCCTCAAGTCCGTCATGGAAAGCTTTATGCTGCTCGATATTGATGTCCATGTACCCAGTGGTACCCGTAAGCTTGTCTACTGAAGGGAAGAACAGACGTTCCTCGCCTCTGTGATGGGCATCTAGAAAACGGTACCACTGGAACGCATGGTTTGCGAAGCTGAATTCATCCTGGGGCTTGATGTGAGGCGCTTGTAGGTAGATGGCGTTCAGACCACGAAGAAGGTAATTGTGTACAATGGCCATTTCGGAAGCCATCTGATGGAAAACATCGGGCTGTTTACATGGTCAAATAACGTACCTAATTGCGTAGCCTGAGTAAACATACCTTGACGTCTTTGGGAAGTTTCGAGATTGGTGTCGTCAACAGAGCGAACGGATGGTCGGCGTAAACAGGAGCCATCTTAAGACGATGGAAGCCAACGACGCAAACAAGAACTGGTAAACCAGGGGCGGTATTCGAAGCGTCTTCTTTATTGTTGGGTTTACCAGGGGGAGGCAGATAACATTACAATCCCATACAAAGGAGGCCAGCTGTTTTATACCATATTCTCTCATCGTGATAGCCTTCATGTTCTATAATTTCAGCCAGTGATGAGACCCTTGAGACCGGTGAAGCGAATAACGCAGGCATATAGCAAGGAATAGGAAGTATGCCAGTGAGCACTAGCACCCTTTTGACGTACGACTTTCTCAATCCAGGCACACATCAGCGACCCCAATCGCGGTCGTCAGCAGCCACGGGAGAAGGCAACGAATCACGCCAAACCAATTACACGGCATTCCCGTTCCTTCAGCAAAAGAGACCAGTAGCATTGGAAGGGTTGAGATCTAATCCAAGTAAGGGTACTGGGCCAAGTGATAAAGTAGCCGGACGAGTACCCGACAGAACCCAAAAAGGGTGTTCAACCCTACCTAATGCTTATGGGAATGATGATGGCGAGTGCGCAGCACCTGTGAAAGCCTATACGTGTTGCAACGTAATAAAGATATCATTTAAGCATGAAGACAATATCGAAATAGCAGATAAGCTCGATTCAGGGCAATCCGGAGCTAATTGGACAGAATGTCAAATGGCGAGGACGAGCTTTCACCATTGAGGATGATGCCTAGACGAAGCGCGGAGGAAAAGACGAAAGTTATAGGCACTGCGCTTCGCTTCTGAGATGGAATGATGAGTGCAATTGCGATTCATTCTGGCGGATGCGTTGCAGATTGTGATGTAAGTACTTTTGGATCAAGTCGAGTATTCGTACAATTCGTACAGTGTGCAGTGATTCGAAAATAAACAGCACCTCTGATCACGTATTTTGCATCTGTTTCACACTGTGAGCTGTGAGTTGCTCGCTCTTCCCGAGAAAGACCCGCGGTTGTGGTGATAGTAGCCAATCAGCCGCTGATTAAATCGACTTACAGTGGGCTCAAGACTAAGATGGCAACAAGTGCAAGGCACGAGGAGCTTGGGTGCTCAAGTGCGGATCCGACGGGCAAGCGGATATCGTCCCGGTCACGTGCGTCAGTGTGACGGCGGAAACAGTGAGGCTATGCCTGCTGGAGGAGGTACCGACATGGCTGACCTCCGAGGCAAGGCAGGGGAGCGAAAAATCGCCATTACTCGCTGTCCCCATCTCACGATTGTCACTCACGAAAAGCAAGGCCAACAGGGAAAATCCAGCCGCGGGGGCCTCGCAATGCAATGGAGCAAATTGAGACGCAGGTCAGCGACCTGCACTATTTGACCCAAGCAGCAGTCCCTCTGCCGCCTGACCGCGCTGCCGCTGCTTATTCTCCACACACTCAACAAGCCCATTCTCCTCTTTCCGCGACCCCCGGAGACAATTCCGCTCACTCAGCAGGGGGAGCCCGCGCCACGACTTCTGCTGGAACGCCAGGCGCTTCCTCTGTATCTGGGTCTAAGAGGAAGTCTGAAGATGAAGGAGCTGTCGCCAAGCAGCAGAGAAGTAAACGGAACAGGGTTCGTTGTCTTTCTTCCTGTCGCCGTCTTTGTGCCTGTACCTATGTCGCGCCTCCACTCCCGCTCTGCCCTGTCTTGTCCCATCCCATCCTCCCTCTTGTCCCTGTACCATGTCCATCCCTCCAAACTTTGTGGAACTCCGGGAAGCTGATGACGGTTATGACAGTACATTTCCATAGCCTGGTAAGCTTGCCTTCGGTCCCTTTCGTACCTTCATACCCGATTGTTGCCAAAGTCTCTCCCCGGCGCGAGCGACCGACTCAATACGACACCGACCTGAACTCCGAATGTCATATTGGTGTAGCCCATCAACCCAGCTGGTCGCCCGCAGGGCTGAATGTCCTTGAGGTTCCTTTGCTTCACCAAGATACGCAGTCACTAATACGCTTTCCAAACCCGTAGTAATGAATGTAAACGACGCAAAATCAAGTGCAATGGCGAAACTCCCTGCCAACGATGTGGCAACCTCAACCTGGCGTGTCTTTACGCCCCCAACTGCTGCTCAAACAACTTCAAGGATTCGGATGAGTACAAGAACATGACAGCGCAGATGGCGCGGCTACAAGAGCAGGTCGACAGCCTCTACCAAAATATGAGCGTCCTTCGTGCCGAAACTCTGCGTCTTGCGCCTATCCAAGACAAAGTATTACCTTTTCCTTCGAGCACCACCCAGGCCTCTCCGGCGAGCTCACTGTCTCCTCTGCACCGGCTCGAGTTGACCCAACCAAAGCAGGCACCCTTCCGTGGACCCACGAGTACAGCTTTCAGTCTGGACGTTGCAAATACGACTATCCACAACATGGGCTACAAAGGTATTGGTGATGGCGAAAACCAGAGCACATCCTTATCTGTGCCCGAGGACAGCCCTTCCCGTATGGCTCCCCAGGATAACCCAACTGATCCCTTGTGGGACTTTGAAAAAGATGAGATGATTCGTCTATGCCGTCTACACGAGGAAGAGGTTGGTATCATGTATCCGGTTATCAAGATTCAGTCCGTCATCGAGCACGTCCGCAACTTGTCTTCATACATGGAGTCAGCCAGGAAGCAGGGCATCATGCCAATGATCAATGACGACAAGACTCTTCAGCTCAAAATCGTTATGTGCTGCGCCTTGGTCGTGGAAGAGCATGGGCACAGTGAGAAGGCCATCAAGCTGATTGACAGCATGGATGCCGTTGTCAACCGGAAACTTATGGTTGATGCCGTCGATTTTACGAGTCTCCCAGCTTTGTGCCTTCTTGCTGGTTACAAATTTCTGGCCAATGAGGAGATCGCGGCGTGGCGTGTCATGGGCCAAGTTGCAAGATTGTGCTTAGAAATAGGCATACATCGCCGGACGGGCCTCATGAGCATTCAAGATGAAGAGGAAAGGAAGACTGCACTCAACAGCTTCTGGTCAGCCTACGTCTTGGACAGGAGGTGGGCATTCAACACAGGACTACCTTTTGTTGTTCCTGATGAAGAAATCGATCCAGACCTCCCAATGCCCGTAAGTAGCCACTCCACGTGAGTTGAGCCCAACTGTTTTGACTGACAAATTCCCAGGATGAATTCCCCTATCTTGTCGCCATGGTCACCTATTCAAGATTGGGCGCCAAAGTTTGGCGTCAAGTTGCACATTTCGGTCCTGTTCTAGCTCATGAGCTTCGGCACGAGGATATGGAGCGGCTAGACCAAGAAATTCTACAGTGGTATGAGAATGTGCCCGAGGAGGTCAAGCTTCGAAACTGGGATAAACAGAAGCAAATGACCTTGACGCCGTCGTATAACCTGCAAAGGCTTCGAATTTGGACATATCTTCGATTTAATCAGGTACGCCCTTCACAGCTCCTGTTTACCGAGGCGGCTCGTCTCTAACCTAGCCACAGATTCGCATTTGGCTTTACACCCCAATACTTCACAGCGCTACTAGCATCATGAGCCATATGACCCAAGCCCAGCGGGTGGTGGACTTGGCCAAAGATACGATTCGGTACCTTAGCCACCTCAACAGCACTACGAATCTATACCGCAAAATTCAGGTTTTCTATCACCAATTCCTCACCTCGGCTATTTCTGTTCTCTTTTTGGCTTCTGTGCATGCACCAGTCAAGTTCAGCCCTACATGCCGCGAAGAGTTCTACATGGCCTTGGACCTTGTTAAGGATTTATCTGCCAAAAGCTGGGTTTCTCAGCGTCTGTGGCGAACAATCTCGTCCCTCAAGGAAGTTGCTCCTAGCATTGGTCTCCGCAACCAACAAGACGAAGATCCGCACAACTCAGCTGCGCTCGCCATGGCCGGACTTGCGACAGGGCGTTTGTCAAACAGTCCTGCTTCTATCACGCCGTTCGGCCATTCTTCGATCCAGTCTTCGACGCCAGCGATGACACAACAGCAGCAAACACCAACGATAGACACGGTATCATCGCCGAATAATGGAGCACGTATTCAAACTGAGATGAGCCGGATTTTCGAAGGTTACATGGGGCTCAACGGTTTCTCCACGGGGGAGGATAGTTTTGGAGGACCACCAAACACAGGAATGACCCCGACGACAACAGGAATGCCGAACCCATATGTTGACAATGTTTTTTACCATTTCAGGGAAATGTTTTAGCCACTGCTGCATCTTCCTGGTTACTTTTTTTTCTTTCATGTCTTTCATACATCTCGATAGCAGCCATTCTGTCTTACGCGCTCATGCTGTTGGATAAGCTGTAAATGACATCTTGCATTGAAGAAAATAGGGGTCAAATGCGTATTCAAAAACGCTAAGCTGTGGTGTGGTATTTACAATCCAAACCATTTAAGGTCCTCATCTTCTTGAACTGGTACGGTATGCCCAACGCCTTGCGCAGAGTAGCCTACCAGCTTCTTGCCGTCCCCATAAACAATCTGCGTGTATCCACTAAGAGGCGTGTTGGTGTTGTTTCTGGTGAAGCTGACGCCGTGGATCGCCGACCATTCCTTCAGCTGTTCGCCCAAGTTGGGGTACTTCACCAGCGAATCCGCCGTACCATGGAACGTCTGCATACGTGGATAGGTACCGCTGTAGCCAGGATACATCGCACGCACCTGCGCAGCCCACTGCTCGCCCGTCTTGACGATCTGACCGTTGGCACAGCGCGGATCAGCACTGATGGGACTGGAGCCGGGCGAGCCGGCGAGACAACCAGCCGCAACGCCCGAATAGCATGACGCCGCAGCGAACAGATCCGGGTAAGTTGCTGAAAGGACGTTGGTCATCATGCAACCTGAGGAGCTGCCGGTTACGAAGACACGACTAGGATCAGCGTTGTAGCGGTTGATGGTATACCGGATCATGTTTGCTAAACCGGTGGAGTCACCGCCCCCCTCACGAGTGAGGCTGCTGGTCGAGGCAACATCCCAACAGTTGAAGTCTCTCTTCGAGGACGGGTAGATGACGATGAAAGTCCTCTTCTGCTCTGACAGGGGTATGTACTCAGCCTGACGGGAGTAAGTCGGCCCAGAGCCACCACAGCCGTGGAGGGCGAGCACAATGGCTGGGGAGGGAGAGAGGTTGGGTGGCACTTGAATATACATGCTTAGGCCGGTTGGGTTTGATCCCCAATTGCTGACAAGCTGGAGGGCCGCGTAGGCTGGTCCGAGGAGGAAAAGAGTGGTGAAAGTAGAGTAAAACATTTTGGGTTTTCAAGATTGATATTGATTGTGACTTGCGATTTGAAGGTCGATACTGTTTATTCTCAAGTGACGAAACTTCAGACTACCCAAGTGAACTTTATAGATGAGAGCCTCTATCGCGGCACTGGTTGTAATACTCTTAAGGAGAACACAAAGGCCCAATTAGCCAAAATGCCATGCCTCGGCTCAACTTCAAAGACGACGAACGAGGCCTAAACAAGACTAGACAATACGAACAGTCATATTCGAGCAGGCGAAAAGGCGAACCTAGATCTAAATCATGAGGGGGATATTGAAAGTGAGGTTGCAGAGCTTTGACACGACAACGCGGCTATATAGGGTGAACGTTGCGATTTGCTGGTTGACGTGACGTCCGTTGGAGACCGGCAACAGCAATCGGTAGTTGAGGCTGGTTCTTGGCCTTGTGAAGGATAAATTGCACAAATAAAATGATTGGTGGTAGTCTGGAAACAGGAGAACGGGTTGAGACAATATGAAAAAAACCAGGGTTATTGAAAGGTGGTTGTTTTTTCCCCCCCTTCCCCTCCATTTTAACCCCGCAACCAAAGATGCCTCGGTTTGGCGTAAAGAATGTTACATCCCGAATCATGTTGGTAAATGATTTGCATTGGAAAAATAAAGATGACATCAGGAGCCACTGAGTTCTCCTCAAGAGCATGCAAACTCTCGAGTTCTCGGAGGGTAAGGCCGAGCCGATTGTTCAGATAGCCGGCGCCAAGTGGAGACAAATTCGGGAGCGGCACGGTCGGGTAGGGCCGAGACATCATCCGACCGGTGCAAGACCTGGAATTGTGCCGGCCGAAAAAGCAACAAGGTCGAAACTGTGTGATGGACCCATGGCTTATGACTGCGGAAAACAGTGAAATTCAATGATCGTCCCTACTAAATGTGGATCAGTGAGGAAACCGGAGTGAGAGAGAAGGGTGGGCCGAAACAGCCATGGAATAGGCAGCAATGACACTCTGCATGCTAAGGGCGCATGAGATTTGGAGCATGGAAGGTTCTAGCCACCTAAATCGGAAACTTGACCACTTCATGAAAACCAACTCCCTTCTTCTTCATTCTTCTCTTGTTCGTCATGTCAATCTTTATGTGAGATCTTCCTCTTTTCTCTGTCGCTGTCTCCTGTCTCTGTAAAAGCTGTCAGCCAAGGCGGTAGAGGCAGACGATCACAACACCAAAGACCAGAGCATGGACAATGAGACGTGATACCAGCGATTTCAAAAACACTCCTCACAATAGCAAGAAAAAGTTGACTCACAGTAATGGTCTCGACGATACCAGCGACACAGATACGGTCAGACAAGGAGCCAAGAGCAAACAGTCAACATATCAGTCAAATTGACGGCACGGCTGATACCATGGACGTCAGCGTTAAGACAGAAGGACGGTGCAGCTTTGAGGAGCTGCCATTTGATGTACACCGTCTAATTGCCTCCCATCTTCAATACCGAGACGTGCTAAAAATGTCGTCCACGAATACTTTCTTTCACAAAAATTTGAATCCCAAGACACTCCTTCCCAGGGCCACTCGATCTAAGTTTCTAGCAGAAGCTGACTTTTATCGGGTGAATCGTCATCATTGGGCGTGCTTCGGATGCCACAAGTTTCTTCCCAAAGACTCTTTTGGTGATAGAATGAGAAAAGACAAGCGAGATAAGAGAGGTCAGAAAATGAGCCGTTTGGGTCTTCGGCGGTGCTGGACCTGCGCCATTAACGAAAGGTTGTACACGCATCTACAGCCGGTCAAGAAACAGAATATCATGTACTTTCTTTGCCACAAATGCGGCCGTATGCAGCCGGAGTCGCAGAGGTGTATGGAGGCCGGTTCTTCTCCACAGACAGGAGAATTGCAAAACAATACCTCTTCGATAAATGCGGCTCCGGTAAAGGCCTCTCTGGAAGCAAAATCTTTTCACGACACATTTTTGACCACTGTCTGTTTTGATGAGACAGCCGAAACTGTTGCTGCAACAAAGGGTTTCACATATCAGGCCCCTTTCGAACGGCTTCCACAGGATATCCTCGAAAACATCGTCCAGTATACTGAACTGATCGATGCAATACATCTTCGCCAAGTCAACCGCATCCTGAGAAGAATGATTAAGACACGTTGGGTGCCTCTTCACAAGCGTTTTGAATTCTTGAAGCAGTGGGAGCCCGTGGTGAATTGGACTGAGGATGAGCATAACCCTAGGTTGAACGAGAGACCGAATCTTCCCTGTTATGCATGTTTTGTTGTCAAGTCTTACAACAAATTTCCGGGTTTGCAGCACAAACTCTTTGAGAAGTATCCCGAAACTTTCTGGAAACGCCGGTGTGAAGCTTGCGTCGACTTCTTGCATCGAAAGTCTGCCGCCGAGGCCTTGCGTGAGTTCAATCTCCGCACGCTGTGCCAAACCTGTCATCACTTAAAGCACACCGGGGAAGCGTGCCAGGGTTGTACTCATAGGCCACGTATCGACGTCTTCGAATCCGATCCTCTTACTCCTGCAAAATCAATAGAGGAAGTAACATGTCGGATAGGTCAGTTGTGAGGGCATTTGGAGACGAGGCTATTCGGGCACATAGCCAAGGTGAAAGCCTGAGTATTCGGTCTGATCACTGTAAACGGCTGTGTAGAAGAATATGTTGGTCTCATCACTCACTAGGATATCCAGTTTTTCATTTCCATCAGCTTCGCGGCTATCGTACCAATTTATCAAGTCCTCATTGACGCCACCTTTCTTCTTCGCCTCAATATCGTACATCATGGTGCATACGTTTCTTTCTCATCCAGTGACAGATAGACCTATGTAACGCCCCCCCCCCCCCAGGACGTACTTGAGTTCTGGACTTTGACGTAAATGAATGTAATGGTTCTATTTGGGCTCTAAATCGTGAATGCGATGTCATTACTGAGAAATAAGGAGTTGGAGAGTTTCGGTGACAGTCGTGTGCGTCAGCTAAGCAACACGAATCGTCTGTATAGTTGTAAACCCATGTTAGAACATCATTTGAGGAGAGCATGATAGGAAGGTTCAACTTAGTTATTGACGTGGTCGCCATATTAGCAGGTGTATGAGGAAGCAAAAGGTAAGTACATGCCGAAGCTACAAGACTTTGTCAAGGGAACCAGATTCAAAATGGTAGGCCATTAACTGAAAAAGCATAACTGCTGGTCTTTGTTACAGCAGGGCAGGGTTTATCACCGATATACCTCCTTCTGTGGATGTTGCGTTTCCCAATATTTGGAGTACATTTTCTGTGAATACTCTCTGGAACCTCAGTAACACATGAGCACTCCCTGGCCAGCATCAAAATGATCTGACGCCGTGAGGCCGAAGAACGAACCCAATATATCAACTATCATAGAGAATGCAACCTGTGGCGACATATAATAACTCCAAATCGGGGTGTCCGGGATTTGAATGGGAGAGACGATGAGTCAAAAGCTTTATTTGGTAATCCCTTCTCAGACGGCAACAAAGCCGATTTGGTTTGTGAATGATGTCATAAGTCAGAGATGGATTTACTCTTAAACGATGGTGTGCAGGATGCATGTTTATTAGTACTGCAATGTCTCCCTCTCCGCTCGCTGAAATATCTGGACTTGAGGAAGCCCAGGAACGTTAGTCAAGCGCTAAGCATGCCACACACTCAACTTAAAATTCAAAAGCACCATTACTTGAATACAAGGTATTTGGTTGACTATATGATCATATGCGATATGATGTGACCGTGGCTTAATGGTTATGCATGAGCAGGTATCCCTTCAAGGAGAGCATCCTTCTTATAACGAAGTGCATAACCTTAACAGATTTGAATGAGATCGAGATGCCCAAACAGATCTAAAAAAAAATACGCGTGCTCCGTAGTTTTCACGTGACTGTCCTACGGAGATTGACCGATGGATACTGAACCTTACTGCTGGGTTGAGATGAATGGGCCACCTTTGAGCGGAACTCCGCCCATAACTATTAACATGCTTATCATAAACTTAACATTAACTACACTCATTTCACCATCGAGTTTTGCATTAAGGCCGACTGGGCAGATTCAAATGTTCCTTGTTTGGGCTCATTGAATAAAGATGCTAATATTTGGATATGGGTAAGTTTTGGATATAGTCGCGTGGCTCACAATGCAGATTTAGCACTGGCGTATACATGAAGTTGACGACCTTGAAGATGCAAATGCTTCCCGCTTACGAGTAGGGAACCGTTAATGCTACGAAGCTTGTCTACAAGTGCATTGAGATATCGAAGAGCACCGTGTTGAAATACCAAGAAAAAGTCTGATTATCAACAGAAAACACATGTGAGTTAGACAGTACTGCAACTAACTTTACATTTAATTTCCGAAAATCTGGAGTTTCTGGACCCAACCAAGATTGAGTTGTCGGGCCGCTTCCAGGCGAGATATACGCGCCAGGAAAATATTTTCACCCATTACAATCCGGGGCGTACATATGTTAAAGTATTGTGGTAGTAGGAGCGGAGATCCGGCTGGGGCGGCGGAGCGAGCGGATTCAATCTGAGGATATCGCAGGCTGGGTTTGTTGATGCTTACTGAGATCGGCGGAGCCCCGAAGGTCACGGTCCACGGCCGCGCACCTCGATGAGGCAAATTGAAGTGCAATCAAGCTTTTGACTCCCGACAACCCCACTGCGTCTTGATCAAACTTCTCATGGGCCGGCAGATCTGCATGTCCATTGCAGCAGAGGGTTAATGAGGGGGAGTACGACGCTGGTTGTGACAGGGGTTTTGGCTTTGGTTTCGGGATGTGGGATGCTGCAATGGGGCTAGTAGGTGGAACTTGCATCAATGAATGCACCCAAGTTTAACTGAATAAACGTAACATGTTTCTTATTTCCCATCATTGGCTTGATAGTTCTCTATATGGCTTAGTAATAAAAGGCTCTAAATATCTAAACGGCGTCGTTGACAAGTTCCCGCGCCTTGTCCGCTGCAGTTTCCTGAGTGTGACCAGGCACATCACTGTTATCTTCATACGGCTTGACACCCATATTTAGCCATGCTCTTTCGATCATCAGAGTAATTTCCGTCTCCTTTCCACGGAAAAGCAGCTCGGTGTCTCCGCTTCCAAAGGCTGTAATAGACTTGTGCTACGAAAATGTTAGTTTAAATGGCATGTTTCAGTGCTGAGTTCTTAAACTGACCAGACCAAGAGTCAATTTAATGACTCCATCAGCCCACGCAGGGCTATAAAGATTCGAGGGCTTCTTTCCTTGGAGAGCGAGCACAAGGTTGTCCGCAGCAAATATGGCCTGCTTCATGGCGGCTCGTCCGTTGGGATTTGTGACCCCTGCCTCCGCAACATCACCGCAAACGTAGATGTTGGGAAGGGAGTCGACATCAATTTGCATAGTAGGTTTTACTTTAATGCGACCTGACTTGGCAACAGCTTCAGGTGCTAGCTGACTGACCAAGTGAGACGACGGTTGCTGGCCAACGGCGTTGACCTATAAAGGGTAAGAATTCGCACCTTTTCAGACCCGAATAAGAAAGACTCACCAGAAAGTCACATTCAACCTTGCGACCAGAGCGAAGTGTGACGAACCCGTCGACTGGAGCATCAGTAGTTGTTCGATCGCCTAGAATGACTTCGATACCAAGGTCCTTCAGACCCTCATGAGCTCCAGCTTGAAGCTCGGGACCAAAACGATTCATAACAGCGTCTCTAGAATGAACCAAAGTAACATTCTTCTCGGGATACTGGTCCTTGGCGTCGGTCGCAAGTTCAACACCAGCAGCGCCGCCACCAACAACAACCAGGTGCTTAGCAGCCTTGATGCGCTGCTGAAACTCTTGCAGAAGCCGTACACCCTCGGCCTTTTCTGTTGAGCCCACCCTTGATGGCAGAGACATGCCAGCACCTGATCCTGTTGCAACTACCATAAAGTCATAGGAAATCTTCTCGCCTGTCCCTTGAATTGTGACCGTCTTCTCGTCAATAGTTGATGCACGATCATGGATCCAACGCACGATGGGCGCAGAGTCGGCAGGAAGATAGGGGCCGTAGGGGATGAAAGTCTTCGCCTCATGTCCCCCAATGACACAGAATCGTGGCAGAGTCCATGTGAAATGCCAGTGACGGTTCGGCTCGATGATGATCAGGCGGTACGGCCCGTCGGTTGGGAGCGCCGATGCAATCAGTCGGGCAGCATGGTATCCAGCAAATGATGCGCCGATGATTACAATGTTGATCGTTTCGGCGTCAGAATTCTTACTGGCAGGGCTGGTGGATATCTTTTTCGTGTAATAGCTGCGCGAGAAAAAGTCCACATACATTCCCAGCGTGTAGCCGACGAGCTTCACGAAAAGAAGCGCTTTCTTCACCGGTTTAAACATCGTGGGCATATTTCGGACCTCTGGCTCCGGATGCCGAATTCGGAAGAGAAAGCCCAGGGTGCGAGTCCAAGTATGAGATGCTTCCGAATCTCAGATTTCAGGGTCCGTCGGTAATTGAAAGGTTTCCCGGCAGGCAAGAGGAAATCCTGAATGAGTATGTGTGAGGGAGAACACGGGCTAGGTCTGATTAGATGGACATCATAATACTTATCAGATGCATCTGATTAGATGCGGGAAGGGAGCGTGTATTGTTAGCGTAGCGCTAATTGTCCGGTGACCGAGTCGGAGTTTGATTGCCCGATGTGGTTTCGGCCGAAGTGACTACTGAATATTCTCAACCTTTGTTAGCTTAGGGCAAAGAAGTTGGACCCCTACTGCTTCAATCGGATCATACATGAATGCACACTCTTTATTACTGACAGGCTGCTGACGGGCACCATTTGCTGCTCAAATGTGACCAAATGTTTTGAGGGTTGCTCCAATGGAATTCCCATCTCCAAATGTCAGGGCAATTTGCTAAAAACCAATAAACCGGAGATAATTCGATCAACTCAAGTACGGCCAAAAGCTTGGGGCCGAGATATGGCACCAGAATCTGGTCTGATGGACTGATTCAATTACGTACAGGTCGCCGTTCACAGAGGAATCCACCTTCTTACTCTTTGATTCTTCTCCGATACCACCCAACCTGCATAGCCAGCCCAGCAACTAGTCCCTCTCTTTTGCCCCCTGCTCCAATTTCACTAGAAGCTCAGCTGCAGGGGTCAAGGCTCGCAAGCGGGCAGACTTGACCAACGGCAGCCGACGGCTTCGTTAACCGAAGGAATCGCCTAGGCCTACCACCCCTGTCCTAGGCACTTGGGTCTACCTTGGAATGTCTTTTTGACCAAATACTCCGTCGACTCTCGGTCATTTCAGGGACGAGTCATGAATGTGAACAAACATCTAAGAGAGGGGAAAAAAAAAAAGGCAGAGCATTTTCACGGTAAAGCATGATAGCAATAGGGAATCTAGCAAATATTTAATGCATCAACTAAGGTAATTACATATTGTAACTTTAGGGGAATCATTATTGCCTGAACCGAGAACGCCGCCACCTACACGTTGATTCTAAACCTGCACTTCCTGGACCTGGACATCGATGGCCACAGGTCCGCTACCAGCCTTCTTATCACCCGCAACAATGTTGACCACGGGTGTAGCCTGTACCCTCTTAACCTCGCTGAAAGGGGGGTAACCTGCCGCACGCCACTCCTTGAAGGTCATGCCGCCGGCACATGCAGGCATCTTAACCATCAAAGGTACTTCGGTGTCATGAGGGGCCCCAGTCACCTCAGGCTTGTGGACAATTTTCTCATCCAGGGTTTCGTAGCCCATCTTCTCGTACAGCTTGTAGGTGGAAGGCGATGACTCGAAGTACATGGGGATTCCCAGACTGTCACTGAGATCCATTCCCCACTTGCACCAAAGTGCACCGGCCTTTCTGCCCTGGTGTTTCGGGTCGATAGCAATAACATGGGTATCTAGGTTCTCCCAATTAGCTGGTTGCCAAGGTTGATCTCCCTTTGAGGCTGTTAAAACTCACAGATGTAGCGGCGCCCGCCAAACAGCTTCTCTCTAGCCTCGTGCAATGGGTTCAGGACAGCCTCGGCGCGCTCCCTCTCCTTTCCCTCAAGCCAGCTAACGCCGTGGTTCTTGCGTTCTTCCTCGCTGCGCTCTTTCAGATAAATGTCGCCGAGAGCCATGCCGACGATTTCTCCCGTATCGGTATCGACGCACTTGTAGGTGTATTGTGTATCGGATTGATGCCACCAGGACAAGGTACCAGCCGCATGTGCTTTGCGGAATTCTTCTGACTCCGTTCCGCTGGGGAAGAGAATTTGTACCATGAGCTCGCCCATGGCATCGCCCTTGAAGGCTTTGAAATAGGTGTCATAGACCTTCTGAATATCAGGGATCAGTGCTGGTAAGATAGCGTAGCCCATTGTGACTGGTGTTCAAGGAACCGGAAAGAAGATTGGGGTATAAAAAAGTGGCGAGAATATGAATGTATCTACAGAAAAAGTCAAAACACCAACAATAGCTTGAGAGGACGGGCATCCCTCATATATACCGTGGCCTTGCTCTCTTACGCGGGACTTCATGGCATTTTAGGGCCCCGCAAACTCCGACTCGGGTAGAGCTCTTGAGTTGTCACCATCCCATTCAATCTCCAAGCGGGGTTACCAGTTGGCCTGGCCAACGCTCCCATCGGGAAACTATTGCCTACGAAGGAGCCATCTGATGTGAATCGCATGTACTACGTAGTAAGCCGCTGATGCGGGCCAAGTCTGCTGTATGAGAAACTCGGTCGTGGCAAAGCTCTTCAACGCCGCCCCCGTCCTTGGCTACATCGCAGGCCCGGTTAAAGTTATCAGATCCGCAATGTTAGCGACAAAAGTTTTCTTCCCGCAACCTCGTGTTCCCCCGCTCTGTAACGCCCTAGACCTGTTCAATTATGGCTAGGACTGAATGGGTTGCATCTCTTGGAGATGGCGCGAATAGAATGAGCCGATTTTGCCCTCCCAAGAGGCCGGCACGGCCAGATCCCTGGCACATGCTAGCCGGCCGAGGCAGTAAATCGACGGTCATCCCGTGCAACCTACCTTTCTGGTCCTGTTTCCGTCCGACGCCGCCGAGCCTTGGACCTTTGGTTCTGACCAACAATTCAAAGCCGGTGGATCTGTTCTGCAGCTGCAGCAGCAGCCACCGCCGCAGCTCATCACTGTTCCTAGAAGTTGTATGTGAACGCACTCTTTCAAAGTCCATGTAGCTATCAATATTGCGCGAAATACATCACTCAAGCTAATTCACCTAGTAGTGTAAACGCCACTTGAACGGTTTGATGCGTGACACTCGCTAGCTTCCAGCTTATGTGCCAAGTCATGTTATCTGATTCGGCTCGCTTCCGTCCCAGCCGTTATCTGATTCAAATGTTCCATCTGAACTCTAGGGTCAAAGCGTCTAAGGCAACCTCCCTCCCGGAGCATCGGTAAGTTTAGGACTAGTGTTGCCCCGTTGACAGGGGTCTAAATCGTTGGGGTTGCATCTCTTTTAAGCGAAGGTCCAGAGGGTGATGAAAAAAGTTCATTGCATCCGGGACATGACTTGGCGCCTTCTTCTTGGAGCAGGAGACCGATTTCTTCGAATGGGGCAACACTTTCGTATCGTGTTGGAGCAAGGATCCTCGAAGGGGTACCTCTGCTGAGATGGGCTGACACTGTGGTCAGTACATGTATCCACACGACGGTAAAATATGTCGTCGATACGGACGGATCCCTTTTCAGCCAAGCCTTTCTCTAAAGACAGCAGCCACGAGGGAATTTGAGGTGCCCCAGTCCCTTGTTGGTGGGGTCCTACTATGTACGTTTTTTTTTAAGTAAGGCGTTGAAATTCCTCAAGGCGGCAACCTTGGCTAATACTAACAATCCGCCCGCATCTGTCCATGCCTCCATTCTTCAGTAGGCTATGATCAAGGCCCAGTGGGGTGGAAGCACGCTAGTTGTTGAGCTCATAATTATTAAGTTATAGAATTGGTCTTGCAGACTCTCATAGTATGTACGGCCTCCGCGGAGGCCCCTGTCCCTTTACTTTGTATGGTGGTTCCTTCGTAGAACTAGTTATTTTAGCGCCTGATACGAAAAAGAAATTGAACCCATGGTGATCTTGGTCCGTCGGAGCAATCCCCAAATCATACAGGTACTTGAAGATTGCCAAGATGTTAATGCCTTGGCACGAATTGCCTACATTATCTGGTGGCCAGAAATATTGGCCTAGGCTTTGTCAAGATGGTGTGACTCAACTTGTCAAATTTGCCACAAGCCTGGGTGTGGAAAATATTCGAGAGCATCTCTTTCTTGGAGAGGTGGAAAGAAACATAGAGTATCTCATACCCAAAAATTTCGAAGGAGATTTCGGATCCAGGCCATGTAGTAGTGATGCCCCGATACCTGAGTTTAATGTAAAAAATAACTTAAATTCATGTCTAAATGTGAAGAGAGATAATTTGACTTCATTTGCAGTTGAATTGAAGCCATAATGTTTGACTGGATTAGTTGTTCAGAACCTGTTTGCGTTTACTGCGCCGGAATAATTCTGCCGACTTTCTGATAACGTCACTGGCCAACAACGACTTTATATGCCGTTCTTTCCATTGTCGGTTGAGGAGTGATAAAACCAACTATCTCTAAGCAAGTTCTGCTGTATTTCAGGAAATCAAACTAAAATGAGGTTCCTGTTCCTGCTCCGATCTGCCTACCTTGAGTCCTATCTACATAGTTATCATCCAACAAGTCTAGTACGCCTTGCGCCATAGTACCATATCTTGTTACGACAATGGTAGTTCAGACTATTAAAAGCAGCTATATTTACTGAGAATATGCTATTTAAAGACTTGACGGCCAGTCACAGTGGCCTGATTGTCGGCGTTCGAGACGAAGCGAGCTTCATTCAAGGTCGCCCTCACCTTTGGAAAATATTATAGTTAGCCTTTCATTTATACAGCATGAGATTTATTTGACTACAAAAAACCTTCCTCGGCGATTCAACCTGATACTTGAGTTCATCATCTCCACTTAGTACAAGGTGAAATTAAGTGCATACTGAAATTACACTTGGTTCCACAGACCACTCTGTTTCTTGAACTTATTTTGTGAGGTTTGTATAATTCTTCGCGAGAGATTAGCCAAGGCCTTCCAGGGCTGTTCATTTTGAAAATGGATCCCTGAGTAGTGATCGGGGTTTTAAACGGTTGAGGATGTTTCTGTTGGTTACTGGCCTTCGAAAGATTGGGAAGGGCCAGTCCCTTGTTGGGTGTATCAGAGCATTTGTCATATGTACTTCTAGGTGTTTATTAGGTGGGACCGCCTTGCGAGATATGAATGTTTGACAAGGATGTTTTCCATCTTCTAAATGGATGGGAATGTTTGACTCTTAGTTAATTAGGAGTTTGTAGTATCTTTCTTCGTTGAGGAGGTAGACTAAAGATGCTCTTTCTATTTAAACCATAGAAGACTATGCGTACGTCGTTTTTCCGTCCGTCTATGGGAATCAATTCTTTGATTATGTGGACATATGATCGATCTTGGGTTGAAGCGATACCATAATTTGCTGTTCCCAGACCAGATTAGGGCATCATTTCCAATTGCTGGTATTTCTCGCTGTATTACTAGATTCTCTAGTTGTGTGTATTCTCGTCTCAGAGATACTATATTAAATTTTCACTCAAATGGGAAAGTGGGCCTACTATAATCTCATCTCAGACAAGTGTCCGCCTTATGTGTTTTGGGATGAGTTTAGGTTGAAGCGACGATGAATTCACAGATGATAGGAATGGCATATTCCAGGAGTGAGTTGACGATGTCTCGGTATCAATTGAACATATAGATTTTCCTCCTTTGTAGATATAGAGCTAAAGATGTTCTTCAGAGAAAAGCAGAGGAAAGGGGGAAAGCTCTTCAACCTCCCTTCAGGACTACAGCTGAGCCTAGACCCACCCGACAAAGATGCCCGACGAGACGGACCACTCCCTGAAGCTGATTTCAATTGTAATCACTATAGATATGTCACTCGGTTGCACAGTATGGATTTCTGCCATTGAAAAACCCCTGCTTTTCAGAACGCGTGGATTTGGGAACTAACTTGGGAGAGTATTTAATACAATTAGTAAGATATCGAAGCTACTCGTAGAATAAGAATACTAAGCATCGTTTCCACTGTTAGTATTGATCTCGTTAAGAAATCCATCTCTTTCCTGACAATAAAGAGCCTTCTCGTTCCGAACTACCTTGAAATCGAGAGGTAGACGCCCTGATAAACCAGATTCTGTATTGGCTAGTCTCTATCAGTGCGTGTCCCAAATCAACGATTTAGAGTTGTTTGCTTACAAAACAGGATGGACGCGAACTCAACTAGTACAGATATCCACGGGGTAAGAGCAAGTCCCTGGCCCAAGCTCCAAGATACTCCAGGTTCCCACGAAGCACCAATGAAGAAGATAAGTAGTACGACCAAAGCACCCCACATACAAATGAAGTTTGCGCCAGCGTACATCACCATGGCTCCCTTGGAAACCTTCCTAAGCCATTTAGCCTGCCACATCTTGCGGCTTTTTCCTCGGTAGAAGCAGAGCACGACAGCGAGACACAGACCAAAAAGTGGGGGAATCCAAATCATGGCGGCCATAATAAACATGATACCTGAGACTGCCCCTTGAGGTGGTCGGTTCTGAGGGCATGTGCTTAGTATATCTTGGTTGTGGTCGTAGTCTACTTGGGCATTGTTCGTACAGAGAACCCATGCAGCAGTGTGAATGATGAAGAGTCCAACTAAAATAGCACCCTTAAGCCAGTTTCGACGAGAGAAGTCGAGAATGAGTGGAACCATTGCTGCTAAGGGGAAGAAAGTGAAAGCCGATATGATGAGCTGTAGGGAAGAGTCGAAGCGGTAGTCGGTAGAGGTCACTTGGCGATAGATAACAGTAGCTTGTATGCCAAGGGAAAGGAAAGCTGCTGCATCGAACATATCGTATCTGGTGCATTTGAGACCCTTGCTGATACGGTTCAAGGTACCATGCTTGTTCTGGGAGGTATCTGTCTGAGGCTTTTCGGATAAGTTGGTGTCTCTTCTGCCTCGTCGCATAGCTGTTAACACAGCGAATGCACAGTAAACGGTCAACAAGATGGCCTCGAGGCCATAAGAAACCAGTAGCTAGTATAATTGAGCATGGGTAACTGATAATATGGCAAAGAAGCGGCTTACCCCCACGCCCGCAAGGCTACCATCAATCTCAGATCCAATGGCCTGGCATACATTTAAGCGACACGATGTGATGTCGGCTATTTGACCAGCCAAAATAGTCCGGTTTGAGCGAGCCCACTCATGCCAATCAATGATTTGGTTATTGGTTGTTTGTGTGGAGTTGAATGCCGGCACAAAAGTCCGCCAAAACGTTGCCACGATGGGAAGCGGTGGTTCATTGCTGTTAGTCACTATCCACCCTGCATAGGCGCCAAACACCGAGCAATTTCTTGCAAAGTCAAGTTCGTTCCAGAAGGGGCCTCCCCATGGGACACCAGACATTATCGTGGCGATTTGTTAGGGGCAAAGAGGCCGCTTGCCCTTTGCTGATGATTGCCGTGTTGGCGGTGGAAGTTCTCCTTGACAAGGATTTCTCGCACCTAAATGACCGATGATGCTGAAGCTAGGAAATGATGGCGCCGCCTGTAGACGATGTAGACGAACTCATTGGCTTTTAACGTACCTATGTGTTTGGAACCAAGCCCCTGAAAAGGATCTATCATTTACCATGCCGCACTAGGGTCAGACTCCTTCGGGAGTGAAGTGGGAAACTTCCCGAACCAAACGAACAACAAATTTAAAACATCCAGCAGTGGCTTTTATGCCGTCATATTATTGGCCAAAATTGCGTGCACTTGTGTTCATGCATGTTCAAACATTCACCCAATGAAGGACATTCTGCTAAACCTCATTAGATAATCAGCCGGAAAACTAAGACATGGGGGGAGTATAATCTCGGCAATCAGTCGTTGTTAGTTCAGTACAGCACACGTTATAAGAGCGAGCCGTGGGTTTTACCTCCCGTTCGCACTTCATGGAAGCCTTCGAATGCGATGAAGCCGTCAGGCAAAAGACCTAGGCAGCACGGTTTGAACGGACTGTAGCCAAAAAGCCCATCTCCCAGGGTTCCAACTTGCATCCACGAGTTCTCAGTTACAACACCTGTTTCAAAAGGATTATGCTAGATCAAATGATACGACAAGCAATTCTAGCCCTCTCATAAAAAGACGAGGCACAGAGTGTGTCACACCCGGGTTTCCTTCCTGGATATCTGACATGCTAGAAGCACAAAGATTCAGACCGCCGGCTGCAATTGGGTATTGACATTCAGACCTTGACATCTCTTTCAGGTAGATCCATATTATTGAACGTATCTAAGCTCGCACGCCCTCCTCAATGTTACTCATGTTGATAGAATCGAGCCTGCTCCAGAAAATAGAACATCCGAACTTTTCGATCTCTAGGCAAAGGACAGTTAAAAGTCTTGACAGCTTGTAAAATATACTCGGAACATGCAATCTGTTGCAACAATCAGGAGCCCTAATAAAACTGGCTTTGTGTTTCCGCCCAAATTGCCGGCTGGCAGCCACACAAATCCCAAGTGGGTAATCGACCTCAACTACCTACATGACTGTCAACCGGTAGAGATACATCTCTTCCACCCACAAAACCTGCCCTTCTACGGCTTCTTCGTCAAAATGTATAATAATTTCATCACAATAGAGAATAATATGTTACAGGCTATGCCACTGTTGATGTGGCGTAAGCTATGTCTACGCATATTCCCTACCAAAGTGCAGTCAAACAGCAAGTAAGCGACTTGCTGTTACGTATTTCTTTTGCGCGTTTAGTTCAATAGAATCACACTTCTATTTTTACACGTGCTGAAAGCTGGTGTGCAGCTGACACTGAACCTCTGTAGGCGGTGTCTGGCCCTTCACAGAATCACTCTTCCTATGCCAGTGCGGGTATTCCTGGGATAAACACATAACTAAAGACAAAAACCCCACAAACGTACCCGGGTGGACTGGCATGGAGGGAACATTTAAGATAACCGCATTGAGAGAATCAGTCCTCTGAAAACACTAATTAAACAACAAGTCACAGCTGAAGATTGTGACGTGAAGAAAGTCTTGTAAGCGAAAAGACAAGCGAAGCACCTTTTTCTCTCTTTAGCACATGCAAAAGAACCAGGAGTTTTCCTCCGCCAAAAGAAGAAAAGGCTATATAAGAAACAGTCCTCCTGCGGTGCGGCGTGGCGACGATGTGTGACATCCTTGACTAAAAATGAGCAGGGTTCTATTTGGGCAAACAGGAAAAACTATTTGCGTCTTCGATGAGGCGCATGTGCTTCGAATTATAAATGGCAAGGCTCATTCAAGGAGAAACTAATACGGAGCACGATGCCATGCTGGTGTAGCTGTGTCGAGTCATACAACGAAACCCAAATTTTGGAGCATACTGTCAAAAGAGAAAGATGAAGACAACTGAGTCTCAACCATCATGCTCTCTACTTGTTTTAGCACCGGACGTCCGTCTGATTGGTTTGTTAGATTGACTGTAGAGTGTGCTTGTTGAAGGGGTTAAGTCTACAAGGGTTGACGTCTTCTCTCACCTGCATTCAACTTGTGTTTCTTCCTTCGCGAACCTACCGTTACTGTAGATGTATTACCACAGGGTGCGTCGATCTCGCCGATGGAGCTAACCTACGCCATGCTAAACTAGGTATTGTCCGTGAACTAGGTAAGGATCTCGATCGAAATTGTGCTGGTAGTGCACCTTGGGCTTGAGCAACATATCATGACATCTTTTAAATGGTTTAACCCAAACAGGGTGGCGCGACTTCTTGTAATATACTATGCTACTGAAGATTTTTGATTCCTTCGACCATTAGATTTTTAATGAAGTGTATTCGACACAAGTGCGCTATCTAAAGGTTTTTTCCACAAAAGTAAAGTGCAACATAGACGAAACACCTTGGCTTGGACTTTGCGGTTCTGATCTATCACTTGCAACCTGAGTCCACAGTGAGTCGGTTTTGGCATCCCGTTTCCGCAATTGTGTCAAGACTTCGTTCTAGCATGCTGTATGTAGATCCACTTCTAGTGTGCGAAGCGGAAATCGAGCCTCTGCTGACCTTCGTCTGTGGTATTGAGGGCATAGTCTTCCTGTTGCTGTTTTGACATGGCATTCCACCGCCTGTCACGTACCTTGTTGCGCCAGATGTAGAAGAGCTTGACAAAGTAGAACAAAACAATGTTGAAACAACAGATCCCGAGAAGTATCTTGTTTCCGCGGCGATACAAGGGCTGGTCATCATCTCGATAGATGTTGGACGCCGCAATATTGCCTGCCTGTACGAACATATTGTACAGCGCTGCGCTAACGGCCCTCGTTCGCACCGCGTTACTGTTCTTTGCGTTCCATCCGACCAGAATCGCATGACAGTATGGATAGCTTAACAAACCCGTCAGAAGGGCGTACCTGATCCAAGTGCTAGCAGTCGCTGGCAACGCCACAAGTGCCACTAGCCAAGGGAAAATCCAGATGTTGGATATTGATGAAACGATCGCTCGCTCCTTGAACTTTCCAGAGACCCAGGAAATTATCAAGAGATTAACGGCGAACAAGAACTGGGATGGAATAGCCAGAAGATTGGCTTGAAAGACGGAGAATCCCAACTTGCGTAAGATATACGACAGGTAGTTGCTCGGCGGGGATGGCGGGATGTACGTAGTTAGGCCAATGAGATACAGAGGCCACTGTTCCCAGTCCTTGACCGCCTTGAAAAGGAGGGACGGGCCAACAGCTTCCCGATTGTGCATGTCACCCTTGCTCGGATCGTCCCGAAGTAAGCGATTTACCATGATGAGTTCTTCATGGTCGGTAAACCAGCCTTTCTTGCCGCGGAACCAATTCTTTGTTTGACAAGGACCAGGGGGCATCAAACCCCACGAGAAGATGCCGATGATGAGGGTCACGATACCCTCCAAGAGAAAGCTTGGTCACCGTTAGTGGTGAAATACAATCCCTGTGTGGCGTTGACTTACAGCCATCTCCAGCCAGCCCACCCTGCGACTCCTCGCATTTGTAGAACCCCTGCAGCGATCAGGGATCCTACGATGTTAACAGTACTAAGTGCAGTCCAGAACCACGCCAGTCTCAATGGCAGCTCATTGGACTTATAGAAGTACGTAAGCCACAAAACGATATCCCTGGTTCAAAGTCAATAAGGTTGCACAACCGTCAAGAATACCGTATGGCTGAGCTCACGGGATAAAACCACCCATCAAAAGTCCTAGCAAGGCCTTGATAGCGTAGAATCCAGCTCGGCTTGACAAAAATGCCTGGCAGCCAGCAGTAATAGACCAGCCGACCATAATGAATGGGATCCACCTGTCGGCACCGAGCTTCTTGCTGATGAGTCCGCTCGGTAACTCCGCGGAGAGGAATGACAGGAGAAAAATCTACCCCAAGAGTGTGAGCCTATCAACAGAGCTTATTATCATGTCGAATATACTAACCGTCTGGCCATAATTGTAGTCGTTTGTGTTCATCCCGAGCTCAGGAAGCTTGATTGTTATAAATAATCAGTCGATGTTTGTTCCATGCAAGCATTCGTCGCTTCCAATTCTGCTCACCATGTTGTCGGAAATGGCTCGATTGATGTTTCGCCGGTGAAGGTCAAGAGCGCAGAACATTATCCACGCCCACACCATGATTCGCTTATCGATCTAAGCTCACACTATCATATTAGCTTCCGTTTGACGCCACATATTCCCGACTCAAACAGGGGGGACTCATCGTACTTTTCGAACCAGCTTTCGCTCATCCTCGGCCGACCATTGGTAGTTGGGATCGAACCGGTGTCTATTTTCGTACTGGGCTTTCTCGTACACCTTGCGCCAGTAGTCGGCAATGCTGGGGTCTGAGAATACATGCTCCTCTGTCGAACCGTATGCAGCCGCGGACACTTCTCTCAAGGACGAGGTTGACGTGTCTGTAGCCTGCGATTGAGCAACATTCGCTTCCTTTGACTCCTTGGTCTGGTCCTTGAAAGGACCGCCAATGTCGGTCGAAGTCATGAGTGAGCGATTGGCAACACCGTACTTGTAGATTGCCTCGGTGACGCAAATCTGTATAAGTGTACCTGAAGCCTCGACAGCTACATCGCCTGCTCTGGGTACCAGTCGCGCATGGCACCTCCGCGGAGATGTAAGAACCTTTATACACACCCTTCATGACCCAATGACCTGGGCGGTGGCATTTACGCGATACCCGTCCCACCCTCCCATTTTGGTGTTGGGCAGCAGGGGTGAGAACAGCACACTTTGAAGGTGTCGCGATGATTCAAAACGATCGCATCATAAGCATGTTAGAACTTTCGACGAATGAAATGATTTATGAATGGTGCAATTATGTGACAAAATGACACCGTGCATCAATGGTCAAGCAAGTTGTACCAGAATCGTGGGGAGGGTGGGATCTGGAGTGGTTCCGTAGATGAGATGAACGTATGCTAACTGGAGTACAGCGCTGACCAACAACACTTGCAACAGAAACAGGAGAACCAGAGGCTAAAGCCAAGCGCAAGATGCACCATCTTGCGGAAGAAAGCCCGCACAAGCCTCTGGGGTTTACTCATTTTCGGTGTGTATGCCGCCAATCCATCTTGCTGTGTGGTGAGTTGACGAGTAAATTTCCACTTAAAGACAATGTTTTAAAGACAGGGATAACCCTTAGAAGCTTATTGGACCTCTCCATACATATCGAGCTGCATTCAATTCGTCACTTCTTTTTACAACAAGGGTTGAGAGCAGCATTGCGTGATTCAGGCCATGACATTGCGACAGAGAGTTCTGCAACGAATCCAAAGGAATTGGCCAATCAGACAACAGCTACAGATACGGCCCGCATTGGAGCCCACGGACCTTATCAGAAACCTATCTACACCTCTGAAATGTGTCGGATGTCACTGTAATTGGAGATTTAGCGGGGGACCGGTACATGATCTTGGCATATGTGGTATGAGGCGGGAGAAACCCAGTCGAAAATAGCCTCAATGAGGTGAAATCATACTGACCCCCACGAGATAGCCGAGCAGCTGTCCTCAACTTGACATGTGTACCATTGCATGACTCGACAACCAACATGCAATCCATGACCATCATCTATGAACACTATCTGCAGCTCACCGTGGCTGAGTTCAATGAAGACCAGACTGTATTGGAAAGACTGCCTCCTTGACGATGGGTGAGTGACTTCTGGCATTGATACACATGGCACGTTTAAAGGTCTCTTAAGCCCGATTTTACTTAATCTCAAATTGTCATATATCATAAGTACAGCTCTTATATAGCTGGATCGCAGCCACTGGCTGTCAGCGTACAACCCTCTTTGGTTTGATCGCCATTTTAGTTGACCTCGCTAGTCTGCTATGCATCCATCACAGCTCCGTTCTATCAAATCTGCTGAGTGAGCCTAACCCTTGAACGGTGTCTCATATGGCCGTTCCGCTTGAGGGGTAATTCTAGCGAGATGTCTCCGGGAACCGTTGTTCCAGTCAATGAGCGCTGAGTGTTGAGTAACACGGTTGTCCCAAACAACGACAGTTCCTTCTTCCCACTTAACACGAGCATGGAAGTCAGCGCCCCAGGCGATGTGCTCGTAAAGGAACTTGAGGATGGCGTCTGACTCTTCCTTCTTCAAGCCCACAATCTCACGGGTAACTGCCATTCTGTTAGTAAAAGACAGGAAGTCGGTTCATTCAACAGCACTTACATTGAGGGTTAATGTAGAGGGCCTTTTCTCCTGTTACGGGGTGAGTTCGGATGATGGGATGTGTGTTGGCAACCGGCTCACGGCGCTTGATGCTTCCCTTCTTTACGGAAGCAGCAACCTGCTCAATACCGGAGTGGACGGCCTGCAGGCCATGGAGTCTCTCCTGGAACAGAGGGCTTAGTCTGTTGTACGCCTCAACGGCGTTGCAGAACAAAGTGTCGCCACCCGTCTCGGGCTTGTCGAGAATGTAAAGGAAGGTGGTTCCGGGGGGTTGTGCTTCATAAGACACATCAGAGTGCCAGGCAATGGAACTGGTACGGGTGGCAAAGAACTTTTCCGCTGAGCGGTCGCCAGCTGCTCGATGAACCAGGTGAATCTCGGGGAAGCCCTCAGGGGATCCTGAAGTCGGGTGGATGTGGTGACGACCGAAATAACCTCCAAACTCGAGGGCCTTGTCGATGGACAAGTCGGCGAAGTCTTGAGCGCGGAAGGCGACGACCTTACGCTCGGCGACGAAGCGGGCCAGCTCGTCCTTTCCAGCATCACTCAGTTTGCTGAGCTGAATGCCTCTGACTTCAGAACCAATGGTGGGTGTCAGGTCAGTGACATCGGCCTGACCCTTGGGAAGAAGGTTAGGGTAACTTGGGTCCGCGTTCTTGCCGTGCTCGATGTGCTGGAAGGGTTCTAGTGGAGGATACTGTTGCTCAGGGTTCCACGTGGGGAGATAGTGAGGGTACTACAATTATAACAGTTAGTCATTTCCATCGGGCGGTTTAGAAGACCGTGAATGGATGATATGAGACTGACCTTTGCACCTTCGTGGCCCTCTCCTCCCTTCGCTTCGGCCTCCTTGTCGTAGACAGTGGGAGAAAGCTCCTTGTAGTCGCCCGAACCATCGGCGTACAGACGGAGATTGTTCACCGGCAAGTTGGCCGGATCAGCCACGGTGGCCGTTGTGGTCGCTGAGGGTGCCATCTTTTCGTATTCAAGGTTACTCTCTTTTACTATTCAGCTGGATTCAGCTAGATGAATACATACACATGCGTGCCGGCCGGCTGCTCTAGAGTTCAGCCCTTGGTCTTTATAAGTTGCCTCGAAATAGTCAACAGCGTCGGAGCATCTCCGATGAGGGGCACTTGGTCAGATGAATTGCATGCTGACAGGGATTCAATTGCGTTGTGTCCGTTTCCTCCATACAAATCAATGCCCAGCCGATGCGGTCCCGACGTTTGGGTGATGCTATTGAAGACGATTGGCCTCTTGCAGACACACGAGACAACAAGACGGAGGTTTTAGGGCCTGTAGAATAGAGGGGAAATGACGCCATCTATATCATAAGGGTGATTTTTGAATGGTGGGATGAAGCGGCCTCAATACCGGCGCTGATTAGAAATGGTGGCCGCGCGATGTTGCTATCTTGGGAGGCAAGCACGCAATCCACTGATGTAACTCCGTGGGTGTTTGGCGACCCCGCAAACCTGCACAGCATCGGCTTGCTTCCGGGAAGTTTTAAGCGCTTGATGGGATTGTCCGATCTTATCTTCATGTGCGCATAGTGTATAAGATCACTCAAACGGGAATTGACTTTTGTTGGACATATTGGTGGCAAACGTCGTTTCGGGCCTAATCAGAAAATAATTAGAAGCATCTCCGCACATGCTGTTAAAAGCCAAGAGATTCTCCCTTCATTGTATGCCTCATAGCATAGATGGGGTTCGTAACGGTCGGCAGTTGGGTCTGGACAAAATCGGGGTACGACGTGTGGATTGAGCCGCCGGAGCCCGGAGCTGGTAATTTTGTCGGACCATTTTCAAAGGAGGGCTCCGGCATCGGTCGGTCATGTAAAGATGAACCCGATGTTTGGTACTTGTTTCATTAGTCATTTTTGCCGTGTCTTCCTCCAACGAACCTGCTAGCTTTGATGCTTGATTATTGGCTATTGCAGGTTCCAAATCATAGATGAAGATGTCATTAAATAGATTTAACTGTACGATGTTGTGGCGGTAGAACTTCATTGGATCTTTTCAAAAAAAGAAAATACTTATTAATTGGCATTGAATTGGCCCAGCGTACTGTTCCAGCCTACCTACAGTCTACCTAGAGTCGTTTGAAAACTGGAATTCTACGTAGACCGTCGGGGAAACTGTCTACGCCGCCCGCAATCCTTCCGGACTGAATGAACATTACTGGCCCGCTGATGACAACCACACCACCACTAGAAGATTTCTGACCTAAAATTTACAGAGAGGCTAGAGAAATTGATCCGACGGGACATTCACGGGAACGGACTGCACTTTTGATACTAAAGCTCCGCGTCCGCTTCTCCTTCTTTGTTGCTGACACGTCAAATGGGATCCAGGGAAGCAGACAATGCACAAAAAGGCCTATTAAGCTACTGAGAACCATTTCACGATTTAGAGAAATTTACGGGTTCGTATTAACATAGAGAGTGAGAGAATCCTTTCCGTATTGCATTACGCCCTTATCTTGCGCCATACTGCGCCTACATTAGCTTACAGGGGAATGCTTCTTCTTGTTTTGTTACTCATCGCAAGCTCTGCTCACCAAAAACAACGAGACGATCCCTATCAAAAAGGCTATCAACTAGCCTTAAGCTAGTGAGTCACAAGAACACCACTTAAACCATCATGTCCTACTCCACAAACATTTCAGGGGGTATTCAACAACCCCGAGAATATGACATTGTTTTGCTCGGTGCTACTGGTTTCACAGGCAGGTTTAGCGCTGTTCATCTTTCCCAGGCCGCCAAGGGACGTAAATGGGCTATTTCTGGTCGATCAAGTAAGAAGTTAACCAAGCTCGCTGGAGACCTTGGGTGCGGTGTTCAAGGCGGCCCGGGTAAGGCACTTTATCAACCCGCTGTAACAGTTGCTTGTAACCTGCGCTTACACTTGATTAACCCTAGATACAATACCTGTTGATTTTACAGAAGAGTCGTTGGGTGCGTTGGCCCGACGAACCAAGTGCCTGATTGCGACGGTTGGGCCATTTCCAATTCTTGGTGTGCTTCCGTTCAAGGCCTGTGCCGAAAACGGAACCCACTACGTCGATGTGTAAGTTTGAAGTAGCAAGTTGATATTGCATTCAAGTTCTGATTGTGAGTAGAAACGGCGAGACTTCCTCGGTTCTTGACATGATCAGGGCTTACCATTCTGTTGCTAAATCAACTGGAGCAGTCGTAAGTAACATAACACAACTTTCGACTCTCACCCCATTTCTAGGTGTTGAGTTTGCATTCTCACTGATCCTACGGTCTTAGATGATACCCTCATGCGGAGTTGGTAGTCTACCAGCAGATATACTCACTTACCTCATGGTACAAAGCATTAGAGAAAAGTTCAACACACCGACTTCGGCCGTCCTCTTTTCGATTCATAAGTCAAGAGTCCAAGCAAGTGGCGGGACTTTAAACAGTCTGGTGACTTCTGCTTCATTGTCCGGCCTCAAGGATATGTTGGCATCTAGGAAGCCTTGGGAATTGTCTCCGGTACAGCCGACAACAGATCGAAGGACGCAGAGCAGAGAGGTCACTAAAGAAACCATCAATCGTCTTGGGCTTGGCACTCTAGGGTTTGGAATGTCGACAACACATGATGAAGCATTGGTACAAAGAACATGGGGCTTGTTCCAACAAGGAGAAAGTAGCGGCCTTGGAATTTTGTCGTATGGGCCAAATTTCAACTTCAAGAGTGTCCAGAGATATCAGTCTCGATTTCACGGTTGGGCATTCTTGGCCCTTGTTTGGGCCATGACGATCCTACCTGCCGTGTTTCCACCCCTGCGTTGGCTCGTACGATATTTTGTTCCGCCAGGCACGGGACCAACGGAAGAAGAACGAAGGAAAAACTTTCTGGAGTACCGAGGTGTGGCGATTGCAGATTTTGATGAACATTCCTTGAGTGGCCTTCCACCAACAACTTCGCAGATGGGAGTGCAGGCAACGATGAGATACGACGGTGACTCTTATGTGTTCTCAGGCGTCTTGGCGGCTGAAGTCGCCATGGCTCTACTGGATCTTACGACAGAGACTGCTGCGCACAAGTTAGGAGGTGGTGTTTTGACAGCAGCAGTGTTGGGTCAACCTCTGGTTGACCGGCTCATAAAAGTGGGCACAAAGTTGGATGTTAGTGAGCTGTGAGGATTACAAATGAGCTTTAAAGGGGCTCTGATATAAGGCTATGAGAACCTGGAAATTTTCTTGTCGAATGTATATCACGCCTGGCGGGAAACAGGATGTCAGCAGAAATGACAGCATTCATGAGCCCTGGCAGGTTTATTCTGAAACATATCAAGCGGCCATTACAGATGCATGTTCCTACATACCTTAGACATTTAGAGATTGTAGTACTGAACCACATTTACATCTTGGTACACCTAGCGTCTGTTGGCTTCATTAAGGCCAGAAGTTCAAGATCTAGACTTTCTCAGTGCCAGAACGTCTAAAAGTGAGATCTTATACCATTGAAGACAGAACCGAGGTGCGAAACTTGCTGTTCCTTCCGGGTTTACGTTATTCTTATCATGTCTAGTTGCACATTAGATCTACCGTGTTCATTGATTTAAAACTCTCTCCGTAGGGGGAGGTATACCTTAATTACTGAAAGGCACTTCATGGATTTTGTCACTCACGTAACTGAGGAATTAACTATATATATTCAAAATCATGATACACACTAGATATCATGCCGTAGGTTTCCGTCGTTGCGCATAACTAAAGCAACTTCACAGTTATTATCGCCTGTGGCGACTACTTCTACGTAGGTTTCGTCTTTTGAATAACTTTCTCCTATGGGGGAATAGGAAGAGAAGACTGTTGTTTTGACGCCTCGTGCAGCCCAAAGCTCATCATTACTTCTTTGAGACTTTGATGACAACACACCGCCTCGGAACGAAGCGGTGATCAACCAGTCGGGATCCGAAAAGTCAAAAGGGGAGAGGCCCTTCCATCCCCTCGTTCGCACAGTCTCCACGAGGACACCAAGAAGGACTAACGCGTTTAGTACTGCAACGGCCACAACATAAACCTTTTCTCCGATGACAAAGACACCAATCGTGACGTCTGCTTCTTTCGTCTCAGAGAAGTTGCCAACCATCAACTGTGCCGCGCCATAAGCGGCCAACATTGACTCTGTCATGGCCGTAATGGAGTTCTCGAGGCCACGCAGGGTTGCCTCTCTTTCCGTAAATGTGTCGTTTTCGTTCGAGGACATGTTCCAGGCGGTGATACTGGATAGAAAGGCGTTGCCCAAAATGGACTCGTAAAAGTTGGTTAGGTCATTGGAGATGAGCTCAAATTGTCTCACAACCGTCCGCGTCATGTTGCGCTGAGGATCGATGTCATCAATGTCGGCAAAAGGAACAACGGTAATGTTTCTACCCCTGATGCCAACCGACACGTTGAAGCGAGTGGGGTTATAATCGACAGTGCATTGCGTGGCGTTCAGTGCGAGGTAGCTCTTGCCAGCGGCAATAGAGATGTACCTGCGGGGGGATTTGTCGCTGTGTGCAACTCCAACTGCTACGATAGCATCAGGGCTGTGTCCGACATACTCTGAGAATTGAGAGCCCCCGACGCTATCTGGAACCCATCCAGTGACGGGGAAGATTCTTTGAGGGAATTGTTTTCGGATTTGAAAGTCCATGCTATTGTTATAAGAGCACTGAACTTGCGGTATGTAACCGTCCTCCTGGAAAGAGTATTTTATTGCCGAAGTCCTGTTACTGATAGCCGAATCCTGAATACCGACGGATGATCCAACGCCGTAAGAGCGGCCCTCGTAGATGTATTGTGTGTTATCGATCTTGGGATGCTTTCGTACCGAGCCATCAGGCGTTGTGGCGGATGCTCCAGACGCGATGAGACTTCCCAAGAGCTTAACCCCAACAGAGTAAGTAAAGAGACCTTGTCGCGTTGTCACAGACGGCCCCGCGCGCGAAATCTCCGAAGGATACTCTTTAATGAGTGATGTGTTCTTGAAAGAAGGAACTCGAATGGTCTCCTGTACGACGATGGTCCCGCTAACCGGCGTCATGGCACCGACCCATAGCGCCGAGGATATCAAACCCAGACAAGAGAAGGCCAGAGTCGGCAGGAGGAATCGAAGTCGGATATCCCACCGGATTCTTGGGATTCCAAGGCACATTAGACCTTTGAGTGTTTGCGTTGTTGACCCGCTGGTTTGAAAAAAAGCCAGCCTGGTGCCATGTTGGATGAGAATGGCAACCGCCGAAGTATGGATGAGGGCGAGGAGAGCCGCAATGAGCTGTATACATGATTGGATGGCAGCGCGCTTCGAAGTGATTGTCGCGAAGGAAGACTCGTACCAGGAGCCATTTACAGTCCATCGTTGTAAATGCGCAACGATGAGGACGGAGCTGAGTGCAGTAGGGAAGAGTAAACAGAGTAGCACAGCCCACTTCTCCCAAAACCCAACCCCTCTAGAATGTCCGACGTTGGCTACGGCCATAGTCTTTCGCTTTAGTGAGGATGGTCTTTTAGAGAGAGACTGCAGGGGCTTGGGGGCTTAGGAAAACATCCAGAACAGAGGAAGATCAACAGCTAGAAAACATGCGACAAAATAGTGCGCAGCAGTCAACATGACGAACACTGGAATACAGCGGCAAGACGGGACAATTAAATCTAAAGGTGACAAGAGACACTAGCCATGTAGCATCAGGGGGACCAGGCCATTGATACGGCCAGGCCTCAGCGCCGAATAAATTTAGGGTCGGGGAACCTGGAAGCGCGTCGCAGTCGCATGTTGGTTGTCAGAGCCAATTAAACAGAGCGATTTGACGCTCAGGGGCCCAACCCCTGGACTGGCCCCACGTCGAAGCCCGCATTCTTGTGTATGTTGATGCAGGTAATTTCTATGGCTGGTTTGGAGTGTGTACGAATGCTAGTTGTTGGACTCATTGCCGCTGGGTACAACGTTTGAGCGGACCAAATGCGAATCACGATCCGGGCCCAAATGCGGCCGGCCGGCCGGAGGGCCCACCTGGTCCACATTGCCGTTTCCGTGTAGATAACTAATAGAGGGTCAGAAATGGCCGTAGATATCGGGGTTTGGATATCTTTTGATAGTTTTACTTGGATGTATGGAAGATCTTCCCTTGAATGTTGGATGATGGAATCACGTGGCCGTAGAGCAGAGCAATGATACAGACTCTTGCAATAGTCAGATTTCCTGGTTGGAATGGCTCCGTGGCGCCCTGCCACCAGTCGGACACTGACAGCAAGACTTATGCCACTACCTTACTTGATTGAGAAGAGACCCTCTTCTTATGCCTGTACACCCCTTTGATTTCAACACAGATATCTGATGACTTTCAATTGACTAATAATAGTGACTTTCTCACAGCCTAAGGGACAATTAGTGTCAGTTACTCAGACGTCGCCTATCGGTTTTCAGAGTATAGATTTTAATATTTTTATTCTCTTCAGAGATACATACATATGTGAGCCTTCAAGTGCGAACTTATTTTAATTTTGTTTTATAACACCTTTATTGGCGGTAAGAAATGCACAATTGACTCAGTAACCTGTCCCTACATCGATCGTGCTAGTACGATGGCCTTCTCCAGACAATTGTCCATTTGTTGTCATTTAGGTGGGTAATTACTATCCTGGCCCAGTTTTACATTTTGCCTTTCACTCAAATTCACAGGCCGCCATGTTTGTTCCCTTGCACGAGGAAAGAAAAGTGAGCAAGCACGTGACGTCATAACTGTACTGGGATGAAGCACCCCAGGCTACGTCATACAGCATTCTCTGGTCGTTCCTGACAATCAGATGCAGCTTCCATTCCAGCCTCAACTACTGCCTCAAAGTATCCGCCTGCTTTTGTTGGGATAAGCCCGGTTGAGAAACAACGTCAAACTCCAACGGCTTGGTCCTTGTCCTTCACATCACCACTTCTAATCCAACACATAGCCGCTCTACACTAGAAAGACCAATTTATTAGAAAGAAAAAGCAGCATGGCAGAAACAGTAGCCGGTGCAATTGTTGCAGAGCAGGTTGTCTCGACTGGCCTCGAGGCAGGAGCTGCCGTTGCCGTGGCACGCCCAACGCAGCCTCTCAAGGTCTCCCTCTCCCAGATCGCCACTACACCCGAGGACGATTCTTCGTAAGTCTTGAGAGTTATCGGTTTTACCCTTAATCCTGACATTTTCTAGGCTTGCCCTAGCACGCTCTCACCACTCAGTCACCGTCATCAACCACAAAGCATGTATCTTTGGTGGAGAGACGGCAGATGGCCAGCTGTGCACCACTGACTTCCACGTACTTTCTCTTCCCGCCGTGACCAACGGTGAGCCACGAGCCGCATACGCCTGCTATCCCGCATTTGCTATGCAGGATGCAGAGACAGACAAGACCTACGTTCCAGCCCCGCGTACAAGGCATGCAGCCTGTGCCCGCGGCCAGTTCGTCATTATCAACGGTGGCTCTGACGCCAGTGGCAACCCCATCGACGAGACGTGTCTGTGGCTATGGGACTCTGAAAGTCTGAAGTGGACAAAGATTGAGGGTTCAAGCCAAATTGGCAAGACTCTCACTCCGAGATTCGACCATCACATTTTTGTCGATCACGCTCAAGACATCCTCGTCCTTCACGGTGGACGTACGTCAAAGGACCAGAAGGCCAGCACCGAAACCTGGCTTTACAACTTTGACACTCTTGCATGGACAGAATTGCCACCTGCTCCAGGCGCACCGACCGCTGCCGCATTTGTGGATAACGTTCTCTACTCTGTCGGAACCGAATCAGATATGAGTGGTGCAATTCATTATATGGACCTCAAATCCAACGCCACCGGCCGTGAGAAGCCGAACGCGCTTGAATGGAAGACTATCAACTTCCCCGCGAACCCTCTAGTGCCTGGACCACGCCCACGTGAAGGAGGAGCCCTCGTCCCTGTTGACACCGGAGTTGGCCGACACTATCTCATTTACATGTTTGGCAAGGACAGCACTGGGGGAGAGAAGGACTTCCACGCCGATATTTGGGCATTGCAGCTTCCAAGCCATGGATTCACTGCTGCAGCAGTGAAGGATGCAATTCGGAATAAGCTGCCTCGCGCTGAGTCGGGGGAGTTCAGCTGGGCTGAGGTGGAACTTGTGCCTGCCGAGGAAGTCAAGACAGAAGGCAAGGCTCATCCTGGTCCTCGAGGTTTCTTTGGCGCAGGCGCTGCGAGCGCGAAAAGCCTCATTTTCTGGGGCGGCGTCAGTGCTAAAGGCAAAGAGGGCGATGGATGGCTTCTTCAAGTCCAGTGAGAGGCGTAGCGTAGCGTCTGCAGGATTGAGAGATGAAAAAGGACAATTAGCCTTGAGTCTAACGTTAGAAAAGGAACCACAATACATTCCATCACTTCACAAGATGTTACTCAAGTTCGAAATGGCCATGACCGAAGTACGCCGTGAACATCTGATAACAATAAGTCTCTTACTGACCCGAGCTTGTAAGTAAGGGTTACATTCCTCCCCAAATCAAGAGCCAGTAGAATTTAGGCAATCCGATGCTGCCTGCAGGCCAGATCATGCAGTAAGCTGACGGCTTGAAGGAGAATGGAAGCGGGCAGGCAAGCACCACACCGGCAGCCTTACTTTACCCACCTTCGCCGGCCGTACGAGCCCCAACCGACAACGGACTTTTACGATTCGCACGATCGGGGAAATGGACCGCTGAAGAATCTGGAATCTATTCCGCAATTGAACTAGCAGCAGTGGCGCAGGCATCCGCAATTCTTGCAGCGCGCATCCCACATAACCGTGGATTCGTGACAAACCAGGGGTCGACGACCCCATCCAGACGCCACGCATCACGTCAAAGGCTTTCGGCAGAATCCACCCCTCGTTTTGCATCTCAGAGTCGCTTACCTCCGAGTATAAAAGAAAAGCTGTCTGCAGCCGTTATAGAAACATGGCAGTTTGAGTCTTCTTCTCTGGGTCATCACCTCCCAAAAAGACATCTACATCTTGCACGCCCCCGCCCCCCCTTAAAAATGTCTTCCGACGCAACACCATCTTACGAACCCCTCCCCGCCCCTAGGCGGATCATCACAACCCACAATGCTTCCGGCCAGGCAGTGATCGACACCAGCATCCCCCAAGAACTGGAAAAGACGGCCGCTCCAGGCGCGGACCTGTACCTCGCCTACACGGCCCCCTCACTCCCCGCGCAGCTCGCCGACGACGGCGAGCTGGTGTTCTACAAGTCCAAGCTGCCCCACAACGTCGGCATCGCGGTCCCCGGCGGGCTCGTCACCCGTTTCGTCGACTTCCTGCCGGGAGGCCCCGAGGCGCCGCTCCACCGCACCGAGAGCATCGACACGGGCGTCCTGATCGAGGGCGAGCTGGAGCTGTTTCTCGACAGCGGGGAGACGCAGGTGCTAAGGCGCGGAGATGCCATTGTGCAGCGCGGCACGCTTCACGGGTGGAGGAACAAGAGCGAGACGACGGTCGCGAGGTTGTTTGTCGTCATTGTGTCGGCGGATTTGCCTACCGTCGAGGGGAAGAAGCTTGGGGAGTACGTGCCTATGCCGGGTCTGGAGGCTCAATGAGTTACGCTCATGATTCTTGTTTCGTTGGGATTACCTGTGAACCGGAAAAGTGGTTTCACCATTGGGACTGTATTTCTGGTGAAATGGAGCTAATGCTAAAGAAAAAAAAAAAAAAAAGAGCTTACACAAGATGAACGCCTTTTAGCCTGCCATTCGTCTATGAGCGTCGTCCAGCATCTCACGTCTAGTCTCCTAATCAAGCGCAACATTCTGGAATTCCGCAGGTCTAGACATGTCTGAAATCTTCTTCTCGAGTTCCTCCACATGCGCGTCGATTTTGGCAAACTGCCACGGCCAGTTGACGACGTACAAGAACGGTCGGAGGTCGTGCCGGTTGTCGTCGGGGTTGTAGGCCGAAAGATGCGGAGAGGGAGTCAAGATGACGGCCTTGTGGCGGTTGATTGAGTAGAAGCGGAAGAATCGTTTAACTCGCTCGGCAATCTCACTCGGACCGTAGCCCGGTCTCTCCTTCCAGTCGCCAAGTAGCCGAAGGTACGTTGACCAGGGTCCCAGCTTGTGGACCTTTCTCAGGATGCCGAACTCGGAAAGCTCGCTGGAGAGAAGTAAGTCACTGACCTCAGTAGAAGTTGGGGAGCATACCTGTACGTCAAACCCATCTCAGTATCTGCCTCATCGTCCTGGACTCCCGCTGAGAGGGGAAGTAGTTCGGCGGAGGGAGTTGCCTCGATGAACTCATCCATGATGGGCAGGTCCCAGTTGTCTCTCGCCCAGGCCTGAAACTCCTTTGCGTCTGTTTTGGAGATGCTTCCCAGGGGGGCAATATCTGCAGATGAAGCATCACTAGAACAGTCAGTAAGTCCCTTGCTGGGCTTGGACACAAGATCAAAGTTCTTACTATTTGGTGTAATAACCACGAAGGTTCTCATCAACGTTGCCGCTTCCCAAAACCAAAAGGGCCGCTCCTGCTCGAGAAAGTCCTCGTGCCGTCGTCGAAAGCTGGGCAAGTTCGTATTGAACGACCAGGCGATTCCTCGCCTGGATGTTTTGACGAGCAAGCTCGAGTACATGTTAGCCAACGTCTGTTGAGGCTTGTCAGGAAGCCATCAAACACTCACATTCTCGGCCGGGCTACCGCCCTCAATCTGGTACCTGGGCTTGAAGTTAAGAGTCTTCTCAATGATCGCCTCGTGAGCCAAAACAGCCTCATCGATTGAGATATCTGAATGGTATGCGCCCAACTTCTCTGCTAGGCGGAGGGCTCTCGACCTCGTGTCATCGCCAGAGTTGATGGTGCCCATGTAGCAAGTGTGCAAAAGACGAGACGTAATCTCCTGCGCCGACTCGGGCATAAAAGTCTTCTCCCCTGTAACACGTCGCAGATCCTCCAATGTAGACATTTCCCCGGATTCAATAGAGACCAGAATAAGATTTGACATGCTGTGAACAAAAAGTGCAACGGTCGAAGAGTCCAAGCCTCCACTCAAGGCGAGAAAGTAGCCTGGTGAGTTAGTACGGCAGAGGTATTGCCATAAGAATACTGCCTGTGCCATGGCAATCTCCTCCATGGGGTCAAGGATCTTAAGTTGGATCTCAGTGGCGATGCGGAGGCGATCAGATAGGTATACCTCGTCAGCAGGCCGTGTGAGCCGTAAATCACAGTCAACTCTGGGAAACTCGGGTTGGGCGGCAGCTTGAACATTTCGTGAGATGCTTGAGCGAAAGCTTCTGACCTCCTCGACGGAAATGGTTGCGGTAATGACTTCGACCGGCTTCAAGGAGAACTGAGAAGACTGGGCTAGAACTTTTCCGTTGGCAAGAACCATGCTGGAGCCATCAAACTGGATTGACGACTGTTAGCGTTTACTTGAGCCCTAATAAATAGGGTCGATAAGAGCAGAGGGACATGAACGCACCAACATGCGCGCCTCACCGTCGACTCCAGTTGCGTTGGCGTAGACGTAGATTCCACCCAGCTTGCGTGTCGAGTTTGCGATGAGATCGAGACGGGTCTTCAGCTTCCGTAGTTCGGCGTGGCTGGCACTACTGTTGAGGATGATCTCGGCTCCATTGAGACCCAGGTACGTGGAAGGGTTTAGGGGCGAAAACATCTCTTCGCAGGTCTCACAGCTCACGGCGGTGTCCAGAGTGCTGAGGATGAGATCACCAATGAGAACCGTCTTTTGGCCGGTGGCCTGGACAGCAACATCCTCCAGGTAGTAGGTCTCGGCCTCCCGATGCTTCGTCCATGCTGAAAAATGCCGTGCTTCTCGGTAAAGACCGTCGTTCGCCAGGCTTTGCTATTGACTGTTAGCAAGTTCACTAGAAAGCCCAGCTGGCATCGTGCCTTTGGTCTGATAAAGAAGATGTGCTTGTAACTGCATAGAACGCGACAATTGTAGCGCACGTTGCGGTGGCGACATCCCAGCCCCAAGTCAATCAGCATGTCCTTGCAAACTGGATCACTGATGATCTCAGCGAGGACTTCCCAGCTATGGAGAAAAGTGTCTCCTGCAACATGTCAGCTTCACAACTGAAACGGTCAACTACAGGACAAGGTTCCTCAAAGAACCTCTCCTATGAGGCATACCTTCCAGGTGATGATCAAGGCAGCCATAGCCGGGAATCTCGAGCTCTGGGCCAGTTCTGAGGGTGGCGCCTTGGGCCTTGGCGATTCGGATGGACTCGAGGATCCTGTCGCGGTTCCCTTTAAAGTCCAAAGGGACACTCGGCAGGGTTGCCGCTGCCACGGTCACAAAGGACATGATGGGCAAATTGTTCACCTAGGGTCTTGTGGTAACGTTTCTGGTGGTATTCCAGGGCAGAAGTGAGCTGGCACTGCAGACAATGAGAGGTGGGCGCGATAAGATAAGGCAAATACGAATGTCTCATTGTCGCTTTTAGCCGATCATACCCATCAACGGCAGGAGTAAAGCAACGTTCCTGCCTCATACATCGTAAGTAGTTTAGCTTGGGGGATGTGCAGGGGAACGTTTGGGGGCTTTTGAGGGTATTATAGGCTTTCAATCCTGCTAATATTCTCAGAATGAATGTGTACTTTTGTCGCCTATCTCAACAAGAATGCCTCGGCCAGCGAACAAGGAAATCCTATGAGATTCAGCAATGCATACACCAGCTCAACGCTTTATATTATATATGCCTGTTCTCGATATCTGAAACCTGGCAGTCCCTCCCTACCCTTGCTGGCTCAAATGCTGCCTTGAATGCGGCCTCTAGTCGGTCACACTTGGACTCTACCTTGCTGAGGTCTCTGGTTTTATGGGTTCTTTAGTTGCCTATCATATACGAGTATGTGATAAAGTTACCGCCTCAATCAGAAGGAGAAGGTATTGCAAGAAAATATGGGAAAGGAGGCTGAGTTGGTGTCCAGGAACTCCGTGCTAGTGCGTGAAGCTGTCCTGATGACGTCCAACAAAACTTCTACGCCCGTAACCAAGATCATCCTTGTCCCATTTCTTGATAACTAAGCCTATCATAGCGCGGAGATGGGCGTTAACGCTGCTGTGTGATGAAGCTACGCCACTACGGCCGACAACTATTCTTAAGCGTTAGGCGCTCAGATGTAGGTTCGAAGGGCATCGGAATTACACAAGTTAGTGGTTGCGAACCTAATTCTTCCAACATGGCGATGGTTGTGATAAACCTGGGTCTTGTTAAAGTCTGTCTAATAGCCCATCTTAACTTGCATATAATCGGACGGCATGGATGGCGCTTAATCTGTAGATAACCTAGTCACTGGTAAGATCTGGCGAGCACTTGTGCCGTATCCATAAAGTTACCACTTGAAATAGCTAATGTGTAATGTATATAGAGCAACTACAGAAAATCATTGAATTATCCCTATCGCCTGTATATATCCGTCGACTCTTCTAACTATAATGCCAGCGGAGCAAGCGGTGATTTGTGCCTATGATCAGCTCTTGTATCTGGGACTAGGGTAAAATAGAGAACAGTTGTCAGAGGGCACCTTAATGTGACTTTGAAATGAACTTCTCATTTCGCAGAGCTTAGAAGAACACTGGATATCCGAAAAGTGATCCCGCAACCCATGTACAACTGCCCAGGTATTGCGCTCAGCTGGGACTATTCGTTACTGATGTCTGCAAGACCACCCAGTCCATTACTTTTAACAGGCAGTCAAGCTTGATAAACATCTTCCGTGACTCAATCTCTACAAGCATCAAGGTTCTAAAAGAAACTCTTCTGTGGCATCCAGTTGGGGATATGGTTCCGCTAGGGTAAGGACATCGTGCTAGATAGGTGCCCCGCATTTGACAGTTCTCGCCACCACGAATCGAGGTCCCAAGATTTCGAATTGTCCAGTGGGATTGTCTCTACGGGATTTTAAACCTGAAGATTCGAGTTGTATTGACTAAAGTTCCCTTGGTGGATTATCCGTCACAATAGCTGGGATTATTTCATGCCTCTTGCTTATCGTAGCGACTTGTAATATTTCGCTTCACTCTCGTCTTTTACTTGGAAGAGTGCCTTCATCTCAGGTGCATCAAAATAGATTGCTCCACAGATAGTACACAATCGCGACACCCCTTAGCCGAAGAACACTTTCAGCAACAACAGATCACTTTGTATTTCTCCCGAGTTGTCACAAGCAACTTTCGGGGATATTCCAACCGACGCCTTGGCTGAGACTTCTTCGAATGAAACCATAGAAGAGGGAATAAAGCACGGGCCACGGGTGTAAAGTTCCTTGACGCATGCAGAGGTAGAAGAGCTCAAAGCTTCGATGAGCAGCAAACACCTCCATACCTGTTGGCCTGGGCGCCCAAAAAAAACCCCGCTCCAATGCAAACAAGGGAGAGAAATGATCGTCCCTTAGCTGCTGACCCCGCGCGAACCCTTTCGTTCCATGTTCCCAGTTCCCTAAGCGCTGACGCCTTTGCTCCCTCCCTCCCTCTCTCTCTCCCGCTCTCTCACTCTCCCATGCCCCGTGCACACTGTTGCTTCGGAGTTGCCCTGCCTCGTATCTAGACCATGTATCATTACATGTACCAAGATTTCTCCTCTCCTTGACATCTCAGAGACAGCATCCTCTCTTTCTCTTTGCTCGATCGCGGCGGGTGGGGGCTCGGCGGTCGGTTCTGCTATAGCGCAGTTTCTTCAAGTAGACCCGATTAGCTAAGTGCTTTTCGGATTATAAGAGGGTATGTCTCACGGAGCAATCCAGCTCTTTTCGCCGGTTCATTGCTAGCTAGCTTCTTTGGCGCGGATTTCGAATCAGAGAGGGGGCGGGAACGTGGGAATTCCAGCGCATGTTCGCTAGGCGATCTGAGGTGGGCTGCTGACGGGTGGAATGGGGGTGCAGGACGCCGGGGAACCGGGTAAATTGTGCCATAGTTTTCCTCTCGAGGATCGCTTCATCATGCATGGGGAACCGAACCAGTTTTGCCGGGACGTTGGAGGTCCAACTGAGCTATTAGCAGCAGAGGGAGATTCCGCCCATACTTACTACGATCCAAACCAGACTCTTTTAAATACCTATCCATCCGGAGGGGAGCGCAGTCGCGGGGGGAAAGGTGAAAGATGAATTTGGACTGGAATTCTGTTCACGTTGGAGATACAGGTACGCTGTGTCATGGGAATCGTCTTCAAATCTCGTAGCGGGCTTCTTCTTTCTCATGAGCCATGTCTGGACGGGGAGGGAATCACTGCTGGCTGGGTGGGCGCGTGAGCAGGCGGGTCGGGATCTCTAATCGGGAGCGAAAGCGGGTACGTTGGAATGCGAAATGCCGAACGGGACGTGCGGGAAACTGGGGCACTTTTGGTGCTGGCACTACGGCGGGAATGTGGGGACGTGGCGACATGGCATGGCATGTTTGCTTGGTTTTGGTCTGCTTTGGCGGTGCTGCAGTCGGGCAGTTTTGGGGAGCGGGGGATAGAGCTGGTGCTGGTGCTGGTGGTATGTGGAGGTGCCGAAGTCAGTATTCAGAGGTGAGGTGACATGCCATGATGGCTTCATCAGAAAGCGGTTCAGTCGTGGACTATGAAACGATGCGCGAGGACGATGGACGATATTGGCAACATCAACGAACGCGATGGGCGTGGACAGGACGACGAGAGTACAGTAGGGACCGGGAGCGAGTGGTGGACATGATGATGGTAGTAGAAAAGAGGGCTCCGCTGGGGGCGAGGACTGTTGCAGGGCAAAATGGGCAGGGCGGCTGGATCTGGGTCTGTAGGGATCCGCATGGCTTATATTGAGTCGGACCACGGCGAGGTGGTGTGAGCATCTCTCAGCTGTAGCCTGGAAAGAGGGGGGAGAAAGCTCACTCAGCCGATCTGGATGGACTGGACAAGAAACTTGATGACACCCACCCTTCTTTGGTGAACCTTGGTGGATCAGTCGCCAATCAGCCTTGAATCCGGGCCATACCTCGCAAATAGAGTCTTTCGTGTAGCACACATAATTAGTTGGTAGGGGGTAGGTATACATGACACTAGTGTAAACAGGAATCACTCACGTGGCGCGGCAGATCAGTCGGCGGTGCTGACTAGGCGAAAAGCAAAAGAAAACAAACAAATCACCTCATTACGGGTGGTACAGATGAGTGGTACTGCGTAGACTCACTGATGTGACTTGTCTCAGTGTCGGGAGCTCGGGAGAAAGACAGTGACAGATACATCAGGTGAGGTGAGAGCGTGGGATGGGCTGTTTTGTGGTTCCACTGGAACGGTGTGACCCGCCCCGCTGCGGAAACCGGTTCCTTTTTTACAGCGGCCTTGTGGGCAGATGGTAGCCCCTGGAAGCACACCCCACCTGAGCTGCTGCTGCTGCTGCTGCTGCTGCTGATGTTTGTCACTGCCCGCGTTCCCTGATGAATTAGGTGATTATGAATGAGATCTTGCATTGTCAATCTCCCAAGACAACACAAGCACTCACCACACACACACACACACACACACACACATACATACACGCACATCTCAAGATGATCTCAAGATGCCCTTCTCCCTCCCACACCACGACGGGAAGCCCAAAACCGTCAAGGTCAGCACTGCCAGTTCTCAGGGCAGCTCTGTCAGTGGACGAGCAAGGCGTCATAGGGCCATCGAGAGTGGGGTTCCTGTCCCCGTCAGAGCAAGTGCCCGGCCTATTTTTGCCCTTTCCCCAGATTTTTACCCCAGACTCGGAGACCGCACTAAAGCCGATTTGCGCCCTTGCCCAGCCTGTGGCAGCAGGAGCAGCAGGTGCAGTGGATGCTGCAGCAGGAGGACCTTCCTTGGCCATCGCCACTCCTCCCCCTTTTACGTAGTATTTGGGGAGTGGCTTACGTCTCTGGACTCTACATAATTCATCTAACAGAGATAGACGTCTGCTGAAGTAAGCACTCTGTATTGCATAACACAGCACACAGCACACAGCATACAGTACGTACCCAAGACGATGATCATTCTCTACCCACGCCATGCCTGTTTCGGACAATCAGCTAACCAGCAGAGCTACCTACCTTACTACCTACCCAAGAATTGACTGACTGACTGATCTCATACCGTACCACCGCAAGCACCCAGCACCCAGCACCCAGCGAAACACAAGAGTCCCCACCGTTGGAGATAAGCTAGCTAATGTGTTTCGAGATGACCTACGCGGCAGGTACGGATATAACCCTCTGAATCTGTACTGCTTAGCTGGGCCCACCCGCCCGGACCACCCGTCACCTGCCATACCATGCTCATGCTTGCATGCCATTCCTATCGTACCTACTCTTGCGTACCTATGTACCATGCCGCCCGTGCCTCGCATCGCTTCTCATGAGCTCCAAAGTCACGCGATCGTCTGCCGACGCCATTGATGGGCAGTTACCCCGCCCGGTCTGACGAAACCGTAATGCACCATCACTGCTAAAGCTGTTGCTGCTTGGGGGGCAGAGGACAGACGGAGCTGAGGTACCTTCCTCGTCATACACACCCCCCTCGTTACTTGGCCCTCCCATGTATCGTCATGTATCGACACCACTCGACTGCCACTTTCAACCCCCCTCCACCTCCCCATCCTCCCCATCTCCCCATGCAGGGAGCTGCTCTCTGCCTCACCACCCGACTCGTCGACCGACACTTTGTAAGTCCGACCCTTTTCTCTTCTCTGTCTGGTGCATTTACTGCCTCCAGTGAGCTTGGTCCATGTACCTATCAACCTTGCTCCCTTCTTCCCCTTCCCCTCCCCTCACGCCAGCATACTATAGGTATCCAGGGCAAGGCCAGGTCAGGCGCCCCGACCCCCCCTCCGATCGACATCTATCTACCTCCTCCCTCCCCCTCATCCTCCTTTCCTTCTTATTCTCCTCTCCATCCCACTCCTCATCCAACCATCCATCTACTCATCAACTCAACCAACAATCCAAGGTACTTACCCCCTTTTCCCCCTTCACCTTGTCCATTGAGACACGCAAGACGGAAGAAGTAGCAAGAGCTCCTAGCCTCCATTGGAGTTGGACCGTCATGAACAAGCTACTCCGAGGGAAACCATCCAGAAGCTTACGTGAAACCTGGTGACAGATAGCAACCAAACCACACGATCTTTTTTGATCAAGTAATACCACACACAACACATCACCATCATGTCGGAACCACTCAAAAAGGTAGACTCAGCCGTCCAGGGCCTCTCTGCCTCCCCGCCCAAGGAAGCGAAGCGCAGGCAAAGCTCCGCCGCCGCCCCCGGTGTGATGAACGTCAATGACCTTGGTATGTCATCGCTCTAAACCTAACCCCGCACTTGCTCGGGTACAACGGAACACCACTAACATCGAGTGTTCTTTCGCAGAGGAACAAGGCATTGAGCTTCAAATAGCTATTGAGACACAAAAGACGGGATGGTAAGTGCTTCCCCTGGTCTGACCTCTGCTGCCTCTTGCCTTGTTGGCCGCCGAAGTCTTTGTTATCGAGCCATGGCTGATCGTGCCCCTTCCTTACAGGAAGATCAACACTTCCCCCTCAACAATAGAGGAGAAGGAGATCCTCAAGAAGCACCTGACAGAACCACCAGTCAAGAGAATTGACCTGCACTTCCCTCTCGGCATGGAAGTAACAGCACGCAACCTCAAGGGAGTAACAATCAAGGATGCCCTGGATGCCATCCACAAGGCATACAAGAAGAGGGTAAGCAGCCACAACCCCGCAGTCACTACTCTGCTCGCTCCCGGAACCCGCTAACAACTACTCTTCAGTCCGATGACGAGCTTGACAAGCCCTACCTGATGGGCTTCGAGTGGGACAAGGAGGAGTCATGGACCCGCCTTGTCGTCCACCTGTCACCCAACTCGACACAGGCAATGTCTAGCGGCGGCAAGAAGAAGAAGAACAAGAAGGACGAGGAGTAATGAGCCAATGCCAATTTTCCCATATCTTGTCCAATACTTCCTGATTACAAACACTGGCTTGCTTCGCTCTGGCTCGTATGGCGACTTGGCGCAATGGGATATTGCGATAGATATTGTCGGAGGGGTTTATCGGTTCGACTCTCTTCTCTGGGGCTTGATGCTTCGAGTTGTATTAGCTAGGAAATCCCGGAACGTCGGCGGCGCTTCGGCGGGGGCTTTGGTGGTAACAGCTGTGGCTCCTGGCCTTGAATTGACCTGTTTGACGATCACTTAATTGAGTCCCTTGCGCACTTTGTCATGTTTGATGTGTGGTAAGCGTGGTGTCTTTATACCCAGTTTCTCAGCTAGCACCGTTCGTAATCGTCTTGTGTCGAAGTAGACATGTCGTCAAGAGTGGGCGGGTATGAGGAGGAGCTGTGTCTTGCGGCTTTGCTGCATTTATCGTGACCCACCACCCGCCGAGCTAGGGTCTGACGCATCTTAGCGGGCTTGCCTATCTATCTATGTCCAAATCCATGTGTACCATACAAGTACGTAGATGGCGATTTGCTCGCCAACCATCTGGAGATTCACGGAGCTCAATTAACGCAAGCTTCGAGCTTTAGCCCCGCGATTGCCTTAGCAAGAGTACTAAGATGTCAAACCAGGAACCCCTCTTCTTTCAAGCAATGGCGGGGTAATGTGATATCACATTATCATATTTGGGAGTGATTTGACGAAGGATCTGTTAGTGCAGTATCTTATTAGCCAATACCGTTTGAAGCCACAGACATCACTGGAAACACCAGAAAACGTCTTCAAGCTGGAAAGCAATGTCTCAATAGCCGGGATAGACCAGGACTTTACCGGAAACTACGAGTCTTACGTCCCTGGCCTGAACATGTTTCTCAGTCAGCACCGTCTCTCCAATTCGGATGTCAACGGATACTACCGATTTCCCCCCCCTCCCCCGCGGGGTGAGACGCACCAGCCATGTGCCGAGCGGGATTTCGGAATTGGAAGGCCTAAAGGATACACCAACCGGCGCCCGGCTAACGTCGGCAGCCGCCGCTTCTCGACGACTTTACACTTACCACCACCGCGGAATTCAGAATAGACTGTCGGCTTTGCAAGGTACCAAATTCCATCTCACCTGGAAACGTCATCACAGACTCCCGCTCTGAGGGGGATATAGCTCAACCATGGGCCCTTTGCTTTTTGTAGTAATTTGTTTCGTCCCTCCATCATTAGTCTGAACAGAAGCCTCGGGATTCTAGCTTACCCGTTACCATGCCTGTTACAACTTTCGACTTCAAGGAAAAATACCGTTACCAAGTCGGCTTCGACTCCCAGCTTGAGTTCGTCTACCCCTTATCCCCCTCCCCGCATGATTCGCTCTTTTCAATTGCGGGCTTGTCATCCCTCTCCCCACTGACACCATTTACCCCAGGTCCGAAGCCGTCCCCGGAGCACTCCCGATCGGCCAAAACTCCCCGCAAAAGTCGCCCCACGGCCTTTACGCCGAGAAGCTCTCCGGCACCTCCTTCACGGCACCGCGCCACGAGAGCAAGCAAGCCTGGCTATACCGCATACTCCCTTCCTGCGCACACCCGCCCTACGCTCCCACAAAGACCCCAGAGCCCAAGGCCGAGCCGTCGAAGCTCCAGTACATCCCCAACCAGTTGCGATGGGACCCATTCGACCATGACGAAGCGAAGCACTGGGACTTTGTCGAGGGCCTGCGGCTCGTCGCTGGAGCTGGAGATCCTACGCTGAAGCAGGGTATTGGCATGTACGTGTACGCCGCGGGCAGGAGCATGGATGAGAAGTCCGCATTTTACTCTGCCGATGGCGACCTCCTGATCGTCCCTCAGGAAGGCGTTTTGGATATCCGGACCGAGTTCGGCTGGCTCCTCGTCAGACCGCTCGAGATCGCCGTCATTCCGCGCGGCATCAAGTACCAAGTCCACCTGGCCTCCGGCCCGGTCAGGGGCTATGCGTTGGAGCTGTACCAAGGCCACTTCATCCTGCCGGAGCTGGGGCCGATCGGTACCAACGGCCTCGCCAACCCGCGCGACTTCCAGGTTCCCGTCGCATGCTTCAGCGAAGATTTTGGCGCCACTGCTCACGAGGGATCTAATACGTACTCTGTCACGGTGAAGTTCAACAACGACTTCTTCCAGACGAAACAGTCGCACACGCCATTCGACGTCGTCGCGTGGCACGGAAACTACTACCCGTTCAAGTACGACCTGGGCCGGTTCAACACCATCGGCACCATTTCCTACGACCACCCCGACCCCTCCATCTTCACCGTTCTCTCCGCCCCCAGCGGCGTCCCCGGCACAGCCATTGCTGACTTCGTCATCTTCCCGCCCCGTTGGCTCGTCGCCGAGGATACCTTCCGCCCACCTTACTACCACCGCAACACGATGTCCGAGTTCATGGGCTTGATCACTGGCGGGTATGACGCCAAGCGCGGCGGGTCTGGAGGCTTCGTGCCCGGCGGCGCAAGTTTGCACAACACCATGAGCGGTCACGGGCCCGACGCTGAGAGCGGAGAGGGCGCAAGGAACGCGGAGCTGAAGCCGGCCAAGGTCGGCGAGGGGAGCTGCGCCTTCATGTTCGAGAGCTGTGCTATGGTTGGCGTTACCGAGTGGGGTCTGAGGACGTGTCAGAAGGTTCAGGAGAAGTATAACGAGGAGAGCTGGGGAGGTGTGCCTGTGCACTGGAAGAGGCCGGAGGGGGCTGCCTCGGAGGGACACTTGCTGTAGATAATCGGGGATGGTACCATACATGTATTTTCCAAAATGGCACTTTGTAAATATGACGAGGGGCCTTAAGGTAGCCTCGTCTAGGACAACACAGCACAAAAGTTTCTTTTTCCAAAGCAGACAATGCACACGAAATGATGAAGTCAAGGAACAAGTAATTTTAAAGAGATATCTAATGGTTCATTATCTCTATTAACATAGTAGTTTGTGGTCATTACTGAGGTTCATATCTATCCCAACAGAACAAAAAAAAAAAAAAAAAAGAAAAACAAGCCACCGCCCCAAAAACAATTCTAACCATGTTCTAAAAAGATGTGAAAAACACTTGGGGAATTTGCCTTTGACCCAGAAAAAGCACAATCATAGCCTTGTTTTGAAAAAAAAACCGTTTCCCACGTTTTTTTTAAGGCTTGCTAACCTGCTCCTTTCTAAAGAACTTGAAGTAACCAATGCAAATGAAGAGGTTCAAAAACAAAACGACCCAGAACCATGCGTTGGCGAACGCGGTTCCCAGGCCCTCGCTGATATCGGGGAAGACGCTCGCGGGGCCGACCTTGTTGGGGGCGGTGGCGCGCGCGAGCATGGTGAAGACGGATCCGACGACCTGGGCGGCGGCACAGGCGGCGGCGACGTGGACACGGGTGAGGGTCAGCATGAGGATCATGCCGATTCCGGCGCCCTGGAGGCCGTCGAGGACGCCGAGCCACAGCCAGAGGATACGGCTCAGGACGGCGCCGGCGACGACGCCGCCGGCCCAGGGCATGTAGACGCCGATGCGGGAGGTACCCCACCAGATCTGGGCCCAGCGGGGGGCGCCGAGGCCGACGGCGAACATGGGGAACAGCCAGGGGTGGCTCTCGCTCGCCTTTGCGAGGCCCCAGAGGACGAGGGCCCAGACGAAGATGAAGAAGAAGAGGGCGAGGATGACCATGCTCCAGACGGGGACGTGCTGGGAGGAGAAGAGGAAGAACCAGTTGCGGCCGAAGAGCGGGGAGAGGAAGTAGTTCTGGATGGCGACGGCGAGGAGGTACCAGGCGATGGTCTTGCGCTTCATGAGCGACTTCCAGAGCTGGGGCACGGGGCCGGGGGACTCGCGGTAGAAGTCGGGGAGGCCGAGGAAGAGGACGGCGCCGACGGCCCAGAGGAGGAGCGCGACGGGCAGGCAGATGGCCAGCAGCGCCGGCGAGCCGGCGAGCGTCGGCTTGGGCTGCGAGTTGGCCTCGGCCTCGGACACGAGGCTGCCCCAGGCCCAGAGGCCGAGCGTGTAGAGCTGCGTGAGGCCCTGGATGATGGCGAGCCGCTGGATCCACTTGGGCACCGTCGAGCCGCCGTCGGTGCCGAAGTTGAAGGCGAAGGCGAGGGAGCCCGACGACGACGCGAACGCGTAGAGCCCCGTCGCCGCGTTCTGGAGCCAGACCTGCGTCGTGTTGTCCGCCGCGAAGGGCGAGCTGCCGAGGATGATGAAGGCGATGCCGTACACGATGTACGGCGCCGTGAGCGGGTAGAGGAGCGGGATCGTCCGCGACATGGTGTACCAGACGATGGAGGAGACGAGGTAGATGGACGCGATGATGTAGAGCTTGGTCGCCGTCTGGCCGACCTCGCCCGTGAGCAGGGTTACTTGGTACGAGTTCGTCGCGATGATCTGGTTCAGGGCCAGGAGCATCGCGTAGATGGGCCAATCGCCGACCTTGTACTGGAGGTATCTTTATGGTCTTGTTAGTTGACTGTCCAAGGAGAACGGGAAAGAGGGGAAAGAGAAAAACTTACTTCTTGACACCAGTAGGCGGGACGTAGTCGTCGGGAAGGGCAAACTGGGAGTTATAGGCGCCGGGGGAGTCGGGTGGCGTCTGGTCACCGTATCCGTCGCCGACGTTGGCGCTGGTCGCCAGGTTGGAACGTCTGGGACGGCCACGCTCCATGGGCAAGCTCAGCTTGGAGCTGGACTTGAGGCCGGCGAGGCTGAAGCGCGATCTCGAAGGGGAACGGTGTCTGGATGCGGATCTTCTTCCCGAGGCAGGGGACGCCGGGCGGGAGGGACGGCCGAGCCTTGCGTCGAGGTACATGTCGAACCACTCCTTTTCACTCTTGATGAGGTAGTCTTCGATGCAGAGGTCGGAGATGGAGTTGCCGGCGTTGAGGTTCTTCAGCCTCTCCTCGAAAGCCTGGTAGAACTCGCCCTTGGAGTCGGTGAAGAAGGGGTCGACCTGCTGGAGCTTGTAGTCGTGACGGTCGCCGACGACGTCCTCGACGCTGAGCATGGAGGTCCTGGAGGAGTTGTCGTGGACACCCAGGCCGGTTACGGGAGGCGGCAGGGGCAGCGTGTCGGCCATGGAGAAGCCGGACACGTTGCGGCTGTGGTTCTGCGCCTCGTGAGCGGAGAAGCCCGAGTAGTTGCGCTGGTGGGCGAGCTCGTAACCGGAAACCTGGCGGCTGTGGTTGCCTGGAGGACCGGGCGAGGCGGCGCGGGAGTTACTGTGGGAGCCGCCGGGCGAGTCAATGTAGGCCGGGGAAGGCGAGATGATGGGGGAGCCGGGAGTGCTGGAGTAGTATGCGGGGGTCTGCATGCCGGCGGGGGTGTTGCGGCCGGTGTTGAGAGTCGTGGCGTCGTCGTCGTAGTCCGAGACCTGCCTCATCCAGGCGGGGGAGCGGTCGACGAGCTCGACGTCCTCGCGGAGGCCGGCGTGGGAGCTGGCGCGGCTGTGCTTGACGAGGACGTTGCCCTTCTTGATGCCCTTCTTGCCGTACTTTGCGTGAGCCTTGATGACGCCTCCCTGGAGCTTCTCGAGCTTCTCGAGCCACTCGGCGACGGGGAAACGCTGCTTGGCGGACCAGGCGCGCATCTCGGCACGGGTCTTGGTGTCGGCCTTGAGAGCGGACTCGATGGCGTTCTTGAACTGCTTGGTAAGATGGGCCGCCTTGGTCGACTCGACAGTGTACCACCAACCGGGCATCTGACCGAGACCACCGACACGGGCACCGACACCCAGGGCTCCCTTTCTGCCGAACTCGACGGCGACCAGACCGAAAGGCTCGTCTCTGGAGGGGATCAGGGCGAACTCGGCACCGCTGAAGATGTAAGGGGGGAGAGCGGTGAATTCGGGCTTGCTGAAGACACGTCCGGGGTAGAGTTCCATGAGCTTGGCGAGCTTGAGCGCGGCGAAGCGTCCGTAGAGATCGATGACGGGACCGATGCAGATAAGCTGAGCCTTGGGGTGGTTCTCGAGGACACCGGGGAAAACATCGGCGATAAGATCAACACCCTTCTGCAGAGACCAACGTCCGACGAAGACGAAAAGCTCGGCATCGGGGTCGACGTTGAGGCCGGCCCACTCCTGAGCCTGCCTGCGGAGATCACCACGGCTGGCCTCGTAGGCGGGGTCGACCTCGACCTTCTTCTGGTTCATGAACTCGTTCTTGTCCCAGTCGGCGGTATCGGTAGGATCGGGGTTGGGCAGCTGTCCGACCTTGGACAGGCCCCAGAAGATGGGGTAACGGGCGAAAGAACGGTCACCGTACTTCTTGGACACACCGACTGCACCGAAGCCGTTCTGGTGGACGCGGAGGTAAGAGGCGGCTGCGTGGAGCAAGTTGAAGACTGGGGACGGCCGTCAGCTTCTGCTAGATCAATGATATGGGAGAAATTGGGGGGTGTAAATGCTTACCTGAACCGTACTGAACGTACTTCTTGACAATCTCAATGTCCAAGTTGTACGCCTTGCAAACCTCCTTGCTCTCCTCGGGGGTACGCATGGGCCAGAGACCCTGGAACTCGGCATTGTGGAGAGAGAGCGCAACGGGAATGGTCCTGGGAAGAAGGTACAGAGGGGCAATAGATCCGTGGTAATCGTTGATGTGGTAGAGATCAACGGGGAAACGGTTCACGGTCTCGGCGATACACTGGTTCCTATTCAATCTGTTAGAGAATTTTCGTTTGGCAGGGATGGGAAGAGACTGCGTCAACTTACCATGCAGAGTAGTAAATGGCAGACTCCAAGTCGTCCATACGAGGAGGGTACGGCTCAGACTTGGTCTGCTTGCGGAAGACGGGGGCGTCCAGCAGAACGTAGGTGATGTTGTCAACGACGTGGTACTGCACCTTGATCTCGTACATCTGGTCCATGATCTTGACGAACATGCTGGGAGCAGGAGTATCCTCGGGGTAATCAACGTCACCGACACAGGGGACAACCCAGATCAGGTCCTGGTGCTTGAGCGCCTTACCCATCAGCTGGGCCATGACACCCAAACCACCGATCTTGATCTTGATGTTCCAGTCGTCAATGTTGTACTCCATGGTGGCGATCAGCACTCTGCGCCGCTTGTTGGCGGTAGTGGCCGCGGCCGCGGCCGAAACGAGATCAGTCGAGCTTCGCATCTTCAGCGGCATGGCACCGGCAGCGCCGATGAAGGCGTTGCGTGTCTTCTCGACAAGCATGCCGAGCTTGGAGGACTCGTGGACACCGTGCTCGTTGAACTTGACCTTGTAGAAGGAGCGCTTGAAAGCCTGCACGGCGGCGAGACCGCCGAGGACGGGGACGATGAAGAGAAGCAGCCAGAGGAAGAACTGGATCCACATGTCGCCCTGGGGGATAAGCTGGTACTGCAGGGTGGCATCGTTCAGCACGACGCGGTAGGCGAGATGCGGCTTGGGCGGGGCAGAGGTGATGTTGATGGCGTTCTCGAACAGCGAGGAGGGGGGAAGACGCTCGATGACGTTGTCACCGTCGACATCACCGTAGATGAAGGACTGATCGGGCATCTTGTCCGGGTTCATACCCCAGATGCTGAACTTGAAGTAGTTGGGCCACTCGTCCATGTAGTGCCACTCCCATTGCGACTCGCTGACGTGCTTCAGGGCCTTGGTGAGACCGCTGTCGTAGCCGAACTGGTTGAACTTGCCGACGGCGAACATGTGAGGGATGCGACGCGGGGTGTCGTAGTCGAGGTCGCCGTGCACCTTGTACGCGCTGCTTCCGAGGATCTGAGACCAGTACTGCACGACAACGTGCTCACCCTTCCACTCCTGGTCCTTGGTTCCGTTCCACTCCTGCTTCTTGACGACAGTCTCGGTCTCGTAGTTCACCCAGTCGCTCCACGAGGACTCGAAATTGGTCGAGTAGCGGAACTTGGAGGCGCCGGGGGCGGTGTGCTTGATCTTGATCGTGCCGTCGCTTTCCTTGGTGAGGAGGGAGGACGAGTAGTTGGCCGTCGCGGAGAAGACGATGGGGTTGTTCTGGGCACCGATGCGGAAGAAAAAGTGGTCGGTTGCGTTGGTGTTGGCGGTTCCGCCAACGGCCACGGCGTTCTTCACGGTGACTTCGTGGACGCCGTGCTTGACGTTGACGAGGTTGGCCTTCCACGACCAGACGGAGGGCAGGGTGCCGGTCCACTCGACGATACGCTCAGAAATGTCGTTGCACTCTACGGAGTTCTTATCGATGGAGGGGACGCTGTTGTCTTCGGTGTGGGACCTCAGAGTGACGGACTTGATGAAGTCATCGCAAATCATCTTCGTGTTGGCCTGGAACTCGATGGGGACGGTGTTGCTGGTGTCGTTCGTCTCGATGCGGAAATCGTGGCCGGGGTTGAACTTGGTGAGCACGACGGGGGGCTCCTGGAACTTGTCCTCGGGGACGAAGGCGCGGAACTCAAAGGGAGCCATGGTAATGTTCTTGGTGCATCCATTGAAGCCCTTGTTGTTGGCGTAGGTGAGCTTCTTGGTCGAAGCCTCGAGCTTGATCGTCTGGTGGGGGAAGAAGAGGTTCTTGACAGTGGTTCCCTCCTGGAAGGGGGAGATCAGAGCGGTTTTCTCGTCGGAGCAGTCGAAAGTGTAAGTGTAGGTGTGGTTTCTGTTGGAGTACAAGAACCAGACGGGCACGAGATCTTTTCCAAGGTCCTGGACACCAAGCTGGTAGCGAAGAACGCTGAAGAGACCGGTAGTGGTCGGCATCTTAGAGTTACCGGGAAGGTAGATATCCTCCGTGTGGTTAGACATCTGCTCCAGCCACATACCGTCCTGAAGGACGGGGTATTGCTTCCTCATGCGATACATGTGCTTGAGGACAAGTCTGATGGGGTGAGTGGGGTCACGGTGATCCCAAGAGACGGTAGGGTCACGGCATCCCTCACGGGCCTTGGTGAGAGGCATCTCATAGTAGAGGATACCCGGCATGGAGTAGCATCCGTGCTGTTGCCAGGCAGGGGCAGAGGACAGCGGCTGACGACCGAACATGTAGTTGGTTGCCGTGTTGTCGAGCACGTAGTAGCCTTGCTCCTCACCCCAGGTGAGCATGGGAATTCCGGGCAAGTGAAGAGTCGTAACAAACAGACCCATGAGACTGCGCTCGTAGCCCAGTTCGATAGCAGGCCAACGGAAGGTATCCTGGTTCATGGCGCCGTACATGTGACGGGGGTCGACAACACCCGTGTTCGCATTGATCATGTCGTTGGATCTCAGCACCTCGTTCCATGCCTCGACGAAGTTGCTGGGGACATCGAAACCGGCAACACCAGTACCGTCCATACCCAGGAAAATGACGAGGAAACGATAGAACGAGTAGTGGAAGGCGGCGGAATCCAGAGCCTGATGGCCCTCGTCGCGGATGAAAATGTCCTGGCCTTCAGCTTCGCTTCGGTTCGTGCTGTAAGCGGTGTTGATGTCCTTGAACCACTGTTCAGGGTGACGACCACGGCCGATGTAGATGGAACCCATGGTGTTACCACCTGTAATCTCACCAGGGAGGAAGAAGTTATCCTTGCCGACGTCCTTTGCGCATTCACGCATCATCTTGGAGAATTCACCCTGTGCGTCAACCGTGACTTGCAGCGCCTTGTCGTATCTGAAGCCGTCAATGTCCAACCTGCGATTTCGCGTTAGTAGCTGATAATAATGACGGCTAATTTCTTCCGCTCGGCGGCTTACATCTTGATCATCATGCACGAGAAGTGGCCGAGCTTCTGGTTCACGGCGGGAACCCATTCTCTCAATCTGTCCTGAACGGAGGCGAACTTTGTCAACTGACGTCGGTAATCGGGGTAAACGCCGAAAGCCTCAGTGTCACCAAACTGGTCAAAGTCACCGTCGTAGCAACCCTTGAACATGCCGTAAACCTCCTCGCCGACTTCATAACCACTCTCGTAGTACAATCTCGGGAAGTGCTCGCAAGTCTCGTTGTATTTCGTCGGGAACGTCCAGTCAAGGTAGTGGCGGTCGGTCTTGTAAATGGTCTCCAACTCAGTAGGCTTGAAGGGCGCCGTGGTGTTGAGGTAGTCCTTGAAGCCGATCAAGTCACCCAAAGTTGCGACTGTGTTGTCGAAGACGATGTACTAGTCAAGCCAGTCAGCTCCAATAAGCCCCCTCCTTCAGAGTTTCCAATATCCACACAACTTACCATTCCACGCTTGTGAATCTCGTCAATGGCGATTCTCCATTCTGTGATGTTGCCAAAGTGAAAGTCCAGGAGGGTGTGATCCAGCGGCGAGTAAGAGTCGTAGTTCCATGGCGCGTTGATGAGCATAGATCCTCCAAAGTACAGTCCTTGGATGCCCATTCCCTGGAGGTAATCCAACGTGTCCACCAAACCAGCGACATCACCACCGAATCGCAACTGGGTGCCCGAGATGTCCTGTTCCAGAACGGTACCGTTGGCGTTATCGTTGATTGGGTCGCCGTTCACGAAGCGGTCGAGCATGAGTGTGTAGAAGGGGAACCGCCAGTTGTCTGGCGACTTGTGAAACTCATGGTTCTCCCATTTTCCATCGTATAAGATGGGATCTGTTACTCCCTTCTTTGTGTTTAGGTTGAAGTCGACAAATTGGTCGTCGTACACGAGGCCATTAACATTATGGGTTAAGCAACCCAATAACAGGAGCGCACTCCCGAACCACATGGTGGCTGCTGATATGTGATGTTGAGGACGCCCGGGTGCTCCTCGAAGCGAGCGTACACGCAAACCGCTGCCTGCTTGCTTCCTGTTCTATGATGGGGTATCAAGCTGTTTATGACCACACTATGAGGTAAAAGGAAAACAAACAACAACAACCACAAAAACGAATAGGTGATGAGATAATAGTCACGAACTGGCTAAAAGCGAGTGATGCCAGTGCGTGTGTATGCTTGCTAAGGTTTGAACGAAAGACGAAAGTATGGGAAAGGAGACACTTGAGCGATTGTAAAGATCCCGTTCCCACACAAACAACGCAGAGCAAGAAGCTAGAGAGCAAGAAAAAAGTAGATCCCAAAAAAGATACGTCAGAGGGGGGAGGGAATCTACACCTTTGATGGAGACGGAAATCTTTTGAACTAAGGGGGGCCGGGAATCGATACTATGGAATACATGGGATACATGGCAAAAGAGGCCCAGACCCGCCCCGCGTACAAGGCATCGCCTCACGAAAAGGGACATCAGAAGCCCGTCATGCCCGTCAGCAGCGGAGCCTACCATTCTAGGATACGAGCTCGAGGGTTTACTCATGTCTGCATCATAAGCGGTGACCTGTTGCTTCTCTGTCCTGGGTTGGCCTTTCTTTGGCCTTTGCAGAAAAAAAGGCAGGGTAGCGGAGGCTGGCCGATTGGGTGCTATGAATATCCTTTCCTCCTCATGGCCCCATCGCCGCAGTGTGGACTGGCCAACAATGCAGATCTTCGGGACTTGGGGACCCCCCAAGTTCAGGTTTCGGGGGCCGTTCACTCTCTCTCTTTCTTCCTTTCCTTCTTTCCCTCCCGCCGCCTGGACACTGGGTGACTTGTGAGGAGGTCCCCGGTTACGGTACGGTACGCTTGGGTTGGGAACAGATCCGGGCAAGGGGAGTGGAGCGGCAGAGTCGAACTTGTCACCCTGTACCGACCAGGGTAACACCTGGGAACCCAAATGATCCTTGAAGGATCAGGGATCATTAACACTGGCCCTCGGTTTTTTTTTTTTTTTTTTTTCTCTTGTGTCGGGCACAAGACACGTTAAGGCGCCGAGCCAGGCCAAAAAAGCTTCAGCGACTGGGCGGGAGACGTCGAAAAGCACGAGGGGGGTTGCTCAGTCACGCGGGCGAGGCTAAAGTCCAGAATGCTGCAGAGAAGACGTGAAGACCCTATTTCTGGATCACTGTTAGGGGTGTTTGGAGGGGCGAACAATGCCATTCGTGCATTACCTTACATTGCATTGCATATTTTCTCGTGTTGTGCCAACTAGACGTTGATACTTGTACGGTGTGCTCCGTGAACGGTAAGCAACAAGCGTTGGTTGGCCCATTTGCCGAGTTTTGGGTCCCCTTTTTTTTTTTTTCCTTCCCTTTGCCGCCTTTTTTTTACTGCATTTTTTGCACATGCAAACATGGATACTTGGGAAGAATTTTCGGGACGACTTCGATAAGCAGACAAGCGAGTCAGAGGGAGATCCACACAACAGTTGCCAGGATGAGACGGACTGAGCGTGATTGTGGGCTCTTTTTTACTGGAGAGGTGGACAGCACATCGTTTTGACGTCACGGCATTAGCCCGGCTCATACGGGTTATGCACTAGAAGAGAATGGCATAAGTGCCAGGGTACTTTTGCGTTGTTAAGGTGGCAAACGGCCGTTGGGATTTTGCAACGGCGGCAGCTAGGCAGAGTTCAGTTCAGTTACAATCAGTACAAACTTGCACTGCAACCTTCCATTTCTTCCCTCATCCAAAGCGGTACATCAAGTCATATCATTGGGTGAGTGTACTCTTATCTCTATATCTCTCTCTGTCTCTCTTTCGGCCGTTTCTACAACAAGCGTGTGCTCCGAGGAAACGTCTGGCGCCATCATTCGTTCTTGGTGCAGAATCAAGAACAATGCATAGAGGATGATATAAACAGTGTATCCGTACCTCGTCTGATGTTCGTATTCTTCATCCGAACAGCTGGCGGACTTGCGGAGGTGCTGTCCTTGCAAGCTGAAACTCAAACAGCAAAAAGGAGGCTGGGCTAGACTCGTTAGACAAGGCGGCGGTGTTCCTTTTTGTTCACAATCGAGATGCGTGGTCCAGTCGCTAGGTGGAGAGAGTGTATGGGAATTAACAGGAGGCTTGTTAACTTAGGGCCCCCCCTCGTCTCTGCTCGTGATAAACTAGCCAAGGCATACAGAAGCTTGTTTAGTCACCCCCTATCATGGGTTAGCATGACGCGGCTACGAGGGAAATACGGTCCGTAGTGGAGCGGTTTTTTGTGCACATACACAGCCACTGGCCTGTGTGCCGCAGTGCCAACATGCCAAACACACAGGCAAACATGCCATAATCCCGGCATCTATATGTCAGTAGAGTACGTGTAGGCTGCATGTGCATCAACTTGAAGGCCTACTCAAGCAACCCTGGGCATCGCAAACAAACCACTACAATTAGGTTTCTGGTCATTTCCAGTGTTGCCGTGCCCTCGGAAAGAAGGGGGGAAAAGGGACGACACACACAATTGGCAATTAATTCAAGCTATTTAGTGTTGAATTTAAATCCTAGTAAAACTCACTCTTTCAACAGCTAGTAACTCTGTAGGTTCCGAGACATGATTTCCTTACAAAGTTTTATTGACTGCGGTGCATCCGTAGTAGTATAGTTGTGATTCCTCTTTTTTTTCTTTTTCTTTTTTTTTTCTTTCTTTATCTTTTCGTTTCCCTCGTAAATTAGTACTATGTATACGTTCTTAACCGACGTATTCCCTTGTCTGTTCGTATCCTGCCGCCCTGCTGTGTGCCTCAGCTTTCAGCCACGCGATAATCAACCCAACTTTGTCATCGGTCTAGAAGGATATCGGCATATCGGCATATCCGCCTCCCCACTAAAAATGGTCCCAGAGTACTGGAGACAACCCCTGAAGAAGGCTATTTGATTGGTCCAAACTCGGTGAACTATTGGCCCTCCGGTCTACCCGAAGCGGAAGGGCATTAGGGCGCAAAGTGGTCACAATCAGCCCTGATTAAGCTGGTTATTCTGGCACGCCAGAAAAAAAAGGCTGAGGGAATCCCGCCGGTCGGTACTCCGTATCGCCCGCAGTACCCGCGGCGCCTGTGGGATATCTGGTAACGAGGCCTAATCTCGTCATTTTTTGCCCGAGGCCGAGGGCCATGATTCTGCCGTAGCTCCAACCTAGATCCGTGTCCCCCTGTGATGATCGTTACTATAATTATCATCATATTGGGTGGTTGGCAAGGAAGAGTCGTTGACTTTTGCATCGTTGCTTATTGGTGCGCTCCTCTGCCAACTTTTTTTTTATTTCCTTTCTCCCATCCAACAAGTTTCCCACCACTTCTACCGAGTGGCGGCATGCATTACTGTGTGTGTGGCTGGGTAAGTTGGATGTGCCCATAACAAAGTCCACTCTCCTCCCGTTCTTCATCTCGGTGTGGCGCTTCATACGGAGCAGTCAGGCCGGAGAGAAAAACTGGATAAAAGAAGGGGGGCCCGTTCATCCAAAAGCCTCCTCCCCATGGTTGTGGGTATGGTGCCACCCCGAATACTGGGAACTGGAGCGATTGTGCACCTTGCCCATGTCGGCTTCGAAACCGCAAGTTCTTGTACGGAGTAGAAGGGGGATCAATCTGATACCGCCAAACCCGTGCGGCTGCGTAGCGAAGTAGCAGAGCAAATTGATGTGATGAATAAAATGCCCATCGGTGCCCAGAATTTTCACCCCCTTATTTCTCCTTTTGCGCCCATCTCTACACAATCGTGCAGGCGCAAAACCGTGCGCGAGATTTGAAAGGTTCGCCAAGTCTCCACGATGAGAGAGCACGGATGATGGGGGGGGGGTGGTGGAAGGGAGGGGAGATTCCATGATCCATCCATCTCGCCAGCCGTTGCACGTTTTGGGCGTTTATTGTCAATATTTCGTCGGCAGACTTTCCCATTCTTGATATCGATTCATTCTATAGTGCATATGCTCTTATTCCTTCTGGAATTTTCTGCGCTTGTCTAATCTTTCGCCGTCGAAGCTCTGGCCCCGACCAATTGGGATAACCGTAATTGACACAATCACAGTTTTTTTGTATTGATTTCTGATAGTTGTTTTTTTTTTATTTACTTTTCAAGGATTGCAGAACCCATTTTGGAAATCAGCCATCCTGTTGTCAAGATTACGCCGCCCAGCCGGAACGGTTTGTTCTGTTAACCGATGCTTGGCCTCAAATATCTAGACTAAACCGGAAAACTCTTCAAGCGCATTCGATGCTCGGCCCTTTTCCATCTCCTTCCAATTCAATGCCCCCCCTCTTCAAGTGTACTTTTGAGTACTACTCCAAAGGACACTTTATCGTTCCGAGAAGGCTGCCTGGATATGTCACAAAAGCCACCCAATCACCCCAGCCGGTTGCTGGCGTTCACACCGAACCACGATGGGGAGACCTCCACTTAACGTAGACACCTGGGACAAAGGGGAACCGTCAAGGTGATCAAGGTGAGGAAAACGTGGGTCTTACTCAGCACAGCAAAATCAGAAAAGGTACCGGGCCTCAGTCCCGATGTGTCACGGAATGGTTCCCTCAAGACGAAGCGAGGTGGGGGCGCAACGAGCTCTTTCGCGGTTGGAGGGGGGGGGGGGGGGGGGGGGGGGGGGGGGGGAGCCGACGCGCGGGATGTTCGTAATGGTGTGGTGGTGGCGGGCGTTCCAGTTCCCAAAGTGCCCTTTCTCAGTCCCTTTTCCTTTCCTTTTTTTCTTATTCGGAGCTAACCCCTATACCCGTTTTGTGTCAAAAGCGACCCAAACGGCGAACCGCGCAAGCCCTTATGGCTTAGCGGGTGATGAAATCGACAGGTTGTAAAGGTATGCGGCCTTATCACGTCCAATAGGGTTATTCTCTCGATAGCATCTGCTTAATTGCCGTTATCACCTGTGCGGTGAAGGGTGTCCGTGAGTACGGGAGTCTCAGGTGAGGATGCCAACCCTGGGTGGAGGAGGGGGGGGGGAAGCCGCTGTTGAGGTTCCCGATCTGGGCGGTGACCTCCAGTCGCCGTCTTCTTGGGTCGAATGTTTCCGAAGTAGCGTACGTGGTAATTAGGTGACATTTGAAGTAGATTAGCCGTCTTACTACTCCCCGACCGGCAAGAAAAAAAAATCCTTTTGGATTCCTTCCCGCCCGTGCGGCTCACGTTTTGAGGCTATCGTCCAAAAACCGGCGCCGCAACCCTGCAGATGGCTCAGTAACGGTGACCAATGGGACTGACGGCGCCTCTTTTGGGAATGCACGTCGTAATCATGAGCAAGCGGCGCTGACTGAACGCTTACAGAGTTGATGTCGGTCTCGACTCTGTAAGCAACTTGTAAGGATTTCTTCCAGATACTGGAAGCGCGGCTGTCGCGAAAAAAAAAAAAAAAAAAAAAAAAGAAAAGGAAAAAGATGGAAGCCAAGATGGGATTACCAAGGCCATCCAGGATTATTATTGAACAAAACATTTTGCGGTGTAGTGTGGCATGAGTTGATGACTAGTTCTTTGGACGAAAGGTTTGCGGCTTACCTCACGCCTACCTATTGCAAGAGTGAGACAGCGCATAGCAGCCAATAATGTGAATTAGTCCCATCTGTACGGCCAAACGTAGAGACGGAAATTTGACTAGCAGAGCAACTAGTCTCACTTTGAAAGGATATATCCAGACCGGTAAAGAACCAGGTTGGATGCTGCAAATAATCACCTTTGAAACCTTGACAGACGGCACCAACCTTATTCAACAACAAGCAATCATCTTAAGACGTTCATCCATTTCCCAAGCCCTCGGGTATAACCCCCCTCATCAAATGATGGTGAGATGTGACGATTTACGTCTCAACTAAACGAACAGTTCGAACCATAACGGTCCCAACTAATTGATCAACCAACTCTCGCAGCAGTGGGACGGACTCATTACTCAATACCCCGTGGGAAAAGCAAGGTTGCCTGTCATTGAGCACGAGACAAGAGTTCCTATGACAGGTGCTGTCCTAGTAGTAGCATGAAATACGAGCTTTAAAACGGGCGATGTTTACGTAGATCTTATCAAAGCGCCCTCAATAGAATCGCGTTTCCACGGCGAGTTTCAGACCTTTTTTTTTCTTTTTCTTTTTCGTGAGCAGGTAGGTAGCATCGTTACTCTGTTAAAGTTTCCCTGGTGCAGGCGATCTTCGGCGACAGATTCTCCGTTCCACGCTGTAGTGGAACGATCCATTCCTGGACCCTGCAGCGGAAGTTCTCTGCCGCAATGAACAATAACATTTGACTTTTTTGTAATGGAAATCGACCATATTGACGCCCTCATAAGCCTTAATGGTATCCTCTGCCCCAGTAAAAAATAATTGAGTGCAAAAAAAAAAAAAGGCACCTTCCGCATCAGCTTTAGGCACGGAATATTGGCGGTTGTAAAGGGTCCACTGGTGTCCAGCATTAGCCTGGCCGGATTCCAGGATCCATCTGGCTACGACGGTCCAGGCCTCAGGTGCCTTTTTCTTCTGTTCGTTGAGTTGAGCACGTTACGAGTTGTGGGTATGCACATCTGCGTTGTATATTGTGTCTGAATAGTTCCAGCAGATGATGTCCAGTTGCGAAGATCCAAATTTCATGCCTGAAGATGAAACAGTTGAGTCTTCGCGGTTTACCGTTGTGGTTGCAAACGATCAACTTCAACTTGTTATAATGTCCTGGGACTTGCCTCAATTAGAAAAGAAAGACCTAGGGAGTGGGAGGAGTTGCGACTTCAGTCCAGTCCCTATAATATTTTCTTTACAAGGTTATTGAATCTTTAGCGTTCAACTTGCATATTTTATAGGAGGCATCGTTTCTTAAATCTTTGAAATTGAGTTTGTATACATGGAGTATAGGCAATTACTTCGGGTTGATGTTAAACCTGTAATTAGATCGAGAAAATGATGACCCTGCAACTCCATACCAGCCACTGAGGCTATGAAAACTAAAACAAAATAGTGATGCATCTACCAGGAGAAAATCTGCTTTTGGTATCCCTATAAAATTGGAGCATGTCATGTCGTCTGGCGGAAGTGGCAAGTCTTCCACACGAATTTTTGTACATGCAAGGCTGGCGCTTTCTGTTCTTTCTATTATCAAAGATGTATTGGTCTTTAAGAACTGAAGCTCTTTGCTCGAGGTTACCGCTGGTGTCACAGGATACTCGTGTCGGTGTAGGAAGTAGGTTCTCCTCAGAGTAGTAGGAAGCCTTATTCAGATTAAGAAGCTGTAGGGTGGCAGATTGAAGTTCGTGGATGAGACATCTCTTCTAGTTGCTCGTCACATGAGTATGTGTCACGGCCAGCTTGAGTAGCGGTAGGTCTGCTAACAGAAGCTGAGGTAGTAAGACTGACAACAGGTCGTAGGGTATAGTAATAAGGCAAACCAATAGGTAAAGGGTTAAAGTAAGGCATTTAGTCTTATACTAAGTAATCAAAGTAGTAATAACATCATACTACTATGTTACTTAGGCTAGAAGTTCTTTGAAGTCAAAACATGAAGTTAATTATCTGAGATCTAATGTCTTGAACTAAGTACTTAATCCTAGTCGATATACAAGTCCTATATCCCTAGATATCTTATTGTATTATATATTTAGGGAGCTAAGAGAGTTACTCATCTACCTTATCAATTCTCTTTCAATGAGTTAGTTTAAGAAACGCTTGAGTCTGACAGGAATGGCGTAGGACACATCCAGCATGTGCGATCCATAGAAGGTTCAAACCTGTCCGCGCAACCAAAAAATCGCTAGTGACAGTTTCTTAGTGCCTTTTTGTATCTCATTGTATCCTCTTTAGATGTTGTAGAGTACTATGACTGCCATTCCTGCCGTTCTCCTTTGATGACACTTGTTGCTGTAAGGTTTTTGTTAGGTTGTTTTTTTTGTACAAGTTTTGATGCTCATTTAACTCCATACTACCTGCAACGAATCATCACTTGACCTCAAATAATGTCAACAGTGAAGGTGTAGGTGTCCTTTTCCTCCTAGATATGGAGATGTCGTTTATCCTCCTCACAACCTTCGGAATAATCTCATGACTGTACTCGTTTTGCCAATTATTATCCAACTTAGCCTTGAGGATACTTTCATGGAGATTTGCCATCTCTCGGCTGTCCCACAAGCCTTCCCTCCTCCTCATTCTTCGAAGTACATCGACGCATCTTCTCTCCAATATCTCATTGCCGCAAAAGGCGCATATATACGATAGCGTGGGAACAACGTCCGCCGCCAGAGAGAAAGTCGGCCTCAAAGCGCTTGGTTTAGACAAAACGAGGTCTTCAGCTATATCGACAATCTCTTGTAGCTCCGCTTTATTTGCGTGCTTCATCTCGGAAGCCGAGTTGGCATAGTTAAGAACTTCCCAGCTCCGCCTAGAAAAGCGTAGTGATTCAAACCCCTCTTGGTCGATCGGCTTTAGGTGTTCTTGGAGTAGCCCATCAGAGCTATCGAAGCGGATGCACCACATTTTGAAACGTGTCTCGGCCTCTTTTAGTTCAGCTTGTTTTGAAACCGGTGCTGTTGACACCTTGCTGGCACACGATGCCGATGATTCTGCGTCGTGAGCGTCCATCACAGTCCCGCCATACGCCTTCCAGAACAATACCGCCACCATGTGGAATTGGAAGCGAGCCTCTAAAGCATTAGCGAATGGCTTAGTTTGGTCTTGTTTCTCTTGTTGCGTGAAGAATGATAGATCGGGGATAACGTTTTCTTTCATGAGCATCGAAGTATCCATGCCCACAAATAGAAACATACTGGCAATATCGCAGAGCTGATCATAATGTTTATCAACAGTCTCAGCTAGACACTTATGGTAAGTTGAAACCGAGGCTGGGTTGTGCCGATACGCTAGTGCTGCTTGATGAAGTAACTCTAGCACCTTCGCCCCAGACCTTAGATGTTGAACAGCCTTATCATACTGACCTCGGACAATCTCATAGCAGATGAATACCAGGCAGCAGATAAGGGTGATGCGAATATTAACAGTCGACAAGTCTGCCATAACAAGGATGGCCTCGGAAACGGCTCTTTGATAATGTTCTGTAGCTAAACTGCTTAGCCCCCATGGATTGTCAGCTTTGTGCGACGCAACAGAGGAATCCTCCAAAAACGCCTTATGTGCGACACCGAGGGCCACGATAGCATGCTTGACCGAGTCTGAGTAATGGCCTAGGGGTAGGATGTAGTTGTCCCACAGCTTTGCGAGTGGCGTTGAAGTTGTCAAATCCGGAACCGTACAGCTGTGGACGTGATAGAACATTAACCTCTCTGTACTCGTCCCTGAAATACCCCAGTCGACCGGTGGCGATAAGAGTGCCATTGATGCCTCCGATCGGTGCGCTAGTACAAATGATGCAGCCGTAGTACCCCGTGACCGCTTGGTTTGTCGGGTGTTACTGGGGTCTAAGTATCCATCGCACTTGATTTTGTCCTTCCTGCATCTCTTACAGGTGGGCTTTTCCTCATCGCACTTGAAATGTCGGGCCCTGACACCTGGTTATTCCCCACAAAGCAAGAAGAGAGAAATATGAGAGATCTTACTTGCTGCATTTCACTGCGTCAGTAGATATAATAAAGACGAGACCGAATCACTAACCATGTTAAACATCCCGTCTTGACCTTTGGATGTACTCGCCCTAGTCCACCTGGGTTTCTGCGACGCAGAGTTCATATGAAAGACTCCGGTTCCTGGGATTCGTTGGTCCGCCGGCATTTTCACTCCGACATGCACAATGGCGTTCTAGACACGTCGGCCCCTGCCGACGAACGAAAGAGTAGTAGATATTTACCTCAAAGTACAGCTCTCGGTCAACGGATTCCGCGGGGCTGAGACAGGGTATAATTCAAGGTATTGTTTTACGGCGGCATCTATTATATAACCCAGATCTGCTGATTCTGTACCATCGTGCTCTAAGGGTACCGGAAGGCCAGGCCGAAACACTAGCTCATCAAGGAAGCGGGCGGTCAGACGCGAGGGTCTAGTCATTTTACGGCGCAGCAAATCATGGGCGGGTCTCAAAGTTCGAGTATGGTTAACTATGGGTTCGCCAAAGGGGCTAGCTATTATGCATGTGTCTAAATGTCTAATACAAGACGGAACAAGGTTCTAAGCCGATCGTTGAAACGGCAACACCGAGAAAAAGTTGCGAATTGCAGCCCTACATGGAATTGTGCTAGCAAACCCGCGAGAATTGCAGCCAGTGTTCCCCTTGACGCCTACATTGCCAAGCAAATCCATTTCAGTAAATGCTTGGAAAGTCCCTTTGGGGAAATTTTATAGGCGTTGGCCAGAGCACCCTCAACACCGTATCCCTGTTTGGGCATCACTTCTACGATACATACATGAACTAGTACATATGGCTCCCACTGGGCACAGTGATGAGAGGGGAGAACACTAGACACTGAAGTCACAATTGGTGTGAGCATACTCGATGAAGAAGATGGAACTAAAACGTGAAGTTAGTAAGAGAAGAAAAAAGATCCCAGACGTAACGGATACTGGAGCGCCCGAGTTCGCCACTAATGTCTCCAGAGTCTGGTAGCCTTGGGCGTTTAGAGTGTAGGATTAGGGCATAAGAGAAAAATAGAAAAGAAAAGTTGAGGCGCTCCTTGTACCCTGAGGTCTACACCCAATCATGAGGATGAGTCAACAGCTTCGAGCTCGCCTCAAGATGTACCAGGGCCTGTGGAGCTCTAGGAAGGATTTATGCGCAAGTGAGGACATACGAGCTGGGTTATCCACTTGACTGACAAAGATATCATTGTATTGATTTGAGTAGGGGCCTAGGAACTCCCCAGCCCGAAGCTCCACTCTCTCAGCAGGTTCGGCTGTCATCTTCATGTGTTTGCCGAACGTTGCTGCAGTAAATAACATGAATCATGTGAATGTAATCAGAAGCCCATAGAGGCAAGGATGTAGGCCAAGGGAGTTTTGGATTGTTGGATATCCGTTCAGTGTAGGCAAACTTATTATAAAAGCCCATCTCCCAGCTCAAGTTCACTTTTGTGCCTTCCCTCATACTCTACATGTCAATCTTTGTACTATTAAAAGTCAACCACCTTCGCTGTTCTTTTGTTCATTTCTTTTCACTCATTAGGTTGATCTCCTTCACTCTTCCCTCCTCTTCAATATGGGTTCGATGTCTATTCTCGCACTTTTCGGCCTGCTTGCGGCCAAGGCAGTTGCCCAAACCACGACCTCCTCCTCTGCCATGCCCACGGCTCTTCCTTCCCTTGTCTCTGAGATTCCTTCTTGCGCCATGCCTTGCTGGAATGAGGTCAAGACGAAGATTGGTTGTGATGCTGGAGACTTGAAGTGCATGTGCGAAAAATTCGGACGAGTTGAATATCAAGATGGGAATCTGTCTTCCTGTCGGCGATTGCACAAAAGACCAGATCAGTCGTAAGTCTACCTCGCCATCTAGACTTTGTTATGGGAACATTATACTTGGCTGTTTTTTTCCGTAATGAACGACGAGGACTGATTACTTGGCTAACTAAATCATAATCTTTTAGTAACGGACAACCCCCTGAATTCAATTTGCGACACTACAAACAATAACAGCAACAACGACGCCATCGCGTCTGCCTCCAAAATACTTTCGGGGGCTGTAGCTAAGGCAACTACGACAGCCTCGTCAACCTCGAAGCCCAAGGCGACCAATGCTGCCAGCCCTTTGGGACAAAGTATTGAGCTGGCTCTCGTTATCGCCGCTGCTGCAGTCATCCTTTAGAGGGCTTTACTGAAACCGAGCATGGCAATGGATAGCGGTTCTTTGTTTCGGTCTTTTTGTGCATAATCAAGCTTTGTCTTGGGTATCAGGGACCTACAAAATGATAGTCTGAAGATGTCCGTAGGCCTGTTAACATTGCGGACTTCTTCAGCTTTACCAGGGACAGAGACACAGTGACTACGCATATTCAGTACATAGCTTTACAGAGATATATCTTCCCCCAATGTGTTTTTAAGCACATTGAGGTTTAGATACGAAAGAATGCCTATTTAAGCTCAAAAATGCTACAACTGTTACTGCAGCATCATTTGCAAGTCTTTTACATTTGTAATCACGATGAATTGTAGGCCTTTTCCTACTACAATCAGACTAACAATGTCACCTAGGACTTCCTGCGTAAACTAGCTACGGTCGTGCCCTCAGCGAAAGAAAACAAAATTGTCACCAAGACCTTAGAAAAGGAGGTTTGGCCAGCTTCCAACACACATAGGAGGAGCTAGAGGTGCTGTGGCGGGATGTTCACTAATTCCAACAACTGATTTAGCATTAACAAGACCATAGAGAACATGGATATATTCTTCTTAAGCATATGCCTAGATGAACGATTTTCCTAAAGAGGTTTTTTCTCTGTGAGAGCCCCAGGGGGCTGTATGACGATACTCGGTGTGTCGCTATCAACGATGAGGAAACCAAGACGTTGGCAGCCGATTTGAACAGCAGGCTAGCCAAAGGCCAAGGAAGACTTCCCACGAACCTATCCGTCACCTGAGCCACATTTCGAGCTCAACAGCGGCATGCCTTGACGCCAGTCTGTGTGTCAGCATCACGCTCACGGTTGGCAGCGGTAGAAAACATTTGCAACACTGATTTCAACGAGAGCGATAGTACCATAATATGAACGAGGTTCTGAGGAAGGATGGATACGGCGGCCCAAAGCACGTGCTCGCTCGTGTTGATGGAGGCATCAATGCCGGGCCGGCTGCTACAGCAGCGGGCCGAGAGGAAGCTTGACAAGAAACCGGTTCCAACATCCAGCCATCCACAACGGCATGGATAGAAATAGCTCAACAGCAGGACATAGACCGGTTTCGGCATATTGAGAGACCCGCAAATGGCAACTTGAAGTAGCACAGGCAAGGCCGTCGTCAGCACTCACGCAGTATGCAGTAACAAAGTTGGACGGGCTTTTGAAGGTGGCCAAACTACTAAGATCCGTTACATTTAAGACTATGAGTAACATACGTCGTATCACCGAATAGGAGAGATGGGTTCCCACTCAAGTTTCGTGTCCAATTCCACAAACGACAAACAGGATTTTCTTATCGAGTGCTGCCAGAGCCACAGCCACGCTACGGACCGCAAACCGGTGTCGTAGTTCTCCAAATCCTACAAGACAAGAGGTACGGGCCTCAAAAAAAAAACTCTCATGGTTTCTTGTCGACTAGTTTCAACTCAGCATGCTATGTACCGGCGGCAAAACAGCACCTCCTGGGACAAATCTGGACCCGGCAGGCCAAACTTGCCAACAAAACCCCACAAGTCGCCGACATCACCAGTTCCCACCGGAACAACATCTGGCCGGTTGGCCCAATGGCAAGGCGTCTGACTACGATTCCATCGTGCAATCAGGAGATTCTGGGTTCGACCCCCAGGCTGGTCAATTCTTTTTTGAATTTTTGTCGATTTGTCATGGCTTTTTAATGTTGCTTGAAGATCTGCCATTGACTACGAATAGCCGGCAGTTATAACAGAGAAAGGGCCGTGCTCATCGGCGTAGTTTGCCCGTGACATTGACATTTCAAATGTGAAGGCAATGTCACATTGCACACGCCTTTCTCCGTGCTGTCTGTCCTACGCAATAAACCACGGGTGATGTCAAACTGTTGGCCATAGCACAGAGTGTGCTTCATCAGTTCGGCTCTGTCAGGGACCAAAGACGTGTGTGTAGTGGCGAGGTCTAGACCGTAAACATGCTCATCAGATGGTTGATATTGGAAACACATACAGTCTCAATCGAGCACGGCAGTTCACTCCTCGAGAGCTTTTTCAATGGCATTCTCCTATAAATATAACCCTCCACACCATCCACTCTCCTCCCCGAAAATAAGCTTTACGACTAGATAGGATGGCAAAGCGAGCCAGAAAGTCATGTACTCCTAAACCCCGGCGTAGAGCGGGCCATGCAAAGCAAGCAAAACAAGCCGCCGTAATCCTCATAACCTCATGACATCTGTCAAAAAGCATTTTGTTAAAAAAAAAAAGAAAGCAAGAAACCTCCAAAAAAAAGAAAAAAACTCCGCCATCGCCCCGCTGCGATCACAAAAAAGAATTCGTAGGATGCCAATGCCGAAGCTGCCGCCGCCTTCCGTCGATAATCTCACCCCCCTGAACCGATGCAGTGCCGTTGTGATGATGATGTTGATGATGATGTGATGATAATGATGCCAGCCCGCCAGCCGGAACCCCCCCCCCCTATGCAATGCCCCAGATACACCCGTGTCCAAAGCAAGTACAGAATTGGGAAGGGGAAGCGTCCCCTCCCGGGAATAAAAAAAAATTGTCATAAAAGTCCCAAATACAAGCGACTCTGCACCGCTCTCATAGGCAAGGAAGGCGCACCACTAAACCTCCCCCTCTTTTTTTGGCGTTACGTTGTTGTTGTTCTTATTTTTCGATTCGTCGTCGACCAAGGCTCAACTCCGAGCCTGGGTTGGTGCGTTTAACGGTTTCCGTCCGTACACGGTTCGGTGGTTGAAGTAGGCGTGGAACGACTTGTTCGCGACGTGAGGCCTCACGTTCATGAGGAAGATTTCGATTTGCACCTCCGTCCACTGAAGAGCCCTGAAGGGTCGTGTCGCCAGGCCCTTGAGGCCGTCTTCGATCGTCCTCCGCATGAGACCGCCGGCCTCCCGCAGTTCGGGCTTCGCCGCCCAGTCGCCGATTGGGCATTTGCGTCTGTCCTCCGTGACGTCCTCGAAGCCCGCGGCGCGCATCTCGTCTGCGGCATATCGGATGCCGTGCATTTCGGAACCGAGGACTCGCATGCCCGCCTCCAGGTAGTTCGTGAACACGCGGAAGCCGTAGTTGTCGCCTTCTGGCGTCGTTCCATCGTCGCAGAGGGGAGAGAACTCGAGCTCTTGAATCTCGAACCAGCCACCGGGTTTCAAGTGTCTAGACAGGTCAGCTCCAAGTTCCAGGTTCAAGTATGGCTAATTCTGCTTTATACGCAGGTGACGAACCTGTATGCTCGGTCCATGAGTTCTGCGCGATCGCGAACGGAATGAAGCGTATGTCGAAGGTGGATAAAGTCGTAGAATTCCTCGTCGAGAGCCCATCCGTTCTCATGCTCAAAGTCATCAACCATAAAATGCACATTTGGAGGAACCTCGGTTGGCTGGATAGGCGACAGGTCGACACCGAGGAATGTTGAGTCGGGAAACCACTCAGCGACTATATCGAAATGGTGTCAGTAAAGCTCAAGCAGGACTATGATCAGCGGCACAGCTGTAATGGCAGCCTATAGAGGGTGCCATTTTCGCCGCCGAACCCGACTGGGAAATTGAACGGTTGCTCACTCACCCTCGAGGACCCAATGGCCTGGACCAGTACCTACAGATTGCGCAGTTAGTCAGGATGCTCCGAAACCAGGTTGAAAGGCTCAAAGGTCGGCTAATGAAGAACCGCTCAGAGATACTTCGTATCCCTGAAAGTACATGCAGATGACGTGAGACACCCCTGCAGCGGCTCATGATCCGGAAAACTCAACAGGAGCCCTGCCCCGGCGGACCGGCCGAGAAAATAGATGTAAAGCAATGCCAACACGTACCCAAGTCAAGCACTTCGCCACCTCTCGCAAGAACGTCGTCCACAGGCGACAGGTACCATCTGTCGCACAGTAGGTTGCTGATGAGATGCTTCATGAAATCGCGGTCTTGCTCGACCAGATCATTGGGGAAGGCGTATTTCCCTGCGCGGTACGCATGGTAACGCAGTCGATGTTCGTACATGTGCTCCAGCACACTCTCGGACAGACTTTCGGTCTCGCGCCCTTCGTCATTGTGAGAGCCGACGGTGATGGCGGTATCGGTAGAGCTAGGAGGTGACATGGCGGCGGGGGCATAGTCTTCCGGTGAAGGAGGCCCGTCGTCGATTCTTCGTCGTTTTTCGGGGGCTTCCTCGTTTGCAATGGCGCCAAAGACCGAGACAGGATGTGTCTTGAAGCTTTCAGATGGTGTTTGGCGGAATGAGTTCGGAGGCGAGTTCATTGTGAACTAAGAATAGGTGCAGAGGCGACTCGTGACGGATTAACTCATGTGAGTGGGATTATGAGTGGAAGTCGGTTGAGGTCTCGATATCGGGTTGTTGGGTCGCTGCTTAAACTGATGATGGGCGACCACCTCGACAATGTCGAAAGCTTGCGCAAAGAATACCGGTGATGCGCAGAGGCAAACACGAAGAAAACGAGTCAAGGCTTGGCTTCCCGACTGTTAGGGGGTGTGTCAAGGGTTTTCTTCAAAGGGAGAAAGAAGGAAAAAAAAATCAAAAAAAAAATCTCAAATCAGGGACCCCTACACCAAGGCCAGAATGCAGGCGATGACGTCCCTAATTGGCACCCGGCTCCTGTTCCCAACCGTCAGAAAATTAATGTCCCGAAGCGGCACGGGAAGCGGGCGAGCCGCTTGTGGATAAGTGACAGGCTGAATAAGGAAAATGTTTGACGAAAACGTCGATCCGGAGGGGGGTTGGAAAGGGAGGCGAGAACGAATTGGCCAGGAAGACGACAACGACGTGCGTTTGCTGTGTCTTGGAAATCCGGAGAAGACGATGAGGAAAATGAAAGGAGAGAGAAAAATAAACTGGAGCGGGTGACAAGGAGAGACCCGAGACAATGGTGTGAGGGTTTATTTGGTGGAGGGTTTGTGTAGGTATGTTAGGCAGTGTAGGATGGTGTATTCTTAAGACGGGAAGCTTGCGCCGACAAGCGGTCACGAAAAGTCTCGAAGAAGGGGGGATCAGAGTTTGATTCAACTCCCCCCGAGGAACTTCTGACAAGCTATTCGATGGGGCCTAGCCGTATTATGAGTGAAAGGGTATAGTTGTGTGTCTGGTGGTGGTAGTGTCCGGCCAGCCGAGAACGCCGCAGCCGCCGCCGCCACCGCAAGACATGGCTATGAAGGTAACTGGGACTAAGGGTATCGAGAACAAGGGAATGGGATCCAGGGAGCAAGGTGAAGGACGTCGAAAAGGATACGTACCGGCAAGGTAGGCTGAGACTGACTAGGAACCCTACTGCGATGCGGTCAGGGTTGCAGGCCAGGAGACGGATTCTATTGAACGGAGCCTTACGGTAGTGAAGAAGAACGAGAAGGAGACTATTGTGTAATGTGGTTTGTGGTGTTTGCAGTAAATATGACCGTCAACTCGGGTTTATCGATAGTAAGGATCCTCAATACCGATATAGAAAGATTCTCTCTTGTCGGTCGATACAGCCTGAAGGATGTGGCTGAAGCAGGGAAAACAAGAGGTGAAAGGACAAAAAATCGATTCGTTTGACGAGTGACCTTTGTGTTGAGAAGATGTGTTGCCGGCCTAGATAAGTCTGCAACACCTTACAACTGTTTCGAGGTGTAAGAATGAGGGTTGTTGGTGACCAGGGGGGGCTGAAAGGGTATCGGACGCCAAAGAAGCAGAGCTGAGGCGCAGCAGTTTGAGGGGAAAGGGCACTTTGATTTTCCCCCGTCGGGATGGTGTCGTCGACGACGATAGTTGACGATGACGATGTCGATCAACGCTGGAAGTAGGGCGAGGAGGGAATGATTATGTAGTGCGTCAGCGTCAGTGACGAAAATGAAGGCAGGTAGCAGACCCAAGAATCATGGGAGGATGGATGGATGGATGGAAATGAATGGGATCTATGTAGGTACCTCAATCGGCGAAAACAAAGAAAGGTCACCAAAAGATGGATGGAGGGGGCAAGGTCCAGGTAGGTGTCTTGTGCCCCCGAGTCCCTGCACGGGTCGCTGTGGCCCCCCTCTAGACGAGAGAACCTAAGGAGAAGTAAGGGTAGTCAAGGTACATAACGGCCCAAGGCTTGGTCAGGTAAGGTAGCGGGCTAGGGATATTGCGCGGGCCAGGTACGAGAGCGAGGGAAAAAGAACAAACAGAGGGACGACGCTCGAAGCTCAATATGGCGCCTCACCTACAGCTCCGCATGGCCTAGTAGACCAAAATTCTTATTAGACCAAGGCAGATCTCGGATAAAGACGAGGTGGACGGGTACATGTGTCTGATGAGAGGGGATTCTCTAGTACCTACCTTGAAAAGGAACCAGACGGCTGTTTGTTTCCACTGTGGGGGGGGTTGCTTCAAGGGTGACTTTGGCCCTGCTTGCTAGAACACTTCTACATATGCGCAGGCAGGTCATTACGGATACAGAACAAAGTCCACACACTGAACGAGAAAAGCCCCAGTAAAAGGTGCAGATAAAAAAGCTCCTGAATTCTGGCTGGCTGATCAAGCTGAGAGGCCCTGTCATGGGCCCTCTGGGGGCCACCCCTGAAATCCAGATCTAGTGCAAAGAGGACGGGCTAGGCAAGCAACGAAACGGTCCAGGACAGGGCGAAGCAGGACAGGACTGGGCGTGGCAGGTAGTGTGTGCTAGGTACTTTGCAGGCAGCATGTACTCGCTGACCGGGCCAGCGTCAGTGGGGTGGCTGCGCACAGCAGCGGGAGAGAGCAAGGGCATCAGCGTCGGAGGGGGGAAGGGGAGGAATCCTTCAGAACAAGCTGTCGGGTCCAAACCTGACGACGTGGGGACCCGGGAGAGAGGAACGAAGGCGTTAATACCGGCTTGCCATTGGACATGGGCCGGGGGGCCGAGTGGAATGGGTGGAAAGAAGCACATCTGTTTTGCGCCAGAGGTGGCACACGGGTCAATGTAACCCTGTCCTGGCTGCATCCAGCGACGGGAGCCCTGCCTGTAGGGTGCCCGCGAGCAGTGCTGTGAAGAGAGAGAAGGGCCGGCAAGCCAGAGGCATAGAGACTGGAAAGTCTTAACCCACACAAGCCCCCAGTCTCGTCTGTGCCAATCAACTATTGGGCTACTTCGGCCTTCTATGCCCGGGCAGAGATATTAAGGAATGTTGAAGATGAGAAGAGGGGAAAGAAGAGAAAGGCTCGGGACTGAGTAGCCAAGCGATACGCATAAGGAGGGGTTGGATGAGGGTTAGGTGGGATGTTGTTGTCGCTGTAGAGTTGCAACTGAGGTGGAGAGATGTGTCGCCCTGCCTTGCAGTAGTAAGTACTACGTAACATGGAGTTGTTAAGGTACTATTGTAAGGTCAGGAAGGTCAGAATGTCTTCCTTGCTCTGCCTTCTGGTACTTGGTATGCGGAAGCTGGCTGGCTGGAGCAAGGTGAGACGGTGATGAGAGAGAGGGTCTGAAGCCAGAACTGGAGTCGGAGTCGGAGTCAAAGCCGGAGCCAGAAGTTGAGCCACAACTGGTGGGTTCCCCAACACAGAGACGAGACACGACAAAAAAAAAAAAAAGATGGGATGTTTTGCGAAAGAGACGCATACTTGCCCTGTTGCCCGAGATGCGGTCTGAGAGGGCTGGATGTGCTGGCAGACATGGCTTGCCTTAGGGCTGCGACCATGGCTGTGGTGCCGGCGGCGGTAGGGCGAGTCAGGGCCTGCCAAGACGTTGGATGAGACGGGCGACGATACGAAATGTATGCATCGAACTAACTGTGCTAAGGCGTCATAGGCCGTGAAAGCATATGGGGTTGACTTGATGCGTATGTGGCTTCGGCAGGAACATGACATGGAAGGGAAGAATTCGACAAGGCCAAGAAGCAGACGGCGATGAAACTGAACACTCGCCAGCAGCCCGGCATAGTGGGCAGACACTTCAGCAGTCAGCAAAATACCTAGTAGTTGAAGGGAGAGTATTGTAGCATGGAGTACACTACGCGCGCACAGGGCGGGATTCGAGCAGAGAGCAATGAATCCCGGGCCATTCTACCATGGCAATGGGGGCCATCTCCAGCAGTGTTTTGGGGGTTTCTTGGGGTATCAGTAAGTACCTGTTATGCATCTCTTTCAAAGACTTGCTTGGGGGATGCTACCAGTCCCAATATGAGCTCATGCAGCAGAATGTTGAACAGGCATCAAAGTCCTGGCATTCTTACCCTCGTCTTTTCATTTCCAATATATTGTCCATGTGCAGCACTGAGGTCTGCTCTTTTAGCTGTAAAAAGGGGGAATAGGCCTAGGACGTGCAGTAGCATCTATGGGGGACCAGAGGTACTCTGCGGAATCAAAGTACCTCTGCATCTGTCTCTGGCAGACTAGGTCATTTTCCCCCGCCCCGACCACCACAGCCCTGTTTGCTTGGTTGCTTGGGTACTGTTTCCATGGCCCATGCTTAATTAATCAGCATACTCTCCACCTTGGCTTGGTGGAATATATACACCCTTACTAGGTAGTATCACATGGTATCCATTGGGGGTGTACCAGCACTGCAGCACCGAATCTTTTGGACGGGTTTCTCCGTCGTCGTCGTCATAACACACATCTCGACATTGCTCTATTGCTGGACCGCTGCAGCATGTCTTCAACCCTTCCCCTTGCCAGTTTGCGCGAACCCACATGGGAGTATGGCGCAAGACGAAGGAGATGAGGGCAGAGAGAGAGAGAGAGAGAGAGTCACAGACTCCCGAGGGTGTGGTCAAGGCGACCATTGGGGGGGGGGGATAACCTGACCAATTACCCACTTATTTTGTGATTTGTGGGGCTACCCTGAGATCAGCTGACCATGGTCAGCTAGTTAGCTATGGTCAGGTTGAAATTCCTTAGCGCGGTTTGAAACCTCACCCTTGACATACTTTTTGTAAGAACATACGACATTTAAACGCTTCCAAATCCGTTCCGAATCGATTTACAATGGCTCTTCAATCGATTGAAAATCTCTTCCCTCGCCTAGAGGGAATAAGTCCTCTATTAGAACCTACTAGTCTTGATGCAGAAGCTGAAGAAGACTTAAATCTTTACTATCAACTACCAGCCCAGGCCCAGTCTGGCTTACTAGTAAATGAGGAGGTAGGGATATATGAGAACGACTTTGGAATTAGTTCTAAATCGATTCAGGATCAACTCGAAACCGATTCAGAAATACCTCCAACACTTGTTTCATCAGAGGCAACCCGTTCTGGGCATAATAGCCTCAGGGATGTTCATGTACTTGCTCAAAAAGTAATCTTTCTAC